CAATCCGACCTTTAGCGGATATGAACTCGAAGATGCGCTGATGCAAGCGCGATATAGTGCCTGTTTCTCTGCATCGCCGTCCTTTTTCAGCTCTAGCAGCAGGGCTTGGGCACGCTGCGTTACTGCGCTGTCGTACATACCAGCTAGCTGGATGAGGATCGTGAGGATCCATTGCTTGACGGTAGCATGCTGGTCCCAGTCCTGATCGTTTACATACAGCTCGCTTAGTAGATTGACAGCGCTTCGGCGGATACTGACTTCCCAGAGTGCATCGGCAGCGATCTCTCCAAGCCGCTGGCATACACCCCATTCGAACAACAGATCACGTCGGCACGGGGCCCCACAGACCAGATCCTTGAACTCTGCGAGTCGGCCGACTCGAACCAAGGCGTCTGCGCAGCGCAGTGCTGGGTACCATGCACGCTTCCGACTGAAGCTGAGACCCTCCTTGAGACTGTCCATAAGCCCCTGTCCGCCCTCGATCAGCGAGCTCACACCTTCGTATCCGAGCATGAAGACCTCGTACACCTCTCCCAGTCCTTCCTGCAGCTGGCTCAGTCCATCGATAAAGCTACTTACATCCAGGCCCTTGACCGCGCTCACTAGCCCTGAAACGCCATTCACCACCACTCGTGTGCGCCGCATCACTGCTTGTAGGGACGTCTCATCATCTGGGACATACTGCAGGGCCTGGTAGGCATAGGCAGCTTGGTACATCAAGTAGGGGTCGGAGCTGTTCTTCATCTCTTCCAGATAAGCTGACAGCGGCTCATGCAGCTGCTCGCGGTTCAAGCCCTTAACATCGCTGTCCGCCATCGCATCCAGCACGCGAGAGACCGCCAGGGCCAGCTGATAGCGATGCTTGCTCGATGAGGAGTGAGTGTCCTGCAAGCGCGTGCTAAGGGCACTCAGGATTTTGACCAGGTCGTCGGCATGGAGGTAGCCTGGGGAAGCGCTCTGTATCAGCTGAGCCAGGCCTTCGAGTAGATTGAAATCCAGCAGGACCGATTGCGCAACCCCATCGATGAGGTCGCTGAGCAGCTTGCGATATCGCTCTTCGTTGAGCACAGGCGCTAGGTACATCACTTCAGCGACCATGGCGGCATCCTTGAGGTCGTCATCGATGAATTCCGCGATCACTCTTGTCACCAGCGAACACAGCCGATCTTTTTCGTCTGCGTCCTTGGCTTTGGCCTGTATCCAGTCGCGCTGAGCTTTGTCAAGCGGCTCATCGGATTCTGTGACAAATGTTGATGATGACGATGATGAGGCCTTGGACAGCAATCCGAGGCAGTAGACGAGCTGAGGAGTGGTGGTGATGCGCCCATCCGGTCCTGGTAGATCATGTTTGGCTGCAGGCCTTGCCACGTTCTCAGGAAAAATTGCTGGAGAGACATAAGCGACATCGCTGCGGCTCGGCCTGCTCTTTTCCTCTGGATAGGATTGGTCGGGTGCGGCTGATGATGTACCGCGGAGGTTGAGTGCATCACGAATTGAAGTGAAGATCCCGCCGGACCGAGAGCGGACAGGCTTCCCGTCGAGGCCCAGGACATACCGCCACTTCTCCGCCTGCCTGAAGCTGGCCTGTGCCTTGTCACGATGACCCAAGCTGTCTAGCAGCTTGCCTCGGTCGGAATAAGCAGTGCAGATTCCATTGCATAGGGCCTGATCCTCGGCGCTCATAGGAGGGATGAGAGCCTTTCTGTTTGCTCTTTTAATCCCTGCTAACGCAGCCTCTGCATTGGCGCACAAGGCCAAAATGAGATACGGGTCATCTGCTTCTCGTGCATTTTCCAGATGAGTGTTGGCGAGGTCCAGGGCCCTTTGTGGCGAGAGAGCACTTCGTGAGGACGGAAACATACTGCAGGACATATCGGTCTGTGAGTCTTCTATCGTTGTGTAACAGATGGAAGCGAGATTAGCAGATCCATCGTCGAATAACAGGTGCGTGCGAGCAGCCAGCATACACACTTACACTTGACGAACACGGCTCTCACGCAATGGGACGCAACTGGACGCAATTGAACGTAATAGACTGCAGTACCGGGAGGACCTGTGAGAACAGCGGAAGCTTTTCCTGTTCAAGTTCGATTCTCCTGTCTGCTCCTGTTCTCCTGTTCAAGTTCACTGCCCTTTGTTTCCCCCAATAGAGACGGCTATCGTCAAGCAAGATGGATTGTTAACCGCTGCACATGTTGCATATCTCGTTATTCACATACAGAAGAAACGAGATGGTCTCTCACATTGATATGGGTACTCCTGATTCTTCGTTTCTCTGGACAGCTGTGTAATGGTCTGGGCTCGCTCCCCCTCGTGTCTCCTAGCAATGGTACCTGTCGTCACACACTATGGGTTAATACCCGTTGCATATGTGTCCTTGTTCTCCTCAGCTTCATAGACACTAGTCCTACCACAGTCTGGCTCCTGCGTTTTTACTCCGCCTATATGATCACAGACAGGGCCGGCTTTTGCTGCCAACCGGACTGCACTATCGCTAATGAGTCGTTGTCGACCAGCGCTTTTTGAGGTATAAGGAAACTAAGGAGAAAAGAGAAAGGCGACGGGGAGGTTGATAGACGGTTCAGACAGGTCCTGGTGGATTGAGTAAAGGATGTAGCTGGGAAGAAGGGAAGATGAAAGAAAGGGCAAGGCGAGTATGAAGACGCAACCCGTCGTTATTGTATTAGCTAAACATACTCCATGCCGTTTTGTCCCCTCACTCTCGTGTAGGGTACAATGGGTCACCTCATCAGATGCGAGGGAGCGAGGGACAGCAAAAAGTTGATCCTTCGACCTGTTGTGTAACCCCATCTGGGAATTGTGTGAATCGCCACCGTATTGCAGGATCAATTCCTATTCCATCCCTATTCCCTCTCCACTCCAGGAAACCGTTCTAGCATATTTATCTTAAGCACCTCCAAAATACTGCTTCGCCATACAGTACGCCAAGAAAGTCAGTCGTAGAAAGCTTACATAGCGCGAAGGTAAAGATGAGGGCGAGAGTTGATTTGTTTAGAGCTGAGCCCAGCCAAAGACGCACATGAGCCTCAGGAACACCACTCTGTGTCCGCGCGCTAGATAGAGCTAGTTCAGGCACGGGCCTAGACGGCACTAAGGGGACAAGACACAGCTGTGCATCTTCTGTCTCTGATAGTGCGCTATGTTTTCAAGCGCACAAGTAAATACTCATACTTATGGGGCCATGGATCGATATTCGTTTCCCTGCAGCTGGTATCCTTGTCAAGGTCACAACTGTTGTTGAGCGTATCCAGTTAACAGCGACTGCAGAGTCTCGCCACCCGCATCTTCACAAGGCCTCTTGAGCCATATTCCGTCCGTGCCTTATCTTTGTCCTCGTCCTTGTCCTTGCGCTTGTTCTTGCGAAGCTAAACAAGTTCCCGAGCCATTCTTCGTCCTTCCCTTGCGGGCTTCTTATCTGGAATATTGCCCACCGGCTGTGCACCGCTAAGCACAATTAAAATAAAGAAAACATTGTCAGTGCTGTTGGCCAGCAACCACCACATGTTCACAGGGTTTGATATAAGGTTTTGAGGTCGCGCCTGTATAAAAGGAGGGTCAAAGCCAACGGCCTTTCTGTTACTTGGTTCCAGTTGAACAGGAAGACCGTTGTGCTGATCACCCGCTACAGTGTCCGCTACAGTGTTGCGTAGTTTGTTGCGCTAGATCTTTTTATTGCATGTGGAATACAATTTATTCAAGGCATCCAGATTAGAGAAATTGAGGACTCTGAAAATTTCATAGTGTGTGACAGTGCATAAACTGCTTTACATTAGCAGGTGTGATCGAATTGTTGCAAGGAAGAAGGTTGAGATGTAAATGTTAACATTCAGGGGCATGAATATTCCTGCTTCGCAAGCGGCATTATACCAAAAGCATTCTCCCTTTTCTTAATCCCATGGCCTCCTTGGTTGCGTTCAATTCGTACCTCCTCGTGTTAGTGGCCCAGGATAGGATCCAATACGACGACGACGATGCGGACGCAGATAACGGCGACGGCGCGGACGCAGATAACGACGACGGTGAGCCGAGACCAGCAGGCCTCCCTCCTGCCATATTCTTGCCCGGCTTTTTATTCAATATTCACGCACTCCCTCGTCGGAAATTCAAAAGACAATTCCGTTTCACGGCGCCACAGATACTCGAACTCTGTCAATTGCTTGACCTACCATATCTAGTGAAGACCTACAAGGGCGATGCGGCAACCGCGGAGGAGGCTTTATGCTTGACACTGTACCGGCTGTCGTTCCCAACGAAACTCGACCGCATGCAGCTGATCTTTAGCCGCGACTCATCTGCAATTTCAAGACTTGTCAAACAGACGATAATATTTCTCACAGGTCGATGGGACCACCTTTTAACGTGGGACGAGAACCGATTAACAAGAGCAAAGCTTCACGAGTACGCTGGAGCCGTTGCTGCACGAGGTGCACATCAGTCCGTGTTCGCCTTCTTGGATGGCACAGCCAGAAAGATCAGCCGACCCTCGTTTGGACAGAGGGCAATGTACAACGGCCACAAGCGCTTCCATGCTCTTAAATATCAAATCTTGGTAGCCCCTGACGGGATCATCATCCATCTGAGCAATGCTGCGCGCGGGAACGTTCACGACCTAACTATTTACAGGAATTCTGGCCTGGCCGGTATTCTTCGTCAGCATGCATGGAGGCCAGATGGGAGAAGGCTTGCTATCTATGGCGACCCTGCGTACCAAATTGGTGCCCATATGCTTCGGCCCTATCACGACCATCGGCTCATGCCTGCCCACCATCGAGCATTCAACCGAACGATGGCCAAGCAACGCGTGGTAGCCGAATGGGCGATAGGGAAAGTCGTCCGGTATTATTCTGCGTTGGACTTTTCTCCTACACAACGCGTCCTTGCTACCCCTCTTGCATTGCACTACAAAGTAGCGGTCCTGTTTTCAAACCTCCACACGTGTTACTATGGCTCCCAGACAGGTTCACGTTTCGGATTAGATAGCCCCTCTGCTGCCACGTATCTTAGCAGGTAAACCATTCTTTATTGATGTGCATAAGAGGTTGAAAGGTATATATAGTTGATTCACGCCTTTTGCTGCATGTTTATAATCACTTGGGCAAGAAGTTGAGTTGTGGATGATTGCTGCTTGAAGATCTCCAAAACTTCCTTGTGCCGTCGCTCGTCGAGATCCTCCTGTCGGGATAGTCGCTCCCTGTCCCTAATATCTTCTTGTCTTTGCTTCTCGCGCTCCCATTCCAACCTTCTCGTCTCTTTTTCCTCTTTCCTTGTGGCATACCGTTCCTCTTTGTCGAGTTCTCTCTGCTCTTGTCGTACATCTCTGGCTGCTTCTTTTTCCTCCTGTCGCTGAGCGTGCATTTTTCGATGTTCCATGTCTTCCTTTTGCAATGCCACCTGTTGTGCCATGAGCTCGCGCTGTTCTTTCACTTGTGCAATAGCCTCCTGTTGTTGTTTTTCGATTTGTTGTATGGTGATCCGCTTCTTGCTGTACCTAGTGGGGGGAGCGGCACTATCGCTATCGGAAACAATCCGAGGTCTCAGCTCCGCAGACTCGGCCGCATCCAGGAGCAGCTGGCCAAGCCTTCTCTCTTCAACAGCATTTTCTTGTTGCCGCGTCCGATCCTGTCTGGCTTCGACTGTAGCTTCATTGTTTGCTAGCTTGAGACGGTAGAGTTCTTCCATCAATTGCCGTCGCTCTGTCTCCTCAGGTGCGATTCCAGTGGCGGCTTCCAGATAGGCCTCATATTTTTTTTGCTCCTCTGCCAGTCGCTCCCACGTTAGCTTGCAAGTCCGTGGCTTCACGTTTGTGAAGAAGGGCTTTGTCGGTCGCTCAACCCTGTCTGACTCGTGAAGATAGTCCACTACTTTGCCCCAAGTTTCGACTACGCTTCCATGAGGCGCAATAAATGGTCGATGCAATGACAGAGCACGCAGGAGAATCAACTCCGGAACTGATTCCTTGCGGAAGTCGAAGCGGCTGGGTGCTTTTCCAGTCGCTTTTGTAGTTGCTCCTGCATCCGATAGAGTGTCTGGTGCTTCAGCCTCAATGGGAGGGGTATTGTCGTTACCAGCCCGGTGGTCATCAGAGGGCGGAGGGGAGAGGGGGGGAGTGCTGTTCTCAGCGGGGAGGTTGATGTTAGTTGAAGTTGACATGAAGGTGCGTGTTGAATAAGAGTTTGTTTTATTTTTCACCACTGGAGGGAGAGAAGAGAAGGAAAAAGAGGGACTCTGCTTTTTTGAGCCAGTTTCATTGCTTGTGCTCGAAGCTGTGAAATTTTCACAGAGATTGTCATAGATGGCTTATACGACCTCCTCAATTTGAAACTGAATGACAGTCCCTGTGAAATTTTCAGAGTCCTCAATTTCTCTATTGAGTTTCCTTACAGAACGTCTTAGCTACAGCGTTTTCCCATAATCTTTCTCTTGCATAGTCGGTTTCTGTTTTGTGGACCTCATAGCGCTGTAACCGAACAAATCATTCATGTCGTAGAAAAGGGGAGTTTTTTTGACAAAAACAAGCATCCCACAGGACCGTGGGGACTTGATTTTTTTTATTGAGTTGGGCTATAGAACATTCTCCAACGAGTTGCTGTCCTCAATGCATCCAAACTGTAGCTTGTCAGCAAAGCAAAGAAAGATTTACTGGCGGTTGGCCTGGGTCTTGGCCTCGAGGAGCATGTCGTTCTGGGGAGGAAGACCGACACAGGCACGGAAGATGTTCTCCATGGCGCTGCGCTGCTTGGAGAGAGCGTTGACGACCTGGGTGCCGTGGGGGACCAAGGGGGCCTTCAACATGTAGGACAGGACCGACAAGACAGAGTTGAAGGGAGCAAACTCGGCCATATCCTCAGTCTTGTACTGGATGCGGGTCATCAATTCGGTGAGGATGACGAGATCCAAGATCAAGGGCGAGGCAAGAAGAGAATCCTCGCAGGTGTTGTACATCGAGATGGTGTTGCGACCGCCCATGAAAATCTCCGAGACGTACTCATCCAGGGCACGCTTCGAGTCCTTGACAGCGGGGATGTACTTGATGACGACCAAGTGATCGGGGTGCTCGCCCTCCTTGTACAAGATGTGGTTGGCAGCGACCATGTCATCGACGACGTTCGACTTTGAGATCTCCTTGGAGCGGAACTGCTGGGGAGCTGACAAGTTCTTGCCGTCGTTGTTACCGAGATGGTTGTAGGACGAGATGGCAATGGGCTTGATACCGGCGTTGACGAGGAAGTCGACAATGACCGACTTGACCTTGGTCTGGCCAGACTTGAAGTCGTCACCTCCGATGTAAACGCTGTGGCGCTCAGCGAGCTCGATGCATCCGGGAACGAAGGTGTTCTGGGGCGATCCGTTGATGAAGGGGGTGTTCTCGAGGATCGAGGCGATGGCAAAGACGGTTGAGGGCGAGACCTCCTCGTGCGATTCCTTGACGGCCTTGAGCAAGTTATCGGCGGTGTCGTTAACGCCGTCCAAGAGAGAAGAGAAACGCTCAGTGTTGGCAGTCCAGATCACAATGACCTTGTCCAAGTGGTTGGCGGCCTTGAAGTTGCGGATGTCGGCACGGATCTGCTCGACGTGAGCATGCTTGTCGTTGCCGGGGAGGACGTTGTCAGCACGGTCGGACTGGTTGGCGGCAATGAAGTCGGGGTAGTAGACCGAGGGAAGGGGCTTGAGGGTGGCCATCTCAGCCTTGACCTGGCGCTGGAGATCGTAGTCGAGGACCTGGGCACGGACCATGGAGTCAGCAAGGTTGAAGGACGAGATATCCCAACCACCGAGGACGAGGTCGTTGGGGTGGACCATGGGCAGGATGTCTGAAAAGGGAATGTAGACATCGTTACCCTTGGCGTCAACACCGAGCTTCAAGGTCGAGGCCTGGACGACGGATCCAAAGTAATTGGGCTCCTGAACACCCTCCTTGGTGTGCCAGATGGTCTTGTGGCGGTTGGCGATGATGGAAGCGGTCAAGGTCGATCCGTTGTTTCCACCCCATCCGACCATCATGAGACTATGTTATCACGATACGAAAAACATGTTTGGTTAGAGCTCTGTATAGAACAACATTCCAGGGCATGTTACAAGGACGGATGCGCAAGAAATGCAGCAAATGCAGCAAATGCAGGAAATGCAGATCTAAATGCAATCGTCATATCAACAAAAACATGGAAAAGATGAATCACAGACATACCCAACGCGAGGGACCTTGGCATCGGTCTTGAAGGTGTACTTGACAGCGGTGGGGTTGACGGAGTAAGAACCATCGACGCCCTTGGTGACGGTGGCGTTCTCGTAGGCATAGTCCGCAATGATGTGGGAGTCAGTGTACTGGACGTTCTTGCTGTTGACCTTGAAGGCCAAGGGAGCGGCAGCAGAGGCTTGTTCAGCGGCGAATGGAGGCATGGTTGTTGTTATTTTTTGGTTGTTTTTTGGGCTTGAGTAGGGGGGTACTGGTAGTGTAGGTAGGCAAAGGGTCGGGGAAGAATCGTCTGGGCAATCGAGTCCTCGTTACTTGGATGCTTTAGGCTTGGGACTCGTTCTCTTTCTTCCGCGGTGGGGGTTGTGGAGACTGGCCAACTGGTTGGAAAACGTGGTTGCTAGACTCGGAGTTGGCGACCAACAAGGAATTGGTAGCCAGACAAAGGGTTTGGGTGTTGTTGTTAGTTGGGGGTTGGGGGGTTTTTCTGTGGGGATAGAAAAAGAAGGCAGAAGGTGGATTTGAAGGAGAAGGGGAGAGAAAAGAAAGAAGCGAAAAAAGAAGGCCGGGGAGGAGGGCGCTTTTATAGACGGCGCACTCCATCATCATCATCATCTCATCTGGTTCCCTCATCATCTGTTTCTGGTCTGGTTCTGTACTCCCTCGAGAAGAAGTCGCTGGTCTCCTTTGGTTGGCGAGAAAAGCATAAAATCTTATCAGCTCATCCCCAGCCAATAGAATCGGAACCCTCACCTCACCCAGCTCATGTTGCTGGCCGGCTGGGGTGTGCCTGTCCTCTGCACCCAAGCGAAAAAGAATTCCCGCTCCGGCTCTCTTGCTATTATCCTCCTACACATACACACACATATACACGCTGGACTAGTCTACGCAGCATTAGTCTGCCTGTCCTTCTCGACAGAATTCTTTCTTCTTTTTCGTTCTATGGGACCAGGCCACACCCTGCTGCCCCATGGGAAGACCCAGGCTTATCTGTTAAGAAAAAAAGCCTATACGTGTCCAGTCGCTGTCGCACCAGCTGTCCTCCCCTCGCCCGATCATAAGAACTGCGCTTGTACATCAACGACACAGCCTTCATCACCTGTATCTTCAGAATCAGTTACAATCCTTTTCCCTGCGTTGCCACCAAGGTAGGAGGGGGCGGATCTACCTGAGCGGGTCCATCATTTCTCCCTCCCCTCCTCCCCCGTCCGGGTCAGGAGATGACAGCTACTGCACTCTTCCTCCTCCTCGCGACCGTTGCTCTTTTTATACACATGCGCACCAACACAAAACGCATTCACTTTCTGTCGCGTGTTTGTTTATTTTGAGTTGAACGGAATGAGAGAGGGGGAGGGAGAGATAGACAAAATCACTGACAACGTAGACTAGACTAGATATCGTGTGTATCTTGGACCGACGGACATGTTTGTACTCTCTAAACAATACTGTACAACATTTTCCCGTCCTGCTTTTTCTCTTGTTCGTTCACCTTCTCCAGGAGCCTGATTATTCATTTACTTTTGTCGCCCTACTTCCCTCAATCCCCCCCCCAATCCCCCCCCCCCCCAATCCCCCCATGCCCGGCCCGATCTAACCAAGCCAGCTGCTATAGGTTTTTTTTTGGACTGAGCTCTGTTAAAACCCAGAACTTCGTTTTTAGGTGCCGGGATCAATCAAATCTATATAAAATATTAGGCCCGCTTTTTTCCCCCCCCCTCTCTCTACATGTAGGATGGATTTTAGTTTCTTTTCTTGAATAGGCACTTTTTTTACCCGGACAATTTCTTCTCTATTGAAATTCAGGCACAAAGTGTCTGTGATTGGACAGGGCAGATTTCATATGTCTTTCTGAACCTCGACTACAAAAGTCTACCACTCGTGCAAAATGCCTATAGGCTACATACAAGATTACCAGAGTTTCTCCTCACCCCCTCAGAAGATTTTACGCTACTGAGAGTAACCTGAGGGGAGGGGGAGGGAGGCAGACAATCCACCAACAGGAATGATGGTGCGGTGTATCCTCTAACAATAGTCATTCGAAACAGAAGCTACTTAAGAACCTTGAATGACAGATCGAAAACCTGTTGGCCCCCAACAAAGAAAAGACGGGAGGGAAGGGGGAGGAAGAACTGTGCAAAGAGCCCTGCTGCTTCTGCTGAGTTGAAAATAAAGCTTGTCAACGAGGGGAATCCTTGCTGCGAGGCCCCGTCACGGTCGTTTGAACAGACCCCTGTCCACGAGCCATGACCAGGAGGGAGGGGGGGAGTTTCTCCACTTGACGCCACTAAAAAACGACCCCTGTTTGAATCCTTCAAAAGAGATCCATCTCTCATCCTCCCCACCGCTTCTTCATCAACTACAACTCATTCTTCCTTCTTGCGATCCCCCACGCCTCTCTATCCAAAAGAAAAGCATAATGTCTCGTCGATCCGGTCGTATCGGTATGGAAGGCACTCTTTGCGCGAAATCCAACACGAAAAAAGTCGAACATTCACAGCATCAGGGGAGGAAAGTTCCCATAAACTCAATCCAATTGAAACACATTTATGGTCATAGCAGCAGCAGCCACGGCCATAGTCGCATCACCTACCAAGATCAAACCTATCTCCGCCTCCAAAGTCGCAAAGACACCAAAGGCCAGCAAGAAGGAAACCAGCGTGGTAGTCTCAGCGGACGAGGTAGACTCAGCACCGAAAAAGAAGCGCCGCGTCGCCAAAGAAACAACCGAGCCTGAACATGTCGATGACGGCAAGGGTCGGTGCATATGGGCCACCAGTTCACGGTACCCGCTCCTACAAAAGTACCATGACACCGAATGGTGCATCTCTAAAGGATTCAACCGCACGAATCGTTATCTCTTTGAGATGATCATCCTCGAAGGTAATCGTGAGCTCCCCTCTTTTTTTTTCTCCCACAATTGGAATCATTATGTTGATTGCTTCCATTGTGCGAATCTTCCCCTGCTCCCCCATTGTCGCTACGCTAACACACGCATTTTTGGGTCATCCCAGGTGCCCAAGCGGGTCTCTCCTGGTCCACGGTCCTGCACAAACGCGACGCCTACCGCGAGGCATACGATAACTTTGATTACAACCTCATCGCCGACACCTACACCTCTCCAGCCTCGAACGAGCGCCTTCTCCAGACCAACATCGTCAAGAACAAACTAAAAGTCGAGGCCTCCATGATCAACGCAAGGGCGTTCAGGGATCTGTTGAATGAACTCTACCCCGACCAAGCCCAACCCGAGGACGAAAACGGATTCTGGCAGTTCTTACAGACCTACAAGAAACAGCCGAATCGGAACAAAAAGGTGGAGGAGAAAGAAGAAGAAGAAGTTTATCTGACGCGTAACGAGGCGTCGGATCGGTTGAGCGCCGATCTTAAGAAGCGAGGATTCAAGTTTGTGGGTAAGTCAGGACTATTTTTATTTCCTTTGCTTCGTCGTGTTTCATCATATTTTTTTTTCTTTTGTCGTGTTTCGTCGTGTTTTTCTTTTTTGATCCCCAGAAGGTGCTATTTTTGCCATGGCTGCTGACATTTCCTGAGACATTTTCTACAGGTACGACTATCATGTACTCTTACTTGCAGGCGGTCGGCATTGAATTGGAGGGCGTCCATCACACGAAGGGCTGCTTCATGCATCACAAGAACAAGACGGCTGTGTAGATTGATTGAAGTATAAAAAATATGAGAAACCCTTGTGAATAAAAAAAACTTCATTCTCGACTCTTTTTTTTTTTTTTTTTTTTTATTGTGAGGAAATTTTGCGATGAAGATTGAAAGTACTATTGAGTGCTGATCAACGACAAAAGGGTATGAGTAGTGTGTGTATGTGGGCAAAAGAGTTCATATCCATACCAAGAAAAAATAACATATATATAGAAATACAAAACTGGATGGGTTAGATAACAACTCTAGTTAAAGACATCGCCCGCAGCAACACCGACCAAGTCCGACTTGATCATGTCCTCAACCAAGGAATCGAAATCGACCGTGCGCTTCCAGCCGAGCTTGGCGTTGGCCTTCGCAGGGTTACCCAGGAGCTGCTCGACCTCGGTAGGACGGTAGTAAGCGGGGTCGACCCGGACGCGGATCTTGCCCTCCTCATCGATACCGACCTCCTCCTCCGCAGAGCCCTCCCAACGGATCGTCTTGCCCGTGGCCTTGAAGGACTTCTCGACAAACTCACGGACAGTGTGCATCTCTCCCGTGGCCAGGACAAAGTCCTCGGGACTCTCCTGCTGGAGCATCCTCCACATGCCCTCAACATAGTCGCGAGCGTGACCCCAATCACGCTGGGCATCCAAGTTTCCAAGATAGAGGCACTCCTGCTTGCCGAGATGGATCGCCGCCACGGCGCAGGTGATCTTGCGGGTGACAAAGGTGCGGCCACGGCGGGGGGACTCGTGGTTGAAGAGGATTCCGTTGCAGGCGTACATGTTGTAGGCCTCGCGGTAGTTGATCGTGATCCAGTAGGCGTACATCTTGGCCACACCATAGGGCGAGCGAGGGTAGAAGGGAGTGGTCTCGCTCTGGGGGACCTCCTGAACCTTTCCGTACAACTCAGAAGTGGAGGCCTATAAAAAGATTGATTCATAGAGAAAAAGAGAATCGGTGCTACAATGTCAGCAATCAAAGAATCCTTCGAAATCCATAGCGTGGGAACGCCAAAGGATAAAAAGGGCCTCTCACTGTTCAGGAATCGTCTGAGAAATCTGTCATAGGCCTCTTTTGCCCAAAAAAAAAAAATTGTCCGCGTCGATGACGGTTACCTACCTGGTAGAACCGAACGAGGTGGGCAAGACCGCAGGTACGGATGGCATCGAGCAGACGGAGGGTTCCGACAGCATCGACATCGGCAGTGTACTCGGACATGTCGAACGAGACCTTGACGTGGGACTGAGCACCCAAGTTGTAGATCTCAGTGGGGAGGACCTTGGAGATGATGTGAACCAAGCAGGTCGAATCCGTCAAGTCACCGTGGTGAAGACGCATCTTAGGGTCTAATAAAATAGAAGAGAACGCAATGGGCGGGGGGCAGACATGATACAAAAAATCGTCAGCATCTTCCTTTCCATACGCGCTCTCTCTCTTTCTCTCTTTTTCTGTTATAAATGAAGCCAATCTTCTCGGTTCTTACTCTCGTGGGCATCCTTGTAGAGGTGCTCGATTCTGCCAGTGTTGAAGGACGAGGATCGACGAATGATTCCATGAACCTGGTAACCCTTCTCGATCAAAAGCTCGGCCAAGTAGGAGCCGTCCTGACCAGTGATACCTGTGAGTTTCAGAGTAACAAGAAAAAAATATAGAAGGTTGTGCACCATGAGTGATCAGGTCGCGAAAAAAATAACATATCAATTACTCGTGTCCTGCCCTTTTCTTTCGGCTCCCAAACTGATCAGAGGACGAGATGACCCCTCGTCTTGATGAACGAGATGAGACTGCGAAAAAGTCGGTGAACGAACACTTTGGGGAGGGGGAAGCGGGGAAATACCGTACCGGTGACAAGAGCGACCTTGCGCTTGCGGTAGTCCTCAGGGGACATGTTGACAACTTCGATAGGCGAGGACATGGCTAGGTTGGGTGAGAAGACTGGTTCTTGGAGATGATGAAGAGAGAAGGGATGAAGGAAAAGGAGGTGTGCAAGGAAAGGTTCATGGACCTGAAGTCCTCTCTCTGAACGCAATCCACAAGCCACTTAGGTTGCGAGCCTTGGAAGTCTGAGTTGCTCAGAATTAGCTCAGTTCATGCGAGCCAATGATAGCGGGCGACTGATAGAAGAAGCCTAAAATTTAATTGCTGCATGTATAGACTACACACCTGCGTTCTCTGTCCATGTACGAGACATCCAGGACAACCCAATGCTCATCAGAAACCCTCCTTGCCTTTGACAAGTTACAAGGTCGATACAATGTCACTACGTACCCAGGTCTTGATGCAAAGCGACTTTATGCAGTAATTCGACCGAGACACCGCACCGTCATCATCATTATCCTATCTCGGTAAAAATATGATCTTCGAAATCGTATTTATTGAATATCGCTCTGCTCGAAGAATGGGAAACCACGATGTAGCTACTCAAGGGGATAGCACGCAAGGTAGAGGGACTATGGTACATGATGTATAAAATGAGATATCTATCTCATTGCAACTGAGAGGAATAGCGGTCGGAATTGTATGTTACAGAGAGTTGAGATCTGGAAAAGGGTACTATACAAACAAGTTCGTGTCAACAAACGATCAACGTTCGATTGCGAACAAGGTTATCGGCGGCTTGTGAGCGTGGGAATGAAGTCGTTGGGGCTGTTAATGAGCCTCTTAAAGACGGAGCATCGAAGACAAGGCACGCAGCTGGCGATCGTCCTCGACCCAGCGAGACTTTTCCCTTGACATTTCTTTAGGCTCCAGCTTGGGCAACAGCATCGAGTGTGCTGCAAGGTTGGCAAGGACAGAAAGCGAATCCTGTTCGTGAGGATTCCTGGCGCGATCCTTGGGCTTGCTCCCGTAGCCATGATGGAGAGGAGGAAGTTCAGCCAGTGCTGGAATCGCCATTGGTGCCGCGCCTCCAGTAGGCCTGTGGAAATGCATCGGCTCAGCCATCATTCCATCAGCTGCAATGGGATGGTCATCATCAGAGGCCCACGAAGCAGCTGGAGAGTAGGTGTTGGGTGCAGATGGACTCGAGGATTTGAATCGTTGGTCATGGAAGGTACTCTTGGGGGCCGAAGACGAGTATACAGCAAGGTTGCTGTTAGAACGAGATCGGGAGCCAACATGCTTTCCCTCAGTCGTCTGGATCGGCGAATAGCGATGATCTTTCAAGCCAAGAGAGCCAGAGTTGGTACGACGATGGGTAGAATGCGTCGAAGATGCCGAGTCGTTTCGGCGATGGCGATGATGAGTACCAGCCTTAGCATCTACGCGTAGCGACGAAGCGTCCTCCTCTCGGGGACGATGTCTGGGGCGGTTCGGCATAGGAGGCGAAGGGCTGGACTGGCTCACAGATGGGGCAGAGTGTTCACCATGAGCTCCCGTCTCTGGATAAACACCCTTGGGGACGACAATGTCGGTGAAACGCAGATCCAGGGTCGGCGTGTTATGAAGACGTCCAGAGTTGACATCGTCATTTGTGTAATACGAGATAAGGTGGAGCTTCTGGTTGTCCGAGGTCGTGATGCTGAAGGATTGCTTCAACAGGCCCTTGTCGCGGTAGACATTCTTACCAGTATGGTTGCCCTGGGAATCGTCAAGCTCGCGATAGGTAAGAAAGCTGCCGGTGACGCGACTGGGACTCCAGCTTTTGCCATCAGTCCAGCGACGCATGCCGGCCTCGCGCTCGTCGAAGCAATAGACGGATCCAGAACGGACGCACTGACGCTCGATATCTGAAAGACGGCGATGTACGCGAGAGAGATGGCCGAGGCGACAGGCTGTGTTGAACACGAAAATAAATAAACATAGGAATGTCAGTCCAAAGAGATCTGGAACAACATTCAAGCATCGCGGTGGCGCTAACTAGGCTGGGTTGGGTTGGGCTGGGCTGGGCTGGGCTGGATTTGGACCTGCAACTGTGGGCTGTACAGGCAGGCACGCAATTTTCCAAGCCTTGAACCCATGGCATTGAAAGATTGCCACCAAGCGCGTTGACACAGATACAGGCACAAACACACAGGCACAAACGCTCAAACAAACACACACACAAAGATACAACCATGGAAAGAGGGGGATAAGCATATCAGCACTTGCCTTCAAAGACGACAAGGGCATCGTGCGGGGTCTTGATGAGACCGAAATAGGTCTCCATCGATCCGTGTTCCATTGTGGACTGTACAGCTGGAGGTTGTTATGGCTGGGGGAGGAGGAGTAGTAGAGGAGAGTGGGACTCGCAGCAGGAGGGAGGAGCGAGGATGGATGGGATGGGGCTTGAGTGAAGGGAGAGAGAGAGAGAGTGAGTGAGTGAGTGAGCGAATGAGGAATGGATGGATGGCGCAGAGTGTGTTGGGGTGTTCGAGATATGTTTGGGAAGGGGGAGCAGGAGGCAGAGAAGAGGAAGAGGAGGATGGGTGGAGTGGGGAGGAGAATTTTAAAATTGGTGGCCAGGTATTTATAAGGGCCGCCTTTGTCCAACAAGAACATGGACATGAAAAGAGAGTTTTAAGGTGCGGTCGATGACATGTTTGGCGATAGAGAAACAAGCTGTATTGTATGTAGACTATGGGCACTGTGCGATAGCGAGCGAGAATGAATACGAATATGAGATCACTCAATCGAGCATCCTATTCTAAACACCCTCCCCCCACTCTCCGGACATCTAGACTGCTGCACACTCCTCCCACTGAGTCAAAAAAGATAAATAGAAAAGCATCGCATTTGATTTGCATCCTCCCCAGCGGCAGCTGGAATGAGCAGCAGAATATATTCCGCATTCATCATTCATTCCCCAATTGAAAATAAGCATTTTTTTTTCTTTTCCCTTTTCCTTGTTTCTCGTCGTTCCTATCCGCTTTCTAAAAAAAATAGTCTTTTTCTCTAGCTGCCCTTCTCCCCTCCCCCCGGCTCTGTGTTTATCCTTTTTTTTCTTGCCGTCTTTCCTTCTTATTCTTCTCCTTGTTCCCTCGCCCTCTTGCGCAACCTTTCTGCTCATTTTAACACTTTATTATTCTTTCCTCTTTGATCTCGGCGATTACGTGGGCTGCGCGCACACTGTACGTATGTGGACGAATCTTCCGGACATTGTCCGTCGGCGATCGTTTGGCGCTGTCTTCGTCAGCCATCTCTGATCTTTTACCAACTCCCGCAACCGATACTTTCCACATTTACATCTCTCGCTTATTCTTAGTAACAAAGGAAAAGCTAGGAACGGAACTGTAATGGACCGAGGCGAGCGCCTATGGTGGTAGGGTACTGTGGAAAAATATAGCGTTTTACCACTTTACCTCGTCCTGTGGCGACCAGGGTAAACAGGCACCCATTATTGTTGAGGAACAAAGCCTAAATGGTTTGTGCTGTTACGTTTTAGTATTTCATAGCCCTCCACACATACACCCACCTCTTCGTCCATCTTCAGAGCACTCTAACCTTCTTTTATGCGCTCATTCCGTATCATTCTCTCCTAAAAGCGCTCTATAGTCTATCATACCGACAAAAAGAAGGAGTTTACCACTAGAAATAAAACACATGCGACTGCAATGTCCAAAAACCAAAATAGAGTAAAGGGATCGGGCTATTCATTTCCGCCAGAGTCGTACCCAGCACGCGAGAGCATAGAGTTACCGGTCCCTTGCGTCGTTCTCACTTATTGGATGTCCAGTTTTAAGCGCAACTGCATTGATACCGACGTGCTATATGTGGCAAGCAAAAAAAAAAAAAGGGCTTTAATTTACGGCAATCAAAGTGAGCGTGCTCTGATTCCTCCTTGAATAGACATGATTTTCGCACCAAGGCGAAGAAAAAAAAAGTTGGCCATGTCGGCAAGTGTTTCTACCGTACTGGTTTTATGCAAAGAAAAATACTTCTTTGACTGAACAGGTTTTCATGTCTCAAAATAAAATGCTTAATGTCATCATAGTCGTGTACATCCGTTATTTATGGAGTAGCATCCATGACCATTTCCTAGGGTTAAAACTTATGAGCACTAGAGATAACATGGTCGCGTTAGGGCGACCACCCACGGGTCGCTACTACCCCTGCATAGCTTTTTTCTGATATTCTCAAATCGGGACGGTCCCTGATCAAATTCTCCTTCATCTATGATGCCAGCCAGGTACCAGGTCATCCTTGTTTTATAACCTAATTTGTTTCATCATGCCACCCATTGGTTTTGTATCATGGTATCTTATCCATGTACCTCTTCCTCAAGGGACCCTTTTTTTTAGAAGTTATATGTTTCGACCTGTATAGCTAGCCTCCCCACAACGGCAAAAGGTCAGAGGACATTGCCATCAACTTCCTTGTCAAGACTAGAGAAAGAAGTCTGGATCGGGTTTCCTCCTGTCCCACGTTTCCACGTTCAGTCCATACATGACCAGCAACGACTGTCAGGGGAAGGGCAGTATTCCATTTCATTCCAAAGAACCCCTCCTGGCCCTACGTCCAACTTCCATTTATCGCCTCGACCGAGTGCTGATGGACTATGCATGTTACGAGCACACACAGCGCAACCAACGATCTAAGCAGATCTAGGACTGCACGTCCGTCGTTTGAAAAACAAAAGTGTCCTTCCTACTTCAAGGTTTTGGGCGAGCTGTGCACTTTGGTTGGCTGGACGAGTTAAAATATTATCCGGCCGGACACAAAAAAAAAAGACATCTTTGCTATATTCAGTCGCCGCAGGGATTACTTCTTCCTTCCTTCTCTCCTTATTTGGCGGTGCAGCACTATTTATCCTACTCTCGATAGTCTTGCGGCTTTCTTGTGCACTTTTAATTGCTCATTAAAACAGGCAGGGCTGTTTGTCCTTTTTACCCACGAATCACCCTCTTCCAAAAGAAATAAATCAGCCCACGGATAGAGGAGGCTGCGAAAAGGACCCTTGACTTCACGGAAATCCGGAACTCCAGAGTTCTCAAATTTTGAGGAACAACTTTTTGTGTTGACTTCCGGCTTTCGGTTCTGCCGCTCGAAAAAATAAAATAAAGTAAAGCAACAGCCTTGAATATTTTCCCCCTTCAAATCCCGGTTTTCCTCGGTAGATTGAAGACCCTGGCGGCCTGAGGGATGGTTTTTTTTTTTTTTTTTAATGTAAAAAATACACGAAGCAGGCTTGGCAAGTGTGGTCCTATGACAACTCGAAATAGAATTAGCTATAGCGGGCTCGTTAAAGCGCGAGCTGGGGAGAGGGAAGGGGGAAAAGTCAACTCGGTAGAATTACGGAGACGCGCAACGCGCAGCTCGTGTTCAAGTTTTTTTGCTCATCTTTGTTTATCTCTCAGTGATGGGTCCTCTGGTGGTAGACTTCATGTTTAACCAACTGAGTTAACCACGTAATAAATGGTACTTACCCCAAAGTAGAGATCCGACGACAGAGATTGCTGGACATGAGCGTAAACAAGAACCCTGAATTCTTTTGAGTTTTATATACCAATGTACATTCGATCCAATGTCCCGTTTATGAAAAAAAAAAGCTCCAGCAAGCAAGAGGCGGACTATGATAAATCAAACAGAGGTGAAAACGGGTCGCCTCCCATAGCGCAGAACAAGGTGGATTACCAGTGTGATGGTGAGAAGTTTCCGATGCCCTATGCTTTACTTCCCTCCTTTGGGACTAGGTGGGAAGATGTAATTCGAACAAACAAGTGCGCTTGCACTGTTGTCACACACAGATCGGGCCCTGAATGAACTTTGAAAAAAAAATCATGGCGAAAGACATTTTTTATTTTCGAAGATCCGCCCTGGGGACTGATGATGATGACGACGATGATCCCGACGGAGATGACAGCGATACGCCTATGTTTCTGATTTTTATCTTGCCCGGTATGTCATGTACTCTGTGCACTATAGCTCCTTAGTTCGTTTGCGCAGAATTATCGTGTTCATGTAAACACGTTGGTCGAACCGGGCAAGATAGAAAGTAGTCGGTCTCAAAGAGTCCCCTCTTATCAATTGCTATGCGCCATTTTTCAATCTGCGCCGCTTGATTACAAAACGAAAACGTGGACACCATAGGATGATCCTTGTGTACGTGGGTACCATTTTGTCAATATGCTTTTTTTTTTTTAATTATTATTATTAGCGGTGATCTCCCAAAGATACCTCGTGCGAGAGATTTGTCATATACCCCGATGAAACCACTGAAAATAAAATAAAATGAGCCTCGGTACCGTTGCTGTGTGGAACGATATCTCTAGCATTTGGAGGAGCGGGGGATCCCAGAAGCCGATCAGCCTCCATAACAATTTCATGCGCTTTCGAATGCCATTTTTTTTCTTGAGAACTTTATGGACGACAAAGAAAGAATGTAAGGATGGATAGACACTATCTGCAGTATGACATGGTCATGTATGTATCTTGGTGTATAAATGTCCTAGCCTGTTGGCCGTATCATGCTACAGCAGTTGGATACATAATTTGGAAAGGTCCCTACTACTTCTATCACTGAAAGCAATGATGACCATGAGACCTCGCCTCTGAAGTACTCTTCTATTTTTGAATCCAGGCCGGGACCCCTCGTCATCTATGCATTGAAATTACAGACCTCAAATTCAGGAAGCGATTTGCTGGTATGTGTCATTTTGTGCCATAGTTCAGGCACTCGCACGTTTCTCGACTTTTGTGTAAACTAGGTACCATCTCAAGGGATATAGTTTAAAGGCAAGAGAGGCCTTGCGCAGCTGAAGCCCGTTTGTATTCCGTCCAAACTTCATCGTTTGGGCGCTGGTGAAATAAACATGTCCACCGGGGCAAAAGTGGGCTAGAATCTTAAAGCTTCGCCCTCGCTTAAGAGAAACAACAACAGCTTGTCGTGGATCAACAAACTAAATACCTTATATGCATTAAGCGAGAAACAAGAGGCAAAGACACCAAATACGGTGTGCATTACCTACCGTCCTCCGAGCCGAGGGCTCTTCAGGAACACATAGCTTGCTAAAGGCAAATTCGAACGGAGGGATAGATCCTTCGACATTACTAATTGTACGCCTCATAGGGCTTTGTCGCAGGCGCCATAGTAGACTACTATTCCGCTCTTTTTAAACATCAATGTGGGCGCTGTTTTCTGGACATGTTACTTTTAAAGTTGTGCGACTTTGAAGAGTCGAGACTTGCGCCAAGTGCACCTACAGCCAAGACCGACAAACTAACAGTCGACCGTATTCTGCGGAACAAATTGACGGCGCGATTCACACACTGTCGAAGCATATAAGTAGACCAAAGTAGGCGGAGAGTCGATACGGTTTCACGAAATAAGGACATGAAGGCACATGCGATGTTTATTGCCCATAAGCTATTATTCATACGTCTGCATTGGTATGCACTCTCGCTACTTCTTTCCACGGTCTTTGTTTGTTTCCGGTTGTCATTGTTGAAGCATAGGCCGAATATATTGGATTTATGTATTTTGCGTGTATTACATGGACAACATTGCTCAGTTCTTCTCACAAGCTTCACGTTGCGCACAGTGAATAATGTTATGAAAGTCGAAGCACCTTTAAAGGTCAGGTCAGGTCAGGTTAGACCAGATCTTCTTTTTTTACGCTCAGCAGCAACAGAACTTCCTTATCTATCTTATTTCCCGGGAGGTTGAACGCGCGTAGCGATTGATCTGCCCTTGGCAATTGAACGTGGGTGTCAATTGAAACGCGCGTTGCAATTGACGTGGAGCTCAGCCCAGGCCCGGCCTAAGTGACGTGTCAAAAAAATAATCTTGTACCCCACATGTCTACTTTACGATTGTAGTGTGAGCAGAAAGCTCTATTTCACGACTTTTTTATTCTCAAATCATCTTTCTTCCCTCCTCCGCTTTCAGCACTTTCTCTCATTCACTCATCGTCACAGTTCATTTGGACACAATGTCATCGGCTGGAGGACTTTCACGGCGTCGCGGGGCTGGTGCATCCGACTCGGCCCACAACTCTTCAGCACCATCATCAGGACCGCAGTCAGGAGGCAGTCGTCGCTCCAGCACAGATGGCAAGATCGCCTCCGACCCAAGAGATCTGCAGATGGAGGACGAGAACAAAACGCAACCCAGACTGACGTTAATGGAGGAAGTTCTGCTCTTAGGACTTAAGGACAAGCAGGTACTTTTTCTCTTTTTATTCACCAACTCACTTTTACACACTGCAGTCGACATGAGAAGCACAACAGTTGCCTCTTTATCGACTCAGATTGGCCTAGCATAGCCATTAGTACCAGAACAGATTATTCTCCTATTCGACAGCTGAAGCAGGATCTCTTGCGACCAAGCAGCCACGATTTTCAGCAGACTGATGATACACAATGAGGACATAATGAGGGCGGAGCATTGGAGGACGCCTTGTTCTCTTTTTTATTCTCGATTCTCTTTATTATTCTCGATTCTCTTTATTTTTAGCATTTTGTATTTTGTACTCGGGTATTTTTAATTGCATTCCTCGGCGCACACGCATAAAAACGTTATCCTCCGCGGCTCAAGATCTGATCTTCCTGATCATGTCTCTGGTGCCTTGATGGCGCATTGGTTTTGTTTGACAGGAGCATGCCACTGCAGAAAAGAATGAAAAGAGGGGAGGGGGTAGTAGTAGTAGTAGTAGTAAGTGAGTCATGCTAACGCGAGCTATGTTCTCCTTACTCCTTATTTAGGGATACCTTTCATTCTGGAACGACAACATTTCTTATACGCTTCGAGGATGCATTTTGATGGAACTCGCCTTTCGCCATCGAATTGCTATGGTCAAGGACCCCAACAGGCGCAAATATCCTCTTGCAGACCGGTACATTGAAGTCGTGAGCGAAAAGTTGACGGGAGAAACCCTTCTCGATGAGGCCCTGAAAATGATTGGTTCAACGCAAGAGAGAATGAGTGTCGGCCAATGGATTGATCTCATGAGTGGTAAGAGCGATGTCTTGCCTTTATTAATCACATACTGCGGTCCGAACGGATCCCCTCCCCTCTCTCGCCGTCTCCCACCCCTCCAAAGCTAATGTAGATTTGTTATGCGTTCATCTCCCTTATTGTTATTAGGCGAGACGTGGAATGTGATGAAGATTGGATTTCAATTGAAGCAGGTCCGGGAGCGACTGGCAAAAGGACTTGTGGATAAGGGTGTTCTCCGGACAGAGAAGCGCAACTTCTTGATCTTTGATATGGCGACCCACCCAGTAACAGATTCTGCAGTCAAGGAGGAGGTCGTCAAACGAGCATGCACGGCTTTGATCAATCGCTCGACAGGATCATCACCGTCGTTGGCGGAGCAGAACTCGCCTGTCGTCTACCAGCAACTGAGGACGGTCGCGATGGTCTGTTCAGCCTATGCAGCGAATGTGCTCGAGAATGCGCTCGTGTATCTCAACCACGAGATGCGGGAGCGCGCATATACCAAGGTGGATGAGTTATTGAATGACTATAGCGTATATCCGTTCCAATCGAATGCGAGCAAGGGCGAGCTGGCAGGAAAGGAGCTGCAGATGGAGATCATTGCAGCTGTGCTGAACGTGTTCACGAAGATGGACAGCATTCTTTAACGACTTGACCAAGGCTTTATAATAAACTATTGATACATATGTGCCCCACTGTTTTTGCAGGGAAGAAAGAGAAGGGCGGAGGGGAAGTCTGGTACAACAATTGACACACCACAGAATCAAGGTTTTGCATACGGATTGCACGCTGTCCTCATGTTTTCATTATTGCACATTGTCGGGTGGACTGAGTTATTTGGTTTCAGTTCTCTCTGCCCTGGGCACAAGATTTGTCTCAAGGCACGAAAAAAATAGTTTATTTGTGTTTCCCGAATGACCTGTCATTTTTTTTCTTCTTCTTCCCACATCCTACTCTGCTTCCGCACATCCACCCTGCCTTCATCTGATTCCCGCCATCACGGCCATCACGGAAGGAAAAATAAACAAACAAACGGGACGCGACGCGATGCTACTCTCAGGGGGTTCCCGTTCCGGGCCCATCGATCCTCTGAGTAGGTCGCAATCAGCCAAAGCAGGAAATCTCGCGTCAAAGAAACACAAGGACAAGGAGAACGTCTCGTTTTCGACATCACACGAACCCAGCGCTCAGGACCAGGCCAAAGGTCATTCAAAATCCTCTACGGCAGGAAGCCATCGGTATCAATCCCTATCCAGTGTTCATAACGAGGAGAGAGGTAACCCCATTGGACTGACAGAAAGCTCCCCTTGTATGATGTAAGAGATGCAAAAGTAAAAAATAAGGGCTATGTAGCTAACAAAAAATCGTTCGGGCATGTCGGGTGTCTGTAGACGCGGAAACTTCAGTCAGTTCTTCATTAACGCCATCATCGCAAGCCCGTCCCAGGACACCCACGACCGCGCATGCCACCTCGCGCTCACATTTAAAGGATGTAACAAGAAGCGAGTCAGAGTCACCAGCTAGTGCACGGGACGGATCTTTTCGAGCGGTGTATCCATATCCGGACAACGAGGATGTGATCGTGTGGAAGTCTAAAGACCCAAAGACTGCCATGACAACAACCATATCCACACTCGACACTCGCGCTAATACGGATTCGAATTCTATCATGTCCCAGACTCGTCGAATCATGGACCAGAGGAGGAGGCAGCGTCAATTGGACATCCAGAGGGATCTGTCTGGTCATTCTGATCGGTCGTCGTTGCCACCTCCCCCCAAGACGCTGAACGATGAAGCAAAGCCGGGTGGAATCCGGAAATCATCCCAGAGAAACTCTAGCGCACATATATCCTTTCAGGACTCCACCTCGCCAACCATGTCACCGACGCATAGGGATCATGATTCATTATCGTCTACGACGGCCGCATCCAGGAGCAATCGTAGCAGGGATGGCACCGAAAGGGGGTCGTCCTCAAGGAGACAATTGCAACGCGTGTTGTCAGGACCCATCTTTATTTCCAACCCCCGAGGCATCGCACCAACGCCGTCTCCAGATGCCTCTTTAGAGCTGAAGCGCATTACTTCAGAAAAGGCGTCCTCCTCAAAGGCAGTCGTGACCAAGGATCAGCAACCGAAACAGATGCAGGAAAGGGTGAGGCGGTACGAAGCACAACTGGACCATCGGATCGAAACTATCCAGGCCAATAATCGGCGGCTCTTGGAATTGAAACTGCTTTTGGAGAACCGGGACAGAGCACTAGTCATCCATCAGGGTGGTGATGCATACGACAGTTACGACGATGACAGCGAAGAGGAATGGATGCTGGAGCAGGAGCAGCAACGAACAAGGGCACAACTGGAAGAGGCTAAGACTCTTTTGGAGCAGAGCGAACATCTACAGCAGGAACTCCGAGATGATTTGGAGCGAGAGCAGGCGACCAACAAGGAAATGAATACCCGGATACAGGAGCTGTCGGATCGACTGAAGGAGGCTCTTGAACTGGGGGACGCTCAGACTCTGGAATTGAAACAAGTGCGCCAGAAAGCTGTCAGAGATGTCGAACAGGTGCGTCAACAGGCGACTATGGATCTTGAGCAGGTAGAACGACGGCTCTCTGAGGGAAAAACAAAGCAGAATGAGTTGCAGTTGGCCTTGAAGAGTAAAGAGGAGAGACTGGAGGAGACTGCACGACAACGATCTACACATCAGGCCGAGACGCGGAAACTGAACACAGATGTGACGTCTCTCAACAACCGCATTCAGGAGCTAGAAGCCCAAATGCGGCTCCAGGAAGAGGAGGCGCAGCTGGCGCTTTCAAAGCAGGCTGAGCAAGTCAAAGAGTACAAAAGTCGGGCGCGCGAACTGGAAGAGGAACTCAAGCTGGAACAGGATCGTCAGGCGGAGGATCAGGAAGCGCGGACGCGGGTGCGGGCGAGAGTCAATGAGCTGGCCGAGTTTGTTGAGCAGAAGGAAGATGAATTGCAGGAACTTCGAAGCATGCTAGAGCAGCAGGATGATCTACTGGATAGTCGTCAGGTGGATCTGAATGATGCGCGTGCGATGGTGCAATCGCTCGAGGAACAGCTCCGTGATCTGCAGGCAGAAGCCCAGGAGACCCGCTTGCAGGAGCAGGAACAGCACAACAAGGAGACCAGGCAGCTCAAGAGTGACCTCCGCGAAGCCAAGGTCAAGTTGGCGGGCGAAAAGGAGTCGAATCGCCAATTGGAAAGCCGAATCCAAATCTTGCTTGAGTCCCATCAAGAATCAAGTCAAATCAATGAGTCCAAGGTCCAGCAGCTGGAGCAGGAGCTCAACAAGCGGACTCTGCAACTTTCTCAGTCCAGTTCCTCATCTTCATCTGCAACGACGACTATTCATCAACTTCAGGTACAGGTTCAGGACCAAGAACGTATCCTGCTGGAGAAGGAGGACAGGATTCAGGAACTCGAGCAGGAGCTGCAGCTGGCACAGCAGCAGGCCCAGAGCGTCATTGCAGATCTGGAGCAGGATTTGATGGAGCTGGAGGGTGATCGAACCAAGCTGGAGACGCTTTTACAGAAGGCACACCATCAAGCAGACGAGGAGCAGATGAAGGCCAAGGGCCTAGAGATTCAGATGGGTCAAAAGGATCAGGAGCTGGACCATGAGCTGAACCGCGTCCAAGAGCAGGGGCGACTGTTGCTGGAAAGGTTGCTGAACGACATTGAGACGACCCAGGTCTCTGAAGACCCTGACGACCAACAGAATAGTCGCTTCAATAACGACAGCGACAGGAGCATCGACCCCTCCGTCCATTATGTTTATTCTCGCCTTCAGGAAAAGATCCGCGAACTGAAGCAGGAATGTCTGTACCAGGATCGGGCACTGGCGGAGATGCGTCAACAGCTTGGTCAATGCGATGTCCATATCGAGGCCCAACAGGAGCAATTAGCGAGGATGGGGGATGAGCGCACGGCGCTTGAAGAACGAGTGAGTCATTTGAATGAAGACCTTGCGACTGCCGAGAACAACCAGCAGCAGCTCCGCAAGCAACTCCAGAGGAGGGACTCGCAGCTGAATAGCTCGCTAGCCAGACGCACGCGCGAGGAGCAATCATCTTTGTCATCATCGAGGCAGCGACGACAGTCGCATGATCAGGATGCGGAGTCTATCAAGGCATTGCAGTCAAAAGTCCGCTCACTCGAGGACCAGATCTCGACGCTGGAGCAGGAGAAGCAGCAGTTGCTCGACCAAGTGGCCTTAACGCGGGACCAGATCCAGACCATGGATGAAATGATTCAGGACCAGACAGAGGCCGCAAAGTCGATTCGGGCCAAGTATACAGACAAGATTGAGGCCCTGCAACGGGAGGTGGTGAAGCACCGCAAGATGGTGGTCAAGCAGGAGGGGCAACTGTTCTTGTATCTGTCCGTGATCGAGAAGCTGAAGCTGCAGCTCAGGGGAACTAAGGTCGAGTAATGCATCCCTCTCTCTCTCTCTTTTATTCTTTTTGTCTTTCCCGCAGGATGCAGGAGTGTCATGATACCCCCCCCCCCCCCCCTATTTGAGTGTAGTTTTATCATCCGCAGATGCATCTTAATATCTGCCGCCACTTCCTTTCTTATACTTGTATATTTATTTTCTTTACCATAATAAAGAAACTTCATTGAGAGCTGGGTATCACCTCAATGACGTGTCAATATCGAAGTGGCATGCTGAACAGTGTTACAGAGAGTCCTTCTGGCGGGCGTCTTGTTTATTCTTGGCCGTTAAAAAAGGAACAGCTGGGCCAATGGGGTTTGTGTTGATGGTACCAATGCATGTGGTCCTTGTGGCATCCTCCTCGCTCTTCTCCACACTTTTCGGTGTTCTCCCTCCCTCTTCCAATCAGTCTTCCACTCCAGCCGCTTCCTCATCCGTCGGCAGAAGAGATAACGGTGAGTTTATAAAGCTGGCGTAGGTGAAGAAAAGACAGATGCACTCTGACGGCGAAGAAAAAAAAAAAGCGCGTAAATGACCACCTACTGCAAGTCTTTTTCTTCCTACTGTTCCTGGAAAAAATGCATGTTTTTCGTTATCTGTAGCTTATATGCCGAGAGCAGCGCACGCCCGATTTTTTCTTTGTTATCCTTGGTTAGTTTGTGCGCACGATGACCTCTTGCGGCATTTACGGCGTGCCCTGAGCAGAAGATATGTATGATGTATCGATAGCTTGGGCGATTGGACCGGCCGCTAGCTCGATTGCTCAGGTGGTGGTGTATTCTGTTCCTTCCGACATAGATTGACAAGATGTAGATTATGAACAGAAGCAGTAAGTAGACAAAGTGAGAGGACGAGAGTACAAAAAGGGGCGCATGCCATGCATGCCATATTCTCCTCCCCCTGTTCCTTTGTCGTCCTCTCGCAGCAGCATGCAGCAGCAAACAACGTCAAGCAGCAGCAGCAGCAGCAGCAGCAGCAAACACTTTGTTGTTTGTCCACCGCCAACTCTTTTTTTTTTTTTTTTGTCCCGCGTGCAGCAGTGCACCACTCACTCCCACCGCATTTGAACCCCTTATTCGGCCTGCACCCTTCCCTCGTCTTTCTTAACCCCACCTTTTTTTTCCTTCTTTCTTTTGTCAGCTCCTCCTCCATTTCCCTCCCTCTTCATCAATCCCTCCTTGCCCTCGCTTCGCTCTTGGGAGAACAAAGTCGCTTTTCTACGAGCAATCGTATGTGAACCTGAATCATTTCTATGTGCTATTATTTCCTAATGAAAAAATGTATTGCCGCCGCGCAATGAAGAACTGCTTCCCAACGTTGACCAACCTAATTGCCATGTCATAGGTACCTCTCCAGCGCGCGCTTTTCATCCTCAATCACCTCGAGTGCCTTTTACGCCCCTCAGCGCACACTTCCTTTTCTTTCTTCTTTGCGCTCCTTTCCTTGGCGCCATACTGGTCGTTTCTCCACTCCCCTTCCACTCCCCTCCCCCCGTTCCAGCTCACCTCGTGCCTCGTCCGCACGACCACATTCTTTCGCGAAGCTGTCTCCCTTGAGCATCCCAGCCTTTGAACGCGCAAGAGAGAGATGGAGGAGGTCAAGTCGACCGACTCGGTGTTTTTGCTGCAACATCCACTCGCCAGCCCCAAGGACCCCCCCGTCGTCATCCCAACTCTCCCTCGTCATCGGCAGCAATCCCCCTCGGCTCAGATACCGCCAACTCTCACATCGTCCTATTCCCTCTCCCCGCCAGGGTCGCCCATATTCGGACCAAAGTCCTCTCGCCACCACCAAAGCCATCGCCATCACAGCCCCTCCACAGCTACAATATCGACCACAGGAGCAGCGGGTATATCCTCCAAAGCCTTGCAATCCCATCCAGCTCAGCTCTCCCTCGCCCGTGATTTGACAACGCGACTCTGGCAGCGCGAGGCTGAGCTACACACGATGAAAGAACTCTATGACGCAAAGATTCGACGGCTCACAGAGATGCTCCAGGATGCCGGTATCTCGCCAACAGAGGTGGAGAATACTCTGGCAGGGGTGACCGAGGGAACGGATGAGAGACAGCCCCTGTTTGAGCGCCTTTCGGTCACGAGCCACCATCTCCGCGGGGGTGAAGCCAGAGCTGTTAACCTTGAGCTGCAGAGTGAGCGAGGAGAGGACGATAGTCCCGTGAGTGACCTCTATGACGAGGACTGCAGTAGTATCATCCTAGACGAGGAAGACCGTGAGAGATATGAAGAGGAGGATGATCTCGGAGGCAACCCTAGCGAGTCCATGTCCAGCTCTGGGTTACTTTCGCTTATCTCCAGTGGCACGAGCCAATTGACAAGGCCTGACGACCTCTCCTCGCGGACCTCTCCAGACACCACTTGTGCTTCGGATGCAGATAAAATCTTCTGCTTGGATTCAGAGGCATCAACAACGCCCAAGCGTCGCCTGCCGATTTCGAGAACCACTCGACCGTTCTCGCCAGCGCCAAGTGACGTCTCATGCCCTGTTAACATTCAGCCCAAGATAGAGACCTCACTCGCTATCGATCCATCCAACTTGAACGAGGTCAAAGCACAGCAGACACATGCTCAAAGAAAAGACCAAGCGCAAGGGCAGGAGCATGAGCATGGCGACGCAAATCATGGGAGTCAAAGCCCAATCCCGTCCTTTATCGCCAGCACTTTGGGCATGCGAACCCTGCGTGAGAAGTGGGCTCTGGCCTCTGGTATCTTGCCCTGGAATAGGTCAAAGTCAGAGCAGTGTACAAACAACAGCAGTAGCATTGTCACCAGCCCCAGCGGACTTTTCATCAGGAGAGACGGCATCATGAACGACAAGAAGCCTGCGCTCGTGGAAGCCAGCTTTCCATCGCCATTGCAGGACGATTTGCCACCCTTGCCAGACAAGAGAGAGAAAAGGGGCAGGGAATGGGATATCTGGGCCAGCATTATATCGCCAACGATGCGGAGGTACCCCAAAGGGAACCATACACAGGCACGACCCATGTCCGACATCGGTTTCTTGGGCAATCATCCAAAATATGCAGCAATGACTATGGCCAGGGATATTCCACGACCACCTATCACACGGATTCATGAGTACCTGCAGCGACCGGATTCATACAACCCCGTGCCATTGCATTTCAGAGCCATCGCCATGGCCGCCACCTTGGTCGACACCGGAGCCATTACGCCAGCAAAACTGTACGCCAGACGCACGCAGACCATGATTGCAAAATGGACGCTTGGTCTGATCATGAACAGCAAACCTTCGAAGCCACACCAGAGTTCGTTTCCCGTCATTCGCGAATCGCAGGACATACTGGGTCACCGGCGCTCGGGCAGCAACGACAGCGACATGGATCATCATCACTATCATCGAGAGAACCCTGCTGGAATGGAGATGGTCTCGAGCAACGATCGTCGTTCAGGAGCACTCAGTCCGACAGAGTTACCAAGGGCCCTGTCTTACAAAAATCAGTCATCAGCAGCAAGCCTTGCTAGCTCTTCGTTCCCTCATTCGTCGTCACTGAACTTCTATCAATCCCAACATCTCATCGCGACTCAGAGTGTGGTCGAACTCTCGGATATAGGTTCACCACCACTTTCCATGCCTCCGTCGTTTTCATACTTGGGCGATGCTGCTGGGAAACCACTGACGGACAGATATGGGTTCCTGGTGAATGCGAGACCCTTGGCGGTGCAACAGGGACTGATGAAGCTGAATGAGGTGCATGCATACGACGATCTGGATACGCCGAGTTTGAACCGCACCACGTTCGAGTTTCTACAGACGCCCACGGAGGACTCTGAACGTGATTCGCCACCACCACCAGCATCGCAAACCTCTTCGTTCTATTTTGGTCATGGACACGTCGCAGGAATGGGAGGGTTCGCGGCCGGGAATGGAACGATATCCACGGCTTCTCCCCCAGCCAGCTTTACCACACCAATCCTTTCGACCTCGACACGGCCCACATCGACGCTATCCCCACCGACCTTGTCGACTGCCACGGTGACGACGCTGCTCTCGCAGATCAAGGTCCTTCATGACTCTGTGCAGATGACACAGAAGGAGAAATGGGACGCCTTTTTGCGCAAGCGCAGGAGGCGTGTTCATTTGGGCGAGACCAACGGAGGAGCCCTTGCGAATATGTCGAGCACCAATCTGAGTACGCCATTGTTTGGGAATTTGATGCAATCGTTGGAGGAGCAGGAGCAGGATGACGAGGATACTATGTATTGGACAAGCGTTTGCCTGATCGGGATCGCGACCATTGGCAAGGGTTCGGATTGGGAGGAATTCCGCGACCTGGTTCGTGGAGGTATCCCTATCACATACCGGTATGCTCAGCAGGAGTTCGATCGCGCTGCTTATTGTTTCTATGGATAGTTTCCTTCTTTTTTTTTGGTTGCGCGGAGCAGCTCACGTTTGTTTCTCTGCTGTGTATGTGCTGTTGATGATATAGAAACAAGATCTGGCAAGAAGTCTCGGGAGCACTGGACATGCGACAACCTGGATATTACAAGGAGCTGCTGTCGAGGAAAGATCCTGAGGCATGCCAGTGTTGGGGAGACATCGAGCTGGTAATAGTCATGCACACATGCATAGCACACATGGATGTTGTCCGTACTTTATACGGATCGACTAAACCACTACCGTAAATTGTCAAATAGGATCTGCATCGCACCTTTCCAACGAATGTTTTGTTTGGTCCGGGCGGCCATGGTATCGAGAAACTGAAGAACATTCTCCTCGCCTACAGTCTGTAAGTCCAAATTTTGCGTGACAATCACCTCCATGAACAAGACGGGGGCTCCTATTCTGATTTGCATGTTATTTCTCCGCCGATTAGCCATAATCCAACCGTAGGCTACTGTCAGGGCATGAACCTCCTTGCGGGCACCCTTCTCCTGACCAACAACGCCGAGGAAGAAGCATTCTGGCTCCTGACCTCCATGCTCGGTCGCCACCTGCCCGAAGATTACTTTACGCAACAACTCCTCTCCCCTCAAGCGGACCAAAGAGTGCTTAGAGAACTCGTCCAGGAGATCATGCCGCGGCTCTACGCACACTTTGAAGAGATGCATGTGGACGTCACCGCCGTAACCTTCAGCTGGTTCCTGACCCTATTCACGGACTGTCTCCCTGTGGAAACGCTACTCCGGGTCTGGGATATCTTCTTTGTCGAGGGCATGATCATCGTGTTCAAGGTCGCGCTCGCGATCCTGTGGATGAACGAGAAGGAGATTATGAAGTGTCGGAACGGTGCGGCGGTGTACTGCTACATGAAACAGATGACCCTCAGCATGCACCAGCCCGACAAGTTGATCAAAGTCGCCTTCACTACATTGAAATCCTATATCCAGCCAGAGAAGATCGAAGCCAAGCGACAGCGGCACCAGAAAAGCGTCAGACAGGAGCTGATTCAGGAGCAGCAGCTCATCAAGGCGAGAACCTTTGTGTGCGCGTCTCCACCTACCGACAAGAAGAAAACGCTCCAGAACTGAGGGAGCCACACTCCACCAAACACAGCTCCACTCACCCATCTTAATCTATCTATGTAAATAATTTCGCTCTTTTTTTTTCTTCTGTTCTTTGTATTATAGTCCAATTGCTACCATATCCTTCCTTGATCACAAAATAAATGACTCTCGGTTGTATTATCGTTCATGTTCGTATACATGAATCAGGAAATGAAACGAGCCATCTCAGTTCGCTTTATATATAGTGTTGCAATTTGGAGCTGATACTGAGAGTCTAAATGGGTGTTGTCTTAATGGGAGAGCTGCTTCTCGATGACCTCGATCACAAGGGCCTCCTCAGCTCTTGGGATCTTAGTGACTCTGCGCTCGGCGGTCATCAGTCCGTCAAACTCCTTGGGCAAAACCTTCTTGAAGAATTCCTCAAACAGAACGCCCTCCTGATCCTTTAATGCCATCTGTACCGCCTCCGAGAACTTGGCGGGGTGAGCGGTCGAGAGCGCAATGACGATGTTCTGAGAGTTGGTCTTGGGAACAATGGTTTGTGCGGCAGTGACACCGACGGCGGTGTGAGGATCCATCACGTATTGTGCCAGTGAGGCGTCCTGAGGGAAGCTGTATTCGCGGATCGTAGCGAGGGTCTATTTCCAAAAAAAAAGAGGGATATATTAGTATCGATGCATTGCTTCGCCCAAATTCTGGGTTTAGGTATTCTGTGTGTTGTCCAAGTGAATTATCCTTACCTCCTTATCAGAAACGTGTCCAGCATCAAAGATGCGCTTGGCCTCTGCCAGGACCTGGGCACCAGTATCGAAACGTCCCTTCTGCTTCAGATCGACCATCCAGCCGTTGACGATCTCTCCAGCCTTGACATCCTTCTCCGACTCTGGTACGCTGGCGTCGACAGCAGCATCGCGGGCCAAGTAGAAGAGCAGGCGCTCAAAATTGGAGCTCACAACAATATCCATGGCCGGGCTGAGGGTCTCGAGCACACCGCCATCATCACCGACAATCTTTTCGCAGACGCCCGAGCAGAAGAATCTGTATAGGATATCGTTTGCGTTCGTCGCGACCAACAACTTGGATGTGGGGAGACCCATCTGATGAGCGTAGTAGCCAGCGAGAATGTCACCAAAGTTGCCGGTGGGAACCGAGTAGGTGATATGGATGTTCTTGGCCTCATCTGATCCGGGTGTGATGTTGAGTGTGCGGAGGAGGGAGAAGTACGAGTAGAAGTAGTAGACGGTCTGGGCGAGGATACGAGCCCAGTTGATGGAATTGACGGCACCGAGGTTGTATTTGCTCATGAAGTCCTTGTTGGCGAACAGACCCTTGACGATATCCTGGCAGTCGTCAAAGGTGCCCTTGACGGAGATGTTGTGGACATTGCTGTCGAGGACCGTCGTCATCTGAGCCTCCTGGATAGGGCTAACCCTGCCCGTGGGGAAGAGGATGAAAACGTCGAGATCCTGCTTGTTACGGAGACCATAGATAGCCGCACTGCAGACGTGAATCGATAGTATTGGAATGGAATGTAAACATATAAAGTTATTAGTCACAGCGCACTTTGTATTAGTTGCACAAAATAGCATGGATCGATCCAACGATTTCTTTTAAAATTGCCTATCAAATTAAAACGTTCGGCACCAAGAAAGAGTCATAAGATAAAAAAAAAGTCTCCGTACCTGCCAGTGTCGCCGCTCGTAGCGCCGACAACGGTGATCTTGTGTCTGTCCGCATCGTTCTCGATGCCAGCATTCTTGCGCTTCAAAAAGTACTCGAAGAGGTTACCGACAAACTGAAGAGCAACGTCTTTGAAGGCGAAGGTCGGGCCATGGAACAGCTCGAGGATGTAGAGACCGTCCTTGACCTGGTGCAGCGGGGTGATATTCTTGTGGCGGAAGGTCGAGTAGGATCTGTCGATAAGCTCCTTCAGATCGTGCCTTGGAATCTCGGCCTCGTCAATGTAAAGGGAGAGAACCTCGAGGGCCAACTCCTGGAAGGACAGCGATGCCCACTTTGTCAAAAAGTCAGAGGGTGCCTGAGGGATCGACTCGGGGATAAAGAGACCACCGTCGGGGGAGAGACCGGCGAGGACAGCTTGCTCAAAGGTGTAGTTTGTGGCCTTGCCACGGGTGGATTTGTACTGCATGGCTAACAATGGCTGTGTGGGTGGAGGAGGAGTTGAGGGTCGAGGGTCGAGGGTATGAAGAGGGAAGCAGAGCAGAAGAGCGAAAGTGAAGAGCTTGACTCAGACCAGTCAAAAGAGGGCCCAAGATAAAGATCCGCTGGGACCAGTAATACTTGAGTGTCACATGACATGTAGACACGGCTATCGCCCTTGCAGAGCACCCAACCTTGGTCTTGCTTTGTGGCATCAGCACCTCGATCGACTTCATTCACTTCCACGCTCAACACACACAACCGTTACAAGATATGGAGCCATCACAGGACTTTACTAGTTTCTTGCTCGGCAGACCCGTTATCGTCAAGCTCAATTCAGGAGTCGATTATAGAGGTACACACCATGTCTTGACTTGGCATCGTGATGTGCCATGGGCTTTTACATAACGACCATTGATTTGCGAGTTGAACAAGCTCTTGTAGCTAGGCTGCGTACCCGAGACTCAGTGCTGGTGGTATCAATGTCTCCATATCAACTCACAATGTTCTGCCATCGATCGCGTTCCATTAGGAATTCTTGCCTGCTTGGACGGATATATGAACATTGCACTGGAGCAAACGGAGGAATACGTCAACGGCCAATTGAAGAACAAGTACGGCGACACGTTCATTCGCGGAAACAATGGCAAGTTTTTGACAGCACGAAATCTGACCATCTCTTGCTCAATTGGATTCTGATATCAAGGACTTGTATCCTTGAGTGCAACCTCATCTTACACGTCGTACGCCTTTCTCTTTTTTTCATGTCATTTAGTTTTGTATATCTCGACTGCAAAGGGAACATAGAATGGCGAATGATGGGTCATCTCAAAGGACAAGACGTCAATCAGATTGAAGACAACAGACTAAGCCCGTTACCCCAACAATCAACACGTTGTACACTTGCAATAAACACCTGTAGAAAACACCACTGTTTCCATGCACTGGATGATCAATTGATAAGGGCGGGAGACAACAGAAACCATCTCAATTTGTTGTTGAAGAATCTGCGCAGGAGAGAACTAAGGACTGGTGCAGGCTGGGACAGGCTGGGACTGAATATACTGAAAACGCGATGGAAAACACCTTGTCGACTTTCCCAGTTTTCATGTGCAAAGAGAAAATGTGAATGGACTTTTATTATATGTGTGAGCTGTAATATACAAATGCGCGTGGATTTATGAGATATGTAGATGAGATGCAATGTCGAAAAACGCACCAGGCGATTTCTGCTTCAGACAAAGGACCACTCGAGATTGAGTACACCCTTGGACATGGGGGCTAACTTTTTGAACGCGCCTTGGGACAGATCCAGCTGACCATGGCTGCAGTAACGATGAGGACATGTATCGACGACCTTGACAACGACGCTCTTGGACGAACCCTTGGTCTTGACACGGATCTTTTGTCCGCACTTGGAACCCTTACCCCGCATCCGACCCATCTGTGCCTCGTTAAGTGCAACGATCATGTCCTTCTGAGAGAATTTCTTTCCGCAAGAGCCCGTGGTGTCGCTGAACCAAGTGCCGCGGCCACGGAAGGTCTTGCTAGTGCTCTTCTTGCTAGTGCTCTTCTTGCTAGTGCTCTTCTTGCTAGTGCTCTTCTTGCTAGTGCTCTTGCTGCTGAGGGTCTGGTACTTGTTCACCGTGGTCACAATCGCAGGCTTCTCGGCGACAGGCACTTCAATCAGCTCCCAGTCGATGGCAACGAGACCCGAGTCGGCAAACTGCTCGATAGCTGACTTGGTGAAATCAAGAGAAGTGTCATCGCACTCGAGGCAAATATCGACGACCTTGAACGTGTAGTGCTTAGAGGGCTCCTCCTTGAGGTTGACTTTGACGTGCTTGCCGCAGACATCGGTTCCGTCCTCGACACTGCCGAACATAGCAGCACTGACCGCAGCAACGGGCTCATCGATTGAGTACTCGATCTCAGGGCATGCGTGGCGCTGGTCGTCGTAATAGGTGGCATAGCCAGAATAGGTTGTGTTCAGCTGCACTACTACACTGGTGGAGTTAGCGGGCATAGAGTCATAAGGGGCTGCGACGGCGCCCAGGAGAGATGTGGCCAGGATGGCGAAGGAAGCGATAGGAGTCATGGCAGTGAGATTGAGTATGGGTGAAGTTGAAGGAACAGCTGCAACTAGTGGTCAGGTAGTGGTGCGAACATAGGGACGCTTTTATAATCAACTTCATCCCAGCAGCAGTTCTATAGCTAATAGTACCCTGATCATCTGTATTACTCAAGGCAATACTATCCTAGGCTTGAGGAACTTACAGAATGAAGTCAATACGAATAAGGTATATTACAAACCAGGGGCATGGACCTGAGCCTGGACTAGACTGACAGCGGTGTTTCCTTGGGGCGGTGTAGAGGCCGTTGATACCCAGATACACTGTGTTAAGTCACTCATATCGTTTACCAAGGGTATACGGAAGGAAGATCTGCTAGTCTCTAGGCTGGTTTATCTCCTGCTGCGAGACAACAAACAAGGCGCTATGAACCATCGACGCGAGACGATGACTTTGATGCAGGTCACCATCAGACCATCTTCTTCCCTGTAGTCTAAGGCTGATTCTGAAAATCATCATTAGTGATCATTTTCTTCCTCCGATCCGATTTGACTTTCAGGCACCCAGCCCTAGGCTGATTACTCTGGAACAGACAGATATTTCCCCGTGAGACCAATAGCGAATCTCCTCTGTCCGTTCCATTTCGCGGGCATTCTTCAAAGAAAGAAGAAAAAAGTCATCGCGTGTTTGCAATGCAATGATGACAAAGCCGGAGAGAGTGGGTCAGGAGCTCCGTTGACAGCTCATTATCAACACCGGGGCGTATTATGAACTGCGATTATTGCACGTATACTTCGAAGGCGGAAGAAGCAGAGATGACCCAGGCAAATCACGAAATGCAGGGACCGCTAGGCTTCGCGTCATGGATCAAGAGGGAGGGCGGGTTGCACAGCCTTTTCCTAGTAAAAATAGAGCTAAGGACACAGACCCGTCCTACGCGTGTGTTTCCCGTAATCCATGAGAAGTGGCCCAGTCTTCTGAGCGCGTTGCCGATTTGTTTATGTTGACCTATGATGCGACAGCTCTTGCTACCCCTGAATGTTGCTATGCTACGCGCATATGTCAAGAAAGCCTTTGCATGAATATTGGCCATGGTATGGTACACTCTCTCCCGCATTGCCGATTGATGCACGTGTGCTATTGCAATTTTAGTTGGCGAGGGTGATTCCATCACTCCATTCCTTCATTCCTTCCGGCTGGTGGTTGTCCCATTCCCTTCTTTCTCGCCATTCCTTTTCGATTTTCTCCTTTGTCTCTTGCTTTCTCTCATATACCCCTCTGGCTTTTTATTTTCTCACGGTGTTCGATTGCTATTTAAATGGGCTCTACCATCAGCTACCAACCGGCTTCGCCAGACCATGAACACTACCGAACCGTAAGCTGCAAAGGTACAAACATACGAAGGTTCTCCTCTCCGTGGAAACGCTCAATTGACAGGTATTTCATTACATGAATTTGTAGATGGCACGAAAGAGTGCTATGATGCGTCATGAATGCAGCCAGCAATCACAAGTAGCCTACTTATCAGGCAACGGCGCCAGGGCAAAAGGTATGGACAGCAGCCTAAAAAACATATCCCGTCATACATGCCTATACTCTGTCCCTGGCCTCCGTTGCTCATGAACACTACCAATTCTGTAGAGCTCTCCTTGAAATCCAAGGAACATGGACTCGAAATGGACCGCTACAATAATATGGCTAGAGACATCGTCTTCAGAGGTACAGGCACATAAAATTGGTGTAATTTTTGTTTCCGCAACGAGGCAGGTGCCCTAAACACCTCCACTTCACTTTTAGTCAATAATTCTTCCCGGCCATCGAACGAGCTGGACCTGCATGGTCTTAAGGTCCGAGAGGCATTGGACATCACCCGCGAGCGTCTGAACAGGTTCATCAAGAACAAGGAGCCGAACCTAATCATCATTGTCGGCCGAGGCAAGAATTCTCTGAACGGTGTCGCGAAAATCAAGCCAGCGGTCATCGAGCTTGTGACCCAGTTTCGCATCAAGGCTACGCCCAACAAACCTAACCAAGGGTGTGTTTATATCGAACCCCTGCCTGGCAACGAGGGATACGACTTTTCCTGGATCGATGGATTCTTCAAGGGATTTCTCCAGAAACTGTCCGCGCTTTTTTTCGGTTCATCGAAATGAGAACTGCCGTGCCTCTTTCAGTCCTCCTCATCATGCGGTTGTGAAATTGAGCAGAGTGGCAATGCTATGCTTGTATATTATGTTTTTAGATACCCGCCTCTGCTTGGTATCGTTGTAAAAAGAATCTGCATTGGAGTAAATAAATGAAGGGCCTTCGATCGTCCTATTTATGTGTTACAGAAGCAACTGCGTTTTTTTTTTTGCCAAGGCGAAGCTGCTTGTCGCTTGAGAGCGATCCCTAAATATTGCTTCGGTTGGCGCACAGCCCAGTGGGACCCTCTTCCCCCCAACATTGTCGTGTCACAATTTGTAGCTGGGCCTGTCTTCGCAATCGATTCATCACTCGCCCATTCTAATCCACAACCCCTCTCATCCACATCCAACCCTACGGTGATCGTTCAGGGAAGAAGCACCAACAAACAAGGGACCCAGCTGGAAATGTCCACTGCACCAGGGCTCGCCCATTCTGTGCCTCCCCTCCAGACTGGCTCTAAGTGCTGTTCGCGATGCGGAAAGGACTTTCACCTCTTTCGCCAAAAAAAGCACTGCTACAACTGCGGTACGTATCCAGAACGAGTGACTAGCAGCTCCTTGCCAACTAAGGACGATCTGTCATCCATATTATTCATTATTCTTACAACGTCATACTTTTCGTCCTCCAGGATCTCTTGTCTGCGAGAGCTGCAGCAACTACAGGGCGAGGCTGCCCCAGTTCGGCTACGTTGAGTAAGAGCAATGAATCGGCCACAGCCCAGACGACGCGATCGAATGAGGAGCCAGTTCTAACATATCACTGAAAAAAAAACTCATAGAGAGGTTCGCTGTTGTGCTTACTGCGCGCACTTTTTGCAAGGTATGAAAGAATCTTTTTTATTTCCATGTCTAAAATGATTCTGTGAGCTCTGGCCTCGATGTAACAATATGTCCCAATTCTGCTTACCAATAGTGTCAAAGATGGATTACGCAGCGCTATCGAAACTGAATATCAAGACGCTGCGAGGATATCTTCTATCTTACAATATACCAACTCAGGGCATGCTGGAGAAACAGGGTCAGTACTATTGTCAGGGACATCGACATTGCTCTGCCGGTGAGCCTTCCATCTAACCATTACCTATCGCTCTAGACCTGGTTCGAGCTATTCAGAGCCACAAGCCCATTCCGGAGGCATCGGAGGTGTACTTTCGACGACATCTCCCGCCCACTCCAGACAAGTCGTCTTCGTTTTTCGAAGAACTAACAGGCATTGGCCGATCTGATTCGCCTTCGGGATCTTCGCAGGGATCGTCGTCGTCCAACTCTGGGGAAGGCTGGTCATGGGATGTCGACAAATTCTTTTCGAAACTCTTTGGCGGGGACGATCGACAGTCCAATTCATCAGGTCGGACAAGGCAGAGCCGTTCCCACTCGCAACCGCACCCACCTCAGCAAACACAGCCTCAGCCCTACACTCAGCCCCAACAACAGCGTCAGTCTCGACCCGCCCCAGCGGATTACAGACCACAGCCCCAGGTACCTCGACCAGCAAATGCAGGAGCAACACACCCCAATGTATCCTATCAACATCCAGGATTCTCATACAGGACACCTGCATACGATCCGCCTCCAATTCGAACGTCTATACAGAGACCAAGCAGTCATCCGCAGACTTTCAATACGTCATGGACACCTCAACCTTCCCGACCCACAGTGGCGACCAGCGTTCCACGAACTACCTCAGCCTCTCGGCCTCCACCTTCACCAGCACAAAGCATGCCAAGAACTGTACCAACACCAAGGCCCTCAGCAGCAACCAGCGCACCACGGGCTCCATCAACCCCTAGGACTACACCAGTTGCCAGTAGTGCACCATCAAGCTCCCAACGTCAGACACCTCTATCACCAACCTTGACGCTTGAGCAGCTAATGTCATCTCAGACCAATCCCTCGACACTTTCAATCAAGACCATCAAAACGATTCTGGACGACAGTTTTGTGACATATGTGGGCGTTGTTGAGAAACGGGATCTTGTAGAGAGGTTGCAAAAGCTAATTGATAACACCAGGGCAGAGCAGGAGATGGTACAGGAACAGGAGGCGGCAGCCGAGTCCAAAAAGGTTTCAGAGTCTTCCAAAGGACCGTCAGGCGGCGGCTCGAGTGAGGATGACAATTTGTGCAAGATCTGCTGCGACGCAGCACTCAACTGCGTGATGCTCAATTGCAACCATATGTCGACATGCATGGATTGGTATGTTTGTCTCATTTGGAGCGTGCTGTTGGCTAGTATAATCAATATCAGACACTGCTTGCTAACATGAGCTTCGTTTCTGTGTATACATGGTCCTTCATAGTGGAAAGCTGATCATGGAGGGCTCAAGGATGTGTCCGATATGTCGCGAATACGTTGTGCGCTTGCTTCATGTATTTCGGGCATAGAATAGGAACTAAAAAAAACGAATAAAAAGCTGAGCGAAATCCGCACATCTGCGCACCTATTACGTTACCGAAGTGGCTTCTAAGCGTCGCATACGACATGGGAAATCATCAGGGGGAGTGTGGGGGCAGCACACAAAAAAAACTAGTCTGGCTACTATTCCTCGCGGGGTCGGCGCGTCCTCTGGAGGATCGCCATGATCTGTTCCTCCTCCTCCGAAGCCTTTCTCTTGGATGCCTTTTGGGTGCTGTCTTGGACGCTATCGAGAGTGCAGTTGTCGATGTTGCTACTGCTACTGCTGGTTCCCTCAAAAGCTTGGTGGTCCTTTTCCTCAGCGCCCCCGGTGGTCTCCGTCTTCATCCACGGATAATTTCCCTCCTCGTCTACCGGCTGCAGGTACAAAGGCCGCTGTTGGTGGAGCAGATGTCCTTGGACGGCATTCACCATGTTGTGGGCCGCCATCTCATCCCTGTGGAATGGAGTTCCACAGTCCTCGCAGAAGAGCCTTCGGATAGACACCTGGGAAACAAATGTGTGACAACGGGGGCATTTCTTGGAGCTGTAATATTAACACCAAGAACGATGTAACTAAGCGACCTGGCCTAAAGAGCGATGGCGGTGAAATGTGTGAAAGTCAATAAATGAACTATCTGTCGTAGGGACAAGAAATCGCCAGAGGAGTGAAACACTTACCAGGGGCACAAAGAATGCCAGAAAGGAGTCGTGGAGTGATGTGAGGCGCGAGCAACTGCTGAATTGACCAAGTCCAATGCCAATCACCACCATGTTCTTTTCGTCTCTTTTGGCGCCTATCGATCCCCCCACCGACCTCAGCAAACTGTTTGCGATTACCAGGTACTCCTCCTCCCGTGCACGTTGGGCATCCCATTCGTGGCTCTGGTAGAGCCTGTTCGAGCCATTGTAAAAACTGCTCAAGCGCTGCTCGACCATCTCGAGCTGCTGAACGTACTGCCCAACGCTTGCATCTGGCCCGCGGAGCGGTGGGAGGTCTGACTCAATCTCTTGGATCGATTGAGTTGCACCTTCCGGTACCACCCGTTTTTGCTCCTCTGTCCATCTTCGGAACTTGAATGTGGGTTGGTACACGGCCTTCTGGTTAACAGATATGTTGTAGTATGTCTCTGGATAGGGCGGATCCATCAAAGAGGTAGTAGAGTTCGTCCCAGGGGCGGCTGTGGAGATCAAAGAGGCAGGAGTGGCCCTGTGGGTAGTAGCGGTTGGGAAAGCAGAGGTCGCCACGACACGCCCCTTTCCTTTTTTGTCGTTGATCGGACGGTCTGTATCTGGTAGGAAGGCGCTTCCAGCTACAACATAGGCTTGACCAATATCCAGACACAAAATCTTGATTTTTTCTGGAGGGCAATGCGGCCAGAGTCGAGTGACATCGTCCTTGGTCTTTACGACATTCCGGATCTCCTGCAAGTAATAGTCGGTACCTCCAACCGTTGACGTCAGGCGAGGGGGCAAAATGGCATCTGCCAGCCTCCGATATCGAACCGCTTGCAACTCCTTCAACTTGTAGGCAGACAGCTGAAGCCTGAAGCCATTGGTGCGGAAAGATCCTGTCAGAACATATCCCTTGAGGCTGTAATTTCGAGGGTCAAAGTTGGGGTCACGGATGGCAGACAAATGGTTCCTCGCATCCAGAAGGGACATGTTGGTGATTGCGCCTCGGTATCCCAGCTTCCCTCGTTGCCGAACAGTGAGACCAGTAGGAGCGACATCTACAATAAGGCTCTTGATTAGGAACCCTGGCTCTTGATCTGGTAACCATATGGTTTTCACGTCATCCTCCGAGGAGCAGCTGGAAAATGTGACCCTTGCCAACTCCAGAATCCGAGTTTTAAGGAGCGGTCGTTTCCAGCATAAAGTGACGAGCTCTCGCTCCGAGAACGAGACAAAACCATCCTTTGCCGAAGATAGTGGGGCAATCTTCCGCCTGTTGCCGCTCGTCATGTTGAATGCCAGAAAGCTCTCCACGGCTGTCAACTTGTTATGGATCTCCAAGTCGTATCCAACTACTTCCGGTCTGCCTTTTTTTTTGCCAACCCTTGAGCTATTGTTGATAAAGCGACCATCTTGTATTAGAAAAATTCCTAATGTCATGCTACAGAATTCATTCAAAAAATACACTTGTTACCTGCTCTTGTAGTTCAATCGCTCCATTGCGATAAATACGTTTGAGCTCAGCACCCAGCTGAGTAGACACACTCCGTACTAGCTCCGAAGGTGAGAAAGGTGTACTCTGGCGTATAGTACTTGTTAGCCTTAGGGGAGTGTACAAGTTCAGCTCCCGTAATCGTCCAATGAAGCCAGTAACAAGTTTGCCAACGCCTCGATTCGTGGGAGGATTGCCCGAATAAAGGTGTCGTAGAAAGGCATAAAGGAACTGACTACTGGAACTGCCAGGTTCGCCATCGATGTCGTCGTCAGTGTGATTCTCACAGGGGTTTTTAGGGGTTTTTAGGGTTTTTTTAGGGTTTTTTAGTAAGCAGCATTTGCGATTACAAGAAGGCATACTTCCTCCAGCATCACCCTTCCCGTCTTCGTCCCCCTTCGCCTCTAGTCCAACACATATTCATGTACATATTCCGTTCAGTTTGATAGTCTATTCTGTAGACAACAATAAAATTCTATCTTTTCTTCTCCTTTCATGTCAAGTTCTTGACAACTATCACATGAGGTCGATGTTACATAGTCTTAAGGCAGACGCGAACAAGATTGCCATTTCAACCTTTAAAACGCCGATATCAGCCATCATGCATTGCCATTAACAGAGATCTATAAATTAGAGCCGTGTCTATTATGGTGCTTTCTCTTCCCGTTCCCTCTGCACTGTCAACCATGCTGCCCATTGTTCTGAGAATAAAGGACATCCTTCATTTTGCCCCTCCCGACGTCAACCCCCTGGATCCCATCACACCTTTTGCCATTCCACCTCAATCAGTCAATCCCCTGATTCTTACCTTCACTTGCCAAGAGTTTCGCGCTTTTTGGGCGCAGGAGAGGCGAGCATATGATTGGCAGTACCGAACTGCCGCCCACTCTAAATTTTACAGGCAGGACCATGAAACCCTCTTGCCCAACAGGTCCTCCCACCTTGCCACACATGCGAGTCGCCCTGGCAGAAAGCCTGAGTTTGACTGGAGCCTGCAGTACATATGCCGCCGTTGGCATAAACCAAAAGAAATCAAGAACGGAATCATTTCTGTTGGAGCAGATTGCAAGGCATCCCTCACTGTGCGGAAAATCATTGGAAAAGACGAGATTCAAGTCGAATATCATTGGGAGCATAATCGTGACACGTCTGCCACAGCACGAGCGAAATTGCCTTGCGGACAAAATGACCGAGAATGGCTCCAACAGCAGGTTGATCAAGGCCATGATTGGAAGTCGATCCAGAAGAAGTTACGTCCTGATCAAGAGTTGGTGCAAGACGTGAGTCTTCTATGTGCATGTTGTGTATGTTATTCGCCAAGATATGCCATAATCGATGCTAATTGCTCTTTTTAAATTTACTGAAGCAGATGCAAAGCGGCAATGTTATACCCCCACCTGCTCTAGCCATCAGCCAGAACGATGCTCGGGCTGCTCTTTACAGGCGGAGAATAAGGGAATCGCAGAAGGACAAGGATCTTGTGAAGAGTATCGAGCTATGGCTCCAAGCCATTAGAGAAAAGGGAGGAAAGACCCTGTTCGACCACAAACCGAGAGAGCAGGTTGATGGCTTTTTTTTGATTACCTGGTGCACATCATTTCAGCTTGAGGTATATTGTGCAAAGCGTTGTTTATTATCATCACTGAGATGCTGTAGATGCTGACAATCCGCTTTCTATATTCTTTCTTCACTATTTGCAAGATGATGGCTGACAACAACTCCATTTATTGTATGGACTTCACCCACAAGACTGTAACAAGTATCAAGAAGATATTGCTATCAGGTGGCAGCACTACTATCAAATCAGCTTATTTGTTCACGTTGCTGGTAAAGGATCGAGTTGTACAGAAAGGCATTCCAGTCGCCTTTCTGATCAGCTCTTCTGAATCACAGTACGTTGCATTTACTACCTTCTACCCCAACTTTTTTGGTGCTTCCTTATGCGACGATTGACCAGCGCCGCTATAACACATAGATATAACATTCAAGATTGGTTGCGATGGCTGACAAATGAGTGTGGTCTGAGAACAGCAGCATTCATGGTGGACTGTGCCCCAACTGAGTCTGCTGCTATCTTGAGCATATTCCCTCACACAAGGATTTTTTATTGCGACTTCCATGTCGCCCAGCTCTGGGAGAAGCATTTGAAGGAGAAGCGTTCGGTGGGTTTCTACAGCCATGTTGCTTGCTGCAATTCTCCAGAGTCACTTAGCATATTCGCAAGGTATTAACGTAACGCCTCTTACCTGTACCACTTCGGTCAATAACTGTTAGGTTGCGGAATGCATGCAGATGAGACCACTGTTGAAAGAGATTCGCAAGGCTAAGACTGCGGTGGATCAGGAGCGCCTATGGGCAGCATTTAAAAGAAAATTCCCCACAGCAACTACTTTAATCGAGTATATCGAGAATCGTTGGCTCAACGAACATGTGGAGCGCTGGATTGCATATCATAGAATGGTAAGGGTTCTTGATGTGAGCAAAGATGAACAATAGGTGGAAGGGCTCTGGAAACTGAACTTGATGCGCACACCCTGATAATAGGATGGCCAAGAAGTCACCACCAATAACTGGGTAGAATCTTGGCACAAGACCTTAAAGCAGAAACACCTGGGCCACGAACGGAACGTGCGGGCAGACTATCTGGTTTATCTTTTGGAAGGCGCAGTTGACGCGGATTTCCGCGTCGAGTATTTTAAGATCAAGAATGGATTAGCGCCACCCCCGCTTACGAAAGTAGACAAGTCAAGAAAAATGAAAGCGAAGGCGATTCCATTTGAACGCGCCTTGTGGTTGGTAACACCGTTGCTACACGAGAATAGGGTGCTTTTATAATTTAATTGCAGCAGGTAAACTGGGCTATTGAAGGATGATTATTCACATCAGCGGCTCATTTCTTCTTGTCTCCAGTTTATCGTCAAGTCGTTCCAAGTCCCCACTGTCGAATATAGTGTCCGTGTCAAGCCTACAGACGGGTTGAATGTGAATGAGCCTGAGGGACTTCTCCAGTCATGCACATGCCTCGATAACGAGAGGCGCCGAAGGCCATGTAAGCATATCTACCTTCTTGATCGGCTGTACGCGTATGTGCGAATTGACTATTACCTCCAGCCCGAGCGAGTTGTCGAGAGAGGGTTGGGCCCTGGTCACGGTGACATGCAAGATGAGGCAGCCGAACCTCCAGTCCTAGACCTTCCCGACTGGGTTCCTCCTCTTGTTAGGCAAGCTTTATACGCCCAACGAGCGATGGCGCGAGAGGAGGAAAGACGCAGGACAGAGCAACAGAAAGCAAAAGCATTTGCTGACTGCGAGAATGAAACGCATGATCTCTGGAATAGACTTGCTGTGTCTCTTACCAACAAGCAAAGAGTGTGCAGTCTGGGATATTTCCAAGATTTCGTTGCCAGCTTGAGGAGCGTGGTTCATGATTCACAAGGATTGCACACCTCTGGAGCTGGACGAAAGTGCCAGTAATAATGAGGCATGAATATAGGGAGGGCGATACATTAAGGAAGGGTTGAGGAAGAGCAATGAAGTAAACAAGCAATGATCTTTATTCCAATCTGCAACGCCCTTCGCCCGGTATGGTAATAGGTGCTCAGATTCGCGCCACTCAAGCTGAGCACGTGACGTCACTTTGCCAGCCATCCAGGGCAGTCCCCACATATTGGTCGCTGAAACTGCCTTTCTCTTTCGTTACCCTTCGTTCCTCAACACATCACAACCACACATGGCGCGATCGGGATCCCCAAATGAAATGGGCAAGTGGATTCAACCCACTATGGGAAAGAGCTGCGATACTGGTGCCAGAAATGCAATAGCGCGGTTTCGCCAGAGAATCAGCTGAGGCGTGTCTTTGCTTGTACCTGTTGGGACGATTGCTAACGATTTGCTTCGCGTTCGCTTTGTTTTGAATTTGTTCAGCAGACGGCGGTCTGGAGGCGAATGCCATCACCGAGGAGAAGCTCATCAATGAGGAGTACAAGATCTGGAAAAAGAACTCGCCCTTTCTCTACGACCTTGTTGTCACCCACGCACTTGAGTGGCCCACGTTGACCTGCCAGTGGCTGCCTGATATTGAGAGGTAACAACAACACTAGAAAGGACACGCTCTTTTTTCGCGTGGACGTTGATGCATGCACTCGTACAAAGTACAGTCTTTTCTAACGCATCGAAATTGTATTCATGGTCGATTCCCATGCAAATAGACCCGAGGGCAAGGACTACACTGTTCAGCGCCTGTTGATCGGAACACATACCTCTGACAACGACCAGAACTACCTGCAGATTGCTCAGGTCCAACTCCCATCCGACTCCACACCCATTGACACGCGCAAGTTTGACGACGAACGTGGCGGTATGGACATTATCGGCAAAGCAAATAGGATATAGCAGCCGGCAACCACAAAAGTGTCAGTTGCTAACTCTTCTTTTTTCATTTTTGTAGAGGTTGGAGGGTTTGGAGGCACAGAGTGCAAGATCAGCGTGACGCAGAGGATCAATCATGAAGGCGAGGTCAACAGGGCACGCTATATGCCTCAGAACCCCGACATTATCGCTACTAAGACCGTCTCGGGCGACCTCTTCATTTTCGACCGTACCCGTCACCCTTCACAACCTGCTCCCGGCGGCGTCTGCTCTCCGGAGATTCGTCTGAAAGGCCACACGAAAGAGGGGTATGTCTTATTACAGGGATATAGGACGCGAGGAAGCCGAAAACGAAATCGCCTTTCCCTGCAGCATGTCTAACGCATGAATCTTTTATTTGTTGTCACTCGCAACAGATATGGATTGTCCTGGAACCCCACCTTACAGGGACATCTGATCAGTGCTTCAGAGGATACGACTGTTTGCCACTGGGATATCAATGCGGCAACTAAGGACAAGAAGGTCCTGGATGCGTTCAGAATCTACCGCGGACACACTGCTGTTGTCGAGGATGTTGCCTGGCACGCTCTTCACGACAGCCTGTTTGCCTCCGTTGGAGATGATCAGCGCATGCTTATGTATGTATCTATCGTGCCACGGATCGGAGGCGCATACTTTGGAGAAGACATGTACTTCCATCTCTAATCAATATCTATTTCGTATTTGATAATGAAAATAGCTGGGATACACGTTCTACGTCCTCGGACAAACCAGTTCACAACATTCATGCGCACGCCGCCGAAGTTAACTGCGTTGCATTCAGCCCCAGCAGTGAATTCATCCTTGCTACTGGATCAGGGGATCGTACGGTCGGACTATGGGATCTTCGCAACTTGAAGGTCAAGTTGCACTCGTTTGAGTCACATCAGGATGAGATCCTCCAGCTGGCCTGGTCGCCCCATAACGAGACTATCCTGGCTTCTGCAGGAGGCGATCGTCGTATCAACATTTGGGACTTGAGCAGGATCGGAGAGGAGCAAACCTCAGAGGATGCTGAGGATGGTCCCCCAGAACTTTTGGTGAGTGTCCTTTGGTTCACTCGTATCTTTGGGACGTGCGTCGCTTGTGCGAAAACAATGTGGTTCTAATACTCGGCTATTTTCTTGTGTCTGTCCATGTTCGCATTTAGTTTGTCCACGGAGGACACACTAATAAGGTGTCAGACTTTTCATGGAACCAAAACGAGCCCTGGGTCATTGCTAGCACGGCCGAGGATAATATTTGCCAAGTTTGGCAAATGGTATGTTGGTTATGTGTTTGTTTATGAGTGGACATGGATCCATCCTGGTCTTCATTTTTATTCACATTATATTTGTCATTTATTCATTTCATTTTTAGGCAAGTAACATTTACAACACGGATGACACTGACGTTCCTGCATCCGAGTTGGAATAAGGGTCAATGGAAGGAGACGGTGCATCTGTTTGATAACCATCGAGAGGAACATAATAAAAACCAACGTAATAGGATTGCTTTGTTTTCGACTTTGTAATGTGTATAGTACAGTTTATTGTCCTAGTCTTTTTGCTCGACCGGACGCGAAGCAGGGGGCAGAGGCGTATTATCTATATGTAGATGAGTTTGTTGGATCGAACACGCGCTGTTCTGCGTTTTGGTTCAATTGGTCGGTCATGTTGGCGGCGATCGTTCCTTTTAGTCGTAGACGTGAATGATTCCATAAAGCAGTGTCCAGAAGAGGATATAACTCAAGAGACCGCCGAAAACGCCCTCTGTAAAGACATCGAATGGCTGACGGAAATAGAGTGCGGGTTTTCCTTTGGCTTTGATGGCAAAGGTCAGCAGGGAGAGGAAGGCAGAACCAACAAAGTAAAAGATGAATCCGGACCAGTTGGTGAGACCGAGGGTTCCTGCGGCGAGACCGAGGATGGCAGAATAGGATGAGCGGATGAAGGTCATGGTCTGGGAGTTCTTGGCGATGAACATGTCGACGAACAGGGCGTCGTCCGGGTTGATTTGCTGTCCTGACATGGTGATATTGTATGCCTATCCTTCTGTATCCTGAGTGTCTTGTTGAGGGGATGGTTTTGTTAAAATACTGTTCCTGCTGTGTAGCTGTTTCTGCTTATTCCTTGATGGTGAGCTGATCCGTGTCCGACACTTGACTTTGACGCGGTGGAGGATGAAGGTAGAAGGAAAAGTAGTTCTTGATGATGAAGAGCTGCGTTGCATACAGGAGATGCGATCCACAGCGTATACCTAGCGTGATGAAACGGACACGACACCATGCGAAAGGGGGCGAATCTAATTGGTTGTATCCAAATTGAATTGCGTGGCTATTTTTGCGCTCTCATTCTTTGTTGCCTTGCGCCTCTTTTCTTTTCTTCTCCTCTTCCCCTCTTACCCAACTCACCTCTCCCACTTTCCTTCCTCATTTCCTCACTTCCCCACTTCCTCTCTCGATCCTAGTCGCTCCATCCGAAAGTCTTCTTTCTCAACGCAAACCATTCTTGACAAGGTAAGAAAACCAATGTAAAAGACCTTTGAAACCGCTTGCGTATTGTTTTACACACAGGTCTCATACTCACATATCGATCGGTTGCTTCTAGTCTCTCCACCCAAAACAACCACACCTCCTCTCCAACCACACACCACAAACCACCACACTCTCTTCAATAATGGCTTCCACTCTCGATATGTCCCTTGATGACATCATCAAGACCAAGAGGACCACCCGCAGCAGAGCAGCCCCCAGCCGTGGCCGCGCCACCGGTCCCGTTCGTAACCCTCGCCAGAGCCGTGACAAACGCCCCTACCAGTCCGGTGTGCAACAGTACAAGGCCGCACCCGTTGCTCCACTTCACACCTCAGTCATCCGTCAGAGCGTCCCCGATGGATCCAAGATGCAAGTCTCGAACCTCGACCTCAGGGTCACGGCCGAGGACCTGAAGGTAATTTGACCTCAGAGGGATATTCCGCTATCTCTCCTTGCCAGCGTACCTTCCACCCCGCTGATGAGGGCAACAGGATAACCGTTGCCCGGCGATCGATCCCCTCTAAGATGTCGATTGAGAAGGTGCTCCTGCTCTTTCCATCCCTGCGCTCTTGAATGGCTAAATGGGTCAAGAAGGGTATGCTGAGAGTATGGAGTCGTCACTCTGTTGGCTGAGAAAGGGAGAGAGGTGGACTGCGCTGAGCAAACCCCCCGCCGCCTACGAGCACCTTCGAGTCCCAGAGTCAGTTCCCCCGTCTGTCCCAGGTTGTTTAGCCCAATTGTCCAGAGTCACAGGATCACTCAGAGCAAAAGGATTTGGAGATGGCAGTAGGAGAGGAGAATGCATAATCGATGGCTGACCCATGGCGGACACAATCTGCGAGACCATATCGGAGATCAAGAGAGAACGAGAGAGCATGTGGTGGGCTTTTCGTTCATGTCCGCGTCGCCATCGTTGTTGTTGTCTTTGATGGCAACCATCCCCTTGCCACCGTGCTTGGAAGCACATGTGCCTCGGCATCCTCTCCTCGCCCCTCTCTTTTATCATTGCTTGCTTTGAGTTGGCGTGATCTTACAGGGAAGCGTGGGTTCCTTAATCCATGGTTCCAGGATGTATGCATCCTTTTTCGCAGGGACTGGATAGAGTGCTGGAAGGAGGATTGGATATTGGTCGTCATTGTCTAAGGAAGTCACGAACGCCTCACTCGCAGGTGCCGAAGATGGAATTTGGGATGAGGAGTACCATTTTTCAGATTCGTCGCGAACGACAGAGGATCGATGATCTCTATCCATTACTTCTTCCCTCCCCTTCCCTCAGCGACTGTCTTGCTCAAGGCTGCTTGTTCTCTCCGCACGTCCATTCCTTGGTGCGCAAGTGGTCGTTCCAGGGGCATATTGGTTGTGATATTTTTGTGCTTCTGAACGCGAAAAACGCAATGCATCCTAGCGCATCTTGATTGACAGTCAGACAACGAGCGAAACCGTAACAGACGGACAGGCAGACAGACTAGTGGCATGTCTTCTCAAAGGCACCACTCTCCTATCGGCGATGGGACTCCAGCACATCTAAGCTACAATGGGCTTTTTTTCTTTCTTTTTGCGGATCTCTCACCTCGCCCTCCCCCCACTTCGCCTCGCTTCGCTCCATGTCGTATCTTTTCAATTACGTTTTCTTCTAGCTCGTCTTTTCCACCCGAGTCGGACCTCTCAAGAAGTGCACGTTGATGTACGATCAGAATGGAAAGTCTTCCGGCACAGCTCTCGTTCACTTTAACCGTGTTGGCGATGCTGCCGTGGCCATGCAGAAGTTTAATGGCGTTCCTCTCGATGGTACGACGACTGTGCGCTCTTTTTGGCTGCGATTTTTGAGTTGCAGGGTGTTAGTCAATGACTTTTGTACTGATTTGGCGTTTTTTTGTGTCCATGACATTTAGGTCGCCCCATGAAGATTGAGTTAATTGTCGCCCCTGGCGCTGTCCAGGCCGTCCTCCCAACCGCGCAAGCACCAAGGTACTTTTCGCTCATTAACTGCTATGACAGAAAGGATGTTGCTCTTTTGTTTTTGTTTTTATGATCACCAAACTAATAATGCATATCTCTTCTTATCACTTAACACAGAGCCGCTTCGGGCAACCAAGGACAGCAGCAACGCGGTCAGGGGCAGCAGCGCGGTCAGGGACAACAGCAGCGCGGTCAGGGACCTAGCCGCGGTCGTGGTGGACGTGGACGTGGTCGTGGTGGTCGCCAGGGAGGCGAGAGGAAGGAAACCAAGACGGCAGACCAGTTGGATGCAGAGATGACCGACTATATGCAGGTGGACGCCTAATTGCAAACTTATAGGGCCATCATCCTTTTACGCATACACGGAAACAGTTGGATATTAGGATCTTTTTTTTTCTTTCGCTTTCTTTTACGATATGATACGGCGCCATCGATGCCTTTGCTTTAGTAACCGACATGTAACAATACCAAAACACAAAAAAATATATTATGTATGCCTTTTGCAACCCATGTTTTCTATGGATATCTTTATGCTTCAGTGATGTGCACCAGGAATGGCTTCAAGGTTCAAGACGGCAATGCCGTTCTTGACTAATTTGTCGAAATGGCCCAGCGCAGTCTCAGTCTTCGACCCGTGTCCTGCTGCTGTGCGCCCACATTTCTGTTTCTCCCAAGCCCGATACTTATTGCCTGCATCCCCATTTGCTCCCTTACTGCTGCTCACCCATCAAATTCATCCATCACTTCATCATCATATAATGACAACAGCCATGGGTGCAGGAACAAGGACCCACAGTTCTGAAGAACACGACGGCAAACGACAGAGCCAACGTCAGCAACAGCCAAGCGAGGTATGCTTAACAACTGAGAAGACGAATACGAACAGGATATGTGCTATTGTTAGATGCGGAAACAGAGTGCTGTATGGATGTCTGCTAAGAGAACACAGGGAGGCGTTTTTCTTTGAGCGACTGCAGTTGAGGCGTACAGCTGGGATTCTTTTTTGGATTATCGCCTTCTCGCCCCCTTTGGATAGAGAGAGGGAGAGAGAGAGCCCAAGCACCGCCCCGTGTATTCTTGCTGTTGCTTAATATACATCTGTTCGGTGTTTACTTGTGTCGGTAATGGTGTCCTGTGGGATACTCTCGCATTTATTCTTTCTTTGCTCCTTCTCGAATTCCGCGGGTGGCTATAATTGGGTGTTGTGCGTAAATATCTCTGTGCGTGTGAAGCTGCGCTTGGTGTCCAATTGCTGACCCTGAACGACGTTGGCGATGGTTATTTTTAAAATAGAACAACCTTGACAAAGACATGGACATGGACAACAATAGGGACAAGGACAGGCATACGGATGCTGATAACCATGTCATGCACGATTCTCATGACGAATACGGTGCTCAGAAGGCTATGCTACCATCACACTCGCATCGTGGATCAAACACCCGTCGTGGCGCCAACGCCAACGCCAACCCTGCCGACCAAGAAGAAGGAGAAGAAGACGAAGACGACGAGAACCTAGCAGAAGATCAACAGCTCCTGCTGCCTCATCACCACCACACCTCTCCTTCTTCTTCTTTTTCTTCTTCCAACATCCAGTCGTCCATCTCTGTCCAGAATTACTCGGAACCGCATCGACCTATGACTTGCTCACGGTCACCTCCATCGTCTACACCCTACACACAAGAATCTCAGATGCGGTATCCACCACCTCCGCTTTCGCAGGATCAGGAACCAATTCCACACAATTATACGACGGCGTCCAAGAAACCTTGGTCAAACATGTTTTCGAGGCTCCTTCCCGGATCTTCTTCCTCTTCTTCTTCTGCTTCAGCATCAGGATCTTTAGATCGCCAGGCACTCGCGTCCAGAATCGACCACGACTCGGACTCGGACTCGGACCGGGACGATGACCATCATCATCATCGTACAGATCATGTCGCCCTCACCATGCCCACCTCAACCCCCGCTCTCGGCGACTCGGCCTCCGGTAACGGTAGCGACTCTGAAGAACGGCGCTGCCGAATCTGTCTCGAAACCGACGACGACAAGGATTCCGAATCCGGTCAATTAATCTCCCCCTGTCTCTGCAAAGGCTCCTCCCGATACATCCATCTCGGCTGCCTCGAGAAATGGCGTGCCCTCTCCCCGCGCAAGGAATCTGCGTTCCAATGCGATACCTGTCATTATACCTACTCCTTCTCCCGTCCCTGGATGGCGAATGTACTCGGACACGCTTGGTTCTTGCATATCATCACGGGAATTATGTTTGCCACCGTATGCTATACAGCCGCCTGGGGTGGGAGGGAACTTAATCAGAATGGGGTCTGGGAATGGAAACGTATTTTCATCGATGACCCGCATCGCGAGACGACGACGGCGTTTGGACTGGACTGGATGGATCTCGTATGGGGGTTCGCCGTCGTCGCAGGATTCGGGCTCGTTTTTCTGATGGTCGGGGGGTGTACGTATCTGTGTGGAGAGGATGAGCGTGATGGTGCTGGGGGGTGTGATTGTAGGTGCGTGGGTTGTGGACCTTTCTATCTCGGAGAATGTGGAGCCGCTTCCGGAGGGGAAGGGTTGCTGATCATCTTCTTGGTCATTGCTTTCTTGGCTGGGTAAGTTGTTTTTGTGTGTAGCGAAGGTGCGGATGAAATTCTAGAGTGCTAATCTTTCGTCGTTTCTTCTTTCTTCTTTGTCCGGTATCGGCTGGCAGAATATTCGGTGCGTTCGTGGGGATATACCTGCTTATGGCTAGGTTTAACAGCCGAGCGCTTGAATCGATGAAAGAGACTATTCTTGAGGTCAAATAAGGGTCCCACAAGAGCCTTCTTTATCGCCCCCTCATCATAGCCATGCAATGCAATGCATTGCATTGCATTTTTGTACAAATATACTTATTATCTTCTTTCGTTTATGATCGTCTTATTAAAAAGGTGTACTTGTAATTGTAATCCCCATGTTCTTTGCAATCTATGCTACGTGCAATAATAAAATAAAAAAATACGAATTCCACCAGAGCAATAGTCCTTGTCATCGCTCACTTGCTCTGCCTGTTGACATAACCGAGGTAGCCCTCTGTGGCCTGGACAGTCTTGGTCCTGGTACTCCGGCGGTGCTGCTCCTTATGCAGCTGGTTTAGCAGGTCCTGGTGCCGACGCTGCATACCCCCAACAATCAGATCATAATGGCTGTTGAGCGCACTCACTAACACACTCTCGCGCGTGCCCTTGGAATTCAGCCATCGCAGTAGACTGTCGATCTGCTCCGGTTCGCAGTAATAGCTCCACTGTGTAGGCTTGTGTTCGACAGGCACAGTCTCATCCAACAGCTCTTCCTTTGCATCATCTGTAGCAACCTTATGCGTGCCTCCGTTCGCCAACCCTGGCCCCTTTGTATCATCGGTTTCGTCCTCATCATCCGTATCCAGTGCCCGCTCCCTCTCCAGCTGCAGCTTCTTCTCTCTCGCCGCCCTCTCTACCGCCAATCCTTGAATAATCTCCTGTTCCTGCGTCTTCAATAGATCTTCCAACCCACCCGACGGATCTTCCATCCGCTGTCTCTTCAGCACCTCGTCCTTATCAGCTCTTGTACGGACAATTTCCAGATCCAAAAATGATGGCGACTGGACATAGAGGCGATCCGTCGCATGGTCCATCGTGATCCCATCAAAATACCAGTACCGGTTATAGAACCGATCCTTGCCCAATGGTCTCACCCTCGCGATCGCAAACCGACGCACATCCCTATCAACCTGCTCCTCCTTCCTGTTCAACGCATGCTCCTTGTCCGCCAACCTCTTTCGAGTATCATGACGCGCCTTTTGCTCCGCGCTCCGCGCTTTTGTGAGTGCACGCTGACGTAGGAGATCCTGATGTCGACGAGACTCCTGCAGTTCACGCTCCATCTGTTGACGCTTGAGTTTCTCTTGCCGGGACTCGGTTCGTGAGAGGTCGCCATTCGCCTCGGCCTCACTATCGACTTCATGAGACGAAGTTGGTTCAGGAGTCGCGGCAGCGCTCCGTTGCAACTCTAGCTCTGCCTTCTCCAAAGCTGCTGCACTCTTATTATCGGCTGACTCTTGGCGCTCAAACTCGGCCTTGTCCGCTTGCCTATTATCAGTAGTTACAATATTATTTTTTTCCTTCCGTTAGACAACCGGAGCAGTCAACATGGGCGCCATCCCAATTTTCTCGTCGCAATCAACTTACAATTGCCTCCTCTCCTTGTTGATCTCGAACTTTTGAAGACGCAACTCCTTCAGTTGCTCGCGACATTGCTCCATGTAGTGTCTATCAACGCAAGTGGACTCTTATTAATAACTTGAACATAGTTAATATAGACGCCTCACACGCATTGGTGTTTCCCCTTTCGTACCTGATGGTGCTTGTGCCGGCCGCTGTCTCGACCAGGAAAACAAGTACGCTGACCTTGTCTTCATATGGCAGTGTGGGAAACAAGAATTCGACATCTTCCTTCAGACTGGTCTCGTTGGGCACAAGGCGGTTCAAAATACGGTCAACGTTGGGAATAGCATCAAAAGACCCAAGCTGCAGAAGAAAGAAAAAAGATCGACAGCTTTAGTCAGTATTCACGCAAAAGGGTGTTTCGAGCTAAAGAGCACCAAAAGAGCCAAGGTCTAGACATACCTCATTCACAAGTCCAACCAGTACTGACTCCCAACCCTCTCTGGGCGGCAAGACCAGCTTCTCGTCCCATCCATTGCCAATGACTACCACCCGCTCATTGATCGGGCGGTGGGGCAGTTTGCGCCTCTGTATATACTCGTCATGTCCTCCTATGGACAGATCGCCGTCGTCCACTGTGCTTTCATCGTCCTCAGTCATCACACTGCTTTCCCTGTCCTCGCGAGCGCCTGCCGATGCTCCAGTTGGAGTGCCTGTTGTGCTGAGCAAAACAGGTTTCGCGATTCCCTTGAGTCGGTCCTGGATAATTACATTCAAAAGGGCCGAGTGATATTCTGCCACCATAACGCTTGGATGCTGGGCGTCCGAGTGCGCAAGAGAGTCCTCAAAATCCTGCAGCCCAAAAGGTGACAATTTCAGCGCCGAGCTATTTTAGGGCAAAGGCCAATATCAATCCACTGTTTCCGGCCCTCATCAAGACTCCATTTGTGACAGAAACCAAAGACGTTATTACCTAAAAGAATTCAAAAACTGCCAGGCCATGACGACTGCCTCGAAGCAATCCTGTGGCACAGAGATATCCTTCTGGGTCTCGGGTCGTGCTGTTGGGCCTTCGCAGTCTTTTGCCACCAAAGTTGGGTCCAGATCCAGGTCCTCCATAGGATATTTAATCACTTTGACATCCGCGGGTGTTGCCGATTCTGACGTGCCTTCCTCCTTTGCCTTCTCTGCAGCCTCCTTCTTAGCCTTCTTTGCTGCTGCCAGCTCAGGTGCCGGATCCGCGGGTCCCTAAATTATTCGCATGGTTGGAAAATCAAACGTCAATGGGGTTGCATCTGAGGAAGCCATCTCCTTGCTTTTTTCAGTACTGAAATCCTCCGTACCTTCCGCTTCTTCAACTTGGAGAAGACCAAATCCCGTGCGGCCTGGAGATCCGCTGGGAGACGTGTCTCTATTCCGTACTTTTTCGCCAATGATGGCTTGACCAGCCATGGCGCGCCAATGTAGTTTTCCTTTGATGAACATTCTCGAATGTACTTTCGCAGGATGTTTTTGTTGAAGGCTAGGCGATCACGGCTAAGAAATAGATTCGAACACGGACGGTGGATGTGAGAATAGTCAGTGAATTGCTCAGCAATGTCCAATCACCACAACATAACTCTTCTCCAGTCCAATGGTGTCTCCGAACCTCAGTAACGAACAATCGACGACGCGCTGCATGTCCTCAATAGCATCACCCCTCCGATCCAGAACCTGAACCAGATACTGTCCTGGCTCCTCTGGATTCTCCGCTCCGTTTTGCACTGTTGTCCATTCCTCCTTTGGTAGCACTTTGCGAATCACAGCATTATATCTATTGAAACAGATTACGTTCAGTGCATTAGTAACATTCGATCAGCCCGATCAATTGCCGGTTTCGCATTCATTTCAAGATGTAGATAACACGTACGTCGACTTGTCCCAAGAAACATTGACGGGTTCGTTTTGAAAGTATACGTTCTTGAACTTTGTGAACGCATCATCTACAACAGCGTCAATCCTCACGGTTTCTATAATATGAAGGATATGAAGGGAAAGCATGCCTCGTCAATAAGTGTGGCCAAAAGGATAACATAATGTCCCTGATAGGCTCCGCGAGGACAATTAGACATACGGAACTGCACAAACTCCAGCAAGGGTTTTCGAAGCTGTGGAGGAAATTTGTTGGCGACCATGGACTTTTCTTTGTGCTCTGACTCGAGCGCCTCTTCATAGGTCAATCCAGACTTTCCGGTTGTCTCGCATTGCCAGTTCTTTTGCTTGTAAAAGAAGTATCGATTGATGTAATCTCTATTGAATCGTTAAAGTGTTGAAACGCAGATCAGTAAGGGCAGTTGAAAGAGGTCGCACTTTTGCAGATCGAGGAGGATATCGGCGGATCAAATGCCTCGAGAACACAGGGATACAATTGGGCATGCTGCAACGAGCACGCCGAAGCAGGTGTAAGGCAGACATACTCATAGTTGGTAAAGATCTCGTTGGTGAATCGCATCATGTAGACGGGAGTGTTCTCCTCAAAGTCATCGATGCTGGGTGGAGGCACCAGTTTGATCGCCTTGCGCTTTAAGAGCGGCATGGTAGAGTCCTGTTATGTTTTCCTGACGGATTCGCCAAGCCGACTGGGAAATAGTTGGTGCCGAGTAAGCGGACGAATGAAGGCGGCCGAATGAAGGCGGCCGACTGATTTGATTTCAGAGGATCCTGACGGGCACACACACGCGTATACAAGCACTGGCTGGCTGGTCGCTTGGTGTCGAAGTTGTTGTTCGTTGAGATGTTGACAACGGGCAGGGTGGGGAGAGAGAGGAAGAGAGATGAGGATGCGATGGCGCGGGGGGGCTTGAAATAAAGAAAGAGAGAGCGAGAGGAACGGGGTTGCTGCTGGTGACAGAGCCGCGGACGACAACCAGTCCTGAGACGAACACACACAAACACACGCACATATATATGCACACACGCACTTGCAGAACAACGACTGGAGAGCATCCGTCTGGTTCTCGTTTCCCGCTTCATGGCAACCATATCTTCGGCTTTATTGTCGGCAACGACGCCTCTACGGCAAGACCGACAGCAACCTGTAGGTCAGAAGTGGAGCTGGGAAGGGGGCAAAGCGAGAGCACAGCGTGCTTGGAGAGGGCCTTTCTCCAGGCAGATCAGAGTGGACGGAGTGAGTGTGTGGTTTATGACTGCATTTTATTTTTCCAACACACAAACATGGGAGGGGCAAAAACGCGTTCCACTCACTCGGCTAAAAACGCGTTCCAAAAACGGACGCTCCGCAAATTCAAGTTTCAAATATATCTCTGCACACCCTCGTCTTTGTTCCCTCCGTTTCTTTTTCTTTTCATTCCCTCCCACCCATCCACACACACTCACACACACATCCCTTAGTGCTCTGTTCTCCAACCCTCGCTCGGCTGCGAAATATAACACACCACTCTATCAGACAGTCAGACAACCAGACAACCAGACAACCAGACAACCAGACAACCACACAACATGGCTGCTGCAAAGACACGCGACACCACCGCCCCTGCTGCCTCGGTCGATTCCACCAAGGCAACGACCAAGGCGACCCCTAAAGCTAAATCCAAATCGGCCACTGCCCAGACAAAGACCCCCGCTCACAAGAAGGATGCTGAGCACCCTCCTTACAAGGTAAAATACTCCCATAATCTCACGGACCACTTTTGTTTGTGCGATGTATTTTCAGCGAAGGGTCGCGATGTCGAAATCCGTTGTAATCGTCTTCAGCCGCCAGATGATGCAAAGGATCGAAATCATAAGCGCCTCAGGATGCTCTTCAACACGAGCCCCAGTTTTGCCACATTTCGTGTGGGAATGTGAAAAGTCGCCTTCTCGCCCCCCTCATCAATATTCGAGAAAATTCTGACCAGAGACGTAGGCGTTAAAAAAAAAAAAAAAAAAAAAAAAAAAAAGCCCCCCATGATCACCCCCACTCTATTCATGCGCACTACCCGACTCGGATCCGCCTCTTCCAGCAATGGCTGCTAAACTTCGTTATGATAAAATGGATCCATATAGGAGATGATCATCGCCGCGCTTCTCCATCTCAAGGAGCGTAATGGCTCGTCCCGCCAAGCTTTGAAAAAGTACATCCATGGAAATTACAAGGTCGGTGACGGTTCCGATGTCCACCTCAACGCCGCTATCAAGCGCGGTGTCGAGAGCGGTGACTTTACGCAACCCAAGGGCAAATCTGGTCCTGTCAAGCTGGCAAAGAAGGAACCCAAGAAGAAGGACGTCAAGGAAAAAAAGGAGTCCAAGGAAAAGAAAGTGCTCAAGGAAAAGAAAGAGGTCAAGGAGAAGAAGGAGAAGAAGGAAAAGAAGGAAAAGAAGCTTACTGTTCCCAAGAAGGACGCTGCTGCGACCAAAAAGACCGCCACTGCCACTAAGAAGGCCACCGTCAAGAAGGATAGCACCAAGGTAACGATATCGATTATCATTGAGATCGAGAGTGGGTTACCGGACCCTATCTATGGCTCCCTTGTGCATGTTCCATGTGACCAGGACGCGATATTCACACGACTTTTTTTTTTTTTTTTTTTTTTTTTTGCTCTTAAAATCATCAGAAGGTTGCCCCAAAGAAGGCTACCGCTGCAAAGGAACCCAAGGCCAAGAAGACTAGCACCAAGAAAGCCGCCAAGGGGGACGCTGTCGCAGCAGGAGCAGATGTAAAGTCCCAATAAGTAGCCGGCCTCTGTTTTTCTTCACCCAGCTCTCTTTTATCTGTTCTTTCCTTCCTGCTCCTTTTCGCTTCATCCAACTGATAACAATCCAATGATCCAATGCATGCATGCATGTGCACTCTTGTAAATAAATAAATTCGCGTTATATTTTCTATGATTGAACAACAATCGTGCAAAGAGGACTTCTATGATGAGCAACTGGAAGAGCTTTAGGATACTGCAAAATGACTTTGTTAGAAAGCCAAGGCTTATCGTCGTTATGTCAAACTGTACTTCTTGGGCCTCTAATTCCATCTTCTTATCAGCGACTCGGCCTAAAGACGCCGGCCGCCTGAGCGCCATGATCCAGTCAAGGACAGTTCGGCTACGTTCCTGAGCTGCGGTATGGTCCTCGTATCGTTGATCTATGGAACTGAACACCGACCTTATTGTCCAAGGTGTGATGCCTGTAACTCATCTCTATAGTGTTGTATTCGCTGATCTTGTATACAGGCTTGCAGACTTGTTGTCTCAAAATAGTGAAATGGTTAAAGAAGCATACAACACTCCTTGAATCCGTGTGAAAATACATCTTGCCTATATTCATGCAAGTGCAACGTACTGCACCATCCTGGCCTTCACCTTTGAATGCCAATAACCACCATTTTCTAGAGCTCTGCTATTCCTAATCAAAATATATACAGCGCCTTGCAACCCATCCTTATGATGCCACTCATCCATCAATGGGATCCAGCGGGCTTGTCCTCCTTGAATATTGATATGTCACGCATGAGTGACATCCCGTTGATTCTTTAGCGCGAATATCTGTTAGAGGACTAGAATAAACAGATCTTGTATATCGATGTTGGTGTCGATTATATCAGGAAAGCTCCGTCAAAAGGGCATATAGCCTATAATGCGTTCCAACCCGCTTAATCCTTCTAGTCATGGTGTGGGCTTGGAATGCATCCCTTGTTTATTTGATTGCAGCAGCACAGCCCTTCATGTACTCATCTTTGGAGTGGTCCGTGCCTGAATATCGAGTACGGACATGGTTAAATTTAGGGTTTGCGTTATACTTTTTTTTTTTCAAAGGTGGACAGCCTTATAACGTCTCCCCGCCTCTATTCTTCAAGATCGCTGCCTTAACAAAAGGTCGATTGTAATGTCAGTAAAGGTCCCCTATGTTCTCGCAGAAGCTTTTCTGAACCGATTAATATCTCGTTCGAAGTATAACGATCCAAGATTACCCTTTCTTGAAAACCGAGTTGTATGATCGTTCGTTGTGGCGATCGACTACGTTCAATGATGTAAACGATGGCCATAACGTTTCAAGATACCCTAGATACCTCACATCCCATGAGGCAGCAAACAAGAGGGGTTGAAACTCTCTGTTTAGAAATGAAACAGCATGTCGGATCGATGGGCGCAATATCTTGGTGCTTGTCTAGACAATCCATTACAAACACCCCTTTTTAACGAAGATATGTCTTGCCGTTGTTCCAAAAGTACGATAGCAGTAGTCCTAAGGGCGATTCTCTTCCAGGTACGTATTTAAACATGATTGAGCCTCCCGTTAACGCTCTTTTTGAGACCTGTTAGTGGTAGATTCGAATTCGCTATGCTTTGCCGTCTTCGCATGCTATTGCCCTTGTTTTCTGGTATCCGTTTTTGGTGTCGTTTCAAATGAGAGCTACGCGAATGACAGTACAATCTGTTGACGCATTTCGTTCTCTCCTTGAAGTTATCCTTTACTCTGTTACTGTAGTGATCTGCTTTAATAATATTGGTGCGTACATTGCAAGAACCGTTACTTACTTCCAGCAGCCATGATTGTTTAGGGTACTGCGAGTAAAGTAGGGAAGAGATGTAGCTGGATGCACACAGGATTTTATCTGATTCCGGGTGATTCGCATCCGGATGTATATACACTCCCTGATCATCTTGTTGAGAGATACAACTAGGAGTGCTAATGAACTATGAGCGCGAAATAATAGGCGAATATGAGTGCGAAACGTGGTCCTGCACCATCTGTATGTGTACGGCAGTTATCTTTCATACAATAGTCAGATACCTAGATACTTGATAAGGTACACACTCAAAAGCGTATAGCACACACCTGTGCGCCCATATGACGGACGCACCCAGTTTACTGTTAATTGCATTTTGGTGTGTCGCCGGAGATGCAGGAGAGCACACACTCAAAGTTGAAGTAGCCGTTGCTATTTTTTCCTTTGTGAACCTGAACCTCATCCTGTTTTTTTCTTCTTCTCTGTAACCTCCCTTCATCAACTAAACACCCGATCCTACAAAGCAACCATCATGTCTGAAAGCAGAGGAGAACTCATCGCCTGGGTCAACGAGCTATTGGGCCTCAACTACACCAAGGTTGAACAACTCGGAACAGGTACACCCACACTCTCACTTGCTCAACAAAAAAACACTTTGTTCATTCATCTCCTCACAGCTTGCGCAAGAGTCATGAGACAACCGGAACCCAGGATCCCTGTCATCAACTTCAGGAAGATGAATCAGCCTCAACTTGGACAACTCGAGGCGCGCTCCCGTGGGAGCAGCATCGCGTCTATGGATGTTTCAGGAGAACTCCAACAGAACCGATGTTACATCCATGGTTCCTCATCTTGAAAATACCCAAGTCGACAGAACTGACACCCCTTATTTCTTTGCTATGTCCACTGTGATAGGTGCCGCATATGTCCAAATTATGGATTCTATCTACGGTATGATGGCCAGGACTTTCCCGACGTTGAAAAGGATGTCATAGCGGCTGTGTTTTTTCTCCCGCTGTGCGGCGTGCATGCCTCTCACCATCTTCAATCCTTGTTTGTTTTCACGTGCAGGCGACCTTCCTATGTCGCGTGTCAAGTTTGCGACCAAGCATGAATACGAATACCTCGGTAACTACAAAGTCCTCCAGACTTGCTTTGCCAACAAGAAGGTCGACAAGGTATGATGGCACCATTGGGCGTCGAAGCACGGAGAGAATTCAATCTATCATTGTCTTGAGACAGGGCTCAATCGCCATCTCTTTGCTCTGCTTCTAGCTGATTCTAAATATTTCTTTGCGCAACAAATCTATAACTAGGCTATTCCAACTGATCGCCTCATGAAGTGCAAGATGCAGGACAATCTCGAGTTCTTGCAATGGCTCAAGAGATACTGGGATCGCAACTTCCCTGGCGAACCTTATGATGCAGTAGCACGCCGTGGTGCCGGTAACGAGCCCCTGTCTGCCGCCAACAGATCCACCACCGCCCCTGCCAGGAGACCCATGAACAACGGAGGTAAGGCAGCTTTTCTATTTCCATTATCGACTCCTCACCACTTCTGTTCACTTTTCCTATGATTTTGAACGCTATTCGCTTGGAGTACTAGGAAGAATCTTAAGTGAATCCCTGAATTCCCGTAATCTTACATGTACGCACCTTCGTTTCTCTTAGCCGCCAACCGCTCGATGTCTGGACGCGACGGCCACCTTTCTGCTATCGCCAACAGATCTCACCGTGGACCAAGTCCCGACCACACTGTTATTTTGAACTTGCAAAAGGAACTTCAAGAGGAGCGCAACACGGTTGCTGCCCTGGAGAAAGAGCGTGATTTTTATTTTGGAAAGCTCAGGGATATCGAGGTCTTGATGCAGCAAGAGCTGGATCGGGCCCCCGACTCTGGTGATAGCCCTCTGTTGAAGGACATCCAGGCTGTTCTCTACAGTACAGAGGTAAGCAGCACCTGAGAGTAATTTTAGTTTGATCCGGTTGTTCAATTGAACAGTATCTGACAGTTGGTCCTTTTGCTTTGTTTATCACCTTTTAGGAGGGATTCGAGATCCCGGCTGAGGAGCAGGCTGCTGGGGCAGAAGAATACCCTGACGAGACGTTCTAAAGCGGATGTCGATTGCAAAAGATTGGCAACAAGCTTCCCTACCCCATAATGTGTTACCTTGCGTCCTTTTAGTTGCATTTCGTGAATTGATAAAGCAGTTTTTTTTTTCTACATAGCACTTTTTTTTTTAAGTCCTTGGGCCATGTTGTCTTTTTTACTGCATACTTTTCTCGCATACAATTTTGTGTCGAATGTTGGTGTTCTAAAAGTTGGGCGCATTTGGAGCATGGGAGGAAAGGTAGTCTGCACACCCCTTAACAACCTTCACCAGAGGCCAATAAAAAAATACAGTTGCTCCAAAGGAATCAATCACTCTGACCGACCACCTCAAGCTATTTCACAATGGTAATGACAGACACCGACATGAAGCGACAACCCTGACGATGAGACGCGTAGCAAGGAAACAGTTCGACAAAGTCTGCATACTGAGTAACGCGGATGCTTTTTTTCGATTGCATGAATAGGGTATTCTGGAAAAGATCGCAGATATCGAGAGGGAGATCTCGAAGACGCAGAAGAACAAGGGTAAAAAAAAAAATAAAAAAAATAAAAAAGAGCTGATTAGGAATCAGAGAGTCAAAGGCAGACAAAGCAAATTGAGGCGAATATGGCTCTGACAGAACCATGGTATTATTGTCTCGATATTTCGCCTCTTTTACTTAGCCACGGAGTACCACTTGGGTCTGTTGAAGGCCAAGTTGGCCAAGTACCGTGTCCAGCTCCTGGATCCTGGCAAGACTGCCGCCAAGGTATGCCCGATACCCTTCAACACTTCTCAGCATGGCTTATTTGCATCGAAAATATCCAATCCAACCGTACAATGACTAACACACGACCATTCGTACTATCCATGACCTCGACGGCCTTTTTTTTTTTTTCTTTTTGCAGGGAGAAGGATTCGATGTCATGAAATCAGGCGATGCCCGTGTAGCTCTGATCGGCTTTCCTTCTGTGGGCAAATCCACGCTTCTGAACAAACTAACAAACACACATTCGGAAGCTGGCGCATACGAGTTCACGACGTTGACATGTATTCCCGGAAAGATCGAATATAACGGCGCAAACATTCAACTGCTGGATCTGCCAGGAATTATCGAGGGAGCCTCGGCAGGCAAGGGTCGTGGTCGTCAGGTTATTGCGGTCGCCAGAACCGCAGATCTGGTCATGATCATGTTGGATGCCACCAAATCTGCAGCGCAAAGAGAGTTGCTTGAGACGGAATTGGAGGCAGTCGGGATCCGTTTGAACACACGGAGGCCTAATGTCTATTTCAAGATCAAGACGGGAGGTGGCATCAGCTTTAACGCGACTTGCAAACTCACAGCTCTGACGGACAAGATGGTGCAGCATATTCTTCACGACTACAGGATCTTCAATGCGGAGGTGCTCATCCGCGAGGACATCAGTGTCGACCAGTTCATCGATGTCGTCCTCGGCAACCGCAAATATATCAGAGCCATCTACGTAAGTGCACCCAGACACTCCAATTACATTACAAAGCAGGATGTTGAGGAGGGTAACCGTATCAGCGTTACTAACAGGAAAACATCTTTGGTGTTGTTGTAGTGTTACAACAAAGTTGATTCAGTTACGATTGAGCAGGTGGACGAGCTGGCGCGCACGCCGTACACAGTCGTTATGAGCTGCGAGCTGGACCTCAACATGGATTATCTGGTTGAGACGATCTGGAAGAACCTTGCCCTATTACGCGTATATACCAAGAAGAGAGGCGAGTACCCAGACTTTGAAGGAGGACTCATTATCCGTGCAGGATCGACAATTGAACATGTGGTACGTATCTGGTAAAAGGGCTATATTTTCTAGTGTCTGAATGGTGAAACTACTCAAAGGCAATGGTTCTCTGATTTTTTTTTTTTTTTTTTTTTTTGGTCGTCCGTCCCTTTATATAGTGCCACGCCATTCACAGGTCGCTGGTGGCAGAATTCAAGTATGCGCTTGTGTGGGGTCGATCTGCTAAGCACAATCCTCAGCGTGTGGGTCTGTCCCATTTGGTCGAGAATGAGGATGTGGTAAGTTGCATAGATGATAGAATACGAGCGATTATTATTCTTTTTTTTTTTTCTGTGGAACCATCCAACCCCATGCGATCGACCATGTTTGTTGACACTTTAGTCCTTTTTGTTTTCCTACTATTTTTTTTTATTTTCTATTTTTCTTTCATAGATTCAAGTGGTCAAGCGTCGTTAGAATAGGGATCGAGTCAGCGAATAATAAAAAAAAAATACGTATCCAATATATCCAACCTCACATATACCGATCGAATCTGCGAGGAGAATGCATTCCAGTGATTTGTAGTCATCCATGGAGCTCCTTCACTTTGCCAACGGCTCAGAAGACATAAAAGGGCTGTATATATTTTCCTTGTGCGCGCATTTCTATTGTTTACGTAAATGATCTAGACTGAGATCCGGCAACCGACTCGAGGTTGCTCAAAAGAAAAAAAATTGGTGGGAAATCGATATTCACAGATACTCCTCGGTGGTAAATCGGAAATTCTATAATGTGGTTAGTAGACTAAGTCTACCGTAGATCAAGAAGTGTCAAGATTGTTCAGAGGAAAAAAAAAATGCGCGGGAACTTGGAAAAGACGAATGGATCCACGGTTTTGTGAATTAAAACAACGAGGCCGGAACAGGGTTGAGCTGGGACCCCTCCCCCTCCTGGCGTTCAGGTCCAGTGTTGATGACTGAAACCAAACCCATTGGAAAGATACCCTGCTGATTGTGCGACGGACGATGAAGGCTGCAGAAATACAAAGTAGCATGTTCCATCACGCCAACATGGGAGAACTGGAAGACACGCAGGGGCAAAGGGAAATTGGACTGGCATGCAGTGACCAGATTCCAAACCAGGCAGGGGCAACCAATCAAATTTATTTCAAGAGCAGCTCGAGCGAGCGAATCTTTCACAAGCGCGCTAAGCTGCTTACAAAATCCTTTTTGGCTCAAACCTTCGGTAGCCTATATACTTTTTGCTGAGGCACAGTAAACCATAGACCAGCATTGGTTGTTGAGTCTTGGGGGGGTGGACGACTGAATGCCCCGATACTTTGCTCTAGCTAGTGTGTGGGCGGTCTTTCCTATTCGTCTTTTCTCTTAGCTTCTTCATGCTAAACTAGTCTATCCGCCATTTTTTCCTTCTTTTTTGTTCTACATTTTTTCCCCTCTGTCTCTCCCTCATCACACCATTGATAGGATGGGGAATGGGAGGATGGGGATGGAGGACGGGTGGAAAATAGAAAATAGAAAACCGTATCCAGGCTGCGTGCATACATATCCTGTTACGATCTCATTTTACCCCTGGGACAGTTTGCTTACCCCTGTCTGGTGTTTGCACTCGGACCCGTCAGTCCTGTCTCTGAATCCGGTCTTTGTGTAACCCAATTTCAGGAAAATAACCGAGGGGCACAGGCAGCTGGCACATAGCCGTTTTAAGGTTCAGCATCAGGGACTTGTTTCAGTCTTAGACGCGTTATTCTATAACCCAGCTCAGCAGCTCGCCTCTCCTGGGCGGTTGTTTATTCAAACAAATCAAACAAATCGTGTGCAGACACTATTTAAAAAAAAGAAAAAGAAAGGGGAGATAATAATTTACTGAATTGAACATTGAGCATAGACATGCTTAGAGGGGAGCGGGAAGGCGAGCTGTCGACGGGAATGTTTGATGACCCAAGAGGCTAAGCTATTTGAGGGCTCCCGTACATGTCTACCATATCCTCTCCCACCTCAGCATATATAAACTCGACCCCTCCCACCTAGCGCGTCTTTTTATTTTCTCCCTCCCTTTTTTCTAGTCTTACGCCTCTCTCCGTCACTTTTTTTTTCCTTTCGTTGGCAACGACCCTTTTGCTTCATCATTACCATCCCCCATCCTCGACTTCCCTTTCAATCCTTCTCTTGCTTCATTATTACCAGTTTCTCTTCATTTTCCTGTACATATACTTCCGATCCCACATACTCCTCCTCCTTCTTCCCCCTGGGCATCCCAGCTTCCTCCACACACATTCTCTTCCACATCCTACACATTCTCTTTCATATCCTCCACAGCCTCCTTCACATGAAAGCCCTTCTTTTCACACTGGCGACATTAGTCGCTGGTTCTCTCGCACAAGCACCAACAACCAATACAACGACAACATTGTTGCCTGCTCCAAAAGGCTTGAGCGGGCACACTGTTTCTGTAGCCAACAATACACTCTTCATCCACGGTGGAGCTGGCTCAAGTGGCAAGCCAAGCAGCACAGCATACGCCGTCTTCCTCAACCCAGACGGATCCTTTCCAACCAGCGGCGCCAGCTGGAACGCTACAACCGACCTCAGCGGACTCACCCCCCGGAAAAATCACATCGCTTTCTCCACTGGTTCCTTCATCTATAACTGTGGCACTGATGGGGCCCAAGGCGATATGACTTGCGATCAATTCGATGTCGTCTGGTACAACAGTACAAGACTCACAAGTTTGCAAGGTGGAGGGCAAAACAGGGGCGGTATGGCCGCAGCTCAAAGCAATACCGCCGCATATGTAGTGGGAGGGTCTTCTGTTGGTACTGCTACTGGCTTTAGCAACGTTACGACGACCACGAGTGTAGTTAACCTGTCTTCAGGACCCTTGACAAGCATGAACTGGAGGTCTGCCGCCCCTGTGGGTCTGGCAACCAGATACCATACAGCAACTTTGGTCGATGGTGTAGGCGTTGTGATCTTGGGTGGGCAACAATCCACCGGAGGAGCAGCCGGTTTGTCCACTATACTTTTTTACAATACCAATACCTCGACCTGGGATTCAAAGTAAGATATACGCGCTGCTGGGTAATGGCACGTTCTTATGAGGCATGCTCATGGTGACTAATTTATCTTTTATTATAGAAATGTGAATACTGCATCACCGGCCAGCCGTTATGGACACAGCGCTGTCGTCGATGCTAGCGGGAAAATCTTCGTTTATGGCGGGTTCTTAACCACAACTAGCGTCGCCCAGAGTGATTTTTGGTATCTTGACACCGCCAAGCCCGAGTGGTCATGGACGCAGCTTACTAGTGTCAAAGCTGAGTCGCGCGCCTTCCATACGTCAACCATGATGCGTGATGGCAAGATTCTGCATTTGTTTGGTAAGTCGAGTTTCTATAACAGCACAAGAGCATCTTTAAATATCTGCATTCAACCAACTTACCCTAAACTTCCTCAATCGACTCGTATCGTAGGGCAATCTGGTCAAAATGCGAATACCATCCTCGACACCTATTCGTTTTTCGACACCGTGACCAACCAATGGATCGACCCCCGGCCCGCGCCTGCCCTTGTCAACACGACCGAGTCCCCCTACACGGTGCACCCACCACCTTCAGGTAAGATAAAACCCCATGCCCCCGGTTGGCTGCATGCCACGTCAAAACAACCCCGCGAACAGCTTTTCATTGGACCGTTCTTTTCTCCTTTTCAGTGCCCAACGCGCCTCCAACAACAGTGGTCGGTAATAACCCTCTTACTCCACCTGATTCCATATCCTCAGGCAACGATGGCAAGCCCGGCTCCGGATCGTCCTCGTCCTCGACCGGTCTGAACGTCCCGATGATCGCAGGTGTCTGCGCTGCTGGTGTGATCCTCCTCTTCCTGATCATCGTCCTGATCATCCTCCTCCGTCGTCGCCGCAACCGTAACCGTCCCCAGCATTACGCGACCGGCCCCATTGTGATGGAGAAGAAGTACATGGACAGCCCCGCATATGAGGAAGAGGACAAGTCGAAGCAAGCCAAGGCGTTCATGATCCGCCGCCCTCCAAGTGTTTACGTCGTCGATGACCAAGATCCCGAGGACGATATCCCGCATCCGCATTACAAGTCCCAGTACTATGGCGACCAAGGTCCGCCCTCGACGAGCGGTCGTGTGTCTCCAAGTGTGGCAGAGTATGAATTGTTTGGCGCGAACCGTAACACGCTCTCGACTGTCAGCTCTGTGGCAGAGAGACGACGTTACGTCGAGGAACAGCAGCGACAGCTCAGAGAAGGTTACGAGAGTGCTTACAATCATTCGCCACCTTTTGAACCTAATAGTAATGAACGGGACCTCCACAGCGTCTACGAGGACGACGAACAGTCCTATGCGAACGGCAGGAACAACAACAATAACGCTTCTGGTTCGACCGGCCCTCGGTACCCAAGGAACAACAGCAACTCCAGGCGTGGCCAGCAGGCCTCGTCGTATGACCCCGTTGATGACTATCTAAACTGAGTCCGCTAATTCTCTTTCCCCCCTCCCCCCCTACATCATCATACCCATCATTTTTTTTTAAAAAAAAATAAGAAAATAAGAAAAACCAAAAAAAAAAAAAAAAAAGAATACATCCCCCCCCCGCCTACCTCCCCAGTTACAGTATCATAGTCCTTTCATGAATGTTACCTAATAAACCCCCGAGCGCGACTCAGTGTAATAATATTTCTTTTCCTTTTGAAAAACATCCTCCGAGCTCTTTAAAACAAAATCTCGCACAAAAAAAAATTAAATAGAGAGCCCTAGTTCGACATGTAGAATGAGTCGGATGAGGCAAGTGCATTAGCCTAGCATTGCTTCTGTAATCATTGCAACACCGCTCAAGGAATGACCGCACATACCCCCTATGTTTGTAATTTTTTTTTTTCGTAAATATTTATTTCGCTGCTCAGCTCCAGAAGAAAAATAATACAAGTTACACAAACAGCGGTCAGTGAGAAAGAGAAAAAAAGAGAGAGAGGGAGTAAAAGTGTACGTGCGTGCATACGTGCGTGTGTTGTGTATTGCTAGATGTATATAATTCGTAGTTTGTAGTTTCTCTCTCTCTAAAGTGCATTGCGCTTCGTCAAGGACTCGAACCTCTTGAACGTGTACCCTACAAAGGCCAGATCCTTCTGTTTCGAATCCTCGCTAACCATATAGTCGTGCTGTTCCGGATGGTCCGGTACTTTCTCCAGATCCTCGGTCGGGAAATAACTCGTGTCCGTGATCGACGTCAACACCGGCACAAACGGGGACTCCATCCGCCGGATATTCACCCAGTCGACCCCATGGAAGAACGGATGGCCCATAATCTCCTGCACACTGTTGCGGCCCAGTCGCATCTCGGGTGCGCAGATCAGTCTATTCGGGGCAAAAAGGGAAAAAAGAAATAGGTCGTTAGAGCGAAGTTAGCTTTGTTCTTATCGAACAGTAGTAATAGTATATAAAAAAATTCCCACTTCGAAGCAGCTTATTAAAAAGTAGCTTGCTACGCACCTGCGGATAAGATCCTCGGCATTAGGCGTGAGATGCACATCCTCTGGGAAATACAATTGTTCGCGCCAGTTCATGATCTTGCGGTATGTCTCATGCGCGTTCTCGCTGCAGAAGGGTGGGTATCCGACGAGGCACTCAAACATGATGGCCCCCAATGACCACCAGTCGCACTCCTGACCATATCCCTGTTGCAAAAAGATCTCGGGTGCAATGTAATCTGGCGTTCCTACTGTCGAATACGCCTATCAAAGATGGGACCACACACATACACGCACATATCAAAGAAAGAAATTACATGGTGAATGATAGGGTTCATAATCAGACACAGTGACATTGCGCGCGCGCGCAGGGACCATCAAGTCGTTGCTGCTGCTGCTGCTGCTTACAAGGGTACGGCGGTTCTTTTTCCAGGTCGCCAACTTGTCCTTGCTGGAGAACGTCAGGTTGATGGCATCGACTCCGGCTTCTAAAGAGATAACCCCATCATTGCCGTTGTTGTTGTTACTACCGGAATTGCCCTTGGCCTGACCATCCAACAGCCGCTGGTAAAACTGCGAGTCGTGTGTCTTGTGGAACCCAGTCGACAATCCAAAATCCGACAACTTGATGTGGCCATCGCGGTCGATCAAGATATTGTCAGGCTTGATATCTCTGCAAAAAAAAAAAAAAAAAAAAAAAGAAACAAGAGAATTGTACATCAACATCTACTCAAAAAACTCCTGCTCAAATCTTGGCGGCGACACTGTATATCCCAAATGAGATTCCTCCTTTTTACCTGTGGATAAAGCCCATCTTGTGAATGTCCTCGATGGCGAGCACACACTCTGCAATATAGAATCGTGTCACATCCTCCGAGAACGTGTCGTACTTGATCAGCATCGTCATCAGATCTCCACCGGGCAAGAACTCCATGATAAGATACAGGTACTGTGGATCCTGGAACGAGTAGTACAGTTGCACCACCCATGGCGACTCTGACTCTGCCAAAACATCTCTCTCCGCCTTGACATGGGCCAACTATGTTAGACACGGACACGGACATGGACAAGAATGTAGCCATATCATTAATAAACGCCGTGCTCGTTCGTCTTCCTAGACGCTAGGCAGGTCCAGAGACCGATATGGGGACGAATCAGAAACATAAAGTGCCGTCTTTCCTTACCTGATCCTTCTTGAACATATCTGCCTTGCGAAGAGTCTTCATGGCATAAATCTTTCCTGAATCCAACTTCTGGACGAGCCGCACCTCTCCAAAGGCGCCCTTTCCGATCACCTTGACAGTGACAAAATCATCCAGGCCTAACCTTGTCCTGCGCAACCTCAGAAACTGTGATTCCTTGCGACCTAACGCGGTCAATTGACGGTTCTTTCGCTCTTCACTTCCTTGCTCTGTCTCTAATCGTGTCTCCAGCTCTACGCGCCTAGTTGGGTGTGAAAGGAAAAGAGGGGCGAGGGGTGAATGAATGCGATTAGTGGGCGACTATGTTATTGGGGGAGGGTTTCGTTATATGCAATAAACCACAAAGATGCAGTAAAATGAGGACAGGCACAAAGGGGCAGGGGGAGGGGTGAGTAGGTGGGCCAAGGAGGGCAAAAATCGCCTGTTGTCAGATATGTTGCAAGTGGCTCTCAAGCAACCATGCATGCATTCATTTTGCTCCGTTAAAGAGAACAACATCCTGTAGCGTTTCATCGCGTCGCCAGCCTCAATTGCTCGTGCCATTCTTCTTATCTGCAGTGCACTGTGCACCAGAAATGCATGTAGAGAAACTCTGCAGCTCTCCCCCACGTATTATCCCAGCAAAAAATAGTAAGTGATTCGCGTCTCTTTTTCACCCCTCACTCCCCCCCCTTTTTTTTTATCTTTTTTTAAGCGCGTTTTGTAGAAAAAGTTATGCCAATTGCCCTTGGGTCGGCATTGCTAACCTGAAAAGATAAACCCATCACTCCAGGCACAGATAAAGAAGACACAGCTGTGTACGCTCAGACAAAGACAAATGGCAAAGACAAATGGCACCCTCACATACCTCTCGTTTCTCTCAATGGCCTGCTCCAATTGCAGGCTGTAATGATGTTCCAGTCGATACTTGGCCGCCGTGGACTGATCGATCGCAGACCTGGGGAACCCCTCGGTCGAGCGATCAAACAGGTTCTCAGAACTGGTGCTCGCCGCTGCGGTTGTCAATCCTCCGCTGTATGGCATATTGCTGTTACTGTTGCCTGGAGGGGCAAGTTCATTGGCACCCCACTGTTGCTGGGACGGCGGTGGTGGTGCTTGAGATGGTTGCTGAGACTGGTATTCGTATTGCATAGCTGAAGGGGGTTGGTCGAGAGTTGCAAGCTGATAGAGGGGTGAATCACCTCGAGAGGTGAGTCAGACCAAGAAGTGGGAAATGAAGGACAGTAAGAAAAAAAGAAAAAAAGAAAAAAAGAAGGAAAGAAGATGGAGCTGAATGAGGACGGGTGAGATGGGGAGAAAGAGAAGGGGGAACGAGGAGGAAGGGTGAAGTAGCCGCTTCAGGGGGAACGGGAAATGAAATTGGCAAAGGACCAGCCAGAATAGGGCACCGCTCTATCTTTCTCTCTCTCTCTCTCTCTCTCTATAGCTCTATAGCTCTATCGGTCTATGTCTAAAACAGAGGGGGAAGCGGGACAAGGAAGACAAAGGGTCGAGGCGATGGAACGAACAGGTGCAGGGAGGGAGGGACTGCAATGGGGCGGAGGATGGGGGTTCCAAGGGAGAATGCGATGGGCGATGGGGCACACCAACCTTATTTGATGAACCATCACCCAACCATTGTCGCCATCGTCCCCGAGGGACCAAAAAAAGCACCGCGGGCAAAGGAACGTTGCCCTTAACAAGCCACTGCAACGCCCAATGAGCGGTGTGGCAGCATAAGAAGGTTAAGCGTGCAAGAAGGCGCTGCCCTTCTCACTCCATCTTCTTCATCAGTCCTACTCCTCATCAACTGAGAGGACCACTCCATACTTGACCTACCGGACCCAGGACATCACCACATATCACAAGTCATGGATACTACCTCGGTCGAAACCGCAGCCTCGGCGCGTCCTACTTCGGGCACCGCGGCCGCAACATCCAAGGATACCCCAGACCCATCTTCAAGCACGACCGGCACAACGGAACACGTGCAGGACATCAAAAATGACACCAGTGGAAACACCTCAGCATCCCAACCCGCCACAGAGCCTGCCTCTCAAAAAGACCAAGTCCAGGAGAAGGCATCCGAGCAGACGCCGCAGTCATTCGCCGCGGCCGTGTTCCCGGGCTTCAACCCACCAAAGCTCAACACCTCGGCTTTCTTCTCCTCTATGCAGGGCAAGATCCAATCCACGATCGCCAACACCAAACCCCCGGCCCTAAATATTCAGGCTCCACACCTGGAGAAGGTCGACTTTAAGCAGATTCAGGCTAGCACGGAGCAACTGGCAAACACGACCAAGGATTGGGGATTCAGCGCGTTCAAGTCGTTGAGTAGCGCAGCCCAACGCGTCGGTGCGAATGTCACCCAGGGAATCCAAAAGGAACATGACGACTTTGTCAGGCAAAAGAAGTTGGAGACCGTGGCGCCCCGTGAAGGAACAGGTACGGGGTGAACAAAATGGATGAGCGCGAACATGTTTCCCGTCTTCAACCTCTATGCCACCTTGTGTCTAACTTTCTGCTTCTTGTGTTTTTTTTTTTTTTTTTTAGAAATACTTCCTGCTTGGGCTGGAATGCCGGACGAGGACAAGATCAAGGCGCGTATCCTCAGTCTATCAAAGGTATGCCGTCGACCTCTTTCCGTTCAAACTCTACGTCTTTTTTTTTTTAAAGGGCAGATGCTAATAACGGAACACTACTATTTTTTTTTATTTTTATTTTTTTATTGTTTTTTAGGACAAGAGGAACTTTTTGCTTCCACCTCCCCCAGGAACCGACTTTGTGTTTGACATGAACGTCTACTCCACCACAGCCTTCGCTACCTTAAAGCAGGATCCCAACCTCAACAGGATGCGCTTTAGTCTCGTTCCTAAAGAAATCGAGGAGCTCGTCTTCTGGCGCAATTACTTCTACAGAGTTTCACTCCTCAAGCAATTCGCCTTGGCCGCAGCATCAGGGGGCACTGATTCACTGGCAGATCTCGCTTCGGATTCAACCACAACAGAGAATGGCGCTGAGAACGGTGGTGCCGGTTCGGATCATAGACGATCGCTCTCGGTATCTTCGGCATTAGGGTACAACATCTATTTCGGAGGCGATGATGTGGATGGACCACCGAGACGCTCGAGACCCAATTCTATGGTTGCGAGGTCAAATGCAAAAGATGCAAGTGCTGCTTCTGCTTCTGCTCCAACTACTGCTGCGACAAGGAACACAGGCAAGTCCGCGGTCAAGGACACGGAAAGGAAATCAGAAGTGCTGTTCGAGGCTGAAATGCCAGACCATGACGAGGACCCTGGTACGTTGGGTTATGACTCGTGTAATCGAAAAAAAAAAAAAAATGTGCATTGGATATTCGTTAAGGCTATTGTATTTAATGATATCTTCTTATTTTCTTTCTCTCGTTGTTGTTGTTGTTGTTGCTGCTGTTGCTGTTGCTGTTTGCTGAAAAAAATCATCTCTAGATGCATGGCTCGAGAAGCAGCTCGCTTCCGGTGTCTCGATTGGTGGCGAGGACGACGCAGATGTGGATGTTGGGGATTGGGAGAAGGAGCTGCAGAACGAACTCAAGGATTATGTGGAAGGATCTTGATCTCTGCTTACACCGACGCTTTTTTTTTGATTTTTTTTTCTCTCTTTCCAGCATCTGTATATCTTACATATTACATATATCGCACGGCAAATAAAACTGTTCACAACATCAATACTTTTTTTTTTTTGCTTTCATGTCAATGAGTATGATTTTATTTTGCTCCGCAATCTCTTTCTCTCTCTTTTTTTATTACTATTATTGCTATTCTTGGTTTTTTTTCCTTCTTTTCATCTGAAGCACCTAGTTGGTCTTGACCTTCTCGTCAAGCGACTTGGCAGTCGACATATTGGTCCAGCCAGATCCCAACTTGTAAATATTCCATCCCAAAAACAAGCTGCTCACAAAGAACGTGTCCGCAACCATCAGTGTGCTCCGTCTCTGCCAATACGTCTGCTCATAGTATCCCGATCTTGCCACAAACTCTGCCAAGAAGAAGATGCCCAACGTCCTTGCCAATTCGGCCTTGAGTCCATAAGGCTTCGCATCCATCATCTTTGACAGCGCGACCAACGAGATCAAGAACGCAATGCAGACCCCCTGGGTCTGCCACAGGGGCAAGATCTTGTATCCCTCTGCCAGCAGAGCGCTACCGACGACGATGACGATCGTAAAGTGAGCAGCAATGTAGTAATTGAACTTTGAGGGCAACACGGGGTCGTACTTCTTGGGTGGGTTCTTCAGATCGATATCGGGGATCTCGGACAAGAGGCCCGTGCGGGGTACGCCAGGGTGCCAGCCAGGACCGTAAAAGACCACCTTGAACTTGTTGGCGAGACCAGGTGTGATCCAGAGCATGTTCCAAATATGTTTGAAGTGACTCAGCTGGATCGCGACAGGGTCGAAGGTGTTGATGGGGTGGGTCAATCCATAGGCGACGGGTTCTTCGTCCTCTTTGCGGGCGACGACATCGGGGTAGACGCGCTCATCGGCGTAGGTTCCAAACATGCGGTCCCAGATGATGAGTGTTCCGGCATAGTTCTTGTCGATGCAGTAAGGGTTACGGCCATGGTGGAGACGATGGGCGCTAGGGGTATTGATGATGTACTCGAGCCAGCCTAGACGGGGCACGATTTCTAGAAATAAAAAAAAAAAAAAAAAAAGAGATCACGAATGCAGATATGAGCTTCTCGGGCTTCTTCGGCTTTCACCTGTAAGGTCAATCAAAAAATATCGATACAATCAAATATGCTCGAGGCCCTTACCGGTGTGGATCCAGAACTGGTAGAGTAGGTTCAGTTGTGTATGGACCGCAAATTGAGAAGGCGAAAAGACCAGGGCCAGGGGAAGGTTGAAGATGAAGGATGTGTAAGTCTGGACCAGGGATTGGCGCAGCGCCGTTGATACATTGTAATATTCACTATTTTCATAAGATCGATCAGAACCCAATAAACGTGTCAGATTTTGGGAGTCGGGTGCAGCCCCTTGCATGTTGTGGACTGGATGGACTTTGAGCATCAACAAGAGCAACAACAACAAATAAACAGGAACGAGAGCAAGGGACGAACCTGCTGTGATGGACTGAATGGCCGGCCCAGAAGATGTTGACCTCGTGGGCTGCGCGATGGAACTAGATTGAATTGAAGACGAACACATGTTCTGTGAGCAATTTGGTCCGAGGCTGCGCGATGGCCATCGTAGATTCATTAACGGAAGCCTGAACCTACCCAGTAGTATGCAAAGTCTGTTGACGAAAGCAAGAGCCAGCCAGGGTCACAGTTGGGTATGGGGTACATATGTTTGGGCGTTAGTGAGACCCCGGCGTAAAGTCAAACATTGCTGCAAGGGATCATTTATTACATGGAGCCTGCTGCTGCTCTCAAGATTCATCATAATCGATGGCTCAGCTGCGTCTTTGTTTTTGTAAAAGAACCTACCAACAGCGAGGAAGCATCCAATCCAGGTCGATAGCTTGAAGGTATCAAAGGCGATGGACTCGATTTTGTAGTGGTCCCAGATATAGTTATAGGTCACCATCTGCAGACTGCCTAGGAAGAAACGCGACATTTGCTGGATCGATCCCGCGCCTAGGGATCCGATCATGTCGTTCAACCTGTATTTGCCCTGGTCCCACTTGCCGTCGTGGCGCTTGAGACCCTTGCCCTGGTCCTTGATGATGTAGTAGACGAGTTCTGCAAGGACGAAGAATACAAACCAGGGCGTCGCATCGGCCACATAGGGAGGTACTTCTTGTTGGGTACGGAATGTTGTGGCCTTTGGTGAGACGAAGTAGAACATTCGTCCGAGGGATTCGGCGACCTTGATGACCGTCATGTCCGAAAGTCGTCGCTTGGTGGGAATGAGGGCTGGAAGAGGGTTAGGGAATGACCTGAGAGGGAGGGTTGAATGAGAAGGAGGAAGAGGAAGGGGCGGTGGTGGTAATGACAGGGGTATTAGGTGCCAGCAAAGCTATGGAGAAGAACGCCGACTCTTTATAGCCGAACCTGGCTCCCTGGGCCGGAAAAGATGGTTTGTAAGGCCTATTACCTAAATAGGAAACAGCACATAACTCGACCCTGGCTTCGTGCGACTAGGAAACGCGTCCTTTCTTTTCCATCAGGACATCTTTAGTGGAGGCTGGATGCCATTTAGCTGGCCTCTGTTGTTTTGTTCTCCTTGGACATTTATGCTCCACCTGTACTGTAGGTCAAAGTAAAAGGCAAAAAAGTATAAGGAAAAATCCTCTTAAATCAGAATTACAGGAAATGAAAAAGAAACAAACCATGTGCCTGCATACCTTTAGCCGAGGAGCAACTGAGCCGAAACACTAGCTGCTCACTCAAGCGGTCCGACCTGGAATCATGCATGATGCTGCAGATCCTGCTTATCGTCATCCCCTGGATTCTCCACATCCGAGGGCTATCGTGCGTTCATTTCATTTTTCTCTCCGAGCCCATCTCGCGAGTAATAAAGCGAGTGTCTGATAGACACAGGACAGGCGGCTAGAACATTGAAGGGCGGCAATGGCCCCTGTTATTGGCCTATGGAGTGCGAGCCAATGATCGACGAGTATGTGTGGAACCGGAGTTGCCCTGAGAAATGAGAATGTGTGTGTGTTTTGGTATGGATGTGCTGTAGTCTACCCAAGGGGGGAGGGGAGGGGGAGGATTGGTTGAGTATGGGTATGGGGCTGTGTCTGTGCCGTAGTTTTTTCTTTTGCTGCTGTCGGTTGGACAATGTGGCAATGATGACAGTGGGAATGAAGACCCTTAACGGGACATGTACAAGCAGACAGGGAATAATATTGAATGGGCTCATTCCATTTCAATTGCACCAGAAGAAGAGAGTTCAGAGTGCGTTTGGATGTCCACGGAGCACTTTTCGTTTTTCTGCCACGGGCTGCTATTCTTAAACCAAACCTTATATCCCTGATACTCCATCCATCCCGCTATAACACCCACTCCCTCCCCCCTTCTCTCTCTCTCTTCTCTTCTTCTTCTTTTTCCTCTCTCTCTCTCAAGCGAAAACATCTTTATATTCATATTCATTCATTCGTCTGTTCGTTCGTTCATTCCGCCTCATCCTCATCCCCATCCCCATCCTCATTCCGTCTCGCACCCGCCAGATCGTCTTTGTTCTATTCCTGTCCCTTGCCCCTACCCCCTGTCGCGCTATATCTGCCCTTGACTATCCCCCCATCCTCCTTTCTTCTCTCCAAATACCTGGTACCCCAGTGAAAAACAATACAGCCCTGTTTCCCATACCACCCCACCGGCACGCTGTCTACAACAACAACAATCAAAACTATAACCATGTCACCGTCCACTTCTTCTCCTTCTCCTTCTCCTTCCTCCTCTTCCTCTTCCTCTTCCTCTTCCTCTTCCTCTTCACCTTTGTCTTCTTCCCCTTCCTCCCCAGCGACAAGAAGAGCAAGGACAACGTCAATCTCTGCTACTGCCGCTATCATCCATCACCCCATCGAAACCCACTTAGAGAGCACCTCTCCCTTCCACATGCATCCCTGGTCCACTGAGCGGGCCAAGATCGCACACGAGTCCGAAATATCACCTCCAATCTCACCCAGGCAGCGGGCTGTCCTGGGTGCCGGAGCCCCCCACGGCGACTTTGTCGAGCCTCTCCAAGAATCCAATCTCTCGACCACCACCAGCAATAGCAATCTCAGGCGTCAGTCCATTATCTGGAATGATAGCAACACCAACAACAACAGTACTAATAGCGACAACAGCAGCATGGACGATGACAACACCCACAAGGGTACCGGAACCAGCTGCTGTAGCAGTTTCCATGCACACTCACATCCAAACTCGCCCTATGTCCATCAGCATCATTCACGGCAACTCTCCTCAGCACTGGAGCCCATGTCTACGGGTTTGCTCCTGCCCCGCCCAGAGCTGGATGCTCTCTCGTCATCCTCCTCCAGCTCCGCTTCCCTTATCTCCTCTGCCTCGTCCTCATCCACCTCACTGTCCTCCGTATCGTCGAAATCATCCCTATCACATACCCCGTCACCCGCTCATGATCATCACCGCTATCACCACCTCACAAAGCTCGAAACTTCTAAACAGCCAGAGTTCTTCTCCATCGATACCCCTCCTACCAGCCACGTCCCCTCGCCATCCTCCCCCTCCTATCCAACCCTGAAGGGACCCTCCCTCGCCGATCTCAAACCTGGATCCAGAACATCCTCTCGCGCCCCTTACCATTGCACTCAGAAACCGGTCTCTCAAATCATTCGCGAGATCTCCGACCTCGTGGACGGACGCGATAAGACCATCAAGGTCATCCAATACTTTGCCAAGGTCTTCTTATGGCTCTTCCTCTCCAACCCAGTCCAGTACAAGGTCCTTGCTGCGCGTCTCAAGGCTCTGGCGAAGCAGTTCTCGACCACGCGCAAGATCTTGCGGTTAGGTCATTTCGTCGATCCCATGGTCTCGGTCCTGACCTTGGCCGTGACCCTCCGGGTAAATATCCGTCAACACGGTCTGCGGAGGACACTTGACAAGACACCGTCCCAGACCTGGCGAAACACGGTCCGGGACCGCTTGGGTAGTCTGAGCAGCGTGCTAGGACTCTGTCAGGATATCTCGGACGACATCTACTGCCTTGGAACGATTGGGGTTCTGGACCGGTCGTTTGCGGACAAGGCTGAGCCTTGGTCGAACCGACTGTGGATGGCGGGTGTGTCAATTGATCTCCACGAGAACCTGCAGTCGATCTGGGATGTCAAGAAGCAGATCAAGGCACTGGAGTCCGATGCACCGGCCGAGACTGAAGAGGAGGCCGAGGCGAGGATTGCACAGTACACCAAGTTGAGGACGAAGCTGCACTGGCTGCAGGTCACGACTGTCAAGCTCGGAGGCGACTTTTTGTTTTGTGGTGAGTTTCTATCTTTACTTTCTCTTCACTACTGCAGCAGAAAGACTCTTTCTGAGCAAAAAGACATTCTAACTGACACTTTTCCTCCTGTTGACTCTTTAGCATACGACAACCTGCATTGCTCCTTCTCGGATGGCTTCCAGGCCGTAACAGGGTTCATTTCCGGTCTGGCAGGCGCCTACAAGTTTGTCGGCAAGGTCATGGAATCCTAGAAAACCTCCCCCCCTGGATCCTTTCCTTCTTCTTCTCCTGTCCCTTACCTTTCTCCTTCCTTATCAAGCCGTCCTTGGCCAAACCTCCGACCTGCATTTTCCACCATACCTTCCATCTATATATACCTTCCTGTCGAGCGCTTATCGCTTCATTCATTCACTCTCACCCGGTGAAATGTACCTTACATCCATACAGCCCATACACTCATACATCTCAGCAAATAAACCTAATGATGACTTTTTTTGCTCAATAATGTGTATTCGTCTTCTTTTTCTTTCATGGTCGTCGAGAACGTGGATGTCGAATGCAAAAAAATATCTGATAAGAGTCCGCGACGCCAAAACAAAGGACTAGCGATAGAACACTCAAAGTTTCAGCCTAGCCCAAAGCTGGCTGTATTATTCGCTTGAGATAGGTTCAATAAATGAATGCCATCCACCTTCTCACACTTTCACCATGAACAACCGTCAGAGAACTTATGCCTAAAGATCCTCGATTTATACGAACACCCCGTGCATTCTGGTTCAGGGCAGTCATTGACCTATAATTCCTCTGTATTTGGTGCATAGATAGGCATGGTATTAAACTGGTCCTTCAAAAGGACATTCCATATTTTGGTTCCTATGTTAAATGTTTGTAACAAGGTCCATCGAATCCTCGAACTGCTTCCGCGCGAGCTGACGCGTCGTCTTGGTTCCCGCACGCACGAGCAACTGGCTAAGGTTGTTGGCGTATCAAATCTAGTGGCAGGGAGGGTCATTCGTTACTATGTACGAGAGCGAGAATGGTTTTTTGAAGACGACGAGTCCCCCCCTCCCCAGACCCAATAGTGTCATCACCAACACAAGGTCGACCCTCAAAAAAACAACTGGAGCTTCGATATAGGGAAGCATTGACGGAAAATCATGACAAAGTTCAACAACACTAGAGCAACGAACACCTCCAGGACGATCGTACAACAATTGAGCTCACACTTTGATATGGACGCACGGCAGCGCACAGTAACACCGTTGCTAAAAAGTTGTCCGCTGCAATGGGATTTATCCCATCCAAGATTTGAAATTAACATCGGTAGGATAAATCTAGCCTGTCTCACGATGGTCTAAACCCAGCTCACGTTCCCTTAGTGGGTACACAATCCAACGTTTACTGAAATTGTGCTTCAGTATGGCGAGTGCGCTGCTGACTGTAGAGCTGCTACTGGTCGCAGTGGTAGTGCTGGTGATATTGGCCAGGGTCGGTGAAGGAAGTTGGGATGATATTCCCCGCAAGAGAAATGTTGAGGATCGGGAGAGTTATGTTACTCTTACGCGTATTACTTAAGACAGCGGGCTGCCATGGTCAACATTTACGGGCACACAATACCCTGTGGCCCTAGCTTTGATCTCTTCATTGTTCATCACTTTCTCTCCTAACCTTTGGTTTTTCGACCCCATTGAGTGCTTTAGCTTATGCTCCTGACTACCACTTCTAATTTGTAAACTTGTCATGGACAAAGACTGCCATGGACGAATGACTAAAAGTCAAGGCACCATTGCTAACTTCCTATTTGCATCACCTTCACCATTCAAGCAAGCAAAGATACTTTCGCCGAATCCACCGGCTCTGCTGACTGTACAACGGGAGAATCGGCCATGGCAGCGGTATCCATCATACTGTGGTTTGATGGCACCTTGAGTTTATGCACCACGGATGCCATGGTAACTAGCTTTTTGCTTGCCTCGCGGATGTCCAAAGGCGGAATCGGACTTGCCCACAGCGCCGCGTTGTTTTAATAGCCGCATATTTACCCTGCTTAAGCCTTGCACGTTCTGGATAGAGGTATTTGACACGGTAAGCCTGTCATGCATCGAACTCCATTGCAGGCGGACCTGATAGCGATCCTCCTCTTCTATGACCTGCCACATGCTAACAGACATATCCCGACAGCCGGTTGCGAAATAGGTGCCGTTTGGAGTAGGGTTCCAGGCTATGCTTGTGATTGATCCATGGAAACCTTCAACAACTGCCAAACATTGACCCGAATTCACATCCCACAGCCGCACCGTCTTGTCGTAACTGCCCGAGAGGATCTGCTGGCCGCTGGGAGAATACACCACGCTGTTAACATAGTGGGTATGGCCGCTTAAGATGGGACCAGGTGCACCGGTTTGTGCATCCCACAGTCGCACCGTGTTGTCGTAACTGCCCGAGGCGATCTGCTGGCCGCCGGGCGAATACACCACGCTCGTAACAATGTCGGTATGGCCGCTTAAGATAAGACCTGATGCACCAGTTTGCGCGTCCCACAACCGCACCGTCTTGTCCCAACTGCCCGAGGCGATCTGCTGGCCGCTGGGCGAATACACCACGCTCGTAACAACATCGGTATGGCCGCTTAAGATGGGACCGAGTGCACCGATTTGCGCATCCCATAGTCGCACCGTCCTGTCACAACTTCCCGAGGCGATCTGCTGGCCGCTGGGCGAATACGCCACGCTCGTAACACGGCGGGTATGGCCGCTTATGATGGCACCTGGTGCACCGGTTTGTGCATCCCACAGTCGCACCGTCTTGTCCCAACTGCCCGAGGCGATCTGCTGGCCGCTGGGAGAATACACCACGCTCGTAACTGGGCCGGTATGATCATACAAGGTGTGCGCTTTTGTCCAAGTCGAAGTGTCATACACGCTAATCGCGCCGTCCTGGAGACCTACCGCACAGAACTTCCCATCTGGTGAATACGCGCAGGAATTCACCGCGCTATTTTCTGAGAAGTACGGCCATTCGCCAAACTGCACCCCCGACATCTTTGCGTTGCTCAAATCGGCCTGTCGCAGCCAAATATTCCGAAGATTGACTTTTCTTAAATCCGCCCCTTGCAGCTGAGCAGAATCGAATTGCCCACCACTCAGGTCCGCTCCTGGAATCTGGATGCCTTTTAGATCTGTGCCATTAAACAGCACTCCGGCTCTGACCAATATTGTGATCGCATTGGCTGCTGCCTTGCGTGCCTCTTTGTTGGTTTTGGAGCATTCGATCGTTGCGATCAGTTGCTGCTTGAAGAGAGGTTCCTGTTGGACACGCTCTGCCAAGAATTGCAGAATCGACGGCTCGCCCACAAAGATTCTCCGTGCCAAGGGCGAATCTAGCATTGCCTGTTCGATAGCTGACACGGGTTCCTCTACAACAGCCTGGTTTTCAAAGCTCATGATGGAATCGACGCTTCCTCGACGCCGCTGGGCTTGAGTTAGGGCTGCGCGATTCGTGCTCTCCTCGTCTCGCGGTTCAAACACTGCACGGGCCAAGCAGTATTCCAGAAGTGATTTATGGATAAACCGGTACTGATTGCCGCTGCGGGCCAGAGGACACGCCTCACGCAAGAGCTGCTGCTTCTCGTCCACCCGGCTAAAGAAGTCTTCTTTCCATGTCCCTTGATTGCGAAAGGGTGAGTACTCGACCACCGGATTGCCCGCTTGCTCTTCGTACACCGCTACCGCTAGCGTCTTCAAAAATGTGATTCCGTTCTGCGCAAAACCATCGTCAGACAAGCTCTCAAACATCTTCTTCTCTTGATAGCTCAAGTCCTTCTTCTCAACAAGCCGTTTCTTGCCTCGCTCCAGCCATTGCTCCACAAACTGGTCATACAATGCGACTCTCGTGATCCTGACAGCCGAGAGATCTTGTCCTGGATCCACTATGCGCGGCAATACCTCCATGGACAGCGTCAACATAAACGGGTTCTTGACCAGGTCTTGCAGGCTGGGAATCAGATTCAGGGCCTCCAAGTAGTCTGTCACCTGCCAGAGCGGTCTAGTTGCAGACACATATTTCCTTATGTATTCTTGAATTTGATCCATAGAGAATGGCGCAATGACTGCCTCTTGAAATGCTGGCTCTGCTTGATGATTGTCATCTGCTGGCTGGAACCGATCCCGATAGTCAAGGCCAAGATACTCGCTGCGGTAGCTAATGACCATCTGAGCACTCCATCCTCCCGCCTGGTTCAGTCGGTTGCTCCTGTACAGGTTGTGTGTCTGCTGGCTCTCATCATATCCGTCACAAATCAAGGTGAATTTGCGGTGGTCTTTCAGCTCTCGGATCTGGGGTTCGGTAAACTCTGCCTTGCGTAGATGTTTGGTGATCAGATCCTGTTCTGGCTTGTCGATTGCAGGCAAGCTGATAAAGAGCGGAATCCTACCGTCTTTTTTCTTGTAGATATCCCACAGTTCACGCTCGAGCTGGCGGTTAAAGGTCGACTTGCCTCCACCTGAATCACCTAGCAGGAGCATCACCTTACTATGGTCACTGCTCAGGAAGCCTTTAACTTTTTTTGTCAGGTCGAACAGGTTGTCATCGGACGCTTGCAGGTTAGCCTTGGCTTGAGGGGGGATGTACACGGCTTCGCCTCGCTCCTTCAATCGTTGCTTTCTCAGTCGTCTCAGGTCGGCTTCAACATCGGGCTTGTTCTGGACAAGATCAAGCAATGATCGAGACACGGCAGTTGGCAAGGCGACCTGCAGCGGGTGTAAGCTTCGATTTCCCTTTCGACATTCCTGATAAAGAACCCTTTTCGCCTCGTATCCATTCGATTCCAGCTCTTGCAACAAAGATTCTACACCTATACCATATACCACGTAGATCACAATAGAATATCATACAGCTATTAGTACCTGCTTGGTGGTGAGGTCCATACTTTATAATAAGCCGACAGCATCTCACGCATCCGTTCATCATACATACGTGGCATAGCTGAACCAAAGGTCGAAGCCAACTGCATAAGGATGCGAATGATCCACTGCTTGACGAGGGCTTGCCGACCCCATTCCGCATCGTTTCGGTACATCTCGCCCAGAAACGCAACAGCGTCTTTACGGGACTCGATATCCCACAGTGGATTGGCGGCAAGGTCCCCCAGTCGCTGGCATACTCCTAGTTGAAAGGCTAGATCACGCCGGCATGGCGCTTCACAGACCAGGGTCTTGAACTTGGAAAGTTGACCGTCCCGAAGCAGCGTGTCTGTCCCACGCAGTGCTGTATACCACGCACGTTTCCGACTGAAGCTGAAACCGATCTTGAGAGATTCCAACAGTCCTTGTCCGTTCTCGACAAGTGCGCTCACGCCTTCATAACCGATTTTCGCTACCTGGATCACCTCTCCCAGTCCTTCCTGAAGATGACCGAGTCCTGTGATGAAGCCATCGACATCCAGACCTTTTACCGCGCTCACCAGTCCCGAACGCCCTTCAATACGATTCCTGCGCGCCGAATTGTTGCTTGCCAGGGTGATTCGTTGTCTGGGACGCACTGCAGCGCTTGGAAGGCGTAAGCAGCCTGGTACACCAAGTAAGGGTCGCTGCTGCCTTTCAGCCCATTCAAATAGGTAGAGAGTGGCTCATGCAGCTCTTCACGCTTTAAGCCTGAGACCTTGGTATCGGCCATGACATCCAGGACATTGGATACTGCGAGGGTGAGACGGCAGATGTGATCTGAAGACTGAGTATGAGTATCCTGTAGGCGGGTGTTGAGGTTGTACAGGATCTTGGATAGGTCATCCGAGTCGAGGTAGCCCTCGGGAGAACTTTGGACCAACTGTGCCAGCCCTTCAAGGGACTCCACATCCAGCAGGCTGGAATTGTCAACGCCATCGACAAAGAGCATGAGCAAAGAGCGGAAATCATCCTTTTCAAGAACTGGGGCCAGGCATACAACTTCTGCGACAGCCTTAGCATCCTTGAGCTCATCGCGAGTGAATGCTCGGATCACATCTTTCGCCAGCGTCCTGAGTCTTTCCTTCTCTTCTGCATTCTTTTCTGTGGATTTCACCCAATTTCCTGCAGCTGGTTCAAAGACCTCTTCGGGTGATGGCGTCACTTGCAGAAGACCAAGACAGTAGGCAAGCTGGGAAGTATCGTTGAGTTGCTCATCTGGCTCTGGTAACGCGATCTTGACGGTGGGTTGACGCATGTCATCAGGAAAGATATCCTCAGGGATCCATGCCATGTCGCGGCAGGCACTGTCGGTGGCAGAGGGAATTACAGAACCTGGGACTTTTATAGGAAGCACATGGCTGTTGAAGCCAGAAGAGAGTCAACAAAGTGAGAGATGTGTTAGGCACGACGCATGATATAGCCGGCTAATGTGCACAAGTAGAGAGCAGGTACCTGTCACTTACCCCCACTTTTCTGCCCTCTTGTAGCTGACCTGCGCTATTTCGCTATATCCCAAGCTCTCCAATAGGTTGCCGTGCTCGAAACAGGCGCTGGCGAACCTACGGCGCAGGGCTTGATCCTTGACGGACAGGGGAGCTGTAAGAGTCTTTCTCGCAGCTCCTTTCATCCGGAATAACGCAGCTTCCGCATCGTCACACAACATTAAAGCAAATTCCTGGTCCTTGGTTTTGCGCGCATTCTCCATGTAGAAGTTGGCGAGCTCCAGTTCCTTTTGTGGCGAGAGAGCCTTTCGCAATGATGATAAAGGTCTGTCAAACATGTTGCTTCTCTGAGGGGATTTCTCCTGTTATCATGGCGCAGATGGCGGCGATATTAGTGACCTTGTGGTCGATTAATATACCTGTGCGAGTAGCCAGCATACGTACTTGTACTAGATAGAGACTTCAGTAACGCAATGGGGACCAATATGTCGCAGTGGGCTGGTATAGCACAGACGCAGTGGGAGCAGAATGAGTTATGGTAAATAAGAACATTAATATCCACAGCAGCTACATGAACAATATCATATGTGGCTACTCTGTCAAGTGATGGCGCCTCATCTCGGAAGTGTCTATTCGACTCTTGTTTCCTTTAGTTGGATGCAGAGGTAGTCCTGATGATTTGTCCTGTCTGTGCCTCCTACCAGCGACACCAACTGCCCATCGTGTAGAAAAGATTAATAACCTTAAAACATGCCTGTAGGCAGCTATCGAGTGACAAGAAACAGTGACTCACCTCGACAGGAATCTGTTTCTCGAGTCCTTTCGCCAGCTGAGGAGATGGTCTGTCCCTGTGCAATGTTCTCTACTCCAATCCTTTGTTCAAGACGGTCTGCACACGAATAAGGCGTTCGAGTGGAGTGATATTCGCTTCCCTCGTCGCTTTTACCAGAGATTCCTATGACCATGAAAAGAGGGATTATTATTCATTGCACATGAATGGCTGCTCTGCTGATCTCGGCCATTGTAGCACTAGCACTCTTGACTCGATGGTGGTTGTTCAGGCACATTCAGAGGTGGGGCTTTGGCAGATAAACTGTGTCTTTGTTACCAACGAGTCGCCGCTGGACTGTGCTTATTGAGATGGAGCAAAGACATACTTGAGACAGACTGAAAGATGAGAGAGATACGAGACAGTTCCTGATGGATTGGGGGATGGTGGATGTGGGAAGGAGGGAAAGTACGGAAAGTGGAAAAGTGGGAAAGAGGGGAAAAGAGTGCAAAGACACATATCTATCGTGCTCTCGGATGCAAAGGAGAGAAGGAAAACAACAGCACTGAGGCAGATCAATTCGAACAACCTTAACCACCAGAGTTGCGATATACATATGGGGGGGGTGCATCGTATCATGTTCGTTCCAGTGGTAAGTCGCCCAACAAACAAGCTCGGAGGAATGTGATGAGACAGTGGTTGGGAGAGCACGACATAGCAAGCTCAGTAGGCAATCTGTCAAAGGCTCAACTCTAAGCAATAATCCAGAAGGCGACAAAAGACGAACAGCCGACCTGCAACGCGTACGCTATTGCGGAGAAGCTTGGCCACCGGATCCTTAAAACACCTCCCTGCAATTGTGAACTTCAGCCCGTAGAGAAGATCTGGGGTGTAGGGAAACAGGAGCAAGCTGCCGGTTATAGTGGCGAAGAAACAGTGCTTTCTGTTTACTGCAAGACGAATCGTATATTCTCAAAAATCCCTGAAGAAACATTCCTGTCCTTCTGGAAGGACACTATTGAGAAATGCAAACAGCACAGCAACATGGAGCAATGAATGTATCTTAAGTTCTATTGATAGCCCAGTGGCCATTTATTGAACCTATCTAAAGCGAATATAGCCCGCCTTTGCTTTGCGTTGCGGACTCTAATAGTATACAAGGAACGCGTTCATGTCATATCAAACGCGCGTCCGCATCTGTTGCTATAGTAAATTATAATACATTTCTCCCTTTCTCGCCCTCACCCTCTCTCTGTCCCTTGTCTGCCTAGTTTTTTTTCTTTCTTTCTCAAGAGCGACTTTGGTCTTCAGCAATCCCTCTGAGGGCAAGAGTGATCTCCTGGAGGAGTTCTCTTGCCTCAAGAACAGCAGCTTCGTATTCCTCGGTCGCCTGTGCGTTCTGTCGTGCCAGGGCCTCAAGGTCACACGTCTGATCTTCTAGGCTTTGGGTGATTCCCGGCAGGTTGTCGATCAGGGTCTCGAGTTCTTTGGCTTGTCGACTGATATCGAGCGCCAGCTCCTGCGCCGAATCTGCAGTTTGGGACAGAATAGGTATTGGTTTCATTCTGGTTAATATGATGAATGCGTAATGAAGCAACTATTTTTAATTGATGTTCGAGAAGCACAGGTGGGTCGTCGTACTTTGTAACTGTTCCTGAGGCATGCCATGGACTATTAAGGACGCGCAGAAAGAGATACCAAGAAACGGTTGGTCAATATCGTTAGCACAAAGGATTTTCTATCCTTGATCGCATGTTTCATTATCTGCTGGACGATGAATGACAAAGGCGGCCTGCCCCATACCGGTGACAACGGGGACATTAGGATTGAGTGGAACGAGGGGCGCGTTCTTAGTGAGGTGGTCGAGCGAGGAGACAAAGAGGAGCGCCAGTTTGTCGATCGCGTCCTGAAGCTGAGTGAGTCTGTCCATCCTGATGAAGATGTGATGTGGATACGATGGCAAGACGAGGAACAAGACGGTGGATGACAAGCAAAAGGTGGGAGAGGGATCAAGTTGTTGTTTTTGTTGTTTTTTTGGTGGCGATGCTCATCCTCGAGAGGCAAGGGTTGCTGTGGATGATTTGATGGCGAAGACTTCCTTCCTGGTTGGGAGGTTATCGCCCCCCCTCCCTCCAGATGTTTGGTACTACGCCATCAAGCCACTGTGCTCCAATTGCTCTCTTCTCACTTCACTTTTGCAGGCTTCCAAATGAATGCTCTTCACTCATCTTTGTGTTCTTTACTCTGCCTGAATCACTTCACACCTCGCCATGTCCGACTCTGACGACCACGCACCAGCACCGCGGAAGAAACCTCAGCCAAAACCCCGTTCACGTAGGGCACCTGGCAAGAACCGCTCCGACCCTATGGGCTCACCCATCTCCCCCGGTTCAACATCGTCTCCACCCCAAGCCAGGAGAAGAATCGAGGACGACTTTTTCAGCAAGGCAAAGAGCTATCGTGAGATCTTTAAGGTCCAAGGTATGAAACTATCGAGGACTTGGTACTGTCTTCAGAAAGGGAGAGAAAAAAAAAGTACAACTGAATTCCCGGGCGCTTGAGAGATTCATATGGCACTAACGTTGTTTGTGCACGGTTCCGTTTGTTAATTTGATAGAAACTACGATGCTGACAGAGACTGCAGCAATAAAACCGATTGATGTCCCGGAACTGGAGGAGATGTCCGCCACGGACATCATACCTATACTGGATTTTGAGGATGAAGCAAAGTAATGACGACGTCAAAGTAATGAGCAAGAAAAGAGACTTACCAGAGACAGGAGCACTACACAAACTGACGGGAGGGCCCATTGGAGATATCTTGACTAACGCCTTCACCATGATGACCCTTGACACTGTACTCGATAGGGAGCTCAAAGAAGAGTCAGAGAAGGAAGAAGTTCGGGAAACAGAACCCAAGCGGAAACGTGAAGTCTCGCTCACACCACCTCCAGAATTGCCCACTCGACATTACAGACCCATCAACCCGTAAGCTTGCTCCCGTATCCGACGTTCTTTTTTTCTCGAAAGCAAAGACAGCCTCGCCACATCTTTTTAACCGGTACCGTGTTTTGAAACCAAATATAGGGCAATGATACCTATACGACCGCCGCCAGTAGGAGCGGTCGAAATCATCGACGACGACGACGACGACGAGGTACCTAACACAGAGCTCGATCCAGAACTCGCCATGATCGCTGCTAACCTCAGCTCCCATCCAAGCTCGTCGCCCATGTCACCCAGTCAGTCCGCGTCAGGATCTTCACAATCACAATCCATTTCCCAGTCGCTGTCTTCTCAGCCTTCATCACTGTCACAGTCGAGTGGACTTGCGTCTTCACAACCCACCCAGATACCCACCTATGCCACTGCGACTACTAATACTACTACAGAACAACATATGAGTTATGAAGTGTCGACTACAATATCGCAGGAACCAGCTGTCCCGGCACCATCAAAGACGATTGATATCCTGTTGAGGCTGGTACGGCATCCTCAACATGTTGTTCCGCCCGAGCTGACACAAATCATGGCAGCTGCAGAAAAAGGCATGAAAGTCACCGTCAAAGCCGTAAGCCCTTCCCGCCTTTGTCTCTGCCCTAACGACACTCTCTTGTGCAAGCGCCAGAGGGGAACCAAACATCGCCGCCAGTAACTCACACAACCCGTTCTTTCTTCCATTACATGTCTCGTCTCGTATCCCCTCCACGCATTCTATAGGACAATTCATTCCGCCAAATGATGGAATGGTACTGCGAATACCATCGCTTTCACTTCCAGAACCTCGTCTTTACGTTCCGTGGATCCAGACTCATCCCGTCCTCGACTCCGCTTTCTTTGGACTTTCCTGCACGATCCGTCATTGATATTTACGAGATCAACACTTACAAATACATCAAGCAGCAGGAAACTCTGGCGCGGTCCAAGAAATTGGCGGAACTTGACAAGTATGCCAAAGATGCGGAGCTCTTGCAGGCGATGCAGGATAAGCAGGAAGCCCGGGCTCGGAGTCAGGGTCAGGGTCAAGGTCAGGATCAGGATGGAGTAGGGAATAATACCAAGCAAGGGGGCCATGACGAACCTGTCGAGGTCGAAGACGACGAAGCAGAGGTCGAGTACTTGCATATTAAACTTAGAGGCAAGGACACTACGGACGAAAAGATTCGTGTCAAAAAGGTAATCCGTATAAAGCGTGCATTCCGTTTTTTTTTTTTTTTTTTTTTTTTTTTTTTTTTTTTTCCTCATTTTCTCTTCAGAGACCCCTCCGTCAAAGACCAAAAAAAAAAAAGCATGCTCTTTTAACATTTTTTTTCCTATCGTCTCGTCTATGGGCGCTTTTTTTTTTTTTTTTTTTTTTAGACAACGACGGTGTTTGCGATTTTGTCGCACTACAAGAGGATCAAGAAGATCTCCGCAGACACGCCCGTCAAGCTCGAGTTCGATGACGAGGCCATCGATCCCAGTATGGCCGTCGGAGAGACCGAGATCGAAGACGACGACATGCTCGATGTTCGTGTTGGATAATTCCTTTTTTTTTTTTTTTTTTTTGAAGAAAGAAAAAAAAAAGACCACTCACTGTACTATAACATCATTAAACATCTATTCATTCATTCATCGAATCAGAGAGGAAGGACTTGGGTTTATTTTACAATGGATATAGCTTATTGAACAAGGAACGAAAGAAAAAGACTACAGATAAGGAAGGACAGGCAAGGCAATATTTTTTTTTTTTTTTAAAATAAAAAAAAAATAAAGAAAGAGAGAGAGAAGAGGCTTCGGGTATGAACAAAACTCGATGAAAATAATGAAAAAAAGCAAAGCAAAGCAAAACAAAGACATATAAACAGGGCTGCAAAAACGTAATGACAAAGGAAATAAAATGATATGCGAACAAGTGGAGCGTCCATCGGCTGAATCTCGCCGAAAGAGAAGTGGGGGCCAACGGGATAGGCCGAGGATAGGCCGAGGATATCAAGAGAAGGCACGCTCAGCTGACATGCCAGCAGCTGAGACACCACTCGCCGTCGCCGGCGCTGTTGCTGGTGCTGCTAGTGCTGGTGCTGCTAGCGCTGGTGCTGCTGGTACTGCTGATACTGGGCCCATCGTCGTCGTTGTCGTTGTTGTGGCCTGCGTAGGCGTAGTTGCAGCCGTAGCCGTAGCCGTGGTAGTCATTCCTGCTCCCGGTGCGATCTTGCGCGCCACGGCCACATGACAGACCTGGTAGCTCTTCAGTGTCCGGGTCTCCTGCCTCGCGCGCTCCAGCAGATCGTCAAACTCACTCCCTGAAAGCATCGCCTGCCGCATCAACCACGGCCTGACCGTCAGCGCAAACCGCCAACACAGCAGTTCCGCCGCCAACCCGATCCGTCCTCCATGGATCCCTACAGGCATAATCACCCCGGACTTGCGCACCACCTCCATATCCGGCATCGTCCTCAAGATTCCTCCCAGATTCAGTGCCAACGACGTATCGATCCCCAACTTATCGAACCCGATCAACGTCCAGTAGCTCGGCCAACAGTTATCGACCCCCGAATCCCTCAACCTCAAATCCAGCTCCACCAGCTCCATGTACCCATCCACCTTCAACACCCTCACAAGCTCCCTCAAAAAGGCCAGGTACTTGGTCTTGTTCACATTCGGCAGGAACCTCCGCACATGGATATAATCCACACTGTTCGACACAAACGGCACCTTCAACGAGTTATCGTCCAGGTTATAGAAGAACAAGTTATCCAGTTCGAAACTCGGCGTCGTCTCCGGGATCGGTGGCAAGGATGGGACCTGGCTCACATTGATCGCATGTATCGCCGATTGAGGATGTGCCAGTGCCATCTCCGTGGCCCACTGCGAGTTTCCACAGCCGACCGAAAGAATCACCAACGACTGCTCGTTCTCCTTGCTCGGCACGATCGCCGAATGTGGGCCCAGCGTTGCCATCGATGAAAATGAGGAGGCCAGGGGGTGATGCACGGCCACATCGAAATCACACCTGCCTCCATCACCATCGCAATCTATACAGCCGCTTCTTCTCCTCTGCGGGATTGGCTGTTCACCCTGTTCACTAGTCGCCTCCGTGTCCTTGATCTCGAAATCTCCCTCGGTCATCGATCTTACTGTCGTCGGCGTTGTCGTCGTCGTTGTTGTTGTTGTTGTTGTCTGACTACTCGTCTCTGCCTGCTGCTGCGTCTTTCTCGAAAAGTCAAGAGGGGCAGAGTAGTTCTGTCCCTTGAACAATGCTCGGGTGATATGCTGTTCCACCGTGTAACTAAGAATGAGACGGAGAAAGAAAGGACGAGACGTGGTTTTAATATACCAGCCAACTTTATGACTCCGTTTACTGCCTCCACAATCGCTCCAACGTCTTTTTCATTCCCAGTAGCCCCGCTCTGCACAATCTGCACTGCGAGAGCAATTCCGCCAACACGAAACGAGTGCAGCAGCAGACTCGGACAGCGAAGGACAGCAAAAAAAAAAAAAAAAGAGGAGGTGCAAAAGAATAACCGCCAGATTATAAATAACAAAAAGCATGCCTAGTCAAGGCATGAGGACTGCAGGGGGACAGAACGCACGCAGATACAGACACAACATCTCTCTTTGTACACACAAACAGGTGCGGCACCGCGCACACGAATTTCAACTCAAAAACGCAACCATGCGCCTTTTTGCTTTGAGCTCGGTAGCCAACTCCACCCCTACCTACCTACCCCCCACCCCTCACCCCCATGTTTCATCTGGTTCAAAACAAAGTTATTATCAGTGTTACTTGCCTGTCCATTACATCCCAGGGGCCACCGTCGTGCTCCAGACCTTCAGGGATATCGTCCGACCACTCCTGCTCGCCTGCCCACCGGCCCTGGTTGCCCCAATCAGACACAGATAGACAGGGCACGTCGTGCGTCGACGGAATTGAATCTATACATGACTGGAGCTCAACATGCGGCCGTTGAATCATCTGGGGATGTCTATGATCTGCTTCGTCCGTAAACGATGCACCGCTCGGACAGCAATCAAAGCAAGGAGGGGTGGAGAAAGAGATCGTGCTGGGGCTGGGTTGACATGAGGATGAGACGCTGGTTGGGGTCAGGAGGGCGTGTGGAGGAAGAAGGTTCCGCTTCATGAACGTCGCCAGCTTCTGCTCCTGTCGCACATGGTAGTCCTGTATTGATGCCGCTACTGGACTCGTCGGCTGCGGGGAACGAGAGACCGAGCGTGACAGGGTATGCGGGTGTGGATGTGGATGTGAATGTGAGTGGTGCTTCAGGATGTTCTGGTGCTGAGATCCGATTGGTGTTGTCGGTGTTGCGGCTGCTGTCAGGGCTGGAGTCGCTGCTGTGGTGGGCGTGGTCGAGAGTGAGTTGAGGTTGGAATTGGGATTAGAGTCAGAGAGATCCTGGTGGGCCTGCCAGGAACAGTGGGTCATGTCCAGGTTTTGGAGGGTCTGGAGGCCCTGCAGGTTCTTGAAGAGCTCATCATGGTCGAAGGCGATGGGTGCCCTGGCGCGCTTGCCTCGGAAGAAACCAATGGATCCGCGCCTGACTGGGAAGGGCGGTGCGCCCTCATCTGATATGGGGAAGATCTCTTTGCGTTCTGCATCCTTGATGTTGTGTCTGCGGGGGATGGTCGGTGGTAGCGACATAGTGGAGAGGTTGCGGTGCCTGCCCTGGGCCGGGGGTTCTGTTGAGATCGAGGACGGTAAATTGCCCATTCAGACAAGGCCTTTATTGAGAGTGGGGGGAGTAGGGGAATGAAAGGGGAGGGGAGGGGAGGAGGAGGGGGAAAGAGAAGACGAGTGTGGGGTGTGGGTGTGTGAAAAGGGTGTTGCCACGGAAAAGGTAATAGTGTGACAAACCAAGAATGAAAGAGAGAAAGAAGGGAAAGAAGAAAAAGGAAAAAAACGAAAAAGAAAGAAGCTAGCTGTTCTCTTTTGCTGAATGGATGCTATGGGCGGTGTGCTGTGAAGAACGAGTGTGGAGAAGGTGGGGTATGAGAAGGAATGAGCGAAAAAGGAATCAAGGCCAAAAAGGCGATGAGGAAAGTCGTAAAGTTGGTTTAAAAAAAAAAGGATGCTACTGGCAGGGAAAAGAAAGTTGTATGAACACCTTTATTTGCTCGCTCTCAGCCTGGACAGCACGCCACGGACAATTACAAACTCCTTCGAGGCGGTCGTTCAAGGGGGAGCAGGGGAGGGAGGGCGGGGTACAATTATATAATGACAAGAATGAAGGAAGAAGAGCGCATGTGTCTTTGTTGTTGCTGGTGTCGCTCTTGTCGCCGTCTTTTGGTATCGCAAGGAATGAATGAATGAATGAAAAGACGAACAAATGAATGAATATCTGGGATGGGCAGCGGTGTGGTGTGACAAAACAGGGAGGAGGAAGAAAGAGGGAAGCAGAAAGATACGACTGAGCTGCTGCTGCTGTTCAATTGTTTGTTGAATCAAGAAATGAAGGTGCGGGGTGTATGCATGCGGTGGAGGAAAAAAAGGAAGAAAGGAAGGAAGAAAGGTCGGTAGTGCGTGTCCCGCCAATGGATAGTTGATAGTGCTGGTAGTGACAGTCAAGCTATGGAGATGAATTGCGGACAGTTGCCAGAACCGGGTTAGTCATGAACATATATTTTAGTCCTTTTTCTTCCTTCTACTTCTGCCCATGTGGACGAGGATAATGTGTGTGTGTGTGTTGGTGATTTCCTTCCAATAAGACAGCAGCTGTATCCGTGGTATAGAAACTACGACAATACGCGGGATATATCAACAACACACGTTTCCCTTGTTACTCGTGCTATTCTGTTGTCTTGGTTTAGTTGAGATGACAGTGCTATGAGGAGGTTGTGGGGTAGGTTCGGGTTGATAGGCGCGGTTTGTCGTACCTTGTTTGGATAGTGTTCCTTGTCCGCTGTGTTCCTTTGAAAGGAGGGAATGAGGCGTGTGGTGAATTGAGATGAAAGATGGAGGACAAAGGATGATGAACGAATGTGAATGCCAACAACAGACAGAGGAGGGTAGAGGAAGGGCACAAGAGGGAAAGAGGTTAAATGAAAACAATAGGTAGAATCACGCACACTCAGGATACACAGCGCAATTGGTCATAGTCAACCAAAGCAAAAATGAATTAAAACAGCGGGCAGAGTGAACAAAGGACGTTACTGAAAAAGAGGAAGAAAGCGTGGTCGCTGCTGCTCTTTTCCTGCGGTTGCTATCGGGAGTATCTCTTTGTCGACCTTGTTTGGGTGCTTCGATGGTTTCTCGAGGAGGGGAAGCAGGCATAACAAAAAAAGGATTGGAATCGGGTTCATACAACGAGCAACATTAACATCAGCATCATTGGCAATGGACAACAGTAGGAGCACCAGCACCAGCAACAGCTGTACTTTAAATATGCAACGTAGAAGACAAAGAGCCGGGACGAAGAGAGCGTATGAATAAAACTGAGTGACGGGGGTAAAGAGACTTTCAAAAACAATTCAATCCAGACATTGGATCCAAGAGCAGGAGGCAGATGCAGGACCAAGAAGACGGGATGCTGATGGTGTATAGCCGGAGCTTATGAACAAAAAAAGGTCATCCTCAAGAACGAGAGCCAGCGCTAGGTTAGATAGAGAGGAGCAAGAGCCAGCCCAACCCAAACCCAATCGTCCTCTACAGGACCATGCAGGAAGCCAATCCTCTTACTTCCTCTGCTGACAGTAAGCAGCCCCGGGTATACATACACGTACATACATCGACATTGATTTGACGCGAGCACTCTCTACCCGGCATCTATAACAGCGGAAGCTTGCTTTACACGAAGAAAAGGGAGGGAGAGCATGAGCAAGGAGCAAATTAAAAACGAGGATGGGTTGCTACGAATGAACAAATGAAAGAACGGAAACCCCTTTGGCTTGCTTGTACTTGGGAAACTTGAAAAGCGAAAGAATATAACACCAGGACATTCTATGCACCTTTTTCTTTCCCATCTTTCGTCCTTATTTTATTTCCATTCCTGCATAGCGCCGCTCGCAAGCAGTACTCTACTGAACAAGGAAACATTGACGGAGCCGTAAAATGAACGATAAAGATGAGATGGAATGGATCCGCTGTTCGTTTCTCTCCCTCTCGGCTTCATCTCGAGGCGTACGTGTATTCCACACGGACAGCACCATCGGAAGAGTGCTCTTACTCTCTCGTGTGTTCGCTCTCTCGCGTGCTGGGGCCACACATAGTACAGTACTAGCAGTGCTAGGCCCCTTGTGATTTGCACGACTCCCTTTGTATCTCTGCGCATGTAAATGGCACCGGTCCAAGAATTCACGACAATAATTTCATGCGGGGGATGAATTCCTCGTACCACCATGACACACGTCCTGTAGTAGCACAGCGCTCGCTTTGGTGGCACTAGCATACACCTATCAATTTTCTTTGCCGTTTGCAATGACACACCTTTTGCCATTTTTTTTTAAAGCAAAGACATGTTGGAAACGCGTTTCACGTCGATGTGGGTTCTATTATGATCGTGATCGTCACCGGCGCCCTGCAATCCATCCTCTCAGATCGAATCGACTTCATCATCCGCGTTAGAGGAAAAAAAAAAGGTCGCCGGACAATAATGCACCTTTACGAGAAAAGGAATCCTCCTCGCCTTCGTTGCACGGTCTCGGAGGATACTCGGACTTGAGAAGAAGGAGATACTCGAACGGGGCAAGGGGACACGGATTAGAAACGCAGTGTAGGGATCTGAGGTTCCTGCAGAAAGTGCATTTTTGAACCGACGAGTCAAGTCCCTTTTGACCACATCCGTACTCATCGCCGTCATCATCACGACTAATCCTCACTCTCATCCCCAAAGAGTATATGAACCGTTGCCCTACCTTTCGTCTTTCCCTTTCTTTACACTTTCCTACCCCTCTTTTTCTTAAATATGAGCATGTAACTTCGTAGGCGGAACCAAGGTGTCGCAGCGCTCTTTATTTTATTTTTACTCCCTCTTCGTCCTTGTCCTCCTCCTCCTTCTCAAGAGAGAAGAGGCAGACTTCAATACCAGGAATAGACCACCGACACCAGCACTGTACGCACGAGCCAGATAAAAACAATAAAAATCCCTTTTTTTTTGAGTCCATTTTTGTTCTAAAATCAAGGACATTCTAATCCCAACGGTCGTCTTTCTATCCAAGTCTAGGAAGTAAATAGAATAGAACTCATCGTATCATGTCCTCTTTTTTACATGCACGCGTTTAAAATGCTCTTAAAAGCCGTTTTATATAGATATATACTTGTATATCGTTTCAACTTTTTTTTTTTTCTTCGAAGAGTAAAGTAACTTTTATATATATGTATATATCGTGTGTGCATAGATGAGTATTCTTGCGCTCCGCTCCGCTCCATGAGCCCAGGTCCCCTTTGAACTCTTTCATAGTCTATTTGAAACGTGCCATAAACAAGATCCGCATGGACCATTTCATGTTTTACTTTCCTGCGTTTTTTTTGTTTTGGCTCGTGTGTGCAAGTCAGAAGATCTCTTCATTTCTCTGGGTTAGGCACCCTTTAAAAAAAAAAAAAAGCAAAATAAATAAACAATATTAACAAAATAAAATAATAACAACTGCTGAGGAGCCATCAAGTAGAGGAATCCACGTTCATTCATATTCAATTCTGGACCCGCTAATGCAAACATCCCCCTAATCCTGTCGCGAGCGCTTTAAAAAGATCCAGGAACTTACTTCAGCACATCAGAATTCATTCCGCGCACTCGCACTCATTCCTCTCTCTCTTTTTCTCTTTCTCTTTCTCTTTCGCTTTCTTTCATCTATTCGACTATAAGGTTGTACTTCTCAATAGAGTATGCGTCATTCACCTCCTTCGTTCGTGCTCTTTCTATTTTCCACATAGACGCGCCATAAATCCATTTTGTTTGTCCACAAAACAATGGGAGCGCGTTTTTTTTTCTTCCTTTCTGTTTTGTTTCTGCGCTTGTTGTTTTTTTCGTTGTCTACTCCCTCTGTTTGTGCTCACTCTGCCCTCCAGTTGATTGCCATAGCCAACACAAGTGCACGCCCATCCACAGGAGACAAAAAAAAAAGAAAAGAAAAGAAAAGAAAAAAGGGGTGGACGCGTAAAATGAGAGTACACTGAACTTGTCGTCTAGCACGAATATAAGGGGAGGAGGAGGAGAAGAAGGAGGAGGGAGGAGAGCGCAAGTTGTTCTTCGTTCTGAATAATACTTGCCGCTACCGCTGCAGCTACTGCTGCTGCAAGGGACGCGTCAAAGAAAGAAAGAAAGAAAGAAAGAAAGAGAGAGAGAGACTCTACCACGTTGTCCTCTTCGCCTTTTCTATAATTCGACTCAGTTGTGCACAAAACAATTCATGTTAACAGCGTGCGGTGTTTTCCATCACGCAATAGAAGCATGCACGCTTACATAGTCTTCGTGAAAACAGTATTCTCCAATGACCAGCTCTAAAGCCCATCAATAAAGGGCCTTGGACTCTCCTGCCTACCTGCTCAAGGATTCTTTCCATCCTCATTACATTCTTCCTTCCTTTCTTCGTGGCCTAGCTCCTTCCTTTGTCCTATCCTCTCCTCCTTTCTCTTTCCCCTCCTCTTCCTCTCTCTCTCTCTCTCTCTCTCTCTCTCTCTCTCTCCCTTTCATAAAACGGATTTGCGTTGCACTTCCTTTTGGCGTCCCCTTCGGCGTCCCCTTCAATGCTTGCCTAAGCACTAACGAAAGGGTCCTGAAATGCCAGGATCAAGAGGAACTATGCTCCTCCCCCATCCTCCTTGGCTTCTCTCTTCTAGATCCAGTCTCTCGTATACAATTTACACGATACAAAGTTTAGCAAACTGATTTTTTAGCAGCGATATTTTGAACAAAACTCGAGAATAATAATAAAAGGAAGGGTTTACAGCTGCAAAATACACTATAGCGGCGGGAGGAAAGTGAAAAGCAATAGGGAAGAAGAGAGAGAGGTAGGGAGTGAGAGAGGGAGAGGGAGAGTTGGGAGAAAGAGGTATGGTAGTTTGTACAAGAGAGAGGGCGTGAAACCAGGAAAGTGGGACACGACGCGTACGCGACGCGACTACGTTACTCTTGCTGGAACGTGTTCTTTCTTTTTTTTTTCTTTTTTTTCTTTTTTTTATCTTTTAGTCCAGTGAGATCCGGGTAGCACTCGGAGGGACTGGCACAAAATTGTGGATGTCAATACCACGCGAGCTCAGCTCAGCTTCGGCATGAGATGGGACCAGCATAGGGATCAAATCTGGACGGATCGACAATTCTATATCCAGGAGGAAAAGTGAAGCAGAGTGTCAGTCAATACATGAACGATTCAATGTCGCGACGCCATATTTAAAAGTTTGCCACTTACCAAGGGGGGTAAAGTTGAACAGAGGTGGCAGATCCTTGCCATTGGGCAATTTCGTCTCTGGGTTCCGGAGTTCGTCAAAGAATGGGTGGATCATGGCCTCAATAGGCGTGAACCGTTTTGAGGGAGTGTATTCCAATAGATGCGAAATCAGATCCAATGCCTCTGGAGGCGTCCTTGAGCGGAAGATCTATCAATCAGCATCAAGCAATTGGCAAAGCGTCGTTAGTTTCTGTAATAATAGGTAATCATAATAAAAAAAAGGCGCTTAAAGCATCCAGTCGCCATGCCATACATACCCTGTTGAAAGGATGGGGCTTGATCTGCGGGAACTTGTGCTCCATGTAGTTGGGATTCATGGTCTTGATTTGTTCTCTGGTTGGGGTTCCCAGAACTTTGATAATCTCCACCAACTGATCAATGCCGCTTTCTCCAGGGAACAAGGGCTGTCCGAGCATCAATTCCGCCATAACACATCCGGTTGACCAAACATCTAAAAGACAGAACGCAAAAAAAAAAAAAAGTGTTACAGGCAAACGTAAGTCATGTCTGCAATTTTCAACGCCGGGGCGATCCCACATGGTATACGTGTGTATGTATATTTTTCCATCCTCGCATACCGATGTTGGTGGTGTAGTTGGTTGCACCAAAGATCAGTTCTGGTGCACGGTAGTATCTTGAGCAAATGTACGACACGTTGGGTTCTCCTGCGACGAGGATCTTTGCACTATAAGTAAGAGACAACACAAATGAAAAGTAGCAAAGCAGATTAGATAATAGAATAACAGAACGCACTCCTCGGAGATCGTCGTCTTGCTGTGTCGGTCCTATTCAGAACGCATCTGCCATCTTGCTTGCATGCAAACAGACGAATAGAGTTCCCGAGTTCGATGCAAAAAAATAATGCGCCCGCCGTACCTTCCAAAATCGCAGAGTTTCAGGATTCCTGTAACAGGGTTCAACAACAAGTTCTGGGGCTTGATATCGCGATGGCAGATACCGAGCGCATGGATGTACGCCAGGCTTCGGAACAATTGATACATATACAGCTTGATCTGGAGCATGGGCATCGTCTGCTTGATCTTCGAGTAATGACGCGAGGCGCGGTACACGGTCTCGGGAATGTACTCCAGAACCAAGTTAAGGAAGACTTCATCCTTCTAATGAAAAGCGGAAGCAAGCGTGATGTTAGCAAAGGTGTGCGGATCTATTGACCGAGTGAAGAATGTCATTATACAGCAAGGGCGACCATATGACACGCGTCCTATGTGCTGACAGATATCCTTTCACTCCCACGTTCGTTGTTCGCAGAAACATTGCAATCCCAGTCTCTTGACAGCCTATTTGAGTGCCTTACCTTGTCTCCGTTCGAGTAGAAAAAGGTCTTCAATTCGACAATGTTGGGGTGGGAAACCAACCGCATGATTTGGAGTTCACGATTCTATTTTGTCCGGAAGCAAAAAGAGAACGCGCACAATGTGGTCAGCTTCCATCTGCCTTTTTTTTTTGTTTCTCCAAAGGTCAGGGAGAGAACGTTACGTTCTCATGCTCAACGAAAAGGTCCCCTTTCGTCCAGACCCGAGCTATCCGCAAGAGACGCGGCAGAGCTTTGCAATACCTTGAACCGCTTATCCTGAAGCACTTTTTTGATGGCGGCATCCTCGCCAGAAGGGACCAACTTGGCCTGGAAGACGACTCCGAAGGAACCATTGCCGATAACTTTACAGTTGTTGTAGGCCAGCTCAAAGGGTTCTCCGGTCTTGCCATCGTTTGCCATCACTGTGATGATCTTGTTGGGATCTGACTCGCCTAGATTGCAGTAAAGAGCAACGGACCGGGGTTGTTAATCGCTTGCGAACACGATGTTGCCGCACTCATCAACCGTACCATGGTCATCGCGAGGGGAAGAGTGTGAACACTTTTTTTTTTTTTTTTTGTTTTCGTGTCCGTTGCCCGTTCTTACCACTAATCTTGATTCCATTGATGGGGGATGACATTTGGCTATTACTGCTGCTGTGGGTGGTTGTTTGGTGTTTAGTGATGCTTGTTGTTATGGAGAGTGGTTTAAAACGAATCCGTTGTTTTCCCGATATCTTCTTGAGTGTGCGTTCGGGTTTTCTTTTCTCTTTGTTGTCGTGTGAGAGCCGTCAAACCCCAGCCAAAATAATAATAATAATAATACTATGTTTTATCGCTTGCACTTGGGTGGTAAAACGGAAAAGGGAAAGGGAAGAAAAGAGGCGGTTTGATGGATGGGCAAAAAGGGGAGGAGGGGGGGGATGGAGCGAGGGCAGGATGATGAATGATGAGAAGTAGCAGGGAGAAGAAGAAGGGGGAGGAGGGGGATATGCATATTTGAACGTAGAGTAAGTACTTGGGCGACCTGCGCGTGGTACAGCCAATCTGACTTCCAGGCTGCCTGACCTCCATTGTCCGCCTGCCCGCAGAACTCAACACGGCCCAAAAAATAGATACTTGGATGACGACAAGATGCACCAGGCCAACCGACCGCAGAGCAAAGAAAAAATGGACTCCTCCACCAGCTCCGCCATAGCACGCAATTGGATCCCTTGAGTCTGGATGTACTGCCCCCCTCGTATTCGCCGGTGCGGGTCCTGTGCCTTGCGGCTGCGTAACCTCGCAGGTAGCCTTGCAGGGGGCCTTGTAGGGGGCCCTGCAGTCCTTGCAGTCGCCCTTGCGGACTCGTTGTACCGCGTCCATGTTACACCGTAGTCGACCAGCACACGTAATCCACAGACCCTACACCAACAGGCTCTTCTCGGCTTAGAATGAACACAAGCAAATTCCCTCCTTTTGAAAATGTACATCCGCTCCAGGTGGTCCCTCGGTATTGCGACTTTATGGACGTGCCGCTTGCTGGCAATTACATTTTGAGCCATGAAAGGATGACTCTCTTTAGGACACAAATCTATCTTCCGTGGGGACAACATCGAAGGAGAGGTGAGCAGCATACTTCGAGTCGGCGCCGGAATTGTGCTGGCCAAGCAAGGGAAGGCAGCACGATCCTGTTCGTCATCTGGCTTCCCTCAGCAGTAAAGTTCTCTGACGTCGATTGGCCGTGGTCCGTGCATCCCATTTTGGCGTCTTATCATGGGCCGATATACATATCATGGTAAATGAAAACTGTGTCCTATCCATGCCAGCCTAATAGATACATACACACGGATTCATGTTGACTTGACAGAGACAAAGACCAACAACAGAGAGATGCTTGTCAATGACGATTATGACCAAATCAAGCGTAACGTCCATGAGCACACAATATCCAGCGTCAACATCTCAAATGCAATGGTACGAGCGTTTATGGGAAGCAAAACAAGAGTAACAAGACGATGTCCCTCCCCTACGACCGGCGGCCCAGATCGACCTCCCACACCAGACTCTGGGCCTCCTGTTCCGACACAACCTTATCCGTCAGTCCCCACGCGCCCTTGGCCCCGAACACAATCCTCGACATGCTGTGCCCACAAGGCGTGAGACTCTTGCCTCCCGCATGGCTAGCCTCATCTCCGGAAATCTTGCCCGACCCGCAGCAGCGACCCCGCCTGCAAAACTCTGCGAATCCGAACAGCGGCTCCGCACGCCGGTACTTCATTTCGTAGTATGATGATTCTGGCTTTGTCTTTGGCGTGTTCGGTGCCGGTGCTGGCGATGGCTCATCTGACTTGGTTGATGGTGAGGGAGTCGCAGGAGTATTTGGCGCCTTATGATGCTCTTCCTCCTTTGCATCCGGCGCGGGGCCCTCCTGCTCATCGTACTCGTGCATGTTGATATCCTGCCCACTTCCTTCTTCTTCTTCTCCTTCCTCAGAAGTCTCACTCTCCTCTAAAGGTGCTTCCTGGTCATCCTGTATCCGGACGTCTCCTTCCTCTTGATCTTCTGTCTGACCGTCATCCTCGAGCACATCCGTGTTGTCACCGCCTGCGGCTGGATCTTCCTCTTCCTCTCCTTCTCCTTCTCCTTCTTCCACATCACCCTCCATTAGATCATCCTCTGGACCGGCACGGCGCATTAACATAGGCTCATCCCCCAACTTCTTTCCTTCGTTTCCAGCCATTCCAAATGTGAAATCCTTGGCGAGCCCTTCAATCAGGGTCGTCAGCTCTTCGACATTAAGCCTCCGACTGACATCTCTCGTATAACAGTTCGCAATCGCCTTCCAGGCCTCGGAACGCTGTCGGAAATCCTGCCTCATATTCGCAAACTCCTCAAAGTCTTGCGCGCTAATACCCTGCTCCTGCTTATACGAGTCCTGTATCGCCTCGATGCACTCATGCGCCAAGTCTCGGTCCGGCTGGACACAGGTCTCATCCTGACAATCCCAGGCGAAAAACCGCTTTCCGAATGCCATCATGCGATCAGTGTAAATCTTGCTGGACCTTGTAAAGCGTGGCAGAATCGATACCACAACTGTGCCAGGTGCCATCAATGTGGAGTAGCCCAATGCATCGCCCTGTGGAGCGACAAGGATGGTCTCGTTCCTGAAAAGCTGTGCCGCCTGAGCCAAACTGATCTCCGAGGGATAATCGAGATGGATGGTCTTGACAGCAAAGCCTCTGGCCAGCAGAGATACCTCAAGCATATTGGCGTTAGGAATGCTGGTGTTGCCATAGCGACCAAGTAGAGCCACCTCGATTTTGGACCTGGGTGCAGACTCTCCCTCCACGACTGCCAGGTTATCATTGGATACCACCGCGACGTTTTCTGCAGATGGTGCATGAACAATACTGGGATCCGCTTTCTCGAACCGGAACATCGATGGTGAAAGCACATCCAGAACCTTGGTTCTCAATGCCTCTGTTAGATCGCCTCCTCCGATCAAGTTCTCGCAGAAGGGCCGTGTGCATCTGGATTGCAGTCCAATGACGGCCCTGGCGAAGCAAGTCGGGAAGGATTTGGAGGGTGCGCTAATCTGGTGAGCGGCGAGCGGCTTCCCCTTTTGTGAATTGAAGACGATCTCGTGTCCATGAGGCGCCAGCAGGTATGTGTCTAGCTCCTGTTCTCGGTCCAGAATCCGATATTGCTGTCTCCGCTTATTATCGCCATAACCCTCTCCAGAGACGCGCATAAACCATGATGATTTTGAGCCTTCGAAGCTGGACATGACACTATAGACAGTAGAGGGTAATCATATTGATAAGCGACAACAATCATATGATGTGGTACACATGGAATGTACTGACAAAGCGTTGTTGTACAAGAACAAATGAGCGGATATGTGATCATAGCGCAAGCTTGTTGGGCAGGCACCCATTCTTCTCCATACTGATGCGGCCATAGTCATCAGCAACACATCGAAGCTCTTCCCAGCGCCAGATCATACCTGTGAAGAGGCATGAGGTTGTTCAAGGTCCAGGTCGGCCGATTGGTCGGATCACGCCCATAGAGAAAGATGGTCTCGTCCACGAAACGATAAGACGACACCGGGAACTGATCGAGTACCATTGGGCGATAGTACTCATCCGATCCTGGATCAGCAGCGACCACATTAATCCTTGGAAACTCTCCAGAACTCTTTTCTGTATGAATCCATGCGCCTGATCCAATCATTACCACAGATCGAAATAAAGAAAGAGAAAGGTGTAAGCAGACGGACTCTTTCTCTTTGAGTAAGGACTCACTTCCTTCTTTCTTTCTTTCTTTCTTTTTTTTTTTTGTCGGTTCAGTTGCTTATTGCACGCACCTCGTTCAGCATCGATGCATAGGTTCTGGAGAACACAGATAGTTTCCCGGTTAAATCCTGGGCCTCGTATGGATGGTAAGGATGAAGTAGGAGAGTGGCAGCTGAAACTCGAGGTCAAGGTCGAGTTACTCCGCTGCATCGTCTTACTGGCTGATACGCTCAGGCGCTGCTCCAGCAAGATCCATTCCTCGCTGTCTCGAGCGGAACTGAAGCTCGAGTGTGAGTAAGAGTAGAGTAGCAGCCAGGAGAGACTGAAGGTGGCGAGGATGCAGGAGAGAAAGATTCGTGGGGAGAGATATGACCGTGGGATGAAGAACAGGGCCCGTGAGGATGCGGCATTGTTGGCTCCGGGGATTGAGAAGATGGGCAGGGAGCTGCTCCTTGTTGGCATTGAGGAGGTTTTTTCTGTGTATGTCGGGGGTAGCGAGGGGTGGGTGGATTGTAGAGAGGATGTAGTTAGTATTCGTGGATGTGTTTGTCTATGGGGATGGAATGAAGGCAGAGAAGAGGAAGAGAGGGAGGCGAGTGGAGAGTCTTATGGAGCTATTTGCGTGGTGAAGAAAGAAAGTGATGGTCCCAAATGACATCCCATTGGGCATCATTACCATCATTACACAGGCGAACATGCAGCCCATGTAAGTTGGTTAGGCCTTAAGGGTTCCTCCTGGCCCACCAATTCACTTGATTGCCTCAGCAAGCCATGTCGCAGCTTGCATTAAGAGCGCGCGTATTTAAGGTCTTTTTACCTCCTCTCCTCTCTATTCAACCCAGTCTTCCCTTCCCTCATCCCAACAAACAACCACCTCATTCATCCCACAATGGCCTCCATCCAGTCCATTCCCACAAAGCCCTTCGAGGGTCAGCGTCCCGGCACAAGCGGCCTTCGCAAGCGCGTCAAGATCTTCCAGCAGGAGCATTACACCCAGAACTTTATCCAGGCCACCCTCGACGCCATCCCCACCGGCGCCAAGGGAGCGACCTTGGTCGTCGGTGGCGACGGACGATACTTCTCACAGGATGCCGTCCAGATGATCATCCGCATCGCCGCCGGTAACGAGGCAAGTTATCGTTCCAATGGGTCGCAAATGATGTCAACGCGATGTCAGGACATTCGTCGTGTTTTATTTTTGGGATATCAGAAATCTCACATCCTTAAGCGCGAGTCTTCTTCTCGAGACACTTTTGCAGTTGAAGATTGAGAGCGGTATTTGCTGACAGTCGTGCTGGGGGCCCTGGTGCCAATGAAATGAAAGGAAGACGTGTCTGGAAAGAACCATGACGCGATCTATCAATTAATACTGGTCCCATTTATTGGCGTCCACATCACAAATAGGTGTCGAAGCTCATCATTGGAGTGAACACGATCCTTTCCACTCCTGCTGCCTCAAATCTCATTCGCAAGCGCAAGGCTACTGGTAAGGAATCGTTAAAGATAGAATCGTGGGAAATGCATTGGATGGCAAGAGAGGGGGGGGGGGAACAATGCGATCAATTGTGCCCCAAAGATACCGATGCTCACCATCTGCCCTCATCTTTACAATATTGACACATAGGTGGAATCCTCTTGACTGCCTCCCACAACCCTGGCGGTAAGTGCTCATTATCCATGCTCTTTTGCTTCTGCACGGCACCTTATCTATTATTACCGCGAACAATGACGGGGATGTGGGTAGTTGCAACCAGATATGGATCACCGATCGGCAATGAAGAAGACCAGTGCATTCGCCACAATGTCTGCCTTGCTTGTGGCTTCATGGTTGCCTCTGATGTAATCAGCGTTATCTCTGCCCCATCTTCCAGGTGGTCAATGCTACACAAAAGGAACGAAATGGACGGAGATACATTAGAATTCATTCTTATCTTTTTCTCCGCCGGTGTCCGCTCGCCATACTATTATTTAAACATACACAATGTTATCTTCGTGAATCCTTCTGTGAATCCCTTGGTTTGATCCATTCCCAGCCCCCTTATCTTGTTTGTATCGCAATTGTCAATTGATTAGGACCCGACAATGACTTCGGCATCAAGTACAACATGGGCAACGGAGGCCCTGCCCCCGAGAGCGTTACCGAGAAGATTTACGAGATTACTCAGAAGCTGACTACCTACAAGGAGATTGCCCTCCCACCTGTATGTTTCTGTCTCTCTAATAGCCTTTGGCGTGTCTGGATTGATTGGGCACAAAAGGATATTAGTTATGCTAACTGACCGCATCTGTCACACGTTCTTTGTTGTTCCTCCTATACTATTGGCCTCGGGGAATGCACAGGTGGACTTGTCGACCATTGGCACCCAACAGGTTGGCAACCTGGAGGTCGAGATCGTCGATTCTGTGACCGATTATCTGGCCCTGCTCAAGGAAATCTTTGACTTTGATCTCATCAAGGACTTCTTGCGCTCCAACTCGGAATTTACGGTTCTGTTCGATGGCATGCACGGTGTCACTGGTCCCTATGGTCAAGCGATCTTCATTAAGGAACTCGGTCTCCCTCAAAATTCCGTCATGAACTGCATCCCCAAGCCCGACTTTGGTGGTGGGCATCCCGATCCTAACCTGACCTATGCTCACGAACTTGTTGAGCGCGTCGAGAAGGAGAACATTAGTTTTGGAGCTGCTTCTGATGGTGATGGCGACCGCAACATGATCATCGGCAAGGGCGCCTTTGTTACACCCTCGGACTCGGTGGCCATCATCGCCGCCCAGGCCGACGCTATCCCTTACTTTAGAAGGACTGGAGTCAAGGGACTGGCCAGGAGTATGCCCACCAGCACGGCTCTGGATCTGGTCGCGAAGAAGAAGGGCTACGAACACTTTGAGGTCCCTACTGGCTGGAAGTTCTTCGGCAACCTTATGGATGCAGGCCGCCTTTCGATCTGCGGTGAAGAGTCCTTTGGTACTGGATCTGACCACATCCGCGAGAAGGATGGTGTCTGGGCCATTGTTGGTGAGTTTCGCAATCAAGGAATTAAAGTCTGCATAGTATGTCAGAGATCATGTATCTTAACTCTATCTTGTCCTGTGGTCTCGTGTAGCCTGGCTTAACATCATTGCTGCCGTTAACCAGACCAAGAAGGCTAGCATCAACGATATCCTCCTTGCTCACTACAATGAATACGGACGCAACTTCTTCTCCAGGTACGACATTCTTCTTTCTGTTACGTCTGTTACGCCACGCGACGCTTTGGAGACTTTGAAATTTAACAATGTGTTCTAATCTCATAATGATTTCAGATACGACTATGAGGAGGTCGATGCTAATGGTGCCAACAAGATGGTCGATCGCCTCCGCGCGTTGGTGTCGACTGACCGTGCCGACCTGATCGGAAAGGATCTCGGCAACGGCTTCGTGGTTAAGGATGGCGACGATTTTGAGTACACGGATCCCATTGACGGCAGTGTCTCGAAGAAGCAGGGTGTCCGTGTTATCTTTGAGGACGGCTCTCGTCTGATCATTCGCTTGTCTGGAACCGGTTCTCATGGTGCGACTGTGCGCCTGTATGTTGAGAAGTATGAGTCGGACGCCAGCAAGTACCAGGACAAGACCCAGGATGCACTCCGTCCCTTGATCGAAGTTGCATTGAAGCTCAGCCAGCTGACCGAGTTCACTGGCCGCAAGGAGCCCACCGTCATCACGTAAAAATCTGTGCCTGGAGGAGGATTATCGGACGGCGTTCGTAATAATACCAGAAGCAAAATTGTAAATAAAAAAAACACCATGCGTCTTGACCTAATGCAATGGATTACAGCGAACTGTACTTGGCCAGTTGCAAACAATGATGGTCAGTCGATTGACGAAGTGGCGCCCTCTCTGTTGTTTTCTATACGAGCCTTGAGCAGATGCAAGGCCCATGGACAGCGTGAGGAGAGGAATAGGACTAACGTATTCCTGTTGGCAATATCGCCAATAACGGAGAATAACGCCCTCCGCCGCCAAATAGTGCCGACTCTCTCTTCAAACCGGGACAACGCGTCTGCGATGCGGGAGAGAACAAGGTATCAATGGCACATACGTTATCGCGGAGCGTAAGGTGCACGCGTTTGAGCTACAGAATGGATTATATTTCCCTGTCCTTTGAGTCTTAGATAATCGTACAAGTCAGCGCTATTGGCGAGTAAAGCCCGTGCTAGATGCTGTAAAAACTCGCGCGACTCATCCCCATAGAAGGGCTGAGCAAGCATAGTCTTTGTATACCCTGTCCAACAACGGCAAATTTAGTTGTTTTTTGCTCGTGTGTGTATACTGTTTGTACATGAAGCGCAAAGGAGAGGTGTGAACAGTATTTCTTTAGACTCTCTTGAACGACTTTTTTTTTTACCCGCCTGTACTTTCTCGGAGGTTGGACACCGTCCCCGCCGTCCTTCTATCCCTTCTATCTCTTTTCTGCCATCGTCCAATACGCTAATTAGGCAGTAGCGCCATTTCCAGTTTTTTTGCATAATGATAAGAACAACCAGAGAATATAGTGTGGACGCGTATTAGTGCCTATGGTTGGGAATTCCACAATGTGGGGCGAAGCAAAACGCATGATAGGAGAGCATTCACACACCCTGATGACGGATTTTGGCTCTTGAATGCATGGCATGGTTACATCCGGCTTTTTTACCAGGACGGAGAAGAGGAGTACAGCAGGGGGTGGTTTCCATTTTATCCATCCGTCTAGCAACTTCTGCCAAGGGAGAGTGAAAGAAATAGGGCTCTCAAGACTCAAGTCTGGAGCTGGACTATTGGACCGGGCTAATTTTTTCACTCCTTGCTCCTCAAATGCCGTCCAGGGAGTACAGAAGTGGACAATGATCCAATGGAACGATGTATCGATCCGCGAAGAGGAAAGGGTGGCGGAAGCAGCAGTTCACAGATAGCACTGTGTGTTTATGGCCATGGTGTGCGAAAGAAAGCCTCCCATTGGGGTTGATGAATGAACAAGTCGGAAATGAAGGATAGCGTCATGCGAAAGGAGCTCTCTGTGCTTCCCTCTTTCGGCTGTTCAGTTACCCGACCTATTTTTTCGGCGCTTTTGGTCCATTGTTTCCATTGTTGGACAATAATGTCCCCCGAACGGAAGTAAAAAAAAAAAAAACTTGTTTACATGCCACGCTTAAACCCTCCTCCCTTTTCTCATAGGACCGGACTGGGGAGTACGAGAGCGACATCATCCTCGATAAAGGGCTTGTGGATCCCCTTCCTGCTGTCCAGGTTCAGCCAAGCCAGAGAAAAGCGCTCTCAATCCGACTGAGGCATTATATTCACCACCTCTTCAACTCTCTTCTCTTTTTTCTTTTTTCTCTTTTCTCTTCACCACCAACCACACATCCGCCCCCCTTCGACCGACGAACCAAGATGACCTCCTACTTCAAGAGGCCGACAGAGTACTACCGAAGGACTCGATGGACCTATCCAGGTACAGGATTCAAATCGACCTACCCTCCCTCAGACAATCTTTGATCTGTTATGAAGAAAAAAACAGGATCGTCGGTATATTCACTTTCACCATCTTTTGATCCGGCTACAATGGCTTTATCCTTTCAAACCCCTGTTCCTGGCAGCATCTCGGCATGAACGCAGTCGGGGTTCATGTCATTTTCTCCATTTTACAATATCAATTGCTCCCTCTTTCACTTTTTTTGCTTTTTTTTTTTTTTTTTTCGGATCTACATCTTCACAGTATATCCTTGGTATATGAAAGCGAGGACATGAAGGAGCGTAGGAGGGGCAGCAGCGATGGAGAGAATAAGTAAAACGGTGAGGACAAGCGGAACGGAAAGAACGGGATATGAACGGTTAAACGTTTTTTCTAGCTGCATCGACAGTTTTTTCTATTCGATTCGATCGAAAAACAAACACACAGCCCGTTATGCGTTATGCATTATGTTATTTGAGCAGAAGGGACCCCGGTAACGCCTCGACCATGGTCTGTTGAGAGCATGATTTGTAAATGCCCCATGGACGATGGCAGAGTCAACGAAAAGCATAGGCTGAATGCTTGGAGACGAACAATGGACAAAAAACTCCTTGAGCGGATCATATTATCAATTGTGTGCTTTTTTTTAGTCGTGTGCCTGACTGGTTCCTGGTTTCTAAAATGCTATTGAAGGCTATAAATATGGTCTTCCTCATGTACCAAAACCATGGTAACTGACATTTTCTTCTATCCCTTGATCAATATTGCAATGTAGATACCCTCCGCGTCCGCGGCTCCGTCATCCCCACGGTACTCTCGGACGTCTTCATCATCACCATTTTCTCCACCATAATCCAGACGATCAATACCATGCGTCTCTTGCCATTCCAGCTCGTCTTCCCTAGTGTCATCGGTAAAGAACTTTCTTTTTCGTTCGTTCCATCTCCCTCCATGTCTTGTGTACGCATAGGATTTATTTACGTGCAATGGAGGATACCCTTCCCCCCAAAAAGAGATTCCGCAGACTAAAACATGAATGCCTTCGATACGCCCTAGCACCTGCATTGTCTGTCGTCGTCGGTTTGATTCTCGCCTTCCGCACCAACACCGCCTACGACCGTTTTTGGGAGGGCCGCAAGCTGTGGTCTGCTCTCGATGTCCAGGTCCGCAACTTCTCACGCATGCTCTGGGTAGGCATGAAGGAGACCCCTCACCCTCACGGTGTCACCAACGGCGTGGCCAGCACCGTCTCTCTCACGGCCGCTACCCCAGCCGCCAACAGCGCCCCCGCCCCCGCCCCCGCCCCTAACCCACCTGCATCTTCCAGTCTCGGTGCCCATCTTTTCAGCCGCAACTCCAAGAGCACCACTCCTCGTGAACCCGCCAAAGTTAACTCAAACGCGACACTGTCCGAGTTCTACCATGCAGACGACCATGAGAAGATCCTGATCATCAAGTTACTGTTGGCCTTCGCGGTCTCGGTCAAGCATCACCTGCGTCAAGAATTCGGCGTTCGCTATTTTGATCTCGAGTACCTCCTCCCCGAGGGCTTCGTACCCTGTGCTGCGACCGACCGTGTGGAGATCAAGACCCAGATCCAGGATAAGGCTCTCGGAGATCGTTACCGTCAATACAATGAGGAGCCCTGGGATATCCGTGCCGGTAACGAGGAAGGACAGATGTCGCTCCCACTCGAGATCGCATATGCACTCTCGCTCTGGATCATTGGTGAGTCCCGCGCGGGCAGGATCGAGAGCTCCTTGATCGGGAACCTGTTGGGATCCATCAACACCATGACCGATATCTTTACGAACATGGAGCGGATTGTCTTTACGCCTATTCCGTTGGCCTACAGTATCCACCTGCGTCAGGTCGTCTACCTGTACTGCTTGGCCTTGCCCTTCACGTTCTTTGAGATCCTGGGCTGGCACACTATCCCCCTGATGGCCTTGGTGTCCTTCACGCTCTTTGGTATGGATGGTATCGGTACGGAGATCGAGAACCCCTTCGGAAAGGATGCCAACGATCTGCACATGGATGAGTTCTGCAGGGACCTCAAGCGCGAGCTCGATTATCTCGTCAACCTCCGCAACACCGTCCCCGGCGCCCATGCTTAGAGAGAAAACAGAGTCTGATGACTTTTTTCTTTCACTCTCTCACTTTCTCTCTCTCATTGCCATATATCTCTCTTATCTGTCGTTTTTGCCTCCTTGTCAGTTCGATGGGCGGGGGGGTTGTTTTCGAATAAACACATTCATTCTTCGATTCATTTTTTTTTTTACGCGCAAAAAGTAATTGTATATTTTAGATATGTAGGTATGTATGTTCAGTATGGATGGATGGATGTATATATCTCGACGCTAACCAGCTTGTGAGTTATGGAGTGATTTTTTTTTTTTGATCGCGTCGTTCTTGGAACAAAAAAAAACAAAAAAACGAAGGCCTTCGTTTTCTTCTTTTTTTTTTTTTTTTATGGATTACGAGCGTTTTGTGGGAGAGTTCCTGCCTCTGGACGGTACTGTTTCGGTCCGCTAGGGTTCTGTGGATAACCTCCCAACTCGGGCTTTTCCTCATCGTCGCTCGCGTTCTAAACGAAGTGCAATATGTATATAACAAAAGGAACAAAGTCAGCCAAAAGTACAACGCAAAAAAAAGACATTTCAGGTCAATTTCCAGATCCCAGGTTTTTTTTTTTTTTTTTTTTTTGGTTCGTACCTCATCATGATATCCCGTAGGATACCGTTCATCATCAAAGGAAATGCCGACTCGGGACTGCATCAACGCGCTCGAATGGGGCCCATTCTCGCCCGTCAGTCCGACTTCATCATCATAATCATCCCTTCCACTCGACAGCGACATAAACCGTCCTCCTTCGCCCGTGCGCTTCTTCTTGTCCCCACCATGGTTGCGGTACAGGAACACGCCCAGTCCAACGATACCGGCCATCGCCACAAAGCCGACAATTCCCATCCCGACCGCGAATCCCGCGGACGAATAGGCACTCTGTGATGTTGCCGAATCCGTCGAACCAGCCGGCGCATTCGTCGTCGTCGTCGTTGTCGTCGGAGAAGAAGAACCAGGCGCAGGCAAGGGATCCTGAGGTTCACCGTCCGGGACGGCTGTCCTCGAAATCTCCTGCTTATCATAAACGCCCGGCTTCACATCCGAGTACTGGCCCACATACTTCACACTCGCAAAGTAGCCCGCGAACTCGTGGACCTCGGACACGACCGAGAAATCGTATTCTTGACAGTTCTCGTCCGTATAGAAGTTAAGGGCCATTTCCGGGTCGGGCGCCGTGATCGCAGAGTAGTTCCGGCCGGCGGTCCCGGGCGTGAGCGGCAACGAGAGCGTGCTCGTGCATTCGTCCAGCTTCAGGCTCTCGAGGTAATAAGAGTCGTTGGCCTCGAACGTCAGTTCGATCGCGGGCTCGGATTCGACCACGTAGACAATGGCACGCTTCTGGAGAGGTGCTTCAATAGAGGTAATGGAAGAAGCAGCAGCAGCTGGGTTGAAATTGAGGTTGGGGGTGGGTGCTGCGGTGGTAAGGGTTGGGAGAGTCATTAAAATCACTGCTGTCGACAGGCCCAGCCAGGTGGCCCACGGTTTCCTGCTGGTCCTTCTGTGGTCCGTTTTGCAGGTGTTGGTCCTGGTCCTGTGAGGCTGTGCAGTAGCAGCGCTATGTGTCGTGGTCGTCATTGCTTGCTGTTGTATCATATATCGTAATGTTCGTTGTTCGTAACTTGTTTATCGTGAATCGTATGCCGTGTATCGTACGTATATCGTTTCGTTAGGGTCGTTGTGTCGCTCCTCCTTGTAGAACGTCGGGGTGTTGGTTTGATGCTGCCGAGATGTTTTGTCAGTAGACAATTGGTAGCTATGAGTTGGTGAGTTGGTGAGTTGGTGAGTTGGTGAGTTGGTGAGCTGGTGAATTGTGAGCTGGTAAGTTGGTAAGCTGACAAGTCGGTAAGCTGTGGTGAGTGGTGAAGAGCGAAGAAGAGAAGAAAGGAGGGGTGGCAGTGTGAGGTGGAGGAATTGCGTGAAATCCTTTTTTTTTTCCCCTCTTCTTCTGCATTTCGAGTGGGTGCTTTTATCGAAAGTGGACAGTTCCCCGATTTAGGGTTGATACCGCATATATTTTTAGCAGGGGGGAGAAGGGACAGGACCACGCTGCGCTTGGGGTCCTGCCAAAGTGAGTGCTCACCAGGTTCTCGCTGCTACTTCCTTCTACGACCTTACTTCTTCCCCCCCAGCCCTTCCTCCTTGTTCTCAGCCCCAATTCACCCAGAAGTAAGCTAAAGAAGAAACCAGACGGATGTAGACCCCATATTTGGGTTATTCATCGGTTGCCTCTCCATTGGCGTAATAGGTACGCACCATCGAAAAAAAGAAGCGCAACATTTCGATTCCTAAGACATGTGCTGTTCCCATCCCGGCAGAAGCGTAAGAAGCGCAAGATAACCTATTCAAGGCAACGTCTCCGAAAGGAATTCTCTCACCGAGGTTTCAGGCGTTTATTTATTGAACATGGTGCTCTTTCTTTTCTTTTTTTTTTTTTTGTTCGCATACATCACAAGTCCATAATCGAAAGGGTTCGTTTACTCCCCCCATCTTTGTTGAAGCAGTCAAAGTCAGGTCCACAGTTTTTTCTCGTAAAGGTGCACGCAGGACCATACCAAAAGCGAGCGAGAAAAAAACGGCTGGGCTGGTTCTGGAAGTGACCTGGAATTGGATCCCGCCTAGCAAAAAAGTAGTTTACTTCAATCGCAGCACACACCACACACACTGCCTGCCTGTCTGCCTGTCTGCCTGCCTACTCGCAAGATAATAATATAAAATAGATCTTCTTGACCATCCAACCATTACTGTTTGTTTCTGAGCCCCCGTTCATTATTATTATTTCTCTTCATTTTACTTGTGCGTCGTCGAATGTCCAACAGCACGCTTTTTGCTGCCTCGGAACAAACGCCCAAAGAAGGAAGCGGACTAAAACAATAAAAAAGAATGAACACGAAATACATGCGAGAGCCTCCCCATTTGGTTGAGGCACAGAACGTGGAGTTGCTGCCTGTCCCCCCCAGTCTATATATCCCACGCTCAGCATGCAACACCATGATGCATCGCCGTGGGTCATTTTTTTTCTTTTTTCGATAGGTAACATCGGCATGCCGTTGCCAATTAGGTCGAATATCTAAATTGCTTCTTCTCGGCATTAGGTTTCAGATAGTCCAAATAGAAGGCATAGCAGATATATTTACAACAGTGCAAACCGGCGTTTATTGACCCAAGATGCAAGTGGGTTAAGGTCTCCAATCTAAACCTGGTCACTATCATCGTACCTGTCCTTCCGTTCTGGCCGCTCCGGAGAATGCTGCTGTAGACGATCACCCCTATAGCTCTGTATTTCGTTATCGTCCTCGTCGTTATCATCATCATCATCATCCTCATCCTCATCCTCATCCTCATCCTCATCCTCATCCTCATCCTCATCCTCATCTCCAAGCTCAAAGTTCTCGCTCCTGCCTTTCGTCCTCAACAGAATATCGCCATCCTGATCCGCTGACTCATTGTCCATACGATTGTACGGCAGGAGGCTTTTGTTCCTAGTGTCTTCGATCATCTTCCTGCCCACCGTCTTCCAAAAGACCACCCCTCCGATCGACAGCACCACTAATGTGCCTAGAACGCCTCCAAAGAACGTTGAGAATATCGATCTCGGAGGTTCATCTCCACTATGTCCGTTTTTGGAGTTGTCCGGTGCTGGTGCTGGTTGAACAGGATGTGTTCCCCCACCGCCACCTCCTGGATTCTGCCCACCAGGCGGTGTCGGTGGCATGACTGGCCCTCCCTCTGCCGCATCCCCTTGTCCATGGATCGGCTCCTTTTCAAAGAACTGTCCGATCGCATCCTCTGTCCAGCCGACCCATCGATATGATTTTGCCGTCCCAGGGTAACCGAGATAAAACCCATTCAGCCCGAACGTGAAATCCTGACAATTTGAATCCGTAAAAAAGTTGATCGTGGCGTTTTTGGGTGCGAAAGTAATGTAGGCATAATCCGCGGAAGCGGTCTCGGTTGCGAAGCAGGTGTTGAAGATGGCGTCCTCGGAGCCGAGCTCGTCGTTGCCCGCAGTGAAATACATGACGTTGACCTTTTGGTCTGTCCTGGGCGGGAGTCGATCAGCTAGAGAGAGGTCCTGTGCTTGTACTGGTATTGTGGAGATGAGGGACAGTAATGCCATGGAGGCGATGACCGATGCTGAAATTGTGGAATGCATAGTGTGAACGAGTTGTTCCTGTGTCTGTCTGCACTGTGGTTGTTGTTTCTCTGGCGAGTCCCCTGGTGTATTATGTGTCTAGTGTCTAGTGTCTAGTGTCTGGTGATCGTCCTGCTTTGACTTGATGAGCGGTTGGGCGTTGAAATCTTGAGGTTGCTCTTTTGTGGGAACGATGAGGACAAAGAAAGTGAAGTCTGCGCAGGGGCGTTTGCTTTACGCCCATGGAACCATCAGAGCCGTTATTTATAGATTCTCGTGGGACGAAATGTTTACGGCGAAGCAAGACATGCTAATGCTTGCCCTGGATTTGTATGCCACACATATCCAATGCCACCGGTCGTTTTGCTCTCCTCAGAGCCTTCAACTGACAACACGCTGGTCTTTGAATGAAGCATCGTTTATTCATGTGTGCGCGCCATGTGGGGGTGTGCTATGCCGTCCTAGTCCAGCACCTTTAGGCGACTAAACTGCTTTGCATGAATCGCCTTCTCCATCAACCGCACCGGATCCATTGCCTGCACAATATCACCGCCATCCAGGAACAGCTTCATCAACATCCCGCTAAATCCAGACACCATCGCCACGCCCTCCTGCGTCGACTTTGTCGGTTTGTTACCCCTGTTCGACCCCCTCAAGTTCCAGAACACAATCTGCGGCAGCTCGTATCCCGCCTGCTCAAACCGCCGCTTCACCACCGCATAGTTTGTGAACATTTCCCCATTTCTTTGTGCTCCGGCCACTGCACAATCAAACTCCATGTCCGAGAAAACAAACAGCGTCTTAACCATATCCTTCGGTGCGACCTTGTTCTCCAACGACAGATTGAGGATATGACTGAACGCCTTGGCCAAGTCCGTGTTTCCGCCCCAGTCCATATTTCGCATCGAGTCTACCTGGTCTATCAATGAGTCCTCCTTCACCCGATGGATCTGCGGCGACCCCGAGAACGTCAACACTACCCGATTGTACGGTGGTCGACTCAACTGCGTCAAGAGCAACGACAGTGCGATCGCCGCGTTCATCGGAGTCCCCGACATCGAACCTGAGACGTCGCACAGAGCCATAGCCGATTCCATGGTCCCAGTCTTGGCCAACCGTTCGACATAGGACTTCCATTGGGCCTCCATGGTCATGATCTTGATATCGTCCTTGTCCATGCCCTGGTTACAGTGCTGAATCGCCTCGGCTACCAATTCGTGAGGCATCAGCGCCTGCGCTGCAATCGTGCTCTCACCTTTGGAAACAGACACCAAGTACTCTAAGAACCGCTCTTTGTCATGGGCTTCGAACAGCTTCTTGTTGTTCTTCATCGCGATCGAAGGCACGCGGCCATACACAATCTCATCCCAACGTTGCGCCGCCATCATGCTCTCCAGGACCGGGATTGCCTTCCGCAGAGGTACATAGTACTCTTGACGATATTGCCGCCGGACTCGGTTCACGTACGCGACATGGTCCTCCCCTGGTCGTTTCTCTGGAAAGAGAATCTGGGCGATCGTGCTGGCAATCAGGGTGTAGTTGTCGTGGAGCTGATTCAGACTTGGACACCACTTTGCAGCCAGTGAAATCGATTGACCCTGATCCAACCGAGCTTTGTCCCGTACGAGCGCATTCGCAAACAGACGTGCGACCTCCAAATGCAGAGCTCTGTAAAACGCGTCGTCCTTGAACATGGTCCTGGCTCGCTCCAGTCGAGCACTCTCGCGTTCGAACCGCTCCTCACGAGCCCTCTCCGAAAGCCGCTGGTTTCGTTCCTCTGCCTCGTCGATGGCTCGTTGCCGCTCCTCGGGCGTCCTATCCTTGCGGGACCTTGCGCCATCCGCGTTGGTCTTCGAAGCTGCGTCCTCGCATTTCATCTTCTTCTCTACCTGTTCGTCGTCCTCGTCAGAAGACACGCAGACTTGTCGCTTGTGCTGTCCTGATCTATCCTCATACCCGCCTCTGCCTCGTCCTCTACCTCCCCGTCCTAGTCCCATATTTCCCCACCCTCGTCCTCTACCACGGCTTGACTTGGATTTCTTGGGCCTTGTCGTCAGATTGTACTCTTCGATATCATCACGAATTTCAAACACCAGCCAATTGAGCAGATCTTTCCAATATCCATGATCGGGGATATGTCGCAAGTTGTAAAGCAGTGTCTGCGGGTGCTCATGACGCAAGAAATCCATACAGACATAAAATCCGCTGCGCTCTCCCTTGCCATGCACGACCGAACGCAACTGAAAGATCAGCCGAAGCGTGTCCAATGGATTCGCCGCCCAAGAGGCGCGGGCCAGCCGCCGGGTCGTGTCTGGGTTGGTGTTTTGGAGAACTTCAAAGAAGAAATCCAGCCGGGCATCCTCTGTGGAGATGTATGTGGGAGCACCGTTCTCAGTCGTCGTCATGTTCGCATCTTCCGTGGCTCGCTCGGCCTCGGTCTTGTCCGCCTCTTTGAGCAACATGTCCACGAACGGCGAGGACCCTTCGGGTGCTACAACAGCAGTGGCGGACGTCGAGGCTGCTGTCGTCGAGGCCGTTACTGGAGCTTCGTCACCGTGATCATTGGTGGATGCTGTGGAGAGACAGAGCTCCTTGAGGAGATCACAGGAATCATCGAGCATGTCGTAGTCATCGTCAGTATTGTTGTCCTCGGCAGCAGTAGCCTGGGTTTCGGCCTGGGCCTGAGCTGGAGGCTGAGTCTGGTTTTTGACTTGGTGATGATCCTGACCCCTTGGGGCGGTGGCTCGTCGTGGTGTGGCCAGCTTGGGCAAGGGAACCACCTCTGGCAAGGAGTAGTCCTGTCGAGGCATAACGCTCTGCTGATGCGAATGTGAAAAACGAGGTATGGAGATATGGATGGATGGGTAGCGAGACAGGAGGATAGATGAAGGAGTCGTGAGAAACAGCAAAGCAAGTGTGAAGAGTTAGATAAAAACGTGCTGTAGAATGTCGAATATATCCACCGATGAAGCGAAGGCTCAGCACTCAGCACAAACCACCGCGCCTCCGTAGGCCCGTGGCTTCCCCCAATGTATGGTAGCTGTAACGTCTACGTACATGAAACCAGCCGCAGCCACTTGCTTGGATCCACAGAGGACGATGCATGAATGCTCGTATGAGGACAACGGAGCTGCTTGTCTACCCAGACGATCGGTCGCGGCAGAATGGCAAACGGATTTGCACCGCGTCCTAAAAGGGAGCGACAAGGAGCGAAAGGAGAACAATAAAAAGAACTGGGTCTACCACACGACCCACAAGGGTCAAGGCTCTTGGATAAGGCGTATTTCACAATGCTTTGGGGCCCGGTTTTATCGCGCAGGAAAGGTTCAAAGGTCCTCAGAATAGACGATCAATCAACTCACCGAACCGAGAGCACCAAACGATGTGGTGGGGATCGGACCATTTCTGCAGAGTACTTCTGCTGGCCCCCAGGACACTGGATCGCTATGGTCTTGGGGGCCTGAATCGTCCAAGGTCCTTCCCAGTAAAATCATGTAGCACCCCGCAGCGCCTCCAATTTTTGCCGCCAATTTTCCATTACATTTGGTGCTGGCCTGTTGGTTTCAGCTGTGCCACCACTCTTCGGGAGTAAGGGTCTGAGAGCTTCTGTCGAATGCGTCTGCAGTCTGAGAATACCCGATTTCGAAGCGAAGCAGACTGTGCAGGAATATGTCAACAACGACTACACTCTAGCGTGGTTGACGCTGACTAGTGTATTTCAGCAGCAGCTACGCGAGATGGTATCGCTTTTGTGAGGACTACATCGCATTGATTAAAAGCGAGTTCAACCGAAACAAATACGAGCGTCTCAATGAGTGCGGAGTCAATGCCAAAGACATTGGTTGATACATCAACAGGAGGTTATGAAGTGCAGACATTCTGAGGTCCGTAATGTCGAGCTGCAGATCTGCTAGGGCCCCAAGGTTGAACATAAACGAATACCTTTACCAAACGCATCCATCTTCATTTTCAGGAACAAAGTGAATAGGATTTCTGGCAGCAGGGCAGTTGGGCACCTTCCCTGAAAGGAAAGCGAATACTGTGTGCCACACTGTCGCCACTTTGTTCATTCATTCATCCACTCATTCATTCATTTTCTACCTTCACCTCCACTCTCTTTCTCTCTCGCCCTCGCTCTTTCTTTCTCGTCGCGTTTCTGTCTCTCTCCCCTCCTCTCGTTCTACTATCCGCCATTCACGTTACATTGGCGACCATGGAATCAATATCCCCTATCGCCCTGCGGAAAGTCACCCGCGAGTTATATGCGCTCGAGAACGATCCTCCAGAGGGCATTCGCCTGATCCTGAATGAGGACGCCATGACCGACATCCAAGCATGGATCCAGGGTCCAGGTACGGAGCCTGATGCAAAGAAGCCTGGGTCCCTTATCAGCATCGGGGGAAAAAAACCCCCCAATTCTTACACATCGCTTGTTCAAAGACTTTGGTTATTAACCATCCATGTTCTTGTTGCCTTTTATTTTCCTTTTAATTGCTGTGCAACTCGATTCGACTTGACAGAAGGAACCCCATATGAGGGTGGTTGCTTTCGACTGCGGATCCAGCTCGGCACCGACTTTCCCAATTCTGCACCAAAATGTATACCCATCGTTTCAAGCTCGATAATGTGTGCATTGCGTTTCCGTCGCTCGCATTTTTTACTTATGCCTGGTTCACATTTTTTTTTTTTTTTTTTTTTTTTTTGTTTCTTGGGACATTGTAGGTTTCTTCCTGACAAAGATCTTTCACCCGAACGTATCGAATAAGGGCGACGTCTGTGTTAGTACGCTCAAGAAAGACTGGAAAAAAGATCTTGGCATACGACACATTTTGCTGGTAAGCATCCTTTTTGTCCAATTCGCCCATTATTCATCGTACTCCAGGCTGGTGCTGGCCTGGCCTGGCCTGGCCTGGACATGGTGGATTTTGTATACACCACACAGTGGAAAAAAGTTCGAGTTTCAGTAACAACGTCAGCCCTGGTGGTATCCATCTTCACGTTCTTCACATTAGGTGGTCAAATGTCTGCTGATCGTACCGAATCCAGAGTCCGCATTGAACGAAGAAGCAGGACGGCAGCTACTGGAACGTTACGACGACTATGCAAAGCATGCAAGGCTGATGACCAGTATTCACGCCCAACCTGCTGGCCAGGATCTCTTTACGACACTACCACCACCACCAACAACAACACAACCGACACCATCAGCGCACACAGCATCATCATCATCATCATCATCATCACATTCATCATATTCAACTGACACAGCAGCAAGCGCTGCAATGGACGAGGAGATGACCATAACTAGCGTCTATAATGAAAACCAATCCAAGACTGCAGCCGCCCGTATTGTTATCCCACGAGTATTAGGATCAACAGACGTGTCGGCATCAGAACCGACTAATACACTTGCAAGGATACACAAGGACGATCAGGCATTGCCATTAATCTGTGTTGACGATACCAATGACAGCATTTCATCAACCTCCATGTCAACAACAAAGGCGGCGTTATCTCTTCAAGAAGCTCTTTTAATGACAAGTACATCAACCTCAACCACAGCATCATCTCCGCTTTGTCCAAAGCGCAAAGTGGGCCAAGACGAAAAACCCGTGGACCAGATAATGTGCAGTACAAGCACAGCATCCCATTCCAGGCAACCCCTCTCAGGACAGCCTACCCGACAAACATTACAGGGCCTGCCCACTCATCGGAACCAGACTCCAGTCTGGAGCAGCCATCCATACAAACAAGCGTCCGGTCACATCAGGCACGAATGGCCCAAGGACAAGGCGCACGAAAGCCCCATCAGGAGCAACATTGGCACCACCGCACCCAAGAACATGAGGGGGTCAATGGAGAGTCGAAAACGGACCCTCAGGCGCCTTTAATGACATAATAACGTTTATTTCTCATGATGATATATAAAAGAATGTTGTTATTGCGTGCCATAAAGTCATGCTAGATAGCGATATGATGCGATTCTAAAGGAACAACGTTGCTGAACCAGTACTGAAGCATTGGACGATGCTGTGCTGTTGTTTCCCTGCTCAGCCCCGGATTCGTTCGTATATAGTGTTGCCTGTCGTGTACACCATGGTGACTACCCCAAAGATAACCAACATCACATCGATGATACGCGTCTTCCTGTTGGGATGCGTCTTGTAGTGGAACATGGCAGGGAAGATGTATGCAAGTGGAATACCTATTCACAAAGGACAATGGATGAATGGTCAATTTCTGATATATGTGATCCCACAGTAGCATAGCACAGCACAGACTCAGGAGGTAACACACAAATGAAGACACTTACATGCAACAGACCCAACGATGGACACAAACTTGTCAAGGTCCTCGCCAGCCCAGATGGCGATAGCAGCACAGCCCAGCAAGGACAAGACTCGGAAAAAGTTCTTCTGCCACTTGACTAGCGTGTTGTACTTGCCCGAGCGCGTAAAGATGCCGTTCTCCATGATACGGATGGCAGGGAAGAGTTGCAGAGGGATCGACAGCATAATAGCGATCGAATACAGTACCTGGACCGACTGGACCCAATGGCTCTTCTGGGGCAAGTTCAAGAGGACTACAGTCTCGGTCTTTGAACCAAAGGTTGCATAGGACAAGGCTGCAAAGGACGTGAACAGAATCGTGATACCGATCATGACGCCGGTCAAAACCTTGGGGAACTTTTTCGGCTCCTTCATCGACTCTGTGATGGGGATGATCAGTCCAATTCCCTCAAAGGTGAATACTAACAAAGGATAGTTCAATTGTGAGCATGGGGGTTTAAATGTGTGTTCATCCTGTGCGGCCATAGACATCTTTGCTTACCGGCAGTTCCAATAAAGAGAGCGAAATCTTTCGGGTTGAAGAGGGACACATCGCTCAACCCATTTGTCGACAAGGTGAAGATCTATAGATGGATCACAACATGCATCAGTCGACACGTATCAGTAGATGAAGAAATCACTACCAGTGGCTGGGCAAATATAGTGGGTAGCCATTTGCCATGCTATAGTTTATAAGGCCCAACGAACTTACATCAAAATAATACATGTAAATGAGACCAAAGCAAATAAACACATCTGCTACTACGGCAGTAAACGACAGACGGGCAATGTTACGGATCTAGTGTAAAGAAGTCATCCCGTTAGTCAGATTTTGGATTCCAGATGATTAAACATATGCCAATACAGTGCGAGGTCGTGGGAAAAAGAAACCCAGTCGTAAAGGCGGTACGGAGGCACCGATACTTACCAAGGCCAGAGGGATGAAAACGATCAACTGGGCGAGCACGAAGATGTAAGAAGGATACATTTCGGTAGCGCCGAGAACATTCCTGGCAAGGGCCTCCAGATTGGTTGCGACAAAGCTCATGTAAGCGCAGACGAAGCCGACCTGAGAAATGGCGATCGACCACAATACCGCCTGACGCATGTATGGTCCGTAGAGATGGCCTCCGATGTCACCAAATGATGCTGGCACCACCTGACGGGACTCGACCAGCAATAGGAATGAGAACAGCGAGATTCCCGCGATGGCGACCAAGACAACCGACGAAAACAGGATACCACCATTGTTGAACCTGTTATTCAAAATATAAAGAAAAAAAGACCATGAGTGCGCGTGAATCGTCCATTTGACAGCAGCCGAAGATCATCCATCCACCCCTTTTTTTGTTCCTTGTGGTCAACATGTACTTGCTGCATCCACCGACACTTACGCTTTAGGCAAGAACATGATTCCAGTTCCAACAAACGACTTGAGCAGCAAAAACACAGCCTTGGCGGGCGTTGCGTCTCCTTGGGGAGCTTGTTGTGATTTTGGAATCAAGGGTGTGGATTCGGTGCCGCCAGTGCCTGATCCAGAGCCTGCCCCCCCTCCTTGCGCGTCTTCCTCGTCATAGCGTACAAAGTCCCCACCCTCGTCGTCATCCAGATCTTCTCCGGCAAAGTGGCCGTACATGGCCAAAAAGTCGATAAAGCTCTTTGTAAACACATTGGCCTGTCGTCCAGAGGCCTCTGCCTTCATGATCATATGGTATCGTCGCATTCCACCGGGTTGCTTCAAGGTCGTGACTGAGGGCTCCACAGGTCGAGGCAGGTGGAAGGACCTTGAGCGCGCTAATGTACATAGTACGAAGGTAAGGAGCAGATGTTAGTTTCGCCACCAAATACGACAATCTGTTCATTCATCGCGATGCATTGATCCTCAACGGTGTTGATCAGGGACGAAAGCGCAAAAGTGTTATTACCTCGACGGTTCTGCTCATTCTCCTGATCGGCCTGCCACTTGTAGACATCACGAGTGATGGCGCCTCCAGGCAACTTGAATGCAGTCGTGTAGTCGACCACCTCTCCAGTACCAGCGCCGTCGTGGTGACCGCCGTTTGAGCCTGAGGGACCGCCGCTGCCAGCACCATTGCGGTCAGAATCGAAGCTGTCGCGCGAGGGCGAGTTCAGGACAAGGTGTTTTTTGACGACCTTGGAAGCCTCGTCTGCAGGGATATCGACGATCGAATTGATAGAGTCGAGATAGGCTGGACTGCCAACATAACTGCCACTGATGCTATTACTGCTGCTGTCGAGGCCGGAGCGGTGTGCTTGTCCGGCGCTGTTAAAAGCATCGTTCGAGGCAGTGGCGTCGTTGGAGCGGTAGTTCTGCAGGGTCGAGGGCGATCTCCAGGACGATACTGGAGTCTGGCCATCCCCGTTGACGCTGCTGCCATGCGAGGCAGCTCTTCCAAAGAAGGGTGGGATCGATGGTGAGGACGAGAGCAATTTGGTGGCGGCCTCACGCTGAGGCGAGGAGGAGAGCAGGTCTTGGGAAGGGCGCTGCTCGGCGCTGAAGTGGCTGGTGGACCTAGGAGGAGTTGCCATTGTGAGGGGTGGAGTAGAGGGAGGGGGGTTGATCGAAGAGGAAAGGATGAGCGGTGGTCAGTCGCTCAAGAAGTCTCGAGTGTTATGGAAGTGGGGAGATAAGCAAAAGGAAGGGGAGAAAGAGACGAATAAAGAAGGAGGAGAAAGAAAGAAGAAGAGGAAAGAGGGATGGAGAATGGACAAAGGAGCGGATTGGAGTGGAGCTGAAGACAGGCGGACTGGACTGGAATAGACTGGACTGGGACTGGTGGTGTGGAGTCGAGCTGAAGAAGAGCGGAGAAAATGAGGGTGAGGGGGCGAGTGAGCGAAACAAAGGGTCCAGCGGTACTGATCTCTGTTCTCCAAGGGAGACAGTAACCATTGAAACCACTGAAACTGCTGAAGCAAACGAGCCTCTTGATCCCAGAGAATTGGAGCGAGCCCTCCTCCGCATCCTTCTCCTACCGCCTTATCGGCATCCGCAACTGCACTCATCCTTCTTCCTCCACCACCCAGCTGGCGCTGCAGTCTGTCTGCAGTGATGGGAAGAAAACCGACCCAAAAAAGGCAACCTACCCACGTCCCACTGCGTCCCTGCTTCACCGTCCTGACCAGCCTGCGGATGCGGTGGCAATTGAGAGCACTTTTCAAACGCAGAAAGAAATAGCAAAAAGAAGTCGTAAATAATAACAAGGACATGTTACAGCAATGTTCGTCAACTCAGTGACAACTATTGCGTAGTTTCCCTAGAAATGAAGGCCACGGACGTATGCTGAAATGAAGCTGACTTTTATTGGGTCGTATGCATTGATGGATACTAGATGCTAGTCCCGATGTGACGATGGTCGCTGGACGCCCTTCTTGTTCCTAACTTCCCACTCTGTATCCTTAAGCAAGAATCGGTACCAGATTGGCACCAATGGAATCGTCGCTGCATGCCACAACGAATGTGCGTCCAGGATACCCCACAACGGCGCAAAGTCCAGGATCTCGAGACACATCGCTGCCGTGATCAATACTCCTGAAACACTTGGTTCCCATGCATATGGGCGCTCGCGCCAATTGGCGATACTCCAGCCGATCCAAAACAAGTTATGAATCGCGCCCACGGTTGCCATCGCCGCCATGTTGTATCCATAATCGAAATGCACAAACCCCAGATAGCTGATATGAAGCAGCAGTGGAATCAAGCAGACCATAGCCCACATCAATTGCGAACGGATTTGGACCATGCGTGTTATCCGGATGACGGTGTAAAAGAGCCCGTACGTGATGGCCGTTCCTGCGGAAAAGTAGTCGAGTTTCTCAGTGCTAGGCCAATCGCGCGCGTGATAGACTGCAGACCAAAGCCAGGTGTTCATGCCGATGATCGCGTAGCCGAGATAGAAAGGTCGCATGTAATAATCCTGAGGGATGGCGCGCTTGAGCTTGGGCCACGCGAGGACGTGCATGTACCCGTTCAGGATACTGAACAAGACCGAGGCGGGTTCTTGCATGCCCCAGAGTCTGTAAAAGGGCCATTTGCCGTGATATTGGTGCACGGGCAGGTTCTCCAGGAGAGCCCCTTCGGTGATGGACTGCATGCAGCGGTATCGGCAGTTGTCGAGACAGGTCCAATGCGTGAGGCGGAGTGGCAGATCGAGTTGGTGTTCCAGCAGTTGCTCTGGTGTGAATGATGTCACGTCTGCGGATTGGCAAATGTCTTTGTCACAATCTTTGACACATTCGATGTACTGTGGTTGACGATCACCCGAGGATGCAACCGCAAGAGATGCCATGGCCAAGCCCAGGGCGATGGCGAGACTCAGTCGCGCGCCGAGTCCTGTCCCGAATCCGAGGCGGCTTGAGCGCGAGGCGTGTTGTGTGCTGGCCCTGGGCGATTCCTGCTTATGCTCCTGTTCCTGAGTAGGTAGCGACATTCTTTTTTTTTTTGCGAAAAGTAGGGGAATGAGGAAGAGAAGAGCGAATGAAGGTGGAGAGGAGTTGCGGGAAGAGAAGGGAGTGGGAAAGGAGGTAAAAGGCGCCGGAACATGTTTCTACACGTCAACACGATGACTGTGCCTGAGAAACAGGATACCGGTTGCTGGTGAATATCCGTCGGATAAAAGGGTTTCCGATCAAATAAAACGAGAGCACTCCCTCTTACTTTTTCTGCGCAGCATAGCATGCATTGGAGATGCCTACACTTGGATTCTCAATTAGACGCGTAGACGACGCGACGGATATGCTGTTATTGCTATTTCGATTCACTTTACTCACACAGAAAACCATATAGAAGAGGAAGCATGAATGTGCGGCACCATTGCTAGTACTATAGACCGCAGAGTTTTGATCGGAGTCTGCTGCCTCCGCTGACAAATGCCCCACTGGTTCTTATCTTCAGAAGTAAATAAAATACACACTCGCTGCTTCCTGCTTATCTCTGTCGCTCATTTCCCTCTGACTATATACCTCTGCTAAGGACGAGCACAGAGACATCTGCTCGACATGGACATACTTCCCATACACGCTTCTCTTTCCAAGACTTGTTGGTGTTCGCGAGAGTTGATCAAATGTATAGTTATGTCAACACGCATAGCTGCTTCAGCTGCACTCTACTCTCGACGCGCTGCTGGGTCTGGCAGTGATGGCGATGGTGGTAGTGGTGTTTGTTCCGGATGTAACGTTTTACAGAGCGACCAGGATTAAGGTTATGTTTGCATGGAGTATTGCACTCGTAATTGACCGATGACGCCCAAATGCCACTTTCTACCCAAACACCTTTGGGTTGTAAGACGGTAGTATGAACATCTGTATATATAGCACCTCCGCCGCCCTCCCCCAGCGTCGACTCCTTCTCACTCCTTTCTCAACTTCCCCACTCCACTTCTCTCTTTGTCCGCTTCCACGATGTCGTCCAACTTTACCCATATCAATGTCGGTGTTATTGGCTTTGGCATGAGTGCCCAAGGTATGTCTCGAAGGACCATCCACCGCAATGCCAGTACCAGTACCATTAGACCATCGAACCTGCCAATGTGCCGAGTACTGACACCATATTCATTCTATCGCAACGCGCCCTAGTCTTCCACGCCCCGTTGATCTCGTCTAACAAGGCCTTCAACCTCGTTGCCTTTGTCCGCCGATCGGGCTCCAATCTGGCTATCACCTCCAAATACCCACTGGCTACTGTCTACCAATCCCACGACCAGCTTTTCCAGGATCCCGCCATTGACCTTATCGTCATCACCACGCCCAACACCCTGCACTACGATCTCGCACGCCAGGCTCTCGAAGCCGGCAAGCATGTTGTCGTCGAAAAGCCCTTCACGATCACTTTTGAGGAGGGCATCTCGCTCGCCAAGCTTGCAAAACAGCATTCGCGCGTCCTCTCCGTTTTCCATAACCGTCGTTGGGACGCCGACTTTTTGACCGTCCAAAAGCTGGTTCAGTCGCAAAAGTCGACGCTGGGTAGGATTGTTAGCTTCGAGTCCCGGTTCGATCGCTTCCGCAACTTCAGTAAGAACGGATGGAGAGAGACTGGGAAAGCGGAGGACGGCAGCGGCGTACTTTACGACTTGTGCTCCCACTTGCTCGACCAGGCCCTTGTCCTCTTTGGCGAGCCCGAGTACGTGACCGCTCATGTCTCGAACCAGCGCCAGCTCGAGGACTCGCAAGTTGATGACCAATTCCTGGTACATCTCGACTACAAGGACGGACTCCGATGCACACTTGGCGCAGGGATGCTTGCCAGGATTCCCACGCCTCGATTCCGTCTTACAGGCATGAACGGATCTTATGTCAAGTACGGATTGGACGTACAGGAGAACCAACTCAAGGATGGTCTGACACCCAAGGACGGCGCATATGGGCTCGAGAAGGAGGAGAACTGGGGCGAGATCGACTCATTGATGGATATCGATGGCGTCAAGCTGCATGTCAAGGGCAAGATCGACAGCGAGCTGGGACAGTATGGGGCTTACTATGAAAATGTTTGTCAGGCCATCCGCGGAAACGCACCTCTGGCCGTGACAGCTGAGCAGGCAGCCTGGGTCATCCATGGCATTCAGCTCGCGATCAAGAGCTCCCAGAGTGGCCAGCGCGTTGCTTGGCACCAGTAGAGGCCTTTTATAGTTAATTTTTGCGTTAATAAATATTTCATTATGCCTTTCTCCACTATCAAATAAAGAAGGTTTATCCCTCAAGATCGTCCAACGAATCGCTCTCGGATCAGGGAAACGATCGATCACTCCTCCACTGAACACTCACCCTCTCAACAGCTTGTTCTTTTATCTGTGTCAGCAATAAGCAAGGAGCATCGGATCAAGCACTCGGCCGATCTCTTTGCCATATTGTCCCTGCGCCGCCCTTGCTTCAATGACACTTCAGCAACCGCAGCAGCACAAGCAGCCGAGACACAAGCACCCCTCAGTATCCGCTACAACCGCCATAACCACAACCACTACCTCAACATCCTCGGCTCCCGCCCCCCGGCTTGATACTAGCATCAGTAACAATAACAGCAACAGCAGTAGTGCCAATCTCAACCGCTCCGTTGATTACAGGAGCAACAATACGACGGCCTTCGATCATCATTCGAGCGCCCTATCATCACCAGCTCGCCCTGCCAGCGACCCTTCGGTAGCAGAAAAAGAGCAAGCTTTGGCTTCACTCGCGCCGTCCATTGTCACTGGCAACGAGGGCTCCAGCTCCTCTGGGAGTCGAGACGCTAGGGTGTCAAGGGATCAGGACAACTTGTCGCAGAGTACAAGATCGGATCAGGATCAGTCACCAGCAACAGAGCCGCAGCAAGAGTTGAACACAGAGGAATCACCAGGCATTGGGACAGGAGAAGGATCTGGATCTCCAGCAACGTCGTTTGCCAGAATCACAGCTCGATGCCAGGATCACCTCAAACTGTTCTTCTCGATGCATCACAAGCTGTTTGACCTTGTGGCCTTCTACGTTGTCATGTTTGCCATCAACGGCCAGATGACCTCGCTTCCGACCCGGCTGGAATGGATCGGTTTCTGTGTTCAGTCGATCGTGGCCTTGCGCAGGGCCTTCCAGACCTCTATCAAACATGGCATCGGATTGACTTCGTTTTTAGGCATGTTGGATCTCCTTGTGGGCCAATTGTTCCTACACCAGGATCGACTCGGGCTTCTACCTACAGTCGCCAACATTCTCGTGTATTTTTATGTGATCAATCTGACGCGCGGTTTGGTGTTCGGGGACTCTGTCTCCTGCCTACTTTGGTTCCTGTTTGGGCTTATCGACATTTATCGCAAGGACCCATCCTCGGCCTCGATTCTTGATCTGACGCCATATAAGGTCATTCCAGTTCATACTGTCGGCTTTGGCCTGTACATCCTGATGTCTGAGCTCGTTGATGTGATGCTCCAGAGTGCCGAACCGGATCCGATTCAAGGGCGACATCTACATTACGTTGGCGCACAAAAAGGAGGACCCGTTTCCATACGGTAAGTCATTACTTTGGAACCATTTTGAAAACTGTGAGGAGCAGTTCAGTAAACTTACTTTTTTCATATTTAATTTCGCTGATCAGGTCGTCCTCAAGACGTTCTTCAACACGCTCAATGGATCCATCGAACAATCTTCGTTTTGAGCTGTGCATCACCGAGATCACGCCATTCACAGTCTCGTTCTGCCTCAATGCCGTCTCGGATGCGCCTCTGTCGGGCCAGACGCCTGAACAGGATGCAGTTCCCAACAACATATCAGCATCAGGAACAATAGACGGAAGCGCAGCAGGAGAAACGACGACAGTGAGCGATACGGTGGACCTTTCAACCATTAAAATTGGATCAGCCACAAACTCTTCTTCATCGTTGTCGGGACACCGACAGTCCAAATCAAGAACAGCGCCAAGAATCATATCAACATCCGACATTGTGATTCATGTCAATTACATCCCCTGGCAACAAGTTCAGTATCATTTCCCGGATGAACAGAGTTTCACCCTCTATGGACTAACGCCTTCGACGGACTATGAGATCGAAATGAGAGTTCATCAGTTTTCCAGTTTTGTGACCCGGATTGGCACCCGGGCAGCATCACGTTAGTAACTCAAGATTGCTTTCTACTGCTTTTGTTCTTATTATGACTGGGAATTGCGTCCTAATCCTTACTTAACTGGCACACTATCTGATAAAATAGCTGGCACGCCGATACCGACGAAAGGGTTTGAAAAGACAGTAACCAAGCAGACGGAAACAGCACCTAAAAACAACAAAAATCGTAAAAGTAAAAAAAACCAAAGGAATCAAAGGGACATTGCAGACAGGAGTGGCGATCTCAGTAAGTCTAAGGCCTCTGCGACAACGGCCACGTCTGCTTCAACGTCAGGCTCTACTTCAGGAAAGGCATCGGAAACGACAACGTCCAACAGCGGGACTCTAGTCTGCACGGAATCCGCTCCCCAGACCCCAACAGCCCATGAAGACTTGCTGTCAGCAGGGGACGATAAAAAGAACTCCAACCAATTGCTGTTCGAGCAGCTGCGGAAGTCCATACACGCCTCTGTCGAAGCTGCCAGTGCAACCAAGGCAGCGCTCAAAAAGCTGAAGCGAGACCAGAGTAAGGTCGAGGCCTCGTTGCGACAGGAGCTAGAGGGGATAGGGCGGGGTCAAGCCAAGGCGTTGGTTCAGGATCAGAAACGCCGACAAAAGCTATCGTTTTTGCAAGAATCTATTAAGCAAGCGGACGCGCAATCTTCGACACTGCAGGAGGATCTCGTACAGCTGAGGTCATCGGCCTTGTCAAGTCAGCCGCAGTTGGACCAGAGCTTGGTGGCGATCCGGGCATTGGAGCAAAAGATCCAGTCGTCACTAGTCAGCGCCAAAGCGGAAGTGGCCCCTCTCAAGGCAGAATGTCAGCGACTCCAAAGTGAGATCAAGCAATTGGAGAGCGAGCGTGCAGATTGGACTTTGAAAGCGACTAAGCTACGGGAGAGTGAGGTGGCACCACTTCAGCTACGATTGCAGCGATTAGAGCAACAGCAAGTCGTCTGGAAGGTCGCCGCAGAGGCTAGCAAGGACAAGGATCGAGAGGCAGGACTCAAATTAGCGGCTTTGGAGGAGGAAATCCAGAAAAAGACGCTCAAGTCACAGCAGCTCGAGAATGCGATTGAGGAGTTCAAGAAGGAGAACATCGTGCTCAAGGAGTCAGTCGAGCAGGAGATGGAAATCTGGGAGAGCCTTGAACGCGAATTGGATGAGGATGAGTCACCAACGTCGTCCTTTCCCCTGCAGCCACCGTCATACGGTACCCAGTATTTCACATCGCCAGGGCCGGCGCCGCCGGTCCTCCAACCACTCCATCATCAGCAGTTGGATATGTCTGTCGATAGTTCCCTTCGCGACTCGCACTACTGGTTTCCTGCTGGAAATGGCATTGGTTCGAGTAGTGATCCATGGCTCAATCCTGCGAGCCCTTTGATCGGAGGCGGTGTTGGTGTTAGTTCTAGCGATGGACACGCACGTTCACGGACACTGGGACTGCAGCACAATGACCCAGACTCTATTGTGAGCGAGCCGCAGTCGCTTTGGGAGATGCCTTCTATACCTTTTTTGGATGGTACTAGGTCGAACACAAACTTGTCCAATATTCTTGCTGAGCGCGAATAATAAAGCCCTTGAAAAAAAAAACAGCATTTGCAACCTGTAGTCAACACAAAAAAAAAGGGCGCAGTGCTTTTGATGCCGCTTATCATACTCTATAAACCTGACAGATCGCATCCTGTTTTCCCTCTAAAGGAAGAAAGTATGACGATACGTACCTCATCCCATTCTCTGGTTCAAGCCCTGTCTCGTCTTCCCATTATCATTTTGCTCTTCCCATAATGTCATTGACCAGCACGGCAAGATACAAATTAGTGGCAAAAAAAAATTGTTTAGTGCGGGCAGCCGCAGGTGTGCTAGACTACTTGACCCATTGTCCCCACCCCCTGTGCCCTCAGGCCCTTTTCATTCGGTGTCGATTTTTTTAAGGTCGAAAGAACCCACAGGCGTGTCTACTCCGTTTGTGCTTGCAATGTGTAGAGTGTAGTATTGCATATTCAGAGTGCAAAAAAAAAAACATGAAAAAAAGACAGCCCAAGTGCACGGCCTGACAAGAAGGGGAGTGTGCGAAAGAGATGGGATTGCAACAGGGTCCAATTTCAGCCAATCAGAGAAACGCTCATTTTTCAAAAACAATGTTTCAGGGCGCGCCGCTCAAGACAAGCGTTCATAGCGACGTTGCTTTTTTGATCCTTCGATGTCGGCTCTTCCTATCATACTGAAGCAGAATTCACCCACTTAATAGGGAACGTGAGCTGGGTTTAGACCGTCGTGAGACAGGTTAGTTTTACCCTACTGATGAAATGTTGTTGCAGTTAGTAATTGAAAGTAGAGTACGAGAGGAACCGCTCATTCGCGGCCGATCCCTTCCAGAATGTGATTCCTACGAAGCCTCATCCAATGAAATAGCTGTTTCTAATCGGCTGGCGATAGCGATTCCATCTAGCAGAATGTATTAGTATTGAGTGTACACAACGAGAACTGGTTAAAGTTATGGGGATGTGGACAAGGAAGATTTAGATGGGAGAGAGAAAAGAGTATGAGTTTGAAAGAGTGCGAACCATTGAATCATTTTATGTGCACACTATAATTTAAAGCATAACTACATCCTATACTGCGCGCTCTCCTGCTCCCAGCTCGGCACCTCCTCCTCGTCCTCATTTTCATCCTCGTGACCGCAATGACTTCCAGATCCCTTCTCCTTTTTGAACACTTGTATCGCATCCAAATACTTGAGCTGGAACCCTTCGATCTTGCCGTCCTCGCCGGTGGTGAAGGTCAGCATCTGGCGACTCTTGATAGACCACATGTCCAAAACAAAGACGAACGAGTCAAAGTGGTAGTGTTCCATCGGGCTTTGGAAAGTCTTGAACCGCATGTGAAGTCCCTTCTTGATAACCTCATCTGCTTCACTTCTCTCTAGAGTGATTGAGATGTTTCCGAAGAGTGGGTTCGAGTAAACGCCTGCGTACTGGTGGAGCGGGTGCGTGGTTGGCTTGTTCTTGATGCGGGGTGGGAATGTTCCTTGGCTGCCTTTTGCAATGGCGTCGTACGTCTCAATAGTACTGTTAACGGCTACTTGGCCCATCCAATCTTGAGTCCTGGGCAGATTCAGAATTTCATCCGCGAGGTAATATGGCACAAAGGTAGGGAGCTCAGCACCGTAAATGTTGGATAGTACCGCGACCACCAAGTCCGAATCTGGGAACAGAACAATATTCGATGTGAAACCGAAGACATTGCCGCCTGCGGATCAAAAATAAAAAATAAATAAATGCGAATTTCAATATATGCCCTTTCAAGAGAAATATACTTGCAAGAACGCTAGTGTGACGAGAAAAAGTTGAGTAAAATTACCGTGATGGTACATCGCCTGGCCTTTGTACGAGTCCATGGCCCAGCCCAGACCATATGCGCTCGACGGTGCAAATTCGGGGGAGCTTCTCTTTGAACGAAAGATGGTATGTGCACTGAGCTGCTCAGTGACACTTTCTTTGTTCAAGATCTGCTTGCCATCCAGTTCACCATAATGCATGATGGTTCGCCCCCAAATGACAAGATCCAGCACATTAGAATAGATGTCACCTGCTGGTGCTAAAAGCGCGATGGAATCGTCCAGATATCCTTCATGGAAGCGCCCTTGCTGAGCATCCTTGAATGAGTCTGCATAGTAGGGCATCCCATGATTGGGCCGCTTCCCCATCTCAATAGGTGAGAATCCTGTGTTGGAGAGTCCTAGGGGACGAAACACTTTGGTTTCAACCAGCTTCTCATAGGGTATACCCGCCACATTGGCTGCAGCCTCACCCGCAATAGTGTAGCCAATGTTACTATACTGGACTTTGGTACCCAGCCTGGAGGTGAGTTCCATGTGCTTCAAGCGCTTGAAGACATCATTCCTCGTACCCGTGTCGTTGAACCAAGGAGTGTCGTCATGCGGAAGACCCTAAGTGGTTAAAAAAAGACCTTATTCAGTTGCTGCTTGCTCCACGGCATGGATGCCTATGCCATGGTATCGGCATGTTCTTACCGAGCGATGAGATAGATAATCGGTGAGGGTCAGCTCGGATGTGAGAATAGGGTCACCAAGCTGGGCTTCTGGGGCATACTTCGACACCGGGGTGGTGTCCCAGTTGAGTTTCCCTTCTGCGACCAACTCGCCGATGGCTGCTGCAGTCATAGCCTTAGTCATGGATCCAATGGGCATGAGAGTCTATTCATATTCACAAAAGTATGTTTGTCTGGTTAAGATCTTGGTGGAGAAACAGTTAGAGCACGCATATCAGCGTAGCCAATGCAAGTACATACCTCCGCTGTGACAGGGTCGTTCCTGTTTCGTTTACCAAAGCCTTCAGCAAAGATGAGCTTTCCTTTGTGCAGTACAGCAACGCTCATGCCAGGGAGGCCTGTTTTGTTCCTTGCTAGCTCGATTGTCTCCCGCCATTTTAACAAAGATGAACGGCTGTCTATTGGGAGTCCCCCAACAGAGACAAGGATTTCCAGAGCGGCAGTGACAATGAGAAGTGGGGCGAGTTTCATGCTTTGGTCGAGTGGTTTATCAGGACTTCATTTTGCTGTCTGTCTCTTTTTATACAACACAGGGAAGCGGCGGAGGGGGGGCTGGAGGTACCTGGCCCAAAGACGGCGCAGAAAAAAAAAAAAGGAAGTGCGAAGGCTCGACTCCAGCCTGAGGGCGAGCTCACGTGCAGACAGGTACGTTACCATAAATGGAAACTTTGCGCAATTTCTCTCTCAGGCTCGAGAATTGTACCACCATGGAAATGTGAAAAGTCGAGAAAATTCCCATGCCTTTCACTACAGCCCGGTGTTTGTGGCATGCTCTCGTTAAACGCCAATGTCGCAGCCCATGGATGGATAGGTGGGTTTATAGAGGTAAGAAAGGTTGGCATGAAATTGGTGTGCGCACACCAATTTGGGGTTATTTGATTTGATGAGCCCAAGTGTTAAAAAACCGCACACCAATTTTGCACTAGCCGCATACCTAGTTCAATAGGTGGTGCTGAAAAGAAATCAAAAATACTCTATTTTTTATCTCTGCCCACTGAAGCCTTTAATAGTTCCGTCAAGATCATAGACTATTTACGACGACTGCTCCTAAAAAAAAATGCCCGGCCGACTTCTGTACCGCGCGATCTCCTCTCACACATGGCACTGTCCTCAGGAACCATCAGATACCATGCAGAGTATCATTCAAAGATCAACTCCATCACCGTTTCGATTCAAGTGCCGCCTTCAGGACTAACGTGTACGATCGCACCCGATTCACTCGATCTCATTCCCTCTAACAGAACCCAACAGGATCAGGACGATGTCGCGTCCAATACCTCGACGCGCATCGGAAAAGTCCCTCTGCCCTCGCTTATCATGCCCACCAAAACCACCGTAGACCCATCCTCGACACAATCCTCCCTTATCACTCTAAAGCTCGCGGCGTTACCCCAAAGCCAATCGACTTCACTCTCTACTACCGAGTTCCCATCCGCACCACTCCCCGCAGTCGAGCTCCAGGGGCTCAAGAACCTCGGCTGTGGGCGTTGTGGAAACATCTTGCTCAAATGTGATGGCGGGCAAACAGGAGGTCCGATTCAGCGCGTGGTTGACTTGCCTTCGGAACATTGGCAGGAACTGGTTGACTGCTGGATGTGTCACGAGGAGGACTTTACGGAGCTGCGTGAAGGTGATCTGGGGGCGCGCCTTGGACAGGCCTTGGTGGGTGGGACGTATGTATTGATCCATGCGACCAATGTCGACATTGAAGCGGTGGAAATTGAGGAGGATGCGCGGACGATTGATGTAAGTTTGACTGCACTTTATCAACACCACACTTCTCCTTTAATCATGGGGCCCCCTTGGATGCATGACGGACTATTAGAAGACCGGTGTCTCAAGCTACTGACAATCCGTGTCGATACTCCAGTCCAACATTAATCAACTAAAAGGAAAAAATGTCGCTCTCGTGTCTGCAGCAATGTATGGCCGAGTGGTTGTCTTTTTTCTCTTTTTGCTATCATACCAAATCATAACAACTACAATTGTTTTTTTATGAGCTATCCGTATAGCAACATCTTCACTCGTTACCTTCCAACTTCTCCACAACGCAACGAGACGAAGAGTCAATCATGCCTTCTAACAATATCAAGTTTATTCTTGTTATGGGTCTGTAACAGTGGACGAAGGGAATCAAGCGGAGATGGCGTCCATTGGCCTGCTCAAGGTGTTTGTACCCCATTGGAGACGGCTGGTATCAATCTAGGCGCGAAGATGGAACTGGTATGAATATTTAGCGATGGATCATATTTTATTCCGCACGTGTTAAAACATAGTGCACGCTAACGTCTCGACCTTTCTATTATGGTCCCCATTAGATCTAGAGCTGATTCAGGTCAAATTCCATAAGTACGCCGTTCGGTTTCAAAGTGATCAAAGCATCAATGATGAAAGAACACAGCTTGAAGTACCAAAGCAGAGGTTTGCGTCGTATGTAGCGGCCGAAATATTTGAGTCTGCGCGCCATCATGCCACCTATCGCTTCATTTTACAGGATCGACTTACAGGACAGGACATCATGCTGGTATGTCTGAACGCAGAGAGTCGAATTCCAATTTGAAACGCCGTAGATCCGAAAGGACATGTTTTATAATGCAATCTTTATTATTTTCATTCAACGATAGATATGGATGCTCAATTGGGATTCCACCGTCTTCAGTAACCAGGCACCAATGCAGGACAATCAAATCGTTTGGGACACTTCTCTACTTTCCGATCTCCAGGTGGACATCGATATTAACTCTACGAGCGATCGGGTAAGGAGTAACAAAGTCATGAAGGTTCTGTATCTTTCAGAGGATGAGTCTCAGAGACAAGAGGGGTCGGTTTCAAAAGAGGCGGCTCTTTGGGATCGATGGCGTGGCGATCCCGGGGTGGAGAGGCTGCAGTTCCACAAGCATTTATTGCTAGGTCTCCTGATCATGTTGGAGCAAAGCACCAGCTGTCTGCCTCCTATCCTGAGCGGCGCCGCTCCAGCTGTCCTGGCCATGGATGGTATGCGAATGGGGTCCATTGTGATTTGAATAGACAATATCTGATATATGAATAAACAGCAGGAAATACAAAATCGTGATAGCGGCGATCAGGACTTCTTGGCAGTAGGCTTTTTGAAAATACGTTCCAGCCACGAGGGATCGATGTGTCTCCAAGCCTGGATCATGGCGATATCCTGCTCTGCGCCGCGGATCAGGTCGTCGACCTTGCTGCACTCTCGCTCATGTCGATAGATCGAGATACCGTCGCGAATATTATACTGCAGTTTCCGCCGGAGATGGGCGAGTGGTGCTGCGAGGCCTATTCTTGAATTTGGTGGCGCTAGGCGTAACGCGCGCAGGGCTGACCGATAGAAGCTGAGTGTCTGTGGATGCGGTATAACTGAGATACGGGTCATTGATGTGTCTTTCTGAGTAACTGATGCGTCCCTTTGACCAAGACGCCTGCTCGTCCAATGTATGTTGCCTGTGGTCTTGGCATGTACGATGAGGATGTTGGCCGCAGTGATAAGAGTCCAGGAAAAAAAAAAGTGACGTCGCCTCTGTTTTTTTAAAGTCTTTGTGTGGACCGAATCAGGGTGGATTCCACCTCCACGTCCATCTCGCTACTCCCTCCCCACCTTTCTGCGTCACTTCGCCGCTCAACAGTCAACATGGATCCCAGGAAGAAGACGGTCGGGTTCGCACCAGACGTATGTGTTTATGTATTCTTCGGACCCGAGGACAGAACTCGAATCCCGGATCGGTTGACCCTGGCGCTGAACCATGGGAATGACTCTGATTCAGTCAAGGGCTCATATCGTGCTTTATTTTATTTTTTTTTTCCCCTGTGAAGGAGGACTCTCTGTGACTCAGTGAAAAAAAAAAAAAAAAAAAAAAAAAAAATATCCATCTCATGCCTTTGCGCAGGCATCACCGTACTCTGACAGGGCTTACTGCGCACAATGACTCCTCTTCGATATAGTCAACATGTACTCCTGACGCATATCCTTCCTTTGCTCATACCTGCCTTGCACGATCTGGGGCCCGTCGTTCTTTTAATCGCACAATGGATCCTTACAGCCGCTTCTTCCAACCCTCCTCTATTTTATCTCCTTCTTCTAGAACGATGTCAACGCAGCAAACTTACCCTCACCTGGAAGCAGTGACAACACTAGTGCGGTCAACTCGCCTATGTCAGCATTCAATAATACCTCGGATCTTAACAGCGCCACCGGTACCTCCAACCCTGCTGGATCCTCTGCCGCCACAACTGGACCTCGATCAATCAACTCGACTGGGGCCAGATCATCATACGAGGCCATGAAGTCATCGTACGAGCCCATGAAGTCATCCTACGAGCAGCAATGGGATCTTGCTGATCGCCCACCATCTTCGTTCTCAAAGGCACACAGGATGGCCTCACCCCGCGACGGTGCTGGATTTCCCAACAAGGATCAACAACACGTTGCTGGTTCCGGCAAAAAGGATTCTAAAGGCAAGCGCGTCTCGATGTCTTCACCCGGCAACTCCGGTTCGGTCCCTGGAAAGGAAGGTGGCAAGACATCAGGACTGGGTATTCAATCCAATGTCGGCGTTTCGTCTGGAGATGGACCTCAGAGCGGAGCACCCAGTTCTGCAGGATCGACTGGAGGGTCGCCTTCGGGAGGCAAGGGAGGACCACAGAAGCCCAGCGCACCTTCTCAAAAATCAATGACCAAGGCAGAGCGTCGTGAATTGCAGGAGCGACAGAAGGCAGAGAAGGCAGCTCGCGTTTCTGCAGGTTTGCCAGCTTCAGGGAAGAAAGCCGCTCAGGCTGCTGCACAGCCCAACTCTGGGTTTTCGCCCAATCCCTCAAAGTCTTTGGCCACCTCATTTCCCGGAGCCGAGGCGGAAATGGCCATTGCAGCTGCAGAATCGACAGCTCAAACCAAGAGACGAGAAAAATTGACAAAAGAGATCGGGCTATTCGCTCATCTGGACCCTCCCAAGTTTGCCAACACTGCTTCGGCACCAAAGGATCTTCACCCAGCAGTTGTCAATGTTGGACTTCAAATGGCACAGTTTAAGATTTGCGGCGCAAATGCCCGATGTGTCGCCACTATGAACGCATTCCGCAAGGTAATATATCATGTCTTGTGGGAATTTTTTTGATAGAGGCGGTATGACTTACTATGAAAATCATTAACAGCGTTTTGTTTTCCTTATCATAGGCTATCCAAGACTATCAGACGCCGCCAAACACGACTCTTTCCCGCCACATGCAGACCTACCTGAATCCTCATATCAGCTACCTTGTGACATGCAGACCCATGGCTGTCAGTATGGGTAATGCGATCCGGTATCTGAAGTACGAGATTGGAAAGAACCTGGAGTTGCCCGACGAGGACGTAAGTGTCGACGCGATATTGCTTACCATCAAAGGATTTTGAATACTGCAGCAATCGACTGATGCAAAACGTATGCGCAATGTTGTGCTCTTGTAGGCTCGCTCGCTGTTCCTAGAGAAGATCGACAACTTCATTCGCGACAGGGTCACGATGGCTGACCAGGTTATTATCAGCTTGGGCTTGCAGAAGATTCAGGATGGCGACGTGATTTTGACATATGCCCGCTCGTCTGTGGTCCAAGGCTTGCTCTTAGCTGCCCATGCCAAAGGAATCAAATTCAAGGTGATCGTTGTTGACTCTCGACCACGGTTTGAAGGAAAGCAATTGGTTCGCACACTGGCTTCCGCTGGAGTGCCCTGCACCTACGTTCTCTTGACGGCAATCGGACACGTCATGCGCGAGGTCAGCAAGGTTATTTTGGGCGCCCATTCATTGCTTTCAAACGGAGCATTGTATTCGCGCGCAGGAACGGCTGTTGTGGCGATGTCAGCTCATGAGCGCAAGATTCCAGTGATTGTCTGCTGCGAGACCTACAAATTCAGCGACCGAGTCCAGTTGGATAGTTTTGTACAGAACGAAATTGGCAATCCGGATGAGCTTGTCAACGATCAGCACAACAACTACGGACACAGCAGCACGCGATGCCACGGCAGCGTTCGTGGCAGTAGCAGCAGTACAGCTGCTTCCACTCATGGCCCCGCGTCAGGGGTGTTATCTGAGTGGAGGGAGTCAAGGGATCTGAAGCTGCTGAACCTGCTGTACGATTTGACGCCTAGCGAGTTTGTGACAGTGGTGATCACCGAGGTTGGACTAATCCCATGCACGTCGGTCCCTGTCATTCTGAGAGAGTTCTTGTAAGTGGCACATTGATAATTGAATTTGGTTCGCATCTGTTTTTTGTATCGAGACTACAATATGGAATGCTGACCATGATTACTTCTCAACTTTGCAAAACTGTAGGCCAATGATGCAACAGTAGTCGGGCGCAAATTCGGACGATGTTATAACCAGAGGCGCATGAGCATTACTGCACAAGAGAATATCTTGGAGAATAATCCATTTCATCATTTACACATTAAAGCATGCATCTTCTCATAACACTCAGGCTGAATGCTGGATGAAAAATGCTTTATTGTGAATGCAAGTGAGGTGATAGTGGAGGTCTATTTGTTCTTCTTGGTCCGTTTGCCATCGCGGGAAGACTCTGTTGCCATAGCGCTCTTACGCTTGACCTATAAAGAGGACACAGAGACATAAAGAGTTGTTAGAGGGATTTAGAAAGCTGACCACCTTTTCCGTGAAAGTAAAAAAAGAAAAGAAGACTTACAGTATCAACCAGCAAGGAGAGCGAAGGGTCCTCGAAAGCTCCCTGAACCTTGATCTTGCTGTGGTCCTGGTTGTTCTTCTTCTTGTCGTTATTGCTCTGCTGCTGCCGCTTCTTCAAGCTCTGTTCAGTCTCCTCATGCATGACCGCCGTCCGCTTCTGACGCTCCTGCAGCAACTCGGTCATCGCCTTGGTCTTCTTGAAGTGGGGGCTTGTAGGATCGAGAGCAAAATGATGCGATTCGTGCAGTGCACTGAAACGTGGATCGCTAACGTCGATCTTGAAGTTGTCCTGCAGATCCTCACCCTTCTCCTTATCGCTCTGTCCCTTGCTCTTGTTCTTTTTCCTCTTGTTCTTCTTCTCGACCTTTTGAATCTCTTTCATGTTGAAGTGTTGGTTGTTTTCCCTGTTATCCTCCATCAGCAGCTCGAGCTCGGCCTTCTTGCGATTGTCCTCAATACGCTCCTCCTTGGTGCGCTTCTTCTTCTCGTTCTTGGATTTCTTCTTGCTTTCGCCCTTCTTGCCCTTTCCTGCTGGCGCCATGTCGCCGCCTGCAAACTCTTCTGCAAAGTACGAGTCGTTCATCAAACGCTCATCCTCATCCTCAGAGAACAAAGCCTCACCGCCTATAAATTAAGAAAACAAAAGATGAATGCGATAATGTGAGAAGGGTAAAGGAAAATACCTGATGGTTGATTCTCGAACCCAGGAGACATTGCAAGAACCGTGATGAGTTACCTTGATCGTCGCTATCATCATCACTTTCATCGCTGCCCTTGAATTTGGAAGCCCGCGCGTCCTTCTTGCGCTGTTTGCGTTCCTTCTCCTTGCGCTTGTAGGCCTCGATAGAAGTCTCTTCCTTGACTGGCAGCTCACGCTGCTTCTTGGCCTCCAATAATTCTGCAGCAGCCTCGCTCAAGCCTGGAGCGAATGTGATCTCCATCTCCTGGTTCTTGTCATCGTCGCTGTCAACGTCGCTATCATCTGAATCCTTATTTCCACCCTCCAATAGAGCACGGTACCTGCGCTTTGTGGCCTCAATGTCATCCTCGTCCTCCGAGTCGTCGTCCGAGGAAGCAAGGTAGGCCTTGAAGTCCATGTCTTCCAAGTCCTTCTTCGAGAACTTTTGGCGAGTGACCTTGATTCTGTCCGCATCATCTTCGTCCCAGGTCAACTTAACGTTCGAGTGCTGGAAAGCCTGGGTTATGAAATCATTGGGTTTGTAGTTCTCGGGCGCGCCAAAGGCCGAATCGCGGGGCATATCATCAAACTCCATGCCGTCCGGGATATATCTCAGATCGAAAAAGTTGGCGCTACTTTCGTACTCGGCGCCATCGCATGCCTCGCAAATGGCCTTTGCAGTCTCGACGGAATCGCAGTCGACAACAGCATAGTAATATTTGAGGCGATCGAGCTGGTACCTTCGCAAGGCTTCAGAGTCGACCTGTTCGTTTCCTTCGTCGGTTTGGTTCCTGATAAGAGTCTTTTCGTCTATCTCCTCATCCTCCTCGTCCTCATCCTCATCCTCGTCATCCTTGTTTTTGGAGGCCGACGCTTTCTGGAAGATCTCTGGTGGGGGTCCCTCGCGTTCCTCTCGCTCCATACGTTCCTTTCCAAACTCTGATGGATAGATTTTGACCGACCTGATAGCTCCTTTCTCCGGTTTAAATCCTGAAAAGACCTTGAACAAATCAATGGACTAGCATGTTGAGGAAAATAGTAAGCCGCGTGAGTTTACAGATCGGAGAGCAGACAGAGATCAAGCAGGACCGTTATGTCGGGAGTTGTTACCTTGACATGATCCCAGTCCAGGTTAACACAGGCAAAGCGATGTGATTCATCTCCTCTTGGAACGTCATCCTCTTCTTCTTCTTCCTCCTCATCCTCGTGAGCCTCGGCCTCAGCGTCCAGCTCAGCCGCAACCTCCTCATCGATATCAGAATCCGAGTCCGAGCCACTAATAACACCTCTACCACGCATAGGATCGTATGCGTCCTCGTTCTCTACTTCGGATTCTGAATCCGATCCAGAAACACCGACATCCTCGTCCTCCTCATCCTGATCCTCATCGTCATCACTCTCCTCTTCGTCGCTGCCAACCTCGCCCTTTTGGAGCTGATAGAATCGCTTCATTTGTCTATCGCTCGCTGAGCTCTGGAGTTTTCGTCCGTATTTGTCGACCTTGGCTAATGCAGCAATGTATAGAAGAAGACCAACAGGGTAAGAAATAAAATGAACGTCAGTCTATTGGTCTTCAGGAGCAGTCAAAGTGATAGTACAACACCGAATAGCGGATCAAGACAGATATATAAATGTCCTCTATGCCTCCATGCTTTGATTGACGTACGTGCGCTCGAAAACTCCTTGCCCTTGAGCATGGATGAAAAGCGAGAGTCGACCGTAACCTTGGAGTCGCTCTTTTGAGGTCTCCTGAAGCGGGGGTCCCGGTGCACATGGGCGAAACGAGTATCCTTGATGGGCGCCAAAGGCGCAGTCTTTCCACCTTTCTTGGGATTAGGCGCCATAGCTGTGAGTTGTGGTGAAGGAGAGTGGGTGGGCGTTTAGTCGTAGGTGTCAGTCTTGTCTGTCTAGCTCAAGCTTGACTACATGAAGAAAAAAAAAAAGTGCCGTGTTTACAGTTATGTGACTTGATAACAACAGTTCGGCACAGGCACACGAGCATTTATTTCGGGAGGCTCTGTGGAAAGCTTGAACCTCCTCTTCTTAACAAACGATATTCAATATGAAGCAGTCCGTTGGTAAATACCCTGAACCTGCGAAACATCCATCCATCGATCATTGGGACATCCATCCTTCATCTATCGAGCACATCCTCGATGATATCGCCAAACTATTTATTAGTTGATACCTACGGCAGGAACGGAAACACCATTGGCACGGGCGACATCTTGTCAAGTTTTCATCAAGATCGCCTATGTAGATCATGATTTGCAATCCCATCACACGGTCAGACCAGACGACCCATCGTACCACGCATACCACAGGCGATACAGCGACAAGCTCGGCACTTCTCACGACACTTCATAGGAGATCTTCCATGCAATTGAAATCAAACCATCTTGGCTGACCATCCATACCCCTTTCCCTTCAGATGTTAGCTCTTCCCGCCGCAAGAGCAGAAAGGCCCACTTTTCTGCTCCCTCTGATCTTCGTCGTAAGATTATGAGCGCTTCCCTCTCCAAGGAGCTCCGGGAGAAGCACAGCGTAAGTTTGCGGTTGGGATAAGTCCGAGTTTTCCTTCCCTTGGTGGGCCCCTCCTTTCCCTCTTTCAAGACCAAGCCGACAATCTCTGCGACCTACTGCAGGTAGTCTCGATAAGCGATCAGCGCCAACACCCAGCAGCACCAAAATCAGCAATTATCGCGCAACTAGACCAATTGAGCGATCATTTCCCATTCTTCGACTTTGCCCTGTCTTTTGGACTCGCCAGCACCTCTCAGGTCAACTTCGCCAGTCAGTCAGCATCGGCAGTGGGGACTCGTATTGCTTTGGGACACTGTAGCATCCGGACAGCAACGCAGACGCCGCTCAAACAACACAGCATTGTCAGTCATACGCTTAAAGGAACAGCCAACGAGACTGAGGCGAGCAATTGATAGCCGATTGCTTGCTTTCGACCTTCGTTTTTGTTCGGCTCTGGAACGTCAAACCTTCCAATGCCTATCCTCAGCAGCCTGACTCTGCAATGTAATGTTTCGACCTCGTTATCCGTTATCTGTCGCTTGGGAGAGGGTCTTTTGCAGCTGTTCTTGACGTTTTTCCACTAGGAGGCACATCACAAAAGAGGAGTCGGGGACCAAGAGGAGCTGAAATTGTGCAAGGAGGTGGCCACCAACTGCAAGGATTATTTTTACCGGCATATTATGTACATTATATCTTATCAACACCGTGCATTTTTTTTATTGTGCGATTGTAACGTTTCTTAGGCCCGTTCCATCCCCATCCGCAAGGATGATGAGGTCATGGTCGTTCGCGGTTCCTTCAAGGGCCGTGAGGGCAAGGTCGTCCAGGTCTACCGTCGCAAGTGGGTCATTCACATCGAGCGCGTCAACCGCGAGAAGGCTAACGGTGCCTCTGTCCCCGTCGGTATCCACCCCTCCAAGGTCGTCGTCACCAAGCTTTACATGGACAAGGACCGCACGGCCATTCTCGAGCGCAAGAACCGCGTCAAGAAGACTGAGGCCATGCAGGAGTAAAGATTTCGTTTGTTCGCCGCCCTTTCATATCTTGCGTTAATGTATGGACAGAATAAAAGCGAATTCAGCTTCATCCATAAGTTTTCTGAGTATCATATTCGCAGGTCTATCTATTCGCTATGTTGTGCTAAGGAAAAGCTTCGAAGCGAGTTGATTTGAACGGAGAATATCGACGCTGCAATGGTCATCCTCCAGGGCCGAAATGTCACGTCGACGGCTCCTAGGGTGATACGTACTCTCGCAGCACAGCCAAGGGCGCGTTTATACTTCTCTAAAACCGCTAAGTGAGCGGATCCATGACGCTGGCGTTGTTCATTCAGACGCTTAAGAACAAATCTCATGCTGTTGTTGAGCCGTTGCAATTACAACATTAGATATAATTGATACAGAGGAGGAAGTAGCTGGGACCAAAGAGTTTTTTTATTTTTCCGCAAATAAAAAAATCGAAAAAACAAATCTTCCGTTCTTTTACTTGAGAGGAATGAAACGGGAAGAGTGGGTGGCACCGATACCGGGACGACCGTGCTTGACGGGCTTGTAGGTGATGGAGAACTCTCCGAGGTAGTGTCCGATCATCTCGGGCTTGATCTCGACCTGGTTGAAGGTCTTTCCGTTGTAGACACCGACAACCGATCCAATCATCTCGGGGACGACAATCATGTTACGGAGGTGGGTCTTGACGACAGCGGGCTTCTCCATGGCGGGAGCGTCCTTCTTGGCCTGACGGAGCTTCTTGATCAAACCCATAGGCTTGCGCTTAAGACCACGCTGGAAACGTCTGCGAGGGCGGGCGTTGACGAGGTCCATCAACTGCTCCGAGGAGAGGTCCAAGAGCTTGTCGAGGTCGATTCCGCGGTAAGAGAACTTGCGGAACGTTCTCTTCTTCTTCACATCGGTGGCAGCATCATCGTGGTGTTCGTCAGCCTAAGAAAGCATTGAAAATCCAACCAACAGTCGAGTCTTCGTAAGTTGCAGTCCTTCTGTTCGGTATTGTCTTCAAAGAGAGCTAGAGTGCTACTACGCCGCAGTCGAAAAAGTTGTCGCGTCATGATATACAGAAGCCGCCCCATCTCCAATGAGTCCAGAGTCCTGGGAAGGAGTATATCCTGTTGCTACCGAACCCCCCAACCTGCCTCTAATCAGCTTCAGTATAGCGTTACTATGCAGCAGCCTAGTCATACGTTGCTGAAAGCCGATAGAGCATTTGAAGGGAGCGAAGACATTGACAGGCCGTAGGGAGTAGTCGACCCGCAATCTGTTTCCAGTTCATGTTGTTGTGTTTCATGGTTGATGTCGATTAAATGACAGGTCGAGTGCTCCTGATCTTCATCAACCTCGCCTATGACTTTCTCGGCCCTTGCGATGCTTTTTATCAGCGATTTCTGCAGCCTTATAACTTTTTCCTTGCATGAGCACTGATGAGAGGCGGTGTTGCTTTGCATCGCCGAGTTGTAGTTATAGGACAAGTCGGATTCTGAGCCATAACTAATCCCCATCGCTGCTCGCCTAGATGTTTTTTGTTGTCCAATGATTATTGCATTCCTGGTATATTGAAATCCTGAAGCACAACTGATGGATAGATGGATCGATGGCTCATAGGCGATGGTGTGTTGGATGGGTGGATGCCTTCCAGCGGTTCACTACGGCCAGCTGGATGCCCTGTAGCGGTCACGCACCATTTTGGAAATATTCAGAAAGAAGGAGCAAACGTATACCCAGCATCGTCTCCTGATATCGAACTCTCGTTGAAGGACTGTTTTCTCTGAATTTAATCACGTGTAAATGTTTACCTTTCTTATTTTTCTTTTTTTTTGTGGAGCCTTGCCTTACCTACTGCTGTATGGCACGGTAGTCAAAGAGCGTTGCCTTCTCCTTTTCCCCACAGTAACACACCTCGAGTAACCATGGTCGTCATCGCCTCTGCAAAGGACTCCTCATCCCCATTCGGAAAGAAACTTGCCGCCAATGGTACGGCCACCACATCAGGACACGCCTTGCCTTTCTATGCTAGCACATTTTATCTTAACACTCCCCTCACTTTAACTTTTCCTCAATCGATTATTAGACAAGAAGACTAGAGATAAGGCGGTCAAGGCCCTCGGAAAGTGGATTTCAAAGAAGAATGATTTCACACACTTGGAACTCATGAAACTCTGGAAGGGTCTCTTTTACTGTAAGTTGTCTACTGCCTCTTTTCGACCTCCAGAACTACAGGGACCACGCGCGCATTGAGGCCTCAGCATTGGCTGATATTTTCATTGCTTCATTAAATAGGCGTATGGATGTCCGATAAGCCGATCGTCCAGCAGCAATTGAGCGAAACATTATCGTCCTTGATTCTCAAGGTCCCCCGGGAATCTGTGATGGCCTTCATTGCAACGTTTTGGGAGACTATGTGCGCCGAATGGCACGGCATTGACCGTCTGAGGTATGTTTTCGACACGTTGACAACTTGGTTTATCTCGAGTACTCATGATCTGTCTTGTGTGATTGTGCTGACCTGTATTCTGCTCTCAATCTTTATCCTAGACTTGACAAGTTCTACTTTTTGTTGCGTCGCTTCACCTCATATTCCTTCCGCATGCTCAAAGAGAACGAATGGGAACTGGAAACGATCGAGGAATACAACAATGTCATGGTTAATGGACCACTAAAGTAAGCCTTGAGCTTTGCCAGCATTTCATTCTGGATGGGAAGCACGATCAACCAGGGATTAATCTCTTTGATGCTCTGCTTTTTTATTATTTTCTAGCGCAACAAGCCCAAAAGTTCCTGATGGAATTCGCTACCACCTTATTGAAATCTACCTGGAGGAATTGGAAAAAGTCGTCGACGTGGCTTATTCAGGAGAAGTACCAACAGCACATGTTCTTCAACCCATGTTTCAGCTTTTGGGAAATACTATCAACGGAAAGGTGTTCAAGATGGTGGCAGAGGAGGTTTTCGAGGCCATTTTGAAAAAGACTGGTAAGCAGGATGAACGATAATCTAGAACTGGGAAGAAATGTTGTATACTTTTACGACACACCAATGACTGCAGTACTAATATTTATTTTGTCTTTGCTAATGATTTTTTAGCTGCTGGCGAAGGAGATGATTCGGATTTTGAGGATGATGCAGATCTCACTGTGTTTGACAAGGACGAGGACGAAGATGAAGATGAAGATGCAGATGGGGAGGAAGAAAAGGGCGACGAAGATATGGCAGAGGATGACGAAGACGATGATGAAGAAGAGGCTAAGGCAAGGGCTGAGATGGAGATGGAGATGGAGATGGACGGCGAAGAAGCAGAGGCAGAGAGCACCACATTTGATTATGATTTAATGGGAATCAAGGAACGCCTGTTTACTATTGGTGCCGATAAGGAAACTGTGGAACAGAACCGGCGCAAGGTCTATGCGCTTTTCTTGGCATACCAGGACTTTTGTCCGCTTGAGGAAGATGGCTCTGATGGAGAGGGTGTGGAAGTAGAGGATGGAGATGAGGACGACGAGGACGAGGACGATGAAGCTGACGAGTAACAGAGCTCTCGACAAACTAGGAAGAGACACCACCCTGCATATCCACTGTCATTCTTTGCTGTTGTTTTTTTCTTTTCTCGCTTTTGCATTTCGAACATAATAAACTAGACTGTTGTACTCTATATACTTCCCATCGCGCTGTGGCAGAAGATCGGTCGTAGAGGACACTTTTGCTCGCATGATGACCCCGACATGCCTCCTTCCATATTTGGTGAACAATGTGCGTCCAAATTGTGAGCAGGTCGTTTCAAACTCAAAACGCCCTGTTCACCGTCTGTGGTCTTCCGTTTCTACGCAAAGAACACTTCATTGCTAGCTCAGACCGTATGCGCAGTAACTCGCGACCGTTTATCCACGAGTAATGCCCATTAAACTTATCATACTTTGCTAGTGCGCTGACTATATTGAGCCATCAAGGTCTTTTCGGACAGCAAACACGTCGATAAATACCAGTCTGCAGTAATTTCATATAAATAGAGTTAGCCTCCTTTCCCCTTGAAATGCATGTACAGATCTCCTTCGTTCTTGTCCGTTGATACTAGTCCGATATCCTGGAAAGTCTGTACAGAACATCTTGGAGTACGACGTCAACGAGGTAACTCTCTGGACTCTATCCTTTAGTCGTTGATGACATGCATAGCTTGAACTGGGGGATGCTACGAACATGTATTAGTGTTCCATAGGTCTTTTGGCTCGTACCTAACCTGCTCTCCTCGACTGATAACTGGGCTCTTCACTCCTTGATTTTTCTTTCCTTTGCATAACTATACAGCGAATTATTATTATTACTCTGCCCATGGGCCAGCCAAATAATTGAGGGAATACCCTCTTTGTCTTATCTTCTCTATTTTGGCCGCAGAAGCATGCCTGAAGGAAATCGTTTTTGAGACTGAGATAAGGCTGAGTGCGTGGGTTGTTTATTTATGTTAAAGACGGTGATTAGTTGTGCATGCTGCATCCCCTTCGTCCTTTCCTTTCCCCTCTTGGAATCCACCCAGGAAGGAGTTTAGAGAAGTAGGACGGGCTCAGGGGAAAGTATGTATCCATCGTCGTTTTTACTATTTTTGTTAATGCATGACCGCGCCTGTAGCCGAAGCAGTAGTCAGACGCATTCGTGAGAGTGAGCTGCAGAGCGAAGGAGCGAGGATATAGAGCAAAAGAGCAACAACGAACAGGAGACAGAATAAAGTTGAAGGGGGAAACGGGGTGCGCTTGGATGAACTCGCCATTAGGAGGTCCTACTGTGGTCATTACTGCCTCCTCTGCGGAAGGGTATCCTTCCTCCCGCCCTCTCTTTGTCCCTCGCGCTCCGGAAACCCCTGTCATCGTGATCATGTCCTTTCAAGGCGCACCCGAAGAGCTGCCCTTTCGACTCATCATTGATAGCGTGGGAGCCTGGGTATTTTCGTGTATACCGCAGCGGTGTTTTTTTTTTTTTTTTTTTTTTTTTTCGAAGATTAACGGGTTCAGCAGAGGCCATAATTCATTTTTAGGATATTGAGCTTTTCTGCGATAATTTTGGATATCCAATAGAAGACAGGCTGCACCTGCTGAGTGAGCTACGCGTTTGACCATGACTGGGCACCACTGGACAGCTCAGGCACACAGCACTCATCCGCAAAGGTCATGAATGCAATCACTATCATGGACCTAAGGTTCGGCTGCGATGCAAGGAAATGCAGAATAAAATAATGAAGGCAAAAGGAAATGCATGTTGACAAGGCGAGAGCGACAAGAATTAAAAATGTAAAAGGCATCTGTCCGTCCAACTGACGGATGGCACCAGCAGCATAACCACAATACGCATAAGCCCATCGCGAGCGATGCACGCGCTCCTTTTTTTTTTTTTTTTTTCGCTCTTTACTTCTCCGGTACTGCTTACTCTCTTCCTTTCTATCTCTTCTCTTTTTATCTTTTTGTTTTCTTCTCTCTCGCCTAATTCTCTTAACATCCACCAACTTTCACGCCCCATCGCAAAATCTCGAACTCACCTCTCACTCCAGAAACAACTCCCCTCCAAAACATCTCAACAATGACCGACACTACCGTTCACCAAGCTGTGGCCCACGCCGCACCCAATGCCGATGCCGAAGCCCCTGTCGTTGCCGAGGAACACTCCACAACTGAGGTTCCTGCTGTCGCTACTGAGGAGGCCGCCGCTGAACCTGAGGCAACGTTCTCTACCCAAGTTGAACCTTCAGATGCACCTGTCCTCGATGCGGATGATACTCCCATAGAATCTGCCGTCGTCGAGGAGGCCACAATCACCGAGGAGGTCACAACCACCGAGGTCGCCACGGATTCCCCCCCAGTCTCGGGAGGGTCGGACAAGAAGTCAAAGTCGTGGATTGCAAAATTGACAAACAACATCAAGAAGTTGGCGGACAAGAAGCCCAAGGCCGAGAAGGCTCCTGCTACTCCCGCTGCCGATGCCGAAACTTCTGCCGCTGCTGCTACCGTTGCCTCTGCTAAATCGTCTACTGCCTCAGAGGAGGCATCTGCAGAGGTAGAGGGCGAGGCAGTGACAGAGACATCTACAGAGGCTGTCGTCGCCGAGGAGATCGCTGCCCCTGCTGATGCTGCCACAACCACTGAGGCAGAGACTGCCGTCGCTCCTGCAACAACTGAACCTGCTACAAATGGAAAGCTCACTGTCCCTGAGCTTGCCACTGAAGAGCCGTTGTCTGGTCCTGCAAAACTCGGCAAGCGTTTGTCCTTCAACTTTTTCAAGAAGTCGCCCAAGTCGGATAAGGAGAAGGAAAAGTCCGCTGCAGGCACATCCACGCCTATTGCAGAGGTTGCAGAGGTTGCAGAGGTTGCAGAGGTTGCAGAGACGACAGAGACCGCTGACGAACCCAAGGAAGCAGAGGAGACCGCGTCTTCAGCCTCGGTCAAGGATGTTGCTCCTGTCATCGAGGCGACACCCATCGCTCCGGAGCATGTAGTCGAAGAGACTGCCGTCGCTGCTGCTCATTAAAGGCTCCTTGTTATTGGTAAGGACCTGCACTTGATTGCGACCTATCTGCAGGCTCTTCAGCCCCAACTCCCCCCTTTTTTTCCTCATCCCTTGCCCTTGCAGACTGTTCTTTAAGTTGCATTGGCTTGTTATCTCTGTGGGGTACCTGGCCTTGTCCTTATTTTCGCTGGCGTATGGATGGGCCTACAAGTGGACGAGTACCAAGAAGGAAACAGGAGATATATACTCCCACATTTCGATGTTGCTGCCATTAGTCCACGCGGATGGCATCTACACAGAGCAGAGGAGTGGACAAACCTAGTTTGTACAAACCGCGTATACAACAACCACTGACCGCACGCTTTGCTTTCTTGTGTCCATCCTCTATAGTTCTGCGACCCTGGGGTTGTCCTACGAGAATCTATCTATAATTTCGCCCTCCCTATTCGTTTGCTCTGTCTGTCCGTGTCTGTTTCCGTCTCTACCATAGCTCACTTCCATTTTTAATCTAATATACTGCCATTAAAAGACAGCAAGCACTAAGAAAGATAGTACGGAAGTATGTTTGCAAAATAGATATAGGCTCTACCCATGTAGCCTTTTGAATAGCGCTCAAAAGAAAAAAAAGAAAAAAAAGGACCCTTAGAAAAGCATATCCTTGATTGGTGATACAGCAGAGCGTTCTTAGCGTAACCATGCAAACGTTCGCGCAAAAGATGGTCGAATCTTCTTTTTTAGCGCAGGGGTAAATGAAGCAAGGGCAATGAAATGCAACAATGCCATTGGTATTATCTGCAAAACCCCTTCATTTCTGATAGACATGCAGTCGTGCATACAGTGCATGAATATTTTTCCTGCATCTTCCAAAAAAAAAAAAAAAAAAAAAAAAAAAAACTACAAAGAGAGACTAACACCCAGAATAACGGCGGTTGCCGAGCACCAAGGAGAGCATCCTTCATTGTAGCTAGCATACCGACCAAAGAGCGTCATCGCACGAGAATGCAAGGGGTATTTAAGATATCTTTCCCGACCCAGTTCAGACGAGGTCGCATACCATAGGCCCTTCGCATTGTAAAGTAGCTCTTAGGAATATCGATAACAATATCAACGCGCGCCCGACGTTTGTTCATGGTGCGTATAGGCAACATTTCCCGCCGTTGCCCACCCTTCAAGAGCAACGACGCTATTATTTTCTTTTTCTCAAAGATAATGGTAAAAATAACAAGGACTAAGTGGCAACCTAGACGGCTCTGTACGGTGCTCTTGGATTCTGCTTCAAATCGCTGACCATTGCATTTCGCTTGAAATCCTTCTCCGCACAAACGCCAATGGCACGTCCTCTTCCTCTTCCACCTGTCCGTCTTTGACAATCCCCTGCTTCTCCTGGGCGCTCCTTCTATCGTCGTCCATACTATGCCGCGCTTGAAGCCCGTGCGCGTTCCTGCTACTCGCGCGGTCCCTCGCTCCGTCCATGCTACGTCGTGATCGGAGCCTCTGTAAAGAGCGGTTGAGCCAAGTACTGCTTTCGGTCTTGTTCTCCCTTGCTTGGTGTGACCTGAATCCTCTCTCCATTGACGGTTCAATAAACGTTTTTGCATCCGAGTCCATCATGCACGGAAGTTGTGGCGTGGATAGTACGGGTTGAGCAGTAGCCCCCTGTATATTCCCTGGCTGTGTTGTGCATTGTCGAATGGCATCCAGATTTGCACGGCTGTTACTAGCCTTGCGTGCAGGAAATGCTTGGTTGTCAGCAAAGTAGCCAGCAGTATGCTGTGTAGTCTGAGCATGCGCTAAAGAGGGCGAGTGCATCGATGCAGATAAAGAGACTCTGCTCGTGCTCGGACGAATATAATCGCAGGCCTGCAAAAGCCGAGGACCCCTGATAGGCAGGCAAGAGACTGGTACTGGTACTGGCACAGAGACGGACGTGTTTGCAAATGAGGAGTGGAAGGGTGGCGATCTGGTCAGGGACTGTCTTATGGGGCCTGTGCTCCCATCTGCAGAAAACGCTGGGAACATTGACAAATGACCGTGAGTTGCTGCTGAGTGTATATTATGTGAGGGTGGTGCAGACCAGCTAGAACCTGTCGCAAGAGTCGCCGTAGATAGATGGAATGTCCAAGAACCATCCACCTGTGTATCCGGGTGCACTTCCGGTTCCTTCATAGACTGTTCAGCTAGTGGTTTCGTGACCAATCCAAAATCTTCGCTGAAGACGGTCGTATACGTCGATGTTGCGAACCGCGGTCGAGTCCCGAGAAGCTGGGCTAGCAATGGCGCCTGGTCTTGCTCTTTCGCCATTAAATTCTGGTGTCCAGGGCATTCATTTGAGGCCAAAAGGATGGTTGATGTCTCGAGCCTTCTTTGAAGCTGGCGCTGAAGCTGCATTTGAAATTGCTGCTGTTGTAGATAGAGCAAACCTTTTCGTCCTGTCGTACGTTTCGGAATGATAATTGTGGGAGAGGGTCGAACCGCTTCATGTTGGTCGAGATCAGCCTGGCCATCTTTATCCACGCCATAGCCGACACAGATAGAGGGAGCCCCGCCGGAAACTGTGGTAGCTGATACTGTCCTGTGTGAGGCTGGTGCAAGCGGAAATGGATCCTTTTCGTCCAAATTGATGAGAGGGTAGGGAGGGGTCCGTAGAAGTGGGAATCGGTCCTTGAAGGCCGTAGAGTTCGCTCGGTTCACACACGAAGAAGCAAGTGGGGGTGATAGATAATATGCGGGTGATGTCGATGTCGCACCAGAGTCGCTGACAGGTTCCATAACGTTGCTGCTGACGCTGCTGCTAACGCTGGCACCATTAGAAGCCTTGCTAAACTGAATGCGACTCTGGATAGATGAAATAAAAGAGCGTTTTGTCTTGGCATCCTTGCTACTTTGTGGTGCTGTGGTCTTCGCCTGGTTGAGACCATTCTCACTCTGACCTCGTTGAAGACCCTGCAGCAGCGTTTGCTGAACATAACTTTGGCATTGGCCCGGAGCGGTAAGGCTCGAAACGCCCCACTTCGCTGGGAAGTGAGCTGTCCACATGGACGTGTAAAAGTCTCCGATTTCCTCGCATTGGTTGTTGGTGATGCCTTGGCGAAGTTGAAGTAAAACGAGTTGTAGTAGAACAGCATGTTGGAATGGTCGCCGCTCTCGCTCGCGTAGTTTCTTGAGCGTGTGAATGTATGCCATTCTCTTCAGCATCAAAGCTTTTGGGTTCGCATGTGTTGTTCCTGTTGCTGGAAGGGACGGTCTAGTGAACCCTGTATCCGTGCGTTCACTCCCTGGATTCTCCGATGGTGGGGCGACAGGAGAAGTTGTCGAAAAACTGTATGAGGTTTCCTTCTCCCTCCTGTTGCTGGCTGGTAGCATGGTCATCATACTGCTGGGGACCTTAATAGTATTGGTAGATAACGCAGTTTCTGACGACGTTGACGACTCGATGGTAGCAGCAGCGAAGGTCTTTGGTGGACTGGAGAAAAAGGATACACCACTAATCGGCGATGTCTGGGAAGAATCGGAGGAATCCGAAGAAAACGACTCTGTCGAGGACGTCGAGGACGTCGAGGAATCAGAAGATGTTGATGATGCTCTGATATGTCGGCGCCAGATCGTTCTTTGCTCTGAGTCGTCCTTTCCTTTAGTCCACGTACGCGACTCGAACGTATTGAGGTCGGATTCCAGCCGCTCGCAGGGGCTAGCCGTAGAGTCATGCACATCGCTTTCCAGACTGTTAGAGATATTTCCTTGCTCCGTTCCCGCCTTTTGCTCAGGTTTTCCATCCATATTACAGTAAATATCATACTGCTCCCGCTGATGGCACTGCGAGGTGTCTTCTGCATTGGTTGCGCTCAAAATATCCAGCATAGACTGAGCAGTCGTGGGTGTCGCTTGCACAGACGTCGATTCTCCAGCTTTGTTCTTTGGTGTTATATTGAAAGGACCAAAGCTATCCAAGCCGAACTGAGCGTCGTCTATAGGGCTCATCAGAGCAGCCAGGTCGATGGTGATATCCTCCCTATACGATGGTAGAATCGTTTGTGCTAGGGGCGAAGAATTGTGTATCGTGGCTCGATGCTCAGTTCGATCGGTAGCTACTGGATTGTAGGCGTCGACATCACTCTCCTGACTGGACCATTCGTTGACATCCTCTGTGTTCGAGTTGGTGCTCGTCTGCCGATCCTGCTCATTTCCGGTGGGATAAAACAGTCTGCCTTTCCAAGTGGTGCGATAGTTCTTGCTCAGGCTGGAGTAATTGCTTGGATTTGAGGAGTCAGTTGGCATATGGAGTGCTTGAGGATTTGTAGGCAAAGCCAGGTATGATGTTGCAGGCTCGGTTGTGTCTAAGGCGCCTGAGTATGGTAAAGGAGTGCATGCGTACGGCGCAGGGGCGATCAATGGCTGGGGAGCGCTGATGGGTCCAATGGCCCTGCTTTTCCGAGAGCTCTTTGAGCGTGATTTTGGGGATGAAGATATATCCTGCTGCTTTTTGGACGAAGAGGAGAGAGCAGAGGTCCATTTACGGATATGGCCTAAAGGCGTCTCCATGGTAGAAAGTGAACTCGGAGACGGCGCACTCACTGATAACGAGGCTGAACCTGAGCTTGTTGACTTGGATTTGCGGCCTCTCTTGTTACGAAAGGAGGGTGCCTGAATGAGAGGAAGTGAAGGAGTCTTACGTTGGCGCCTGGATGGGGCGGTGGAGGAGGTTGTAATGAGGACGCTTTGATCTTCATCGGTAGCGGGGATGCTCCCGGTCATAATGGCATTTCCGATGGGCCTTATATAACCGTTGCTACTGCTGATATTGTTTTCAGTGTAGCTGTGGTCATAGTGATAGCGTTGGGATTCTATACTGGCGTGAGGAGTCGGTAGCTGAGTTCCGCTCGAGAATGGGCCTTTAGGCTTGATCCTGTCTGGCGCGATCACGTTCTGGCTCATGATAGCTGGCATCGGAGAACCACCTATCTCTCTCTTATGTTAAAAGCAGGTCGTAAAGGGATAACTGTAGCCTGAGGAGGCCTCTAATGGCTGAAGACAGGCTGCAGGTACCGGATATTGAAAATTGTAGATGGATTAGTCTCAGAGCTTCTGGTGTTCACGAGTTAGATATGACTATGCATCGTGGAGCGGAGTAGGATATGCGTGTGCAGATTGAGTTAGAAAAGGAGAGCGAATTGAAAGGAGGGGTTGCAGATTGACTAGATGGACGCGAACAAAAGCTTGGGAATCTAGCAAAGCGTGATGAGCCATGCATTAAATGAAGGACCTCCTATACATGAGGAAGCAGCAGTACCAACTGCAAGGCCGTGCTTGATCATATTATGAGTGGTGAGGTGCAGTTAGAGCCTCAAGGACGTCAGTCGCAGTAACGGGAATGGCACCATCGGTATCCCCAACAGATATGGCGCCTTCACATATATAATGATGGATGGAATTCAAAATAGCCATAGTTACAGTGCCGAAAGAGAGGCATTGAGAGGAAGAGGGAGAGGGACTAGGGGGTGGGGGAGCCAGCCAATGTCGCCACCCGACAGCTTTTTTTGCACCAGTCAATGTCGCGTTCATTGTCAGTTTCGTCCTAACAGAGCACAGCCACAGCTAGGGGCACGGAGCACAAGTGAAGTCACTTGTGTAACAATGTCAGTGATTCTTACTTACCCCAACCGCGTGGAATAGGGTGGAATGAGCTGAGTTTGTGCTTCTTGATCGCAATGTGGGAAAAGGGAAATGAATGAGATGAATCGGAATGAGGAGAAGAAAAGGATTCGCGAAATGAGGGTTTCAAAGAGAGCGAGTGAACCCACAGCAACGTTGAATGACTAGTGCAGCGAATAGGTCCCAAAGAGGTATGTACAATAGTAGGGCCTTTCGCAAAAATAGAAAGAGGAAAGAGCAGCGAGATAGTTCAGAGGAATGTATTATGCCACCGATGCTTAAACAGCGGAGAAAGGGCCGGAACAAGGAGGGGTCGAGGGGTCGCTCGAGAGAGTGAGCGAGCAAGAGAAAAAGTGAGAGCGAGCGAGAATAAAAATGAAAGTGTGTGAGAGAGAGAGCGAGAGGGAGCGGGAGAGAGCGAGAAGTTGTGTTCAGCTACTGCTGCTGTAACGATTTTTAATAGGTGGGACCTGATATGAGTTAGGAAGACAGCATGAGAGATCGTTTTTATGCAATGTAGTGGTGCTGCTGTAGTGAGTGGGTCGTCAGCCTCCGGAACGAGTGCGCGGACGAAAGGAAAGGAAGAGCGATAAGGAGGGGCGAGAAGAAGGGATGAATAGCCAAGAGCGAAAAAGAAAGTAGTAACAAACCCGAGGAGGGTGGGGATGGAGAAAACGAAAATAGCAGAGCAAGCAAAGGCACGCAGCTGCGTTCGCTAGCTTGTGCATGTCTTCCAAAGAGCCAGATGAGCCACTATGGATATGGTGATTCCTTAGACATGTGCGCACTCTAGACCTGCCATCTGTGGCACCAATAAAACGGAGGTGAGCCACAGAAAGAAGCGGTAAGGATCAAGCCGAGTCCAATATTCAATGGCCCTGTCACTCAGTATGTCCCCACAGCTAACTGGCCCATTTATTTATTTTTCTGTTTCTTATGCCTCGTCTTTTATTTCTTCGGTCTGAGATAGTTGACATGAACACTATATACAATGAAAAACATGAAAAAAGAAGCTAAGGATGGGTAGGCATCGAGATATAGAGGCAACTTACGCGCACAAGTGTAAAGAAGGAGGGCGGGGTACGAGCGGCATGCAAGACAAAGGGAAAAGGAAATCTATCCAATGTCTCGCTGGCTGTTGGAGCATATTCTAACTGCATGGTATATATTGGCTGGTGCCACCTCTCCTTGCTGTCCTACTGGGCTCAAAAGGATCAGCAACCCTTGATCTTATCTCTGCGTACCGTCTCCGCCAAAAAGAGGCTGTGACAACGGGGAGGAAGTAAGAAGACCTGCAGCAGCCTGTCAATCACTTAGAAAACGTTGAAATCGTAATCTCGTCAACAGTAACGACGCAGACAACAACGATTTCTTTCACTCCCCTTGCTTTTCTGCCCCTTGGCATTTTGCAGGTCATTCTGTGGCCCACAAACCCGTTCGCATACAGAGTTTGCTCCAGTTTTTGATCTCAGACGGAGGCCAGGGTGCTCTTAATAAAAAACGGTTTGGCTTCAGCTCTTCCTGCCAGGCCAATCCCAAAATCACATTTTATGGCTAGAGAAACGTTTTTTCTTCTTGAGCTGGCTTGGTCATAAATAGAGCGTTTGTGAGGGTGAACTGCTAGCACAGCGCAAAAATCGCTGCATCGCCGCAGGCATAGTTGGCATGAAATTCTTGTTTTTTTTTTGTGCTCTAGGTGCCATGCATGTATTTCGACATTCGCGTCGCTCCCTGCTTGGCAAAGTGGGCTATATGAAGAAGAACAGGAGGGACGTACATTCACAAAATAAATATAAGATGCAATGGATGCGCCATCATTTTCTTCCTACGAACTATTGATGATACAAAGTACGTGGGGGGCAGCAAGCTAGGATCTATTTATCCTCCACGGAATAAATACATTAATTCCTGTAGCTGTGTTTAGAAAAAGAATGGGGATTGCAATGGGTTAGTAAACAGTCAGATTCAATCAAAGACATACAGTACAAACAACGGTGGCAGGGCTAGAAAGAGATACATACTCCAAGTTTCGCCAGCTTGGGGACCTCCCCTTCACCGAGAGCACCATTAGCCAATGCTTGCTTTTTCGCCTGCAGCGCCAAAATTCTGTCCTCCACAGTGTCTGGAATGCAAAGGCGGTGAACAAACACGTTCTTCGTTTGTCCAATTCGATGGACGCGATCAATTGCTTGATTTTCCAATGCTGGGTTCCACCATGGATCCATAATTACCACGCTAATGACCAGTGAGAGCACTAGTAAATACACATGGACAGAGCGGCTGTGCAGACCTGAGCAAATAAATAGGGGCATGGTGCACTTACTGGTTCGCCACGGTCAAGTTGAGTCCAAGAGATCCGCATTTCAAGCTGATAAGCATGACGGAGCAAGTAGGGTCATTGAACATTCTCTGAACGGCTTCATTTCTGGCTACCACGGTCATCGCACCGTCATACTATTGAGAACAGAAGTACAAACATTAGAACGAGCGTCCATTGTTAGCAGAGCTATTACACAGAAATGAAGGCACCTACTTACTCGAAGGTACTTGATATTCTCGGCCAATAAAGGCTTCTCAATCAGAGTGAGGAGGCTCGTGAATTGAGAAAAAACAATGATCTTCTCACGCTTCGCAATGACCGACCTAACGACCTCAATCATCTTATCGATCTTGCTGCTGCTGATCCATTCATCCAGTCCCTCAGGTACTACAACCCCAGGCAGTCCCTCGATATCTCCATCCTCGACTACGGCCTTGCCCTTTCCTTTTAAATCCTCGGGAACGGGCTCCGGAGTAGGATTGAAACGAGCATTGAAGTCGGCGACAGAAATTAAGTCCTCGATAGGAGCTAATCTGCGACATTCTGGACACTTGCGATCGTCATCGTCGTGTCGGCTCAAATGAGCTATAAACCATGCAGGTTATAAACATAGCGTCAGAGCAAAAGTTTGCGTACCCGAAAATATCTAGAGGTCGCTCAAGCACACTTACCAGTAATGCAGGCACGGCAGTAGATATGTCCACATCCACTCAGAATCACACTCTCCTCTCCGACATCCATGCAGATCGGACATTCGACTGCCTCCATACCACGTTCAATCAGACGACGACGAATATCCTCCAACAGATTGTCAAGAAGATGGTCAACGTGGGCCTTTTGATCTTGCGGCGTTTGCTCGTTTTCCACCTTTTCGAAATCCGTGATGAGATGAGGATGGCAACAAGCCTGCCGTAAACGTAGCAAGAGAACCAGGATCTAAAATGCAAGAGACATAGTCGAGATAAATAAAATGTAATCAACAACCACAAATATCGAAACAAGAATAAAACACTAGGTACTACTTACGTTGGAGTAGTTCTTCATGACAGTTCCAGCTTTCACGTAGGCGTTAAATCGTTCCCTTGTTCTATGCTCCAATGCGGCGTAAAAGGCGCGTTCTTCGTCCGAGAATGGAGTGGCCACCCTGTCCACGTTGCGATCAGGGAGCTGTAAAATCGGCCTTCCATCCACCGTGCACTTCTTTGTCCTCCTAAGACACACTGCCTTCAATAGTGCCTGGACTCGTTGTATCGCTGGCCCGTATTGTTTCGTCTTCTTCATCGGCGCAGAGATCTTGTTGCGAAACTCATCCCAATCACAGTATGGCTTGATGCGGAGAAACCGAATCAAAGAATACAGCTCATCAACAGTATTTTGAATAGGCGTGCCTAGAGGCGAATTGTTCAAATATTTTCAGATAAAAGGAACCATTCATATATGATACACCGATAAAAAACCAACATTGTTTTTACCTGTAAGACACCATCTGTATGTAGCTGCAATTTGAGCGCATGCCTTGGAGCTCTTCGTATGCTTATTTTTGATCGTGTGGGCTTCATCGATAACAACGCGATGAAATTGTGCCTTGAACAAAGTACCGATGGCCTTCGATTTCGCAGGGTTCACATCCTTGACGCCAATTTCAGCAGCCAGTGTTCCGATTGTGGTGACGATAACTGGGTAAAGAGAGAAAAAGACCTGTATAAGTAAGTTACATAGGATCTTAGAGAAAAATACGCCAAGAAGATGCATGACTTACCATCGTAACGTCGAATGAGTTCTGGGTCAGCGAATTTGCCCCCACCATGATAAATGTGGACTTTCAACAGACCGGGTTGTGTCTTCGTCCTCAGCTCCTCGGCCCATTGATAGATAAGCGACGTTGGAGCAACCACTAATGTTGCCTTTGTCTTGACACGCACGGACTCCGGAGGGGGCTCAAAATATACCTTGCGGTCATCCCAAATTACTGGGTCGTCGATTGGGCCACATGGCCTGGATACTATGAGAGCCATGGCCTGAACTGTTTTACCCAAACCCTGTAAGTCGCGTTAAAATGCATGCTATGATTAAATGATGATTGCTAGATGTGATGCCTTATTTGAGCGAAACCCAAATATCCGAAATACGTACCATGTCATCGCCCAGAATGCCGCCACGATTAGTGCCGTCCTCCATCTTTTGTAACCACGTCAAGCCGATTTTCTGGTGCTCCAACAGTGCAATATGAGAGGCCATACCCTCGGGCGTTCCTGTCCTGTCCTGCGGAGCAATCTCCTCCTCGGCGGCTTGGATATTGGCAAGTAGATCACGGAGCTCCTTCTCGGTCTGTTCGGACGTCAAGTTGCGATTATAGTCGCGCTCGTATCCCTGACCATAGCTCCACGTAAGGCGCTGGTTTAGCATCCACTGTTGATAGTTGGAACCATAAGGATAGCCATCAAGCTCATCATCAAATCCTATGTCATACTCATCCTCCTCTCCAGACGAGTACTCTTCACTCCAGCAATCATGATAGCCTCCGAGCTTGTGCGACGCTTCAGAATACAGGTCATTAAACGATTTCATGAGCGGATTCAGTGCGTTCCAGCTTGAACTTGATCCGACCCCATTGTTATTGCGATCAGCCTCGTCATCCGAACTTGGAATCTCGTAAACTGGCTTTGTCAGATCCACGACGGGTTTAGTGAGGTCAACTGTTGTGTTTTTTTGGGATGTTTGCAATAGTTTGCTACTGCTACTGCTGATACTGCTGCTGCTGCTGCTACTATTGCTCCCTGAAGCTGAGGCTAATATGGAATGGTCATTATATCAGCAAGTAGTACAGTTACAAATGCCGCAATGGGCATGAAAGGATTAACGATAAATAGATACATTTGATCGCAGCATGAAGAAAGACAGACACTCGCTTACCTAAAATTGCCGCAGCATGGCTCTGAAGCCTGTCGAGTCCCTCTTTTGGTAAAATACTGGGAGGTGAGGCTTTGGTTGAGAGGCTAGAGGTCGAGCCTTTTAATGCGGCAGTAGTGGTTGGAACAAGAGGTGCGGTGGTAAATGACGGTGTTTTGGGCGGGCAGCTTAAAGCTGGAATGTTGGGTGCGTAGCTCGCAGTTGATCCACTAATTTTGGGCTGTAAAGCACTCCAGGACGACGATGACGAAGTTGCGCCTCTATTTGACAAACCCGATGTTCCTGCCGCGGTTGAATCGATCCTCGGTCTCTTTTCAAAGATAGAGAAGACAGGGCGCTCAGAGGGTGCTGGCATGGGTTTCCCATGATCCAGCGGCGGTTTTTTCTTAGGCGACAGTGCGAGATTAAAGCTGCTAGTCTCAGACTCGGCAAAAATCTTCGCCATCTCAGCATCCAGGCGCTCCTGGTGAGCTCGATCCAGCCGTGACTGCATCAATGACCCTCCATCCCCAGAAAATACCGGTAGTGAACTTGATGAGCCTGCCTGACTTTGGTATGCTCGAATCTCCTCGTCCTGGATAGATCTCGCGAATGCTTCGTCTTCTTCCTCTCGTCTGCGCTTTAGGTCAACCAAGCGCTGTTCCATCAGGGCTTGCTCCCTAAGCAGCACCTCCAAATCCATTTCATCCTCTCCTGCATCGACAAGGGCCGATATCACACTCTCTGCCTCCTTGTCCAGCGTTGAGGTAGCGGGAGCGTTGGAACTGGACGCTTTGGAGCTGGGGAGAAGTGTGGTAAATATTGGTGGCGTTTCTGCATCACTCTCCTCCTTCTTGATATCTGATGAGGGGTTCGCCATGAAGGGAGAGGGCGATCGAGTTCGCCCAGGGCTGTTAACAGAGGGTAAATGCGTGGACTCGGGAGTAGTGGTGCCCCCGTCTTTCTGAAAAGGTTCGATCGGCTGCTCACTGTCGCTTTTATTGTCATCGTCGTCGCTAATTCCAAGCGCCTTCGCCAGCTGCTGTTCGATGCTCAAGATTTCCACTCGAAGGGCGTCCTTGCGTTTAGTGGTGTTGAGAAGCGAGTTGCACTCCAGCTGTTGGCGACAGATAGTTAACCTCGCCTTCAAATCCTCGATGTTCGCAATTTCGGGCATTGATGAGTGAAAGAGAATTAAAGAGAATTAAAGAGAATGAAATAACGTGTGGCAACCTCCTGAGTGTTGTATTTTTAACTTTATTATTTTTCTCAACGCCCACAGTAACTTTCAAATTCCACACATCCAGCGTGGTCTCTTCACTGGAGAAGTTTGACAATTTCATCTAGAGAAAAAGAAATTAAAAATCGAGGTCAGCACAAGCTTGAGAGTTCCGTGCGATGCCTCCCAGGTAAAAGCAGGAACCTTATACTGCACTTACTGGCTACTCCTGCTGTGGAGATTCTCTCAGATGTGGGTCTGGATAGCACCGCCGATTGGAGAACGCCTTTCACGCCAAAAATCGCTGCCGATTCCTTGGCACTCTCGTGTGCGAAAATGAGGTTGCCCAGCGCGACCAGGAGACGGTACTGCACTTGCTGCTCCCTCTCCTTCTCAAGGATTTTGGTCAATACCCCAACATACTGAATGGCCAAAGCATCGTCATCATGGCGCTTCAAAAGAATAGTTGAGTAACTCATATAAACGGTTGCCAGCGCGATCTTCAGGTTCTTGTTGGTGCTCTGCCAAACAGCGTCATCCTCCATGAACTCTAATACAGTCGAAATTTCGTTCATGGCCACCTCGCGTCCCAGGTCGGTCTCGCAAAAGTTGACGATAAGGCGTGCGACCAGCATAAGGCTTGTTTCATGAGTGCGCGATGCGGTCAGCAGTGTTTTGAGTAGATCTGGTGTCTCTGCCGGACTCGTGGAATATAGCGTCAACAACCTCAACAAATCTATAGCGGGGAAGCGTGATGCCTCGGGCCAGGTGTTGAAAATCTTTAGCAGCAGCGAAACGTACTGCGGCTGTGCTGTCGGCTGCTTAGGTGGCGCGCCCAAAAATTTGAAGAGTGACTCAAGTTGCTGTAGATCCGCGCTGGAAAGAGCCGCGCTGGAAGAGGCCAGTTCCGTGTTCAGCTGCAGAATCTTCTTGTGAATTGCGGAGAGGTTGGCATCCTTGAAAGGGACATTCGTGAGCTATAGACATGATTTTGAGTCATATTAATCTCTAGTTGGCAGCTTGGACACATCAATGAGGTTCACGCGCTGCTCGCTTGAGCAAAATGAATACACACCTGCGGAATGAGGCGCTTGACGGCTGGCTGAGCCTTTGGAGCGTCATTGCCCCATGGATTATACTAGTGATATGAAAATTCAGCAAACGTAAGCGAATAGTATTCTTCAATGAAGTTCTGTTTAAAAGCATAGCTGGGTAGTGTCACGTACTGATCCAAGTGAGGACGAGACGCTCTGTGCAGGGGTGTAACGCGAACCGCCTATGGAAAGAAAAAGCAGATTAGCATATCTGCAGCTTGCTACACACGACCACGCAAACTTGCAAGCCATATCAGGCGTGTACCTGTCAGAGGGTCTCCAGCAGCTGCAGTCTCCCCTTGGGATACAGCACGCGCATTCTTGGTGATAAAATTCGCGACTTGGTCCAGGTATTCCAGTGGGAGGTCGTGTTTGGTCAAGAACGCCTGTGCAGCTGTGTACGGGTTCTCAGTGACATTAAATGGCAACTTCAAGGCAGGAAGGCCCTCTCCAACGTCGATATCGAAAACATGATCGTATTCCACCCCTCCATAGAGCTGCTTCCTGTTTTGACCGACTGCATCCACGACCTCTCCGATTTTTGACCAAGACTGCTCAGCATTTGACCACTACAGTATTGTCAAAAAAAGGTGTAAGTCATTTTAGCCAATTACGCCAGAGCTGGATACGAAAAGAAAAACGAAAAGAAAAAAAAAATAGCCTTAGCCAAGACTTACCTGGTGGGCCTCAACAGTGTCTCCGACGCGAACCATCTTGACATCCTGATCTTTGCGTCCCGGTTGCTGCAAAGCCTCTGGGCCAGGAAGGTCGTCCTTTTTGATGTCTCCTACTTGGTTTCTGGACGATTAATGAGGGATATTATAAGTAAATATCTATCATTCTCCGTCATTCCTGCCAAAAGGTGAATACGAGATTTAGTAAGCATCAGATACATACGAGGGGATGGAAGCAGCCGCGTTCTCCTCGTCATAAGCCTTCAAGATTTCGGCGCTTGCAACACGCTCCTTGTTCCGGGTGAAGACACGGACGAATCCATCAGATCCACCACTTACGATATCTCCATTGGGTAAGGCAGCAACGCACCAAACAGAGACGCAGGGGTGAATGATGGTCTGCGTACATACACCATCTAGTACATAAAAGATGAAAACTGTCAGAACAAAATCATGACGCGGAGAAAAATGGGACATAGTACGAACACAGAGCAAAGACATACGTTCCCACACGCGGACCGTGCGATCCTCGCCGCTGGAGAAGATCTCGCCGGTAGGAAGGGTTGCTAAAGAGTAGACAAAGGAGGTGTGTCCGTCCAATGCTTGCACGGGGTTGCCATCGTTCGACCACACGATAACAGCACCGTCGTTTCCGCACGAAACAAAGCCAATGCCAGGAAGGAGTGCCAGCGAGCGGACACAGTCTTCGTGACCTGTGATGGTCTTGATCTTCTTTCCGTTCTTCCACATGGCTATCGTTTTGTCTGCCGAGGCTATAAAGAATGTGCGTAGTTTGGGATCAGTCGATTGAATGCAACGACAATCTCTTATCTAGAGCGCCCTCGGGCCCTGACTAATGTACCTGTGACAACGACCTCGTGCTCCAGCTCTATAACTCCCCAAATGGCTTGCGTATGTCCTTGAAGAGTATGCACACATTGCCAGTTTCTCCAGATCTTTGCGGTCCTAGAAGTGAGAATACCAAAAATAGACGTAAATTTCCCAGTATTACACCTTCAGCAGAACACCTGAAGATTTCTGTTGCGCTTACTTGTCCCATGAGCCGGACACAATATGTCCATCGGTATCGGCATATAGGGAACAGACATTGTCGGTGTGACCCACAAGGGTGTAGACAGGTTCACTAGCATTTTCAGGATCCCATACATTGATCAGTTTATCACTTCCACCCGTGATGATCAGTCCTATTGAGAAAGATAAGGAAGCATACGAACACAGGGCATCAGTACAGATTCCAGTGCTGCCATGCAGGAACTTAAAGAGGAAAATGAGTACGTGTTAACGTACCATGAGGGTTGGCTTCCGATGCACCAATAAATGCGACCGAGTTGACATAGTTGGTGTGGCCGAGGAAGACTTTGTCTTCCGAGAATGCGTTGTTGGACTGTCTTCGCCAAGTTCTGACGGACTTGTCGCGAGAAACAGAAACAACCATCGAGTCCGTTGGGGCAATGACAGCTTTGACCTGTCGCAGAGCGAGAGGAGCCACAAGTTAGTTGTCTTTTCACCCTCTTGTCGATAATCAGACGTATGCGAATATCCTTTGCTTACATCGCCCTTGTGTCCAGTCAGAATCGCAGAGAGTTTCCAGGACATCGTGTGTATGTGTATGTGTATGGATTGTGAGAATGAAACCTTGAAGAGAGGTTGTACATGGCGAAAGGCGAACGCGCAAGTTCAAGAAAGGAGCGCTTTGAGAATGCAGTCACTGTAGTATGGGTCTCTGCGCACAAAACGCATGTCGATGTGCCTTGAATAAGACTGAGAGCAGATCTCGAGTAATTTCCATTTACTTGCTTCATACTTCGATCAGCTCCACCAATAAAATCAGCTCGATAACCTGAAGACCGCAAATAAATGTATGATACGTGGCGGACGTGGCTCGTGGCTTCAATCTACTGTCGTTACCATGCTATCCAAACCCCTTCTATTCATCATCATCCCTCTCGCTCTCTCCTTTCCCTCGATTCCATTCAAATCTACCTCATCTCACCATGAATTTCGAGGAAATTGAAGAGCAGGACGGAATTCGCTTCTCCTTCAACGCATGGCCTGCATCGCGATTGGAGGCCACCAGGACAGTGGTCCCTATCGCTGCCCTGTACACACCACTCAAGGAGCGCGAGGACTTGCCACTTATCTACTACGAACCCGTCACCTGCAAGCAGCACACCTGCGGCGCCATTCTTAATCCTTACTGGTGAGCCTTGCCGACGAGTTAGGGTCTGCCATAAGTTTTCCGCCTTATCATCCCTCAGAGTCCTTTAACTAGCCGTGATAATTGATTCTACATCCATAGCCAAATCGATCCTCGCGGAAAGCTCTGGATCTGCCCCTTCTGCTTGCACCGCAACCAATTCCCTCCTCATTACCGTGATATCTCCAACACCAACCTCCCGGCAGAGCTGCTTGCTAAGCACACGACCATCGAATACACGCTTGCCAGGAGTGCTCAGGTCCCACCCATCTTCCTGTATGTTGTTGACACGTGCGTTGATGAGGATGACCTTAAGGCCCTGAAGGACTCTTTGGTTGTGAGCTTGAGCTTGCTCCCTCCTCATGCTCTTGTTGGCCTGATTACCTACGGCACAATGGTACTGTATCGCCAGGTGGAACTTCACGCCTTGATCCTGCAGCTGCCCAGATTAATTGACCACCAATTTTTTATCACTCATCGTGTTGGCGTAATAGACTCAGGTCCACGAGCTGGGATACAGCGAATGTCCAAAGTCATATGTGTTCCGTGGAAACAAGGATTACACCAGCAAGCAAATTCAGGAGATGCTTGGACTCACCGTTCAGACGATGCGTCCTCAGCAGCCAGTCAGACCTGGACAGCCCACGCCCTTTGTCCCCAGCGGTAATTCTCGCTTCCTGCTGCCTATTCAACAGTGCGAGTACACTCTGTCGTCAATCTTGGAGCAACTTCAGCGCGACCCTTGGCCTGTTGCCACTGACAAGCGTCCCCAGCGTTGCACCGGTGTCGCCATGAGTGTTGCCGTCGGTCTGTTAGAGGCTACGTACCAGAATAACGGCGGTCGGTTGATGCTATTTGTCGGTGGTGCTGCAACAGAAGGCCCCGGAATGGTTGTTGGGACGGACCTCAAGGAACCCCTCCGATCCCACCACGACATCGAGAAGGAGAATGCCAAACATTATAAGAAGGCCTCTAAGGTATAGCGCGACGAATCATGGTATATTACGCATTTTGATATGGCAAGGCAAGGTTACTAATGCGCTCTTGATGACTTGCATGCGTACTTGATCTTAGTTCTACGAAGGCCTTGCTAAGCGTGCATCGACCAACGGACATGTCATTGATATTTTCGGAGGATGCCTGGATCAAGTCGGTTTGTTGGAGATGAAATCATTGGTCAACTCAACTGGCGGTTTCATGGTTTTATCCGACTCGTTCTCAACTGCCATCTTCAAGCAGAGTTTCCAGAAGATGTTTGAGAAGGACGCTGAAGGCAACCTCAAGATGGCCTTCAATGCCACGCTGGCTGTTCAGGTAAGGCATATCGAACTGGAATTCGAAATATGCATGTTTCTTATGAATAAATAACAGAACAATTTTACTAACCTCGCTTACCTTTGACCATGACCCCAAAGACCACAAAAGAGCTGAAGATCTGCGGCTTAATCGGTCATGCTGTGTCCTCCAACAAAAAGACGGCGTCTGTGGGCGAGACTGAAATCGGAATCGGCAACACCTCGGCATGGAAGATGTGTGGTGTCACTCCCAAAACAACCAATGGCATCTACTTTGAGGTCGTGAACCAGCAGGGCCAGTCCCTCCAGCCCGGCTCGCGTGGCCTCATCCAGTTCGTGACCCATTACCAGCATTCGAGTGGACACTTTAAGTTGCGCGTAACTACTGTCGCTCGCAGGTACGAACACTTTAATGTTTGCAGTGGAATCCTTGATCAACCATGAAAAATCCTATATGCATTGCTCTAAAACCATCAATTGTTTCCACGTTTAATAGCTGGGCAGAAGGAAACAGCCCTATCATTGGCCAGTCATTTGACCAGGAGACCGCTGCCGTCCTCATGGCCCGCATTGCCGTGTTTAAGGCAGAGATCGACGACGGCCCGGATGTTTTGCGCTGGCTGGATAGGATGCTAATTCGCTTGTGCCAAAAGTTTGCAGACTACCGCAAGGACGAGCCGCAATCATTCCGTCTGTCTGAAAACTTCTCGATCTACCCGCAATTCATGTTCCATCTGCGTCGCTCCCAGTTCTTGCAAGTGTTTAACAACTCTCCTGACGAGACAGCCTATAATCGCCACGTTCTGAACCGCGAGGATGTGAACAACTCTTTGATCATGATCCAGCCCACACTCATGTCTTATGGATTCGAGGGTGAGCCCGAGCCCGTTTTACTGGACAGCGTCTCTGTGAAGCCCGATTCGATCTTGCTCCTGGATACGTTCTTCTACACTCTCATCTTCCATGGTGAGACCATTGCAGCGTGGAGGAAGGCGGGCTACCAGGACCAGGCTGGATACGAAAACTTTAAGGAGCTGCTGGAGGCGCCCGTAGCTAGTGCACAGGAGCTGCTGATGGACCGCTTCCCCATTCCTCGCTATATTGTGTGCGACCAGAATGGATCGCAGGCTCGATTCTTGCTGTCCAAACTGAACCCCTCAACGACTCACGTTTCTGGAGGTCAGTATGGTAATGCTCCTCAGGGACAGGCCATTTTCACAGACGACGTCTCACTCCAGGTCTTTATGGAGTACTTGAAGAAGTACGTATTTCTTTTGCTTTTGTTCACCATGTATGCGTATCATGCATATTGTTCATGGAAAACCTTGCCTAACCCCTTTGATTCATTTTCGCTTTACTTAGGCTGGTGGTCGCTGGTACGTCTTAGAACGGCCACTTATACCACGGAGGGAGGGAGTGAGGAAACCAGAAGTAGCGAAGTCAGGCATGGGCTGATGAATGTTGAAATGTTGAACGTAATACAAATACATGAAGGAGTTGATCTCCCTACACAGAACGACAATAAAGTGTGCGCGTTGCCAAAGTATCATTTCTGCAGCTACAGTTTTATTTAAGGAAACAACCCATCCTACTTGGTACCTTTGCGAGCACCGCTCTCGTTGTAAGCAGTAAGGATGTGCTCGATAATGGCATCCATTCCACCGCCATTCTTGACCTGTGCGAACACGGTGGGTCCGGGTCCTCGCATCTTGGCGGCATCTCTGGCCATCACGTCCAAGTTTGCGCCCACGATCTCTGCCAAATCGGTCTATCGTTCATTAGAAGAACAACATGTAGCAATCAGAATAGCATCTTTAGATTGACAACAGGGAAAAACATGGTATGCAGTTTATACTCTGCTCGTTACCTTGTTGATTACAAGCAGATCCGACTGACTAGTTCCTGGACCTCCCTTTCGTGGGACCTTATCGCCTCCTGCAACGTCGATGACTAATGGGATCAAAGCAATATCGAAATGGGGGTTTGTAAGTTCAGGGCTGTTTACAAAAGCAATTCTCTAGTGAGGTCTAGGACGAACTTTAGCCATCATGAGGCTCACCATAGATAATGTAATCTGCGAGCTCTCGGGAGTAGTTGGCAGCCAGGTTATCTCCACCACTCTCGATCAGCAGCAATTCGGGATTGAACTTTGCCTGAAGCTGCTCCAATGCAGCCAGGTTGGCGGAGATGTCTTCGCGAATCGCAGCGTGGGGACAGCCGCCAGTTTCAATGGCAACAATGCGCTCAGGGTCCTCGAGAGCCTTATTTCTGATCAAAAAATCTGTATCCTCCGTCGTGAAGATATCATTGGTGACGCAGGCCAGGCTATAGTCCTTCGACAGCCGTCTGCACAGCTCCAGCATCAGAGCGGTCTTTCCGGATCCAACAGGCCTAAACGGACAATGAATAGGAAAGGCGTAAGTCTAGTTAGTCTAGTGTGCCACATTTTTATGATCACATGAAACGTGTTTCGGCGCCCCAGTTAACAAGGATAGCCGGGTTGGAGCAATTGCCCGCGTTTCCCTGACCAAATAAAATAAAATCACCGTACCCGCCAATGCCCACAGTGAAGGTGCGCTCCTCCCAATCGCGGTTTTCGTAGGCTGGCAGCATGCGCTCGACGAATTTGCCTGCGGTGTCGATTTGTTCATGACGGTGACCATGTTCGATATCGCTTTGGGTCCATCCTTCAAGTTTGGTGAGATTGTATTTTTGGCTGCTGGTCAGCTTGGGTGCTTCCTGGTGGTGGTCGTGGGAATGAGAACCGGCATGGTCGTGGGAATGAGACGCGCCATCGTGATCGTGATGGTGGTGGTCGTGTCCAGCTCCAGCTCCTGCGCTGGCAGAGCCGTGTTTTTCAAAGCGGCAGGACATTTTGTAGTAAATAGGTGTATTTGTTGTCGAGAGTATCGGCTCTGAGATAGTGTTGAGAGTGAGGGATTCCTTGTACGATGCGCTGTCGACAGGAAGGAGGAGGGAAGAAAGGCAGCACCAGGGGGCGGGAATTGTTCGTGAATAATGCGGGGAGCCCCTATTCAGCTGTTTGCTCTTTACAGAGGTTGTACTACCCCCGAATTTCAGCCCATGTAAAACTTAACGACTAACATGTAACTAGACTACACCATGCCCCATGCCTCCAATAGATTAGTTGTAATATTACTTTCTGGGTTCTTCTTCATGGCGAAAAAACAATATATATATTGGGTTTGGACCTATGGCTGCACGATCCGGACGTGCACTTTATCGTGTTCTCCGGAGGACCCTGTGATTTGGATGTCAGATTCTGGCGCTTGCAGAATCAGAACGGCGGTGTAAATGCAACAGGCGGGCATCTGAGCAATCATTGCCGTATTTGTAATAGTGTATGCATGCATGTTCGGAAATCAAAGCGAGAGCATTCGAAAAGGGCGCATGGCGTACAAGAGTACATACACCACTCCACTCTGTGCATGCGGAGGAGGAAGAAGAAGCAGCAGCAGCAGGGATTTAGCCGGCTGTTGCATAAATGCACAGACGACATCTTTACGCATCATGAAGCCAGGGCGTCGGATGCTCAGCAGCAGCGGCGGCAGTAGCGGTGGGTGGTGGCAATGAACGTTAGGAGGTAGCGCTCCTTCGTGGCCAAAGGTCAGTGGGCTGAATAAAGGGAGAAAGCAGGCAAGGAAGCCGAGGTGGCGTTGCAGACAGCAGGAGATGAATGTGGGTCTCTGCAGTGAGACAGGAGAGTGCAGGAGAGCACTACCTCATTAATTCTTGTTTATGCTGCTGTTGCTGCTGTTGCTGCTGTTGCTGCTGTTGCTGTTGTGTGGTGGGTCTTCATTTCTGTTATTGACCATGTTGTCATTTTTCTTTTTCTCTTTTATCTTTTTCCTTTTTCCTTTTCCCTTTCCTTTTTCTTCTTTCCTTTTCCCTTTCTCTCTCGCTTCTCTCTTCCCTTTCCCCCTTCCCTTCGTCCGCCCCTCTCTTCATACGATATCTTCCTCGCCGCTTTCTCCCAGAGCATCTCCTCTCCTTTTAATTTCCGGAGCGGATATCCCAAGCGTACACGAACCGACAACACACATAACAAGATCCCATCATGAAGCTGGTCCCACGCGAATTGGACAAATTGATCCTCCACCAAGTCGGCTTCTTGGCCCAGAAAAGGCTCGCCCGCGGAATTCGACTCAACCGAACTGAAGCCGTCGCCCTGATCGCCAGCCAGCTTGCAGAGTTCATCCGCGATGGTCGACACTCTGTTGCAGACCTCATGGACCTGGGCAAGCAGTTCCTGGGTCATCGCCAAGTAATGCCGGGCGTCGCGGAGACGTTACGCGAGGTCCAGATCGAGAGCACGTTTCCTGATGGCACAAAGCTGGTGACCGTCAGCGATCCGATCAGTAACGAGAACGGCAACCTTGAACTGGCCCTCTACGGCTCTTTCTTGCCCATCCCAGACGCAGATAGGTTCTTCCCGCCTATTACAAGGGCTGAGGAGGCTGCCTTCAAGCATCCTCCCGGAGCCATTGTTACTGCTCCAGGTACTCTGACACTCAACAAGGGCCGGAAACGAGTGCGACTCGAGATCACCAACACGGGCGATCGTCCCATTCTGGTAAGCGCTATAACTGCCTGTCTCCGTTCATACTCTATCTTTTTGTATCCCGCATCGATCAATGCCATGCCATGCCAGTTCCACCCGCCACCAAAATGAAGCGAAAACCTTGTATGTTTGTGCGTGTCATATGAAGAGAAAACATTGTTCGCTCAGTCCAATCGAGGCCGTGCTTATCTCTTCCTTTAAGCTTTGTTCGTTCTAAACACGAGGGATGGGATAGGGTGTCCTATCATGGCTCACCAAACTATCTGCACAGAAAAGAATAACACCCTATATCTCGCGATATCGTCTCAGCTCTCGTATCAAATTATGAGGTCCTTCACAATCGGTGCCATCTTGCTTCCAGCGACGATGCTAGATCTGGATTTAACGGTTACTGCAGCGTCAGTGGCTTTATTTCCGGACGTAGTAAAAAGAGGGGTTTCATTTCATTTTGCTGGTCTAGATTCTTGTACGCCCTTCGGAAATAGTAGGCAAACGCTGGGCGCATATTTACTTCCCTTGCCATCCATAGACATGGACATTCTTATTGCGTTTATGTCACGCAAATGCACGCTCTGACACCTAATTTGCAAATATGTAGGTTGGCTCCCATTTCCATTTGATCGAGGCCAATAGTGCCCTGCTAATGGATCGCGAACTCGCCTATGGCCGCAGATTCGATATCCCCGCAGGATCAGCTATCCGTTTTGAACCGGGCGAGAAGCACACAGTGATGACCGTCAGTATTGGCGGTAGAATGCGCATCACTGGAGGAAACAACCTTGCTACCGGTGTCGTGGATCCCATGCGAGTTCAAGAGATCGTATCCAATTTGACAGCACGCAACTTTCTGCATATGACGCAGTCGCCAGCGCTGAACGAGAAAGAGATTCCAGAGTACCAGATCCCGAGAGAGGTCTATCAGTCGTTCTATGGACCCACAGTCGGTGATAGAGTGAGGCTCGGCGACACGGATCTTTGGATTGAAATTGAGAAGGACTACACGCATTATGGTGATGAATGCAAGTTCGGCGGAGGAAAAGTTCTTAGAGAGGGCATGGGTCAGGCCAATGGCGTACCCGATGAAGAGGCGTTGGATCTTGTTATTACAAACGCCATCATCCTCGATTACACTGGAATCTACAAGGTAAGACAGCGCTCTAATACTTTTTTTTATTCAATGCGGTTGAGATATTGTATGCTGACAGTTTCGACTATCATCTTCATCGAATAGGCCGATATTGGAGTCAAGAAGGGAATCATTTCCGGGATTGGCAAGGCTGGCAACCCTGACGTGATGGAGGACGTGTCACCGAACATGATCGTTGGTGTATCGACTGAGGTCATGTCTGCTGAACAACTGATCGTCGTTGCCGGAGGCATTGACTCCCACGTGCATTTTATCTCTCCAGAGCTCATCGATGAGGCATTGACATCTGGACTGACAACAATGATCGGCGGCGGTACTGGACCTAACACTGGGTCGAATGCGACAACGTGTACTCCGGCTGCAGAATTTATCAAAATGATGATGCAGGCAACGGATGCGTCACCTATCAACATTGGAATCACCGGTAAAGGTAACACGGCTAATCTTGAAGGCATTCACGACCAGGTCAAGGCTGGCGTCATCGGATTGAAGCTGCATGAGGATTGGGGCACGACCCCAGCCGCGATCGACAACTGCCTGATAGCTTGTGACATGTACGACGTTCAGGTAAAGACATCTGCTTCGCAAGTGATCTCATGAAACACGGATCACCCATGCGTTTGAGCAACCGTTTAATGAACCTTTTGTTCCTGCTAGGCAACCATACATACGGATACGCTGAACGAAGCAGGATTCGTGCAGTCAACCGTTGGGGCTATCAAAGGACGCACCATCCACACCTATCATACAGAAGGAGCTGGTGGTGGACACGCGCCGGATATCATCACTGTTTGTGGCCTGCCCAATGTCCTTCCATCAAGTACGACTCCCACTCTGCCCTTTACCAAGAACACTCTAGACGAGCACATTGACATGTTGATGGTATGCCATCATCTGGATAAGAACCTGCCTGAGGACGTCCATTTCGCAGAGAGTCGTATTCGTGGAGAGACCATCGCAGCAGAGGGATGCTTGCACGACATGGGCGCTATCAGCATGATCAGCAGTGACGCTCAGGCAATGGGCCGTATCGGAGAAGTCGTTTCCCGGACGTGGATGCTTGCCAACCGTATGAAGCAGGTGCGCGGCCACATCCAAGACCCGAATACTGAAGCATATGCCACAGACGCCGACAATTTCCGTGTCAAGCGCTATGTCGCCAAGTACACTATCAATCCGTGAGTGAACAAACTACGCATAGTATATCGATTTCGCGCTCATGCTGAGAACCAGGAATGGTATCCTCATGTCTACAGCTTTCTTTTTTCTCGTAAACGATAGTGCTGTTGCCCATGGAATTTCGCATTTGGTGGGCTCGATTGAGGTTGGCAAGATAGCGGATCTTGTCATGTACAACCCAGACTCATTCGGTGTGAAGCCCTCACACGTTCTCAAGTCCGGTGTGGTGACCTACTCTGCCATGGGCCTGGCCAACGGCAGCATCCCCACAACTCAGCCTATCATCCTCCGTCCGATGTTTGGAGCCATTGGTAGTGCTGCTGCCGCTAACTCGGTTGTGTTCATGTCTCAGGCGGCCGTGGATCTCAACCGAGGACAGGAATACGGCCTTAAAAAGAATGTCGCTGCGATCAAGAACTGCCGTGACATATCGAAAGCCGATATGAAACTGAATGACTATTGTCCGGAAGTCAAGGTCGATCCCGAATCGTTTGAAGTCAGCGTGGAGGATGTTATGATTAGCGACATGGTCAAACCCGCAGAAACTCTACCACTTGCGCAGAGCATGTACATTTTCTGAGCAATGTCTATTAGCCACCACACTCTTGCAGGTGCATGCAAACGATACCTAATAAACCTCTTGTACAGCACGTAATACTTGGAGAACAGCGCACATAGTTTTTTTTTTTGACTTGACTTGACTAGGGCGCTGTCATTTCATTCATCCGACGGAGCACACCAGACGATACACTTTTGCTGCTGCTGTGCGACAGATGAAACGCAGCTATACTTGACGTAAACAACATCTCCACGGCAATTTCTCGTCACGGCCAAGGCTGTTGGCGAGAATGTCTCTCACTAATAGACTCCCCCCCGTTCCGCTTCACATCAAGCCAGTGCAGCGGTTAGGGCAGATACTGCAGACTGCTTAAAGCTTTTTCATGGCTTTTTTCTATCCCTCTTACTATGTTTGAGCCACCTGAAACATCCACTCTCCATACAGCGTCCACTCCCTACCAAACTAGCGCCTACTTTTTCCTCGAGGGCTTAGTCTGCACTCATTCACTCTCCCCTTCCATTCTCCATCATGGCCAACATATCCAGTATATAGGTTCGAGGCACGGGTCCTCACCACCATGCCAGGGTCTGAGGTCGTCACCAAAGCGAACAAAAACTCATGAGGCGTATTTTCCCGGCTTCCCAGTGGAGATGCTTAAAACCGTGGCGACATCATCATAAGAGTTCAACGTCGTAGACCGATACTACAGAAACTACAGAGAAATTCCAAAAACGCTCGTCCCATAACGCAGGAGGTCGAGAACCGGAGGTTGTCGAAATAAGCCCCCCCCCCGGAACGTCTTCCAAATGACGGAGCGCAAGGGCTGAGACTCCTTTCTATGGGGATGGAATGTTCTGCCTATAATTTTTGCATATGATCGCGTTGTCTTTTGTAAAAGACGCGCAGTCGCATGACGCGTTAGGTGGATTAGCTGCGGTCCCCCAAGTCTATAGCTGCATACGCATGCGTATACGTGGCTCGGAGGGGATGCGATGAAAAAAAAAAAAAAAAAAAAAAATCGGCGAATGGATGGATAAGTTTGTGCTGCTTTTGGTCCGTGCTCTCTAGTCATGAAGCGCTGCGCCCTTTTCTTTTCTTTTTCTCTTTTTTCTTTTTTCTTTTTTTTTTCTTTTTTTCTTTTTTTCTTTTTTTTTTAATGCTGACTCCAAACCACCTTGTCCTTCTTCATTTGTAGAAATTGAATGAACCCGTATTGTTTCTGTCCTTTATTACAATGCGCGTTCCTGTGAGTTTTTGCTGCAAAGCTGCTGCTGTTGTTGCTGCTGCAAGATTTTCCCGATGCTCCAGCTCTCCGTGTCCTGTATTCTCTTGAGAGAAATGTAGCTGACGATTCTACGCCTTCAAAGGTCCTTCTGGTAGTCCAAACTCATCCAGACGCTTAAATAAAAAAAATAAAAAAAATAAATAAAAAAAAGTGAAGAAAGGTGAAGCAGAAGATAGAACCATAGAATCGTTAGTATGCAAATCTTCGAAACCCCCCCCCCGATGAGCAATAGTCTGGTCCTTGAATATCATCAAGTTCATCATGATCTTGAACCCTTACCTCAGTTTGTGGCTCTGCTGTTTCTGCAGTTGGAAGGTCAAGCGTTTCGTCCTCGAGGTATGAGGGCTCCTCTTCCTCATATAGTTCATCGCCCAGAGCATCCAATTCAGCTTCAAGCTCATCTTCATCAATGTCATCGGGTACGCCATAGGACCGACCTAATGTCTCCTGAATCTCGTTCGCCTGTTCCATGATATCCTCCATTTCGTCTTGCATTTGCTATAGCCATTGCAAATATTCAAATTAAGAGTTCATTGTCAGAAACATTATTTTTTTTTTGTTATCGAGGTCTCTTGTGACATTAACATCATGATCACTTGAAACGCCATAGTCAAGTCCCGAGCTGTTTGTCGTTACCTCGATTTTGTCAAGGTTGACCTTCTTATATTGCTGCTTCATGGTCTGATTGGCGGTCTTCATGGCATCCACGGTCGTCATGACGTTCTTCAAGTTTTCTGTTGTGAAAGCTGCCTGCTCCATGTTGAAAGATTGCTGCTGAAGCTGCTCCCGTTGTCCCTCATAGAGTTTTCTTTCCTTTAAGATGCGCATCGCCTTTGCTTTTACAGAGTTCTATCGTTGGATTACGGACGAGTGAAGACCAGGATGTGTGAGCGCAACAATATCTTGCGAAGAAAGCAAAAACTCTGAGCATCTCATATCTCATAAAGGCGGAACCATCACGCGGATGAAACCATAGCCTTACCTTGGCTGGTCCATCACGCATCTTTTTCATCTGGTCTTTGTACTTGATAAGTTCCGCATCCAGCTTACGAATCTTGACCTCAACTGCGTCCACGCGCAGATCTGTCTAAAACAGTGTAGGATAAGTTTGCGCATAGAAAAGTGGACGTGTCAGCAGTTCTCTGTGCACTCTTGACTCCTAGCGTTGCTTTCATTAGGAATGACGGGTTCAAAGGAAGGCGACAAAGTGTCCTGTACTGAGGTTCATCACTTTCCTGCCTCCTTCTACTATGATGTCACAGGACCGTGTTGCAAAGCTGGGTCGTGATGTCCTCCATGTCGATTCAACCTGCTCCTGAACTTACAGCAGTGATGGCGTCCGTTAGACTTGCTTTTGGAGCCTTTTTGCCTGAGCCGAAGAGACGATGCATGTTGAATGTTAAGAGTAGTGGTGAGTAAGAAGGTTGATGCGAAGCTAAAAGCGATGACAGCACCAGGCACAGGCTGTCCACTTGCGCTCACACCAAGTGACGGCCCGCCCTTTCAAAAAAGAAAACGTGGTAAAATCTTGGCAGAGCACCAAGAGCGCAGCGTAAACAAAAAATATGGGTCTAACAGCACACATGAGGAGCATAGTAGAGTAGTTCGTTATGTATAGTGTGCTTTATGAATCAAAGAAAGACAGAAAAAAAAAAAAAAAAAAAAAAAGGAGAGATAACAATGGGTAACTGCAAGTCCTAGAGCGAGATGACTATCCCATGGTCCTGGATTGTTGGCCCGGTGTGTCCTGTGCTTGGTCTTAGGCAGAGATGGTGTTATCATAGTCGATAGTTGGCACAACCGAGGACATAAACTTCAAAAAGATAATAAGGTATCTAGAAACAAGCAATTACTCATGTTAGCAAGCAGTATAACCCCTCTCTTTATGTACAAGCAGTAGAAATGTCAAGCTCAACATCACTTACTGATCGACCCTGACTGGTTCCTCCTTGCCCTCGTCGTTTGCAACCTTTTCGATGATCTTCTTCATCACAGCTCCATGTCTGCAGGGGTGGATACTGGCAAGAGACATGTTCAGATGAGGGTGGGTCTCGATTGTAACAGTCTTTTTAGCATAGTCTTGGGAGACATCCTCAAAGATTTGCGAGGACACCAGGGGCCGTCGATGCTAAAATGTGTTCGGAATTAAAAAGAGACACATTAAATCAGTATATGCAACATACTTAGAGACAACATGGCCACATGGTTATGTGATTTTCAGATGGTGAAGAGCGCCCAATGGCACCATACCTCATCGTAGCCAAAGAGCCACATTCTGGGGGTTTGGTAGTACTTGTCGTATGTGATGAATACGTCGTATGTACGAACGCTCAAGATCTTGTCACTGTGTCGAGAGATCATGCAAAAAGCCCTGGTTAGTTCAATGGATTGTATTCAAAAAAGGGCGCTGTATTGAGTTTCAACTGAGGACGCTGCCAGCTTACCCAGGATCAACCTCTGTGGGAACTGTTGGAGCGAGTGTTGCCTATTTGTCATGATTCAGTTCGGTCAATGTTCCATTCGATGCTGTATAGCCACAATCAATGAATAAGAGGTATGCAAGTGATGCACCTACAGGATCTGCCTCCTCCTCCATGTCGTCAAAATCTTCCATGTCGGGAATATCATCCATATCGGGGATCTCTCCGTCGTCGTCATCTTCCTCTGCAGCAGATCGGAGCTGATCCTGCAGTTGCAATCGTTCCATAGCCTTGATGGCAGCCTGAGCCTCGGCTTCAGCCTCAGCGTCCTCGTCCTCGTCCTCATCCATGATGCCTGCGATCTCTTCAATTGGCCCGCCCGATACACGTGAGCTATGGGACATAACCCAGGAATCACCGCCGTCGCTCTCAATCTGGGTCTCTGCGTCCTCGTCTGTGTACTCCATCTGCTTGACCCGGCGCAAGCATGGCACTTTTTAGGCCGAATCCAGTGATAGTATAGAGGAAATATAACGTCGATATTAGTATTCAGTCCTTTCAGCATTACTGGCTGTCAACTACTCGCTCCTCATCCCTTAGGAGGGCTCGCTCCTTTTCAAGTCTCTCCTGTGGGGGAGGGGTCACGGGTCCATTGCGATTTATCACGCTGAGTTCCATGAAAAATGCATGGGTCCCCACTTGTGGTTCGCAGTATGGCACAGCACTTAAGAATAAAAGAGAAGAACGCAGACAGAACCAACATACCGTTGCGAGTAATCAAGAACTGCTTTTCGGCCGGCAAGTAGTCGCGACGCTTGCTGACTTCGCCGCCCTCCCTATGTACACACAAAAGGGAACAAGGGAATCGTTAGGTGCTGTGTGACACGGACGCGGATGCATTGCTCAGGGCCTATAGCTCATCTGTTGCAAAGATGCCATGGCTGCTTGCTTACCAGTTCCATGTGGGGCATTTGTAAACCAAAAAGTCGCCCGCGGCCTCAAACTAGTTTGCAGCAAATAGAGGAAGGCAGCATTTTGCATGAGCAGTGTGTACACTTTTATGTCCCGAGCACGGTGCGTGCGTGTACAGGCGACAATGTCCAACACAACGTTGTGTTCAAGGATGGCATCCTAGTACAGCTGATGGGTTCATTCGTTGCTTTCCCACTGCAAGAGACTTGCCTCCTCGGGGGTGATGCATCCTGTCTCTTTGAACTTTGAGTTTTTGAGGACAGGGCTCAGGTACTCGCGAATGCCGAAAAAGATGTTTTGGACGGAGTTCATCGGTCGTAGTGGAGGGGACAATGCAAAGGAAGTGTAGGAAAGTACTGGGCAATGTTGATGCTGAGTTGCTGTTGCCAAGTGGTATGTGCAGATATGCGTGTGTATGTAAGGAATGTGAACAGGGAAGAAAAGAGAAATGAGTGGTGGAGCTGTGTCAACCGCAGAAAAAGGAGTGGCGTTTTCCTTTTCTTTTCCGCACACATGCCATTGCCATTGTGAATATTTGATAACCCAAAATATCAATGGTCTCCGACCCCTTTGGGCAGTCTTTAGACTCAACGAAGGTCAACCTGAGTGGAAATGGTAGCGATTCAACATTAAACTGCACTCTCCTGGCTTTTTTCTTCGGTCTGTAACCGTTAGTGGACTTGAATCGCTTAAGCAGCTAGTCTCTCTGCTGATGAAAAGAGTATCGAGCAGCGGCGCGTACGAAGCAACATGTCTTCTAGCATTTGTTACATGGCATGCAGACGCATTTGTGCCTATTACCAGTTAGAGACAGGACGTCGCTGCTGCACGACAACCAGCTCTGATGACCATAAAGCTTGGTGAAGGTAGTGGCACTGAGGCTGCTTCACAGCGACGCAACCATCAGTCCCACTCAAGAAGGCCCGATTGATTTCTATACATTGTCTTCTATATCTTCTTGTTTTGGCAACTTCTTTGTTGTCAGGGATGGGGGGTTAAGGAAGGAAGGAAGGAAGGAGGCGTCCTGGCTTTACCAAGGGAACAAGGGAATGCCACGCCTTACTACGGTCTAGTAGCGCATCCAGGGCATTAGTCTGATAGCGTGTTGTTGTGCGCTGAAAGTCCTGATCAATATCTGAATAACTAGGCTGGCGCTTTTGCCTGCGTTCAAGTTGACGGTACGCTGTGGATGATCCCCCGCCTAGGACCCTTGTTTTTTGCTGACACCATTCTAACAAAATGCAGCGAATATGAATATCTCTTTGAGGACACATTGCATACTCAACTTATTTTGATGTACGCATACCTTCTATCGGTAGGGTGCGCCCTCTTCTTCTGTTCGCGTGCAGAGGAGATCGGATTCTCGGTAAGGCCCACGGCAGCGCGGCTCTCTCAAGGTTCTCGGACTACGGCAGAGGATGCTTCTTGGGCTGTGCTAGTGAGCGCTTCTTGGTAACTCTCGATAGGAGCGCCAGTCGCTTCTTGTGTCATCCTTGGCGCGTTTTCGTTGGCAGTAGAAGTGGCAGTGACGGATACTTTGATGAATAAAAAAAAAGAATACTATGTTCGACGTGTCTCTATGTTGGAGGGGCAGAGAATATAATAATGCGGTACACACAGCTCTCCCGTATGTGATGAAGGTGAGAGTGCTTTTTGAAAGGATAGTGGACAAAGTAGAGCACTTGAAAGTAAGAAAAAAAAGGGGAGGCTCTTCGTATGTTCGCTGTAGCGGCTGGATGTGGACATTGCCATTCTTACAAGCTATGATGCACATTCCATTATAGATCCACCGCTTTTTCACACAAAGATAATCAATGGTCGGCGGTAAAGAGTCGTGTCGCACCCGCCATGTGGTTTTCACCATATGACGCGTAAATAAACAGTGAATCAGCATTAGCACTATCAGCACAGCGACGTTCCCTGTCCGCTTTTTTTTTGCGAGTTCACGTCGCGTCGCGTCGCGTAGGCTGTAGTCTTCCCGATTTGGACATCTCTAATGATCTACCATATCCTTCGTACGGATGTTTATTGCATCTTACACTCGCTGTGCGGTTGCTGCGATCGAAGTTTCCTCAGTGGTTGTAAGCTGCGATGACCCAATTGAAATTATTGACATCCTCCGGATTGCCTCCACCACTCAGATCCCCGACCGGGCAGGCGGAAGCAGATTTCCCCATTGGCCCGTGATCGATCGTGCGGGGAAGAGGATCGGTCCTCTCAGTCTCTCCACACGTTCCTGGAAGTGTGAGCTCGTTCCTGCGAAGTGCGAACTCGTTCGAGTGGACACAGACATATCACATATCACATATCCCATCCGGCACCTTGTCCTCCCCTCTTTCTTTCCTCTCCACCCCATTGCCTCTCCTCATCGCCTCTCCACATCACCTCTCCCCATCCGAATCTTCCATTCATCCCCTCCTTCATCCCTTCATCCAAACTCACAAACTAGGTTCAACTCGTCATGCCTCCTTTCGTCCCTCCCCTGGCCGACCCCTCAAAGGTCAACCCGAGCCTGAGCGCCGAGCGTGCCTTGGTCTCCTTCAACGTCGAGACCCTGACCCAGTTCCTGCACGGTGCCAACCTCGACAAACAGCGTCACATCCGTGCGCAAATTGAGCAGGACCCCGTCTTCTCCAATGCCGACAAACCCTTCCTGAGCCGCGAGCGCCTCTACGTGCGCTCACTCGAAAAGGCTGCCAAGCTGGTCGAGATGCGAAAGAAGAACAAGTGGTCTGAAGAAGATATGTTGATCGCCATGATGATGGTCGGCGACTCAACTCCTCAGTTCCTGGTAAGTCTAATCCTGTCCAGCCGCTATCTGAATCTGATCGTACGATCTCTTGTGTGCACCACCATTGTTGCTGACAAGGCATGTTCCCTCTCTTCATGATCATGTATCTCAATATATATATGCAGCATGAAGCCCTGTTTATCCCCACGCTCAGAACACAGCTTACGGATGAACAGCAAAAGGTCTGGCTCCCAAGGTACAAATCTTTCCAGTGTCCCAGTGGAATCCAATGCCCCACTAAAGTGGTTTGCCGACACAACTAACCCAATCCGTCGTCTCCATACATGCATCACAGAGCTGAGAACTATGAGATCTTTGGATGGTATGTCTACGAATACAACACATGGCAGGATATGGTCTTGTTACTCTTTGAATCAAATTGTATTGACAAATACCTCATCCCTCTTCATTGGTCGGATAGCTATGCCCAGACGGAGTTGGCCCACGGAAGCAACTTGAGAAAGCTGGAGACCACGGCCACGTTCATTCCTGAGACTGACGAGTTCGAGATCGATACCCCCACCATCAACTCGATGAAGTGGTGGCCTGGTGCTCTGGCCCAGACAAGCACGCACTGCGCCATCTACGCGCGTCTGATTCTTCACGGAAAGGACTATGGTGTCCATCCATTCTTGCTCCAGATCCGTGCTCCCGGTACCCATGATTCTATGCCCGGTATCGAACTGGGTAACCTCGGTAGCAAGATTGGATTCAACACGATCGACAACGGCTTCATGAGGGTCCACAAGGTCCGTATCCCTAGGGACCAGATGATGATGCGAAACTCCAGGGTCACTCGGGAGGGCAAGTACGAACCCGCCAAGAACGCCAAGATGAACTATTCGACCATGGTGGCGATTCGTGCCAATATTGTTAGGAATGCTGGATTTGCGCTGGGTCAGACCTTGACGATCGCTATCCGCTACTCGATGGTCCGACTCCAGGGCGGTGATCGACTCCCATCACAGCAGGGACAGGAGGTCAAGGTTATTGATCATGGAATGCAGCGCTTCCGTTTGACAACCTCATTGGCCCTTAGCTACGCTATGTTGATGACCGGTCGTGTCATGACAGAGCTTCACCGTCGCAACTTGAAGAATGTGATCCAGGGCGAGGTCGGTCTTATGGCTGAGGTGCATGCGACCTCCTCAGGATTGAAGGCCCTGACTTCCGATTTGGCCACAGCTCAGATGGAGGACACTAGACGTGCCTGCGGAGGACATGGCTTTGCATGGTGCGGCGGTATCGTCGACATCTTGACAACAACACTTCAGGATGTCACTGTGGAAGGTAAAGCGCACGCGTACGATGACAATCCAATGACATGCTATGGCACTAACCATTTTATTTGTCTTATTAACTGACATATGAATCGCTCTGTATTTATGCATGTAGGTGAGAACACCATTCTTCACCTCCAGACATCTCGCTGGTTACTCAAAACTGTCCTCCAAACTCTTAAGACCAAGGACTTATCTGCTGTCCCTGCTGGATTAAGGAACGCTCTTCAAGGCGGCGAACGTGTCCTCGACCAGGAGTCCTCGACAATCGCGCCAGGAAAGCCCGTTACTGGTGATGCCTTAATTACCGCCTTCTGGCACCGTGAGGCGCGTGTTCTTCAGGAGGTCGTCGCGCGTATCCTCAAGGATGGTGGCGGAGAGGAGGCGATGGCAAAGTCCCAGGTCCGCATGGTCGAGCTGTCCAGGACGCACGGCGAAGGCATGTTGGTCCGCAACTTTTACGAGGCCATCCAAAAGGGGGAGCAGGCCATTCGTGAGCAGGGCGGTGATTCCAGCAAGGGTTACCTTCCTGTCCTGAAGATGCTTTGCGAACTTCACGGTATCCATCGTCTTTTGGAGCAGGCAGGCGATTTTGTCGAGGACGGATATGTCTCGAGAGAGCAGCTCGTTTGGTGCAGAGAGCGTCGTGCTCAGTTGATCGACTTGTTGAGATATGAGCTGATTGGATTGGTCGATGCATTCGATATCTCGGACAACCAGCTCAACTCGGCCATCGGTCGGTATGACGGACGCGTGTACGAGTCCTTGTACGAATGGGCAAAGTATGGAATGACCATCGCGGAGAAGGGCAAGAACGGAGGTGTCTTGGGATTTGATGAGGTCATGAAGGACGTCCTTGCCGAAGGCCGCCGCCTCAATGGCGTTGCCGCTCCCAAGCTGTGAGGAAATGAGTGTATTTATCGTGTAATAAAAATCCGAAAGAGTTAAATTCCTTTTTAACAAAAGACAATCAATACTATATGTATCTGTTGACAAAAGACAACGGTATATATGTTAACGAGATGCAATACGGATGTGTCTTTATTATTAACGGTCTTGTAATATGGATTAAGGGAGCATAGTTTCGGGTAGCGAAGCAGGCAAAATACTTTCGCCTCCGCTTTCGACTGCGCGGACCAAATGCAGTGCCACTGCAAATTCGTCCTCGCTCAGATAGCCATCGCACGTCCAATCCGCTAGTGTCCAGATCTTGGCCAACGCCTCCACAGATAAACCTGTGCCCATCAAATACGGTTTGGCTGTCGAGCCGTTGATCTTGCCCTCGATCGGGTTCAGGGACTGGAAGACGGGACAAGCACTCGCCTTATCAACTGAGGAGAAATGCCAGTAGCCGGGAGGGATGTCACTGTTGGCGTTGGTATTAAGCCCATTAAAGGGCTCTTGTGGGCCCAGGAATGGGTTCTTCTGCGACAGCTCCAACACTGGGTTCACCTGATGCGGGAACCGTGACATGATCTTTGGCAGATCAACCGAAAGAGCTTCCTCGGCCACAGTGAGTATCGGTGAACTTATCTTGGCAAAGTTCTCAAACTTGTAGGCCTCGAGACACTGTCGGAATGCTGCGACGTTGGGAAAATCGCCAACTGGAACGCTATAGATCTGTTGGACCTTCAAGAACTCGCCCTGCAGACCATTGATGAGCTCACGTTGACGCGACTTCTTGCCAAAGACCGCCGGCATCTCCTTACGAAGGTGTCCAATAATATAGGCATGGACTCTTGCCAGTCTTGCACGCTTCACTATTTCATTAACCTTTCGTACAGCGGCGTTCCGTGGCAGCTCTCTGAGGTCCTTGAGCAGATCCGCTTGTTCCTTCTCCAAAAGCGCTCGGCAGTCCTCGAACACGTTGGGAGGTTTAATCAACCAAAACGATCCCAGATACACCCTCATGACTTCGGGCGTCTGGATCACCTTGCCCAGGGACCACATTAGTGCGCCGTAGACCCTCATCAACTGCTGTTGATCTACCATGTCGCTCTTGTTGAGGATGACACGGACTTTCTCCTCCTGTCCTTTAAGCGCAAAGATCGAGCTCTTAAACTCGTCCGAAATATCCAGCTTGTGGGAGTCAAAGAATAGGAGGATCAGATCCGACCGTTGTGCAAACCACTCGATCGTCTTTGTGAAATCGTAGCCACGCTCGACTCTCTGCTTGTCACCGGCCAAAATACCGGGAGTGTCGATCAGGGTCATGTTCTCGAGCAAGGTGTTGGGGCACTGTGAGACCTGAAAGCGGGTCAGGAATGCTTGTCCAAATCGGTCGAGTCCTCGGAAAGGTAGGTCTGCGGACACTGCTGCCGCATTTCCCGGGATCACTCGAGGTTCTGACCCATTCATCACCGCCACGAATCGATCAGTCTAGTTGTGGGTGTCAAGAGGAAGATGGCGAGTGAGAAATCGGACCAAGCAATACGATGGAGACTTTCGAGTAACAGTCCGTAAGTTGTAGCTATCTCTTACCGTTGGCTCCACTCCAATATGAGATCCAGGATAGTCGGACTCAATCAGATGTTTGATAAACGTTGTCTTGCCCTAAAATGATATACAAGGAGACAAGCCGTTAGAATCCTTGTGTCCTTGGTCACACACAGCTTCGCTGTGAGGTATATTGTCACTGTTCTGCGACACAACTTACTGTGCTGTATTGCCCCAGCAAGAGTACCATGGGCTTCGCCAGAATATCGCTGTCCGTCAATGGTGCAGAATGAAAGCCCTCAAAGTTGTAGGTCGTCTCCAATGGTCGAATTTTGCGCTTGTAGATCTGTGTCAGATCCCTATAGACCTCTCTATAATCATCCTTGATTGTCGCAAAGTTTCGACTGATGCCAATAGAGGATTTGTTACTGGTGACACTGCGATGAATGGTCGATGGCTGCCTTGAGGGCAGAGGAGGCCCCGCACTGGAGGAGGTCGATGCCCTGTTCAACATGGGCGAGCCAGCACTGTATCCTGCAGAGGAGGGTCGTGAGGAATGTCTCCTTAGGTCGTCCTGGTAATTGTCATGGGAGGACTCGTTGTCGTGGTCCGCCCTGGGGTATCCACTGGTGTAGGATCCTGAGCTCTTTTTCTTTTCGTCTGGGTATCCCATGGTTGTATTACAGATGGAGTCGAGAGATGAAATCGGTTCCTCACAAGAAGAAGGAGACGCAAAGGAGGAGGAGAGTAAAAAAAGAACGAAATGAAATGAAAGAGGGGAGAATGGGACACAAAGGAGTCTTCTTTTTGTGGGGGTAACGGTCTTCTTGTGAAACGTCAATCCCTGAAATGCCCAAAATCCTGTTCCTGAAGCGGTTCCTTGACGGGATGAGACGAGAAGTGTGCTGGCGAGGGCGATGTGGCGATGTAGAGTCGAACAGTAGATGTGGAAAGAAGGAAGAAAAGAGAGGAAGAAAAATAGAGAGCAAAGTCGAGAGCAAACAAATCTGTCGATGCCAAGAAAAGAAGAGGGATCGCATCTCCGAAGGATAATGATGAGAGCCTACATTCATGGACCCACATGAACTCTATTTTATTCTACCAGCATAGTCCACAGGCCACAGCCTACAGCCTTTATTTGTTGTCTAGTAAAATGGTTTATTAAAGGCGCTCTCTAGCACGCTAGTCATCAAACTCGATAAAGTGCTTCAAGCGGTCTGCATATGCTGCCGCCAGTACGAATTCGCCCAGATGCTCCCTGAATGTGATCACGATCTGGTAAATCGATACCTTGAGGGCTGGATAGAACATAGCAAAATCAATTAAGAAATATCAATTGTCAGTTCCTACGCTGGCTAATACTCCATAAAAATGGCTTGACAATGGCATGTCAGACATACCTTGGACTAAAGCAATAGAACGGCTGTTGACCACTTTCTGAGCATCCACATGTGCAGAATAAGGACCAGACACGAACTTCTCCAATCTTCCTTCTGTCACCAGAAAGAACTCCAGCGACATCAGCAGTCCAAGCATCGTCTCCAGAACCTTGGGAATATCCTTCTGCACGACCCCGCAACGATCCTCGCTGTAAGAAGCTACCACTAACCGAGCCAGGCCTAAGCAAAGAAATTCAGCATGTTAACCTCCGTGCGTAAGATCGGTTATCACGGCTGCTGTATACGGCAGACATCAAAAGTCGCTTACTCTGGAATGACCAAACTGTCAGCTGAAAGTCCTCGGTCGCGTAAAAGAGTGCTGGGTTGGGAATACTGCTGAGCTGTTTTTGCAATTCTGGATATTTGAACACCTGATCCTGGAGGCTCTTGCTTATCCAGCGGAAAGCCACAAGCTCGACTCTATCCCTGGATCCTCCCAAGTTCGGCCTCTTGCTCGAATTTGCGTCTGCCAGCGACTTGTCAGCCTCAATTCTCGAGTGAGCCAGGATTTCCTCCGTGCTTGGCCCCTTGAAACTGTCAAAGAAATGATCGTGCTTGCTAGGTCGGAAAATGTTCGTTTCGAAAGCGCCGCCTTTATCCGCTGGGAGACGTCGTCGAACTGATGTGTTAAGTGTCTGCGGCACCGCAGCAGCAGCAGGAGGTGCATTGGAAGACGATTTGTCGATCCGGTTGGTAGCCTTAGCCAAGAGGTCCATGCAATGTGACGATATCTGTTTCCATCCGGATGGCACCATTGCTGCCTCAGCAAAGATCTCTGATCGTCGTGCGGGGTCATTTCCAGCCATATGATTCAACTCTTGGTACGCATGGTAAGTCAGGAGTGATTCTGGTGTTGTGCTGGACCCGTCCACTTTCAAGCCAGTAACGATGCAGGCAGTTGGATCCACAGATGTTGACGTGATATTCATTTTCTATTAGGCGCAATGAGGAGAAGCGACAGTATATTAGTATTAGCGTCAAGTAGCCTCGCCTGCATTTGATGCATGCGCTCCAAAATGCGAATACCTTGGCCAAGAATTGGTCGCACAGGATGTGGATAGATTCCATGAAAACGGCAATTGAAAACGAGGTGAAATATAGCCGCGTGGCTAGCCCAATACTGTACCAGCGGGGCCCGTACTGAGGAGCGTGATAGAGAATATCTTCCGCCACAAGCCGCATAGCACTGTTCACCAGAAATCGACTCAGAAAAATGTTGTAGCCGAACCAGAATGCGCTTGTGAGCTTGAAGGCGAACCTTGCTGACTTTTTGACAGCGCCCTTCCAGTAGTGGCTGAAAATGTATTCCACAGTGCTCAACTGCAGTATAAAAAAATTAGTTGGACAATGTGTTAGCTGTCTCTGTAGTCCAGTCAACTTTACAATGATATCTGTTGTCTACCATGACCAAACATACTTGGACTTCTGTGAATGACAGCCAATCCTTCTGATATAGCAGATGGTTGATTCCGTAGGCGAGTCCAAGGACAATGGAAAAAGACCGGGTCAAGATGTATCGCTCGTTGACCTGTGTGATGCCCTTTTCGCTATTTTCCAGGGTTTCACAAGATAGCGTTGATAGAGAGTTAATCGCTAGGTCACCATGGGTCTTCCAATCTGTATCAAAAGTTGGGTGTAATCCTCACCTGATGTGTACAACGATCTCGCTGTAGTTCTTTAACGCGATGTTGGCGGGAATCAGGATCAAGGCGTGGAGACTGCTTGCCATGATCACATAAAAGCTGAGAAGCGCCCACGACAGTGGATCTGAAAATATTGACAGGATGTCGTGAAAGTATGTGGGCGACATTCTAGGGTTGACTGTATGGCGGACAACGATCATGATAGTCAGTTTATGTTGCTCCAGTCAGCAGCGTGTTGCTATTCCAAGCATGAGTACAGCGTGCCCACTTGCCTTGTACGCGTGCGTTCCTTACGCCCACAAGGATGGATCCAAAGACAAAGTAAGCGCTAGTCAATGCGAAGGTATACAATGAGAACAAGCCTCTGTACAAGCCTATACACAGAGGGGAATGGATTAGTAAAGCAGATCCATGTTGCCGCGTTCCTGAATATCGTTGATCTGTAACAGGATAGGGCGCGGCTCTTACCAAAAACTCCAAGCTGCGAGAACTGTGAGGACAAGGCTCCGATGTATGAGAAGCCCAGAACAAATACGAGGCTTGCGATGCTCCGTTCATGCAGGACCTTTCGTGCGGCAAGTCGGTAAGTAAGCGAGTGAAGCGGCCGGTGGGCGCGCTTCTTTCGTGTGATCTCCACTGAAGACATCATTCAAAGGTAAGAACGCGTTGTCAACTGAGAGTACAATTGAATGTGTATCCCGATGAATCAGTGCTTCCCACGGTTCCGTGATCCCGTATTGTGTCTAGTGAGTCGGTGCGACAGCGATGTGAAGGATGTCTTGTAGTTGGCAATGCAGAGGCCGAGGGATGGGTTCGTTTGCCCTTTGAAAAAGTACTTCCAAGGGTGGCTTTTGGTTGGTTGCACTCCTTTGTGACACCTCCTCCAGGGACTCGGAGTCCGCCTTTTCACCACTTTCAGCAACATTTTTCATGGCGTCCAACCTGAATGGCGACAGGATAGTCTACTTTGCGGCGGGTGTCTCGCTCGTGTTCATGATGTACTCGGTAGTGCGCCATGCCACAGCACTCTTTGACAGCGAACCACCAGAGTCGCGTAATATTCTCGGCATGGTGGAAGACAGTACGTGCGCATGGCCTACTGCATGCCTGTTTCACTTTCATACGGACTTCGCTTACACGTTCACGTATTTGACACAGAAATTAGCATGGATGCATTGGCAAAACTGGCACGTTCAGATAGCATTGTGCTTCAAGGAAGGTATGCTGGGAACCTTGCTAGTGTTACGAGCGTCCTGGGCAGTATGACTATGAGTCGGCAGTTCTAAACGTGTTCTCTCAACTACCAATAGCTCCGTTCGCATCCTTCTGAGTCGGGCAATGCGTGGTATGCATCCATCGAAGGCGTCAATTGCACTTGAAATGCAGCTCTTAGGCATTATCACTCACTCCTAAAGCATGTTGTGGCAGTTAGAACCGAACCTGCGATATATTCTAGACACAGTAGCGGAATCCGATATCGAAGAGGAGAGGTGGAAAGGCGTTACGACCTTGCAGCTATTGACTCGAAATGGTATGGCTTGTTGTTGCCAATGGGTAGATATAACCAACAACTGCGAGCGCTCACCAATACTCCAATTGACCACATGGTACCTCATCACAATCATTCTAGAAAGTAACAGGGCGACTCTTGTTGAAGCCGGAGCGCTGGAGATTCTTGTCAATGTCTTGAAAGACCCAGAGAACCGGGAAAAATCACATCGATACGCCGCTGTATCGATATGCGAATTGATTTCTGGTTCAGGTACAAGGCGCCACTGTCAACTGTACGGCTTCTAAATCTTCTCGCCATCAACCTTACCTTGACCCATTCAATATGTCTTTCTCTTGTCTGTGATAGAATCGCGGCGGAAAATGGTTGTGGAATACGGGATTTTGGAGCCTCTTTCACTCTTTCTGGCCAAGGTCGAACCGGCTAATGAGCTCCAATACTGGTCACTAATGGCAGTGCATCAGTTGGCTGCATGCGGTATGTATAACCTACTTGAAAACTGTATCCATCATAAATGTCAGTATTGTAACCTTGCATCTCTCGTTGCATATTTCTCGGAAATAGAGGCTCTACATCATGATCTAATTAGAGTGGGACTTATACCAACGCTAGCAGAAATGTCAAGGCTGGCCTTTGGCAATGCGAACATGCCAAAAATATGTCTACAGTCGCTGGTTCGACTGATCGTGACAATGGAGGACGACGCGGAGGTACGCTGGCACCTATCAGAACTTCTCGACTACGATATTGTACCCCTCCTTGCGACCTATATCCGTAGCGGTAAGAAGGGATAGGTTAAGCGAATTTTTATTGATATAAACATTTAAACGGCGGAAGCATTAACGATGTTTATTCAAACATAGATGACTTTGAACTAGTGTATTGGGCGCTAGGACTGATGCATGAATTTGCCATCAAAGGAGTTGCGTTGGATGATTTCAAGGAAACGCGAGGTCTTTGTCGATCCATTAATATGCTGCTGGCAGCGGAGGAATCATACATTTCACGAATCGTGCTGAGAACACTTAAGTTTCTGATGCTGCAAGACCGTAAGGAAAATGAATATGAAAAATGGTACTAGCATTTTTGGCTCGCGAATTTCGTTCACGGTATGGTGCTGACCGCCTTTTGCATTACAGCTTTGTTTCAACTGCAGGCGCTCAGTGCGGGGATTGGACTCAGACTTGCAAAATGTCTCGCATCTAAGGACGACGATGTGAAATATTGGGCACTCGGCGTGGCCCACGAGTTCGTACTGCACCCGCAATGGCGCCGGCAGTTTATTGACTCTGGAGCGTTTGCACAAGTCATCAACATCGGTCTCTCTTCTGTATCCCGGAAACCTCTGAAGGCGGCTAGTGAGATCTTACCTGCCAAGGAGTACATTATGGATATCCTAGTTATGATGTGGGGATCCAGTAAGTTGAATGTTTGTTATAATCCAAAAGTTCGGGTTATGTGAGCGTAAATCAATGAAGCATTTTCATAACCTTTTTTTTTTTAAAAAAAAAAAAAAAAATCAATCGTGCCATTGGAATAGAGGATGACCTGGATGCGTTACTCG